GGTCAAGCAGCTGAGAGACCTCTCCTCTTCTCTCCTCTCCTCTCCTCTCCTCTCTCAGCTGCTTGACCTCTCCTCTTCTCTCTCAGGTGCTCATCCGCGGGCAGGGGGGTCTCAGCAGCTGTTTGACCTTGATTCATTCATGCCCTTCTCGTGCCTTCCCCTCTGGCCTTTAAGCGAGGGTTGGCCATAGTGGGCTGGGCCACTGTCTTCTTGGTCCGTACACCATAAGTGTGTGGTTCTCTATCATTTTCTTACAGCGTACGAGTCCGAGTCATTCTGTCTTGCACAAGTCATAAGCGTTCGCATTTTTGCCTCATAATGGAGACTGCCTTTCTTGAGAATCCCTCGCACTGAGCAGGATATGCGGTGGGTGGATCAGACAGGGCCTTGATTACCTTCAACAAATAAGGACATAGAATTTTTACTCTGATAAATTTTAATCATTATTAAGTCGTATAAGATTATATCGAACACTCTAAGATATGAAACATAATAAGGATCCATGATCTTCCGGGAAAAACAAGGGTTTGGGTATGTCATGAGCCATATTTCGTGATAGTAGTGCTTCTAATATCTCCTTTTTTCAGTTCTGTTTAAGAAAATCTCACGTCACAAGGGTTTGGGTATTTTGCTTAAATTATGGTCGAGGGTGAGTGAGAACACGCCGAGCCAGGTAGGTGGCGACTTTCTACCTTGAGAGAGTTCGCTGTATGGTTTCATTACACTCTCTTGGAAGCCCGCCTGGCCCCCTATCAAGCGTGGCTCTTAGTTATGTACGTTGTCAAATCTGCCTTTGGCATTGAGTGGATAGGGTGGTGACACCTGGAATGATAGTGTTGTGCGTCCCATTGTTCTGAGCCCAAGTTTGGGAGACCTGACCCATCCCGGCTCGGGATTACAGCGCCCATCGGCCCAACGGACCATACGGATGCTTGAACTTAATTTAGAGTTCTTAACACTTAAAGTTAACCTCTTGATTTTCTAGAAGGTGAGAAGCTTTTTATTGCTGGCTGCATCCATAGGAATCTTAATGAAGGACATGGTGTACTTTTGAAGAGTGCCAACGTTGACCAAGCCAAAGGTGGAGATTTGTTAAGGTTGACTCGTTCAACTCGTCCAAATATGTCCAACCCGCTCCCCTTGTTCTCTTGTTATACTTCAGAGACTTGTTCTAGGTACGAAACTCTTCCCGCTCGTTCTATATAAAACATATTAAAAAGGGGGCTCTCAGGGTGAGAAAAAAAGAGAGATAAAAATATGACAAGAAACCCTTTTCGTATGGCAGCAGAAATTAGGGATATGACATCTCCATTATTCGGTGGGTTTGGTCATGAATTCTTTCTTCTTTATTAATGCATTTTATGATGTGCATTAACATCTTCATACCATTTCAAATTCGGCGTCTCATTCTTCTTCCTTATTTTCAACTATCATTTTTGCTTTGAGGACATAGTGTATCTTCTGCTTGTCTTACGTCGCAAGACTAAGCTATTAACGTCAAGCCATTTCCCAACAGTTTCAAGAATTAAGCTATGAAAATAAAGGATGAGGATCTAACACAGTGATTACTGCTGCCTAAATTTCTTGGAATCCACAAGATCTCTGTCTTTTGTCTTAATATCCTTGTTAAATCCACCTTTTGTCCCTCATGATCTGCAGAAGAAATCTACTAGCCATGTCTTGGAATCTAAGTTTGATGAAAAAGAAACCTTAGCCGCATAATCAAGTGATATTACTCATTTTTTCATTCAGAGATGGAGGATCACCAACTAACTATAATTTATATTAATTTCTGATTAGTCAGACAATGGAAATTGAAACAAACTAGTTAATGAGTAATTTCTACCTTTCTCATTTAACTTTAAACTTGGTCTAAGACTTTTCCTTTGATTGAACAATCAGATTAACTTAAAAAACTCCACACTCAAATTAACTTGTTCCTGACTTTCTATGTTTATGTGTGACCTTCCCTCTCTCTCTCTCTCTCTCTCTCTCCCCTTCTCCCTCTCTACCCTATTTGGTGGTTTTAATTGTAAGATAATCTTATCCATTTCTGTTTTCTCCTGCATAGTGGAATATCTCCCGCCTATTTTGGTGTTTGTGATATGTATTAAACCCTTTGTAGCACATTAAATTCGTTGTCCTCCGTGCGGACATGATAGTGGGGTGTGTGGGCAAGGTAGAAGGGAGATGGTGAGGACGGTTGCTGGCGGTATCCAGGGCGGCTGCTGTCATCTTACTTTAACATTTGTTAGGGAAAGCGACCAGGTTTAAGACTTAATGGACCTGAGAATAGGCTTGTTACACCAGCGGAAAGAAAAGAACATCACAACAAAGTGTTCACAAAAGAATGAACGATCTATTTCTATCTCCATTTCTACCTCCGGCTTTTAGTTATTTACATATTCAATTAATTCGTGGACACTAGCCGCCCGGCCCAAATCGTCCATTCCCTTCAAACCGCACTAGTCTACACTAGCCAATTGGATCTCATCTCTCCTCCTATGTTCCTATCCTTCTCCTCGTTGTTGATACTCATCCTTCAAGTTAGAAAATCCCTAACAAGACTCGTGAAATCCAAGCTAACAAGAATCTTCAAGAGATCAAAAATATTCATTACAAATGTGTGTTGATTTTCAATTTTTTGTAAAATTGGTTATTATTTTTAAATCTTTACTCTTAGAATTTGTGAGATTCATAGGATAGCCATATTTATGTGAGAGATTGGGTGTCAAACTTTAGTTGAGAAGCCTTATTTGATTTTTTGAATTAGATACCCTAACATAACAATCTTAATTATCTTTAAATTTCAGAATCATCCTGATACTATGCCTTCAAAGTTTTAATCTAAGTCGACTCTAAATATCAACGTGTAGTTCTCTTTAAAGGGATTTCTTCCGGCCTCTTTGTCTTGCATCACCCCCTCATCGTATGTGAACCTAAGGAAGGTAAGGATGGATGGCCTGCAAGGGTGCTCAATGATGCATATGCCATTGCAGCAGCCCGGCTCCAGGTTGGTCTTGTCATTGAGGAAGAAGAGGATGACCTCACCGGTACACACGGCTGTAGTTTTAAGAGGGAGGTCCAGCACTCTGCCACACCGTCAGCGTGTAATCAATTAGCAGCCAGGCTAGGCCTCTGATACTGCAGGGACGGCTGGGCCGCATTGTCAGCGGCAGCGGCGAATAGGATGGAGCACGCCATCAGGAAAGAGAGAGACGATCGCCGTTATCTGATGAATAGTCTGCTTTTAATTTTCTCTTGCTCTTCTCGGATACTTACTACAGTTGTTGCTTTCTCTACTTCCACTCAATTCAATTCTTTTCTCAATCAATGAGCAACCTTAGTTTGCACAGTAAACTATTATAAGTAACTATATTTACCGAGAGAGTAGACTTTCCGACAATGATGTTTACCAGGCAGAAACATGCACTTCTAGGGTTTTGCATTCAATGTTAGTGATTGAACATAAAAATTATCACCCTCCATAGATCCATGAGCAGTGTAACTGCTCCTAAAGAGATATAAATGGAGACAGCGGAAAAGCTAAGCCACAAGTTTGACCGACGTGAAGACATGATATCGGGTATTTAATGGAATACTCTCATAGACTTGAGCTTGTGACATTTATCCATTATGGAGAGCAGCTTTACGGTTTTGTCAAGAGTGTTCCTTTCTCAATTAATTTTCCTTGAATTGATACATCTAATTAAATTTTTCAAAAACCGTGCAGCCCAAATTAACTTTGCCTTGAACTTCTACGTTTCTGTAAGGGTGACTTGGTCATCCTTCATTCAACAAGGCCCATGTGGGTCACGTCCCTCTTTACTAGGCTTTTACTTATGATTGTTTTTTGTCAAGAAAATAATCCAGCCCTTTTTCTGTAACCTATATTCAAACTGAGCTCGAGGGGAAAGAAATAGAAAAGGAAACAACAAATCTAAGACACGGAAAATCCAATCTCCTCTTACGGCTGTAACAAGAGTTATGACATCATCTTCCTCTTCTTTTTCTCTCTATCCTCCACTAGTGGCTGATATTATTGCTTCATTAACTCTGTCTCTATTATATTTTATTCCTTAGACTTTTTCATTACTCTCGTCTCTCTTGTTTTACTAGTTGTGAGGTATATTTATCCTCTTTAAACCACAATAATTAAAGTTTTACTTTATTATAGCCCATTTGACATTTACATTATGATTTATATATTAGAAGAGTTGTTGTACTTGTACTCTCAAGTTTTCGTTGCATTGACAGATTAATTCAGGCCCATTGAGATACTGTTTCAAATACTATTTCCTTACGTTCTCTATCACCCCTCTCTCTCTCTCTCTCTCTCTCTCTCTCCCTCTCCCTCTATCATCTTATTTTAATCTTGGTAAGGAAATCAACCAGATTTAAGACTTAACAGGCCTGAGAATAGGCTTGTCACGGCAGCGAAAAGAAAAGAACATCAGAACAAAGTGTTCACAAAAGAATGAATGATATGGCTAAGGTATAATACAGTGTACTAAGACAGGACGAATTGAGTGTGATGTAAAGAAGACAAAGACACGTCACGATTACCAAACAAGGAGCGATAATATATAATAGCAATGAAGAACAAAATACAGAAGTATATGGAGTTTATAAGGCACCAAATGAAAGATGAAGCTGAATCCTATTTCCAGCAAGCCGCCGGAGATAAAGATTTCACGTATCCTTGATTTTCTTTCTTCCCTCTTCTCTCTTTTTGAGCCCCCTTTTATTATCCATATTACAAAAAGAGTTCCCCTGATTTAGTATTTGAAACCAGTCCTAAACAGAGGCATAAATGTGGTATTTAAATCCTGACGAACATCTCCTAAAAGAAGAATTAACCAAGTCACCTTTACAGTATTAAACTTGGGAGCTCATTACGTAGCGTCCGAAATATTATTTATTTATTTATTTATTTGAGACATTACTTATTTTTCTTTGTGTAGGCGCATAAATCTTTGCCAAACAGATGTCTAAGGACGTCAGTCGAGCCCTTTGTGTCTCCGTTGGCGTTTGAGATCGCTCTGGCTCACGAACACCCCATGAAAGCCATACGGAACGCGCCGCGGAAGCTCTACTTCCGCGATCACCTCCAGCTCCGTCGACTTGGCGTCCATCACCACGAACTTCGACTTCTCCTCGTTCTCGTCGTGGACGAACGTCAGCAGGTACCCGTCATCCTCGTCAAGGTCTTTCCCCTCCCCCTTGGGGACGAAGAATGGCTCCCCGCAGTAGCAACCTGGTCCGAACTCCCTCCTGACCACCACGCAGTCCCTCTTCTGCGCCGCCAGCTCCAGGTCGAGCTTTGCGACGCCCCGGATCTTCGGGGTGCAACCAGCGATGGCCGCGTAGGCGTAGCGGCTCTTCCTTCCCTGGTAGGTCGGATTGACCCCGCCGAAGCCGAGGCTCATCACAGAAAGTAGAGTCCGGGAGACGATACTCGTCTTGAGGTCAATCCGCACCATCTCAATGTGGCCATCAACAAGCTCCATCCTCTCCACAAAGTGCTGTAGGTTGACGGAGCTGGAACCCACCAGCACTACCACTCCGCCGTCGTCGCCCTCCTCCCATGCGTTACATATGTGCAGCGGGTTGAACCCAGGAACGTCGAACCACGTGATTTCCGATCCCGACGCGGCGTATCGGGACAACACTCCCACCCTGGAGGTCTTCCTTGTGTCGCAACGGATGAAGGAGCCATCACAAAAGGCCATGCCCAGTGGGTCCATCACCAGTTGCGTCTCCGGGAAGATGGCGTAGTGTTTTGTGACGGCGAAGTCGTGGAAGATGGACGGTTGCAGGACGGAGGCGATGGGCACCTCCAACTTCTCGTTCCCGCTACTGTCGAAGCAGTAGTAGGTAAGAAAAGGGGGGACGAGGCTGTAGTTTACGGCGAAGAGCTCGCCTGTGACCGGGTCCTGCTTATGGTGGACCGACCCGCCTTTCACCAGCTTCCCGCCGAGGTCCCTCCGCTCTGTCGACAGCAGGTCGCCGTCCTCGGGCGACAGGTAGACGGTAAAGGGTTGGTCGGTCTCGCCGAGCACGAAGATGTTGTCCCAGAAGAAGGAGACGCTGGTGTTGGCCGGACCCATGCCCTCAATCGGGTCCATCTGCCCGGCGAGAATTTTAATCAATGCTATAACGACCCTGGCGACGCCACCGAGACCCCGAAGACCGAATGTTTTGGAGATCACCGGGGCGCTGGTTCTGCAGTAACGGCTGCAAAGAACCGCGTGGGATCTGTCGGTGCCATTTCGAGGAAGGAGGAGAGAGTGGAGCATTCCGTCGCCGTCGAAGAGATGGTACGGACCGAAGGGATACTGCCTTGGATTGGGACCATTGCGGATGTAAGCGCCTCCGCGGAGGCACCCGGGGATGCTCCCTTTGACGATGCGACAGGGGGTGGGCGGCAGCTCGTCCACGGGGGCGAAGTTTCCGACTAGAACCAGCGCGGGATCGACTGACGGGTGGAGCGGGAAACGAGTAAAGTGATTGTCGACGGCGTCCCCCAGGATATCGCAAAGGAACCAGCTCCACGGTCGTCCCTTCGTCTCCTTCGTGCTTGCGACGTCGGAAAGGGCGGGAGGCGCGTAGGATTCCTCGGTGAACGACAAGAGAGAAGAGAACCGGTTTCGGTAGAACCCCCTTGGTAGCGCCGCGGGGCTCCTTCGGCGGTGGGAGGCACCTGGAAGGAATGCCCTTGACAAAGCTGAAGAGCAGCTCTCCATGATCGAGAAATGGCGCAGGCCCGAGACTACGAGAGCATTCCATTAAATAGCCGGCATCGAGCCTTCAGGTGGCTCGAACTTGTGGCATAGCTTCTCCGCCGTCACCATTTATCTCTTCAAGGGCAGTTGCGCTGACGATGGTTTCGTCGGAGAGGGGTTGTGTTAATGCAATTAAACGGCAATTAACCGGCACGGGCGATAAACTGTTGGATGATGTAATAGCACCAATTTGCACACTAAGCTATTAAAAGTAATTACAACCAACGGAAGAGTAGACTTTCCGTCGTAATGGTGCATGGATCGAGTGGATGTGGAGAAAGAGATGACTGTGTAAGTATCCGGGAAGATCAAGAGAAAATTAAAAGAAGACCGTTGATGCGACAACGGTGATGATCTCTCCCCTGCCGCCGCCTTTATATCCCGACCATGAAGTCACCTCCCGCCGCTGCCCCCGTCATCACCCGTCTCCCCTGGCGCGCCCATAGTCGCCCTCGACGGCTAAATTATGAATAAATAATCTGGCCCTATAGTTTCCCGAAAAAGAAAGCTTTCTGACGCTATAATTTCTGTAAAAAGAAAGGTTTCTGCCTGCTATGAGCCATATTTCGAGATAATTTTGCTTTTAATGTCTGTATCTTTCAGTTCTCCGTGAGAAAGCTGCAAATGCGAAGTAGCACTACACAAAATACGGCATAATTAAGTATAAATTCTTTCATGCGAAGGTGAGCAAATTCTTTCATGCACCTTGAACGGCGTCAGGGAAGGGCGATCAGTCCCACCAACGGGCGCCGGCACGCTATAAATGGAGCCCTCTGAACGGCGTCACGTGTGCGTGCCGTTTCCGCTCGTGATCTTCCCGCCGTCTCTGTCGATGGACGGTTTCTGAAACGACCCGTTCCCGGTGCCCCTCGATTGGGACCCTCCCCGTGCGCGTCAGCAGGTCGGCCGACGCTTGGAGGAGACGCCATTCGGGATAGAAAAAAAGAAGAAAAATAAAAGTGATTTTATGAAATTTACGCATAAAATTCAACGATAACCATAAAATTCGAGCAAGCTCATAGGACTAATTAACTATCGGCAGGGTTGAAGAGTAGCTCATCATGATCGAGAAATGGGTTAGTTCTCGATAACTCGGGATCTTTCTATTAGATAGGTGCCTGTTTTTGAAACATGGAAAGTCTACGATTTGACTTTGACAGAACTCCAGTTTTAGCCGCCGACGACTTTGACTTTGCAATCGCCCTACCGGAATAGGGCACCAAGACCCAGCGGAAAAACAGAGATGGTGTCAATGACTGTTTCCGCTACAATGAATTCCTGAGAAGGTTTGACCGTAAATGGGAGGAATTGTCAAAGTGGATCCCTGCTCTTGGAAACGGACTACGATTAGCACTAATTCCGGCCGTTGGGCCAGTCTCGAGATGGCCTTCCTTGGGACACCGTAAAATAGAAACCCTTTCATTTGTAAAATAGGAGTAAAGAAAAATAGAGAGAGATGTGGATAGTAGAGGGCGGCTGTAGCTGTTATCGAGAAAGATTGCCACCTGTGTTGTTGGCTCAGAGTCACCGCCGCCTGTTCTACTGGTGGAGGAGCTACGCCGTATGTTTTTCTGGTTAAGGGTCATACTTGACGGTGGGAATGAGATGAGATCAAATCGTTGACCACTTTGATACCACGTAGGCTCAGGCCCATTCTAAAAGGAACTTTATTTATTATCAATCCTTTTATCTCCTTGACTTCGGATGGGGAGAATCTCTAAAAAGCCTGGTAACCCTAGAACAAGACAGATTGGTATTTTCTGAGAAACGATGTCTAATTCCGTGAAGAATGGTCGCAAAGTCGTGCATCTCCGCTCCATGAACCAGCTCGTCACTCAGGCCATGATGCCCCGTAGGCTTACACTGGAGTACCCTGTGGGTCAGCGGAGTCAACAGCGACGAAAGCCCTCTGCTACTCGGTCTCCCAACGAGGCAAGAGGTTAATCTCTGTTTCTCCTTACTACTGGTTGAGCAATTGTTATTTAGTATCTCATCTTGCGATCTTGGTTCCATATTCACCATAGTTTGACCCATTAGACCTCTTAGCTAGTGTCTTGAGGGGGAGCGAGGACCAATCAGGTGTGCACCAATCAGATTTATTGAAATGGAACACTCCAATCTCGGTGGCTCCTTAACTGAGTTGTCCTTTTGTTCATGTCTTTGCGGGATTCACTTGATCCATATATTTTGTCCCCTCTTGGCGCCTTAGATCCAAAGTTAAGCCTCAGCTTAGAGTCGCTTTTTCCCACATTTGCTACACATTTTTCTCTGTATTCATGATGAGAGAGATTTTCCTATTCTTCCAAGTTGAGAGGGCAATATATTCTTTTTAATTTCTCCACATCTAGTGAAGTGGATCGTTGTCATTGTTCATGGAAGTAGGAGGGTAATTATGAACGACATGAAATCGTAAGTCTTTGCTTTGGCATAGTTTCCTCCCCTTATTTTCGGTTGTGTTGATTAAGTGAGCATCACTATGTTAATCAGAATGACTATTTGGCTCAACAAATCAGTATCAAAGCTTGCTAGAGGTTACATTAATGTTCATTGTAGATGACAACAAAGCCAACATCGTCAATAAAGCTCAACATTGAAGTATTTTGTGGAAAAACTAAGGATTTAAACAGCAGACGTCTAAAGGTGCATTCACTATTAGTCAAAGGGGTTGAATAATGTAATTAAATATAAATAAATTTTATCTGTTAAATAAAAAATGAAGAAGAAAAAGTACATAAAACGTACTCTTGATGGGTTGTCTGATCTTGACGGATTATGCTATATGAGAAGTTGCTAATGAAGACACTGTCTAAAACTAAAGTGAAACAAGATCTCTCATAACGTCTACCATAAACCATTTATATCTAGATCAAGGGTTGTTTAGTTATAACATTAAAGATGTTACGCCCAATATGAATCATTCGAACATTGGTGTTTAAAAGTGTTGTTATAGATCTTAAAAATGTTGGTGTTAAATTAGATGATGAAGCTATCAGATCTTATAGGGAAAATTTTTTTTACTTATAATTACTCTTATGCTAATTATCTCCTTCAAATGAGTATTTTTTTGGTACTTTGTTATATGGGAGAGATAATAATTATGTGGAAGATATAAGTATTTCACAAAACTCTAAACGGTTGAAAAGACTAAGTACTAAAAAATCATGATGAAGATTAGGCATATGGCTTGACGATGAGAGCTCATAGAAAGAAATTTGAAAAAAGAGTAAATATAGATAAAAATTTAATGAAACTGAAGTGTTATAATGTAACCAATGATGACTTATTAAGACAACAAGATTAAAGAGAAACTATGATCGACAGTAGAAGAACACAAAATGAGGCGTGAAAGGTAGGAAGAAAAAACAAGGCCCTTTGAAATAGTAGGGACGTGGAATAAACAGGCTCCAAGTCAGACCCTGCTCAGATGTCCTGAAGAGGGCCCCTGTCCGGCGATTAGCTCGAAAACAAGCTCCAGGTCGGACCCTGTGTAGCCCAAATTCAGAAAGAGAGGGAGAGAGAATGCCGCATGTATGCCGGTAGAAAATGGGCGTTGGCCTTCAGAGACAATTCATCAAGAAGCCAGACACAGATTGGATAGTGATTGAGCCAGAATGGGTCCCTCATCCTTAGTTTGGGAAAGGCAACCAATGGTCCTCCAAGTTTACCCAGATAGATAGTCGATTGATCTTCCCGGATACTTACTACAGTCACCGCCTTCTCTACTTCCACTGGATTCAATTCTTTTCTTGATCGCTGTTCAACCTCACGACGGCACTTCGTCTGCGTGATTGAATACAAACCTGGAATGGTACGTTCTTGCCCAGGGAAGATCAAGAGAACATGAACGGAAGGCTGTTCATGAGGGGGGAAGTCGAGAATCCGTGATGACGGAAATCGACTCTCCCCTTCCCCTCCCTTGAGTCACCTCCAACACGCCCACGCAAATTCTCACCTCACAGCCTTCGCCAGTACCTCTCCTCTTCCGATCTCCATGGCATCTTGTCGTAGCCACTCTCTCTCTCTTCCCTAATAGCCTGCTTCATCATGTTCGCCGCCGCCGCCGCCGCCGTAAATGCTGCCAGGCCGTCCCCGCAATATCGGGGGCCTGGCATGGCCGCTGTTCGCTTACAGACCGACGATATGGCGGAATGCTGGAACTCCCTGCTAGAACTGCGGGCGTGCATAGGAGAGGTCATGCTATTCTTCCTCAACGGCGAGACCAACCTGGGACCGGGCTGCTGCAACGCCATACGTGTCATCGAGCACCGCTGCTGGCCGTCCATGCTCACCTAGCTTGGTTTCACACCCGACGAGGGCGACATATTGAGAAGCTACTGCGACACCGAGGGCTGCACTCTCCGCCTGCCGCCACCCCCGCTGTCTCCGGTCTCCCTCGCTCCCACGCCATGATCGTTTCCAAGTCCCCTTCGAGGCGATCGTCGTGATCTTGGTCCACGACGACCCTTTGTCCTCTTCTTATTGGTTTTCTTACAGCGTACGAGTCCAAGTCGTTCTGTCTTGTACAAGTCATGAGCTTAATGGAGACTGCCTTCCTACAGAAACGCTCACCCTGAGCAGGATACCTGCTGGGTGGCTCAGACAGGACCTTGACTACCTTCACCAAATAAGGACATAGAATTTCTACTCTGATACATTTTAACCGTTATTACGTCGTATAAGATTATATCGAACACTCTAAAATATGAGAACATAATATGGGCCCATGATCTTCTGGAAAAAAACAAGGTTTGGGCATGTTATGAGCCATATTTCGAGATAGTATTGCTTCTAATATCTCTTTTTTTCTGTTCTAGTCAAGAAAATTACACCTCACAAAATGCTTTGTAATTAGGTCTAAACCCTTTTCTGCGAACTGTATATTTTGGTGAAATTATGATCGAAGGTGAGTAAGGACACGCCGACGCAGGTAGGTGGCGACTTTCTATTTTGGGAGAATTCGCTGTATGGTCACAATAGACTCTTCTGGAAGCCCGCCTAGCCCATTATGAAACGTGGCTCGCAGTTATGTACGTTGTCAAATCTGCCTTTGGCATCGATTGGATAAGGTGATGACAACTGGAATGATAGTGTTGTGCGTCCCATTGTTCTGAGTCCAAGTTTGGGAAACCCGACCCGTCCAGGCTCGGGATTACAGGGCCCATCGCCCCAACGGACTATATGGATGCTTGAACTTAATTAGAGTTCTTAACACTTAAAGTTAACCTCTTGATTTTCTAGAAGGTGAGAAAATTTTTATTATTGACTGCATCAATAGGAATCTTAATGGAGGACATGGTGTAATTTTGAAGAATGCCTACGTTGACCAAGCCAAAGGTGGAGACTTGTTGAGGTTGACTCAATCAACCTGTCCAAATATGTCCAACCCTATCCCCTTTTTCTCTTCTTGTAGTTTGTCAACCTGTCCTTTTCGGTCTCTCATTCTTATTCTTTTTCTTCCTTATTTTTCAACTATGATTTTTGATTTGAGGACAGTGTATTTTCTGCTTGTCTTCCATTGCAATATTAAGCTATTAACGTCAAGCCATTTTCCAAGAGTGAAAATAATCGAGCTATGAAAGTAAAGGATGAGGATCTAACTAGCCCAACAAACATAGTGATAACTGCTGCCTAAATTTCTTGGAATCCACAAGACCTCTATCCTTGGTCTTAGCACCCTCCTTAAATTTACCTTTTGTCCCTCATGATCTGTAGAAGAAATCTACTACCCATATCTTGGAATCTAAGTTTGATGTAAAAGCAATCTTACATGCATAATCAAGTGATATTACTCATTTTTTCACCTAGAGATGCTCGATTGTTTTCTCATTTTTTCACCAACTAACTCTATATTAAATTAATTTTTAATTAGTCATACAATAAAAATTCAAACAAACTATTTATTAGAAATTTATGCCTTTCTCATTTAAGCTAAACTTGGTCTAAGGCTTTTCCTTAGATTGAACTATCATATTAACTTAAAAAACTCCACATCCAAATTATTTTGTCCTGAATGTCTATGTTAATTTGTCACCTTCTCTCTCTCTCTCTCTCTCTCTCTCTCTCTCTCTCTCTCTCTCTCTCTCTCTCCCTCTCTGCCCTATTGAGTGGTTTTTGACCCCAAGATAATCTTCTCCATTTCTGTTCTCTTGCAGGGATAAGGGGAGAGGAGGTGGGTTCCACGATAGGAGAGGACCATGCTAAATAAGAGAAGAGAAAGAGGTGATCATGAATGAGGGGGTTAGTTGGCAGTGGGTCCCCTTTCAATATCATATGCCTTATTGTAGGGATGCCCAATCATATACCTTATTTTTACCATGCCCCCAATGCCCCTCTCAATCTGCAAAAATAACAAATTAGTTTTACAATTTTACTTTTTTATGTTTACTAATTCTTTAATAGTCTATAATGAAACTAAGAATAAATATATGTTCATACTCATGCATCATGATTACCTATTAATCATTTTCCCTCTTACAACTATTAATCATATATTTTTCCTCTCATTTATCTTGATGTTTCTATCCTTATAGAAAATAGTAAAATGATATAGTTCATAAATTATCATATGAAAATCCAAAAGTATAATATTAAATGTGTATTCATTATAGTCTTGTATTCCTTAGACTTTAAACAATAATCTTCTCACCCCTTTAATATGACGATTGCTCTAATTATCAATTAACAATAAAAATACTTTATTAGAACTTCCATCTACTAACTTTTTAAAAAATTTCAACAACAATGATTCTTGAGATATCGATTGGCCACCAAACTCTCTACGATAAGATGACACATACTGTTCCTTGATGGCACTACAAGGAACTACACTAATAACTTAATGCGGGACAAGGAGGCCATAAGAGATCCCATTAAAGAGAATTACATATTGATCTTTAAAGTTAACTTAAATAAAAACTTTGAGGGCTTAATATTCAGATGATCTCACAATTTTAGGAGAATTAAGATCATTAATTATATGTTAGGTTATCTAATTTAAAGAATTAGATAAGGCTTCTCAACAAAGGTTTGGACCACCAATCTCTCACACAAGGGTGACTATCTTATGAATCTCAAGAATTCTTAGAACAAGGATTAGAAAAAAATAAATAATGATCAACTTCATGAGAAATTGAAAATCAATATACCTTTGTAATAGAGATTTTTGGCATCTTGAAGATTTTTGTTTTGTTAGAATTCCACAAGTTTTGTTAAGGATTTTCCAACTTGAAAGATGGGCATCAACAATGAAAATAAGGATGGGAACAAAGGAGGAGAGACAAGATCTAAATGGCTCGAGTTGGTGGCAGTACGGTTCAGACCGAGTACTTCAAACCAAGGAGTGGACTGGTGCGGTTCGAAGGGAATGGGCTGTTTGGGCCGGGCGGCTAGGTACCACGAAACCGGTTTTGATTTAAAAAATTGATAATAATAAAAAAAGAAATGAAGCCGGGGAGGAAAAAGGGGCGAATCGAGGACGCTCGTGAGAGTAGAGAAAAGGGGCTTCGTCGGGACGGCCGACTAAAAGTCGGACGGCGACAGTGGGAGAGAGAAAGGAAGAGGTTTCGCGACGGGCGGACGGCCGGAAAGGGGAATGGTGGCGACGGCAGGCTGGCTACGGCGGGAGAGAAAAGGAAGGTGGCCTGTCGACGGGGCAGACGGCGTGGAGGTGGAACGGTGGCGACGGGGCTTCGAGGAGGCGGAACGGCGGCGAGGAGGGGGAGTGGAACGGCGGCGACGGGCTGGACGGCGAGGAGGCAGAATGGCGGCGATGGGTGGACGGCGAGGAGGCGGAAAGGCAGTGACGGTGGAGAGAAAGAAAGATGGGCTGGCGACAGGTTGGACGGCGAGGAGGCGGAAAGGCAGCGACGACAGGAGAGAGGAAAGGAAGGGCTGGCGACGGAAAGGAAGTACGACGAAGTGAGAGAAGACAAAGAGAGAGAGGTACCCATAGTCCAAGAGGGCGAGCAGAAGAAGTTACCCCTAATCCAAGAGGCGAGCGAGGGAGAAGAGGAACCCGTAATCCAAGAGGTGAGAGTGATAACAAGAACTTTCTTGATTCCAAATTCAACTCTTTTTTTCTTTTCAAGTATTCGTGAATTTGAATATTTAAAGAAAAGAGGGGAAGGTGGTTAGAGGCATCCCCTCCGTCTCTTGGAGGGAGAGGCGCCTTCCTTAGAGGAGAAGGGGTGCGTGGGCGATGTGGCCTCTTCTCTTCCTTCTTCTTCCTCCTCGTGGGTCCACTCCTCGTGTTGACTCCTCTAGAGGGTGACAATATACACCTCCAGAGGAGGCTCCGCTCAGCACTATATAGCAATCTTCAAGACGTCTTCTATGCGTTTGATCAACTGCTTCGCAGGCAGTGCTCCTTCCTGAAATTTCAGAAGCTATGACAGACAGTAGAAGAACACATAAACGAAGCGTGAAAAATAGGCAAAGAAAAAAAAAAAAACAAGGGCTTTTGAAGCTCGAAGTCAGGCCCTGCTCAGATGTCCTGAACAGGGCCCCTCTGAGAACAAGCTCCAAGTCGGACCTGTGTAGCCCACATCCATCCGAGAGAGAGCGACAGAGGATGCCGGTAGAAAATGGGCTTTGGGCTTCAGAGACATTTCATAAAGAAGCCAGACAGCTCGGATAGAGATCGACCCAGGATGGGTCCCACATCCATAGTCTAGGAAAGGCAACTAATGGTGCTGCGAGCTTACCCAGATAGATAGTCAATTGATCTTCCCGGACACTTCCTCAAGAATCCCTTGTCCTGAGCAGGATAGACAGACGGTAAGTGGCTCAGACAGGATCTTGACTACCTCCACCAAATCAGGACAGGATTTTTACTCTTAGATATTTGAATCACTGTAAAGTCGTATAAGATTATATTGAACACTCTCAAGTATGAAGATATAATCTAGGCCCATGATTTTCCGGAAGTAAGGTTTGGGCATGTTACGAACCTTATTTCGAGATAGTATTGTTTTTAATGTCTATTTTTTCAGTTATAGTTAAGAAAATTGCAATTCACTAAATGCTACGCAATTAGGTATAATCCCTTTTATGCGAGCTATGTTTTTCGGTCACATCATCGTAGGAGGTGAGCAAGAACAAGCCAAGACAGGTAGGTGACGACTTTCTACTTCGAGAAAATTCGCTGTATGGTATCATTAGACTCTCATGGAAGCCGGCCAAGCTCATTATGATCGCGTGGTGGGTAAATGGTGAAGTTAGGGCAGAGTCCCACCTGCTACACTTCGTCTTCGACAAAACCTGAGAAGTTAGGAAATCGTTCTTCCCTGAAACAGTAGAGAGAGAGAGAGAGGGATCGGTGATGATTAATTAGACTGCGGCGTAGCAAACTCCAGGCCGACATTTCTTGGGGCCCAGGTTTGGGAGACCCGGCCCATCCAGGCTTGGGATTACAGAGCCCATCAGCCCAAGGCACCATTTTTTCAGTCGGGCAATGTCTCTGCATGGGGCAACACTGTATGTAGCGCGTCGCACACGTTTAACTAGTAGGCCCCGTTGACGGTGTACGGAAGATCTGCCTTTTCTCTGAATTGCGCCTTCTCACGCGAGTCAAAGGTTTTCACCGCCAAGCTAGGCAGTGTCCACCCCCCCCCCCCAAAAAAAAATCCAGAAGCTTCTTCGAAATCTTTAATCTTTAATAAATTAATAAATTATTTCTATTTATACGCATATTCATTTACTCTTTCATAGCAGCAGCAGTCTAATTAGATACCCAAGAAGGCTGCCTTTAGAAATTAATCAACACCAGTTCTAATTAAGCTCGCATCAACGTTGATTAAAAAAAGGTTCGAATAAGGTTTTGACTCGAAAAACTTATGCCTTATTTTCACGCAATTGCTATTTCTCAGCCATCCCTCTCTCCGAAAATCAATCCACGCCAAAAGTTAACTCTGTTGCTCTGTTCTAAGCGTTTTTTTCAGGTCAAAATCTCGTAGAGACAAATCCCGTGGACCAAGACAGCTGTGGCTGGAAATTGATCGGCTTAGAAACCCAGGAGGAGCAGCTTCTCGAAGAGCTTGGCCGTCTACCAAGAGCGAGAAGACCGAGAGAGAGAGAGAGAGAGAGAGAGAGAGAGAGAGAGAGAGGCGTGAAAGCACGCAGAAGAGGATCTTTCTCGAACATCACGGAAAAGTTTCATACTCATCTACTCGCTTCGTCGCTCTCTCTCTCCACGAGCGGTCGTCTTGAGGGGGTTGGGTGATTGTTATGTAAAAGTTCATAGATCAAAGAACCTAATTTATATATATATATATATATATATATATATATATATCGAAGCATATTCTTTCGAAAAATTCAAGTATTGATTCAACTTGGCCGACTCCTCTAGCCAGACGCATTGATTGTTAAGATGATGCGTATGAAATTATTGTGTAGAAAATCGAAAAGACCATCTAATAGACATGTGGACAAAACCTCTCGCATTTCCAAAGTTCAATGAATGCTTGAAATTAATTGGAGTTTTCAATACTCAAAGTTAACCTCCTGCTTTGGGAGAAGGTGACCAACTTTATGTTATTGGTTGTAACTATAAGAATCTCATGGAGGATTTGGTGTAAGTAGGAAGTATGTCTATGTTACCAAGCCGAAGGCCAAGATTCTTCAACCAAGTCCGGCCATACGTTCTCGCTTTTCCGTTATTATTATACTTTAGAGACTGATTTTAGGTATGAAACCAGTCCCATAAACTTTTGTATAAAACATATTAAAAAGGGAACTCAAGATGAGACAGAGAAAAAGGGAAAATATGACAAGAAATTCTTTCTCTACTGAAGCAGAAATTAGGAACCCCGATATCTCACCTATTTGATGGTTTTGGTCATGATTTAATCTTCTCCTGTTCTCTATTTTATTTAATCTTACATACTGGAAGATCTTCCTCCTATTCGGGTGGTTTTGATGTGCTTTAACTTCTTCGTACCATATTAACTTCGGTGTCCCACTCTTCTCCCTTTTCTTCCTTATTTCCAACGATCTTTTTTGCTCTGTGGAGATTGTATCTTGTGCTTGTTCTTCGCTGCAATATCAATCCATTAGACTCAAGCCATTTCCCAACAGTGTCGAGAATCAAGCTATGAATATAAAGGATGAGGTGCCAATGAGCCCTAGCAAAAAGTGATTGATGCTATATACATTTCTTACAATCCATGACACCTCCTTTCTTGGTTTTATTACCCTCCTTAAATCTGCCTTTTGTCCCTCATGATCTGTAGATGAAATCCACGACCAACAAACTATTTTTTATAAAAAAATTAATTAATTAAACTGAAATTTCAAACAAATTATTTAAGGAGTAACTGATGTCTTCCTCATTTAAGCTAAACTTGGTCTAAAACTTTTCCTTAGATTGAACTATCAGATTAACTTTAAAAACCTCCACACCCAAATTAACTTGTTCCTGAATTTCTCTGTTTATATGTCACTTTCTCTCTATGCATTATTCGCATACCTGTGGCAGCTTCAAATCTCTCTCTCTCTCTCTCTCTCTCTCTCTCTCTCTCTCTCTCTCTCTCTCTCTCTCTCTCTCTCTCTCTCTCTCTCTCTCACACACACACACACACACACACACACACACACACACACACACTCACTCACTCGCTCACTCACTTTAATATAGAATTTGGGGGCTCATTGGGTCCAAACCGAGTCCACCGTAACGTTTTTTCTCAACAAATATTTTCCTATTTTATAAGTGCAGAAATCTTTACCAAACACCTGCCTAAATAGATTGGACGAGTCCTTCGCGTCTCCATTGGTGTTTGAGACCACTCTGGGTCCGCACGAAAACCCCGTGTAACCCATAAGGCACGCGCCGTACAGGGGACGAGGAAGAAGACGGCGCTGATGGTCTGGATAACGAATTCAATGTCAACGGGGAGGGAGATGCATCAGTTCAAACTATGGAGGAACGGCCACATATAGACATAGGACGCGAGCTTGGACGGGGATGCGGATCCTTGTGGAAGCATACCGCTGCTCACCTACTATGAAGGGGTAATCCATGTAGAATCTTGGAACATGATATTGGTTCCTTGTGGAATTCTTCGTCTTCATAATATTTCCTTGTCCCTCTCTATCTCTCTCTTGCTAGGACGCAATCGTTTTGTCTAACACCCGCTCTCATTACCCCTTCGTTCATGGAGAGCAGACCTCATCTCTTTCTTCTTCTTCTCCCGATTCCTCCCTTTCTTGTGAGTAATGTGGCTCGAATGATTTCTTCTGCAATCCTGATAACTACATTTATTTTCTGGTGAATGTAATATTGTTTCTTGAGCAGGCCGACCTAGACCAATGGACCCAGATAAAGATATCGGAGCATATGGCAGTGTCGCCTGAAGGATCGAATGGAGAGATGGAGGATCAGTCAGCGGGATAAGCTTCAAATCTTCAAGATGGATGGAAGAAATCCAGACGGAGATGAACCAGATGATTCTGATCTTCCCGTGTAAGCTGTCCACCGTCAATTCCCTCTCCTCTTCGACCTCGTGGTTTCCATGGCTGTTGACGAGTCTTCCCCTTCGCTACTTCAGAACGGACGAAGGTAGGCAGCCGCTGTGGAGGAAACTGTCGATTCCTCCCCCGAAGTTAATCCCCTACAGGCTAATTATCGTACGGTGGCTCGTGATCTTGGCTTTCTTCTTCCACTATAGGCTCATGCATCCCGTCTCAGATGCCTATGGACTGTGATTCACGTCTGTTATTTCCGAAATATGGTTTGGGATCTCAACTACCTAGCCTAGTGATTTAATATAAGACATGAGATACAGCTTTTGTCAACTCTCAATAATTTGACGCAGTAACAAATAAATCAGTCAAGTTGCCAACTTACCTTTTTTCGATTTTGAATGATAGTTCGGCCAATAGAAAATTTTTCATGCTTGCACCTTCTAGATTCATTGTTCAATGGAGCCACTTTTGTCGGCATCTTGCTAATCTTTTTTTAGATTTACAACTCCAGGGAAACGAATACTTCGATTTACATACTAAATCTCTATTTTAATCAATATTCTAAAAATATTTATTGCTCCTTAATACTTCATCATAAGAATTCTTACATAATGATTGAAACAACACTAAAGATTACAACCAATCAAAGTTTCATCAGAAAGCTAGGGGTGAGCCTAGCGTAAAAAAGCTTCAAGCTTCAACTCCTTACTAATTCATGTTTCCACATTATTAAGAATAGTAAAAAGAGCGAGAATATTTATAGACGGTTGGAAAATTAATCCTTTAATTTATCCTCTCACCGAGAACATTTTCCATGATTTTCTTGTGCTCTAGTGGTTAAAAATCTGAATGATTTTAGCCATTTCAACGGCTACCTACTAGTACCCAATAAATTAGCTCTCATTCTCATCGTGTAATGTGGGTGCACACAAAGTTTTACAGGTTGAGGTCAACGTAGTGTGGAAAATTTTTCTCTTGAGAGAGTTGACTCATTTTCCTATAATACTAGTTCTAACTGAAGTGTCTAAAGGGTACGTCTTTTAGACCTGAACAAATGGTCAAGCTCTCAAAAGACAAGAAATTGGTCTAACACCCTGCTGGATGGGCACTCTAACACTCTCCAACCAGTTCTTTTATTGATAGAGCAAGATACCCATACAAAGAACTGGTTGGAGAGTCTTAGATTACCCATCTAGGGTGTTAGATCAATTTCTCATTGGGGCTCTATAAAGGTCAACATTTCTAAGTCATGATAGGATTGAACATCATAATTTTAAATAGTCGGTTTACCTTTTTCACGTCAGGACTCATGCATCTTCAAAAACCAACCAATATTACCTTCTTTTTAGCTGACGAAAAGGTATTTTCTTCAAATCATTTAAATAATAATATTTATCAAGCGTAAGCTTATGTTGTGCCATGTTTGGCTTGGTAACATGAATGGAAACATATCAAACTACACTCAACAACAAAAGAGAAATTCTTGGAAAGAAAAATATAAATAATCCATTGAATCTACTAGTAACCAAGACTCAAAATGCTTAATCTACTAGGAAATAGAGAGCCTTGAATATTCAAGAGAGATGAAAATAAAATTTCAATTATATTAAATAATAATTACCTTCTATATTGTGTGAATCTTTAGATCAGAAAGGTAGTTAATCTCCTAAATAAAAAAAATATGATAAGAAAATATTTTAATAGATAATAGATAAAGTATCTTAAATAAAAAAAATTAATTCTTCCATGAAAATAAATTTTAGTCATCATTAGAAGTCATCCCCCTCTACCTTTCATGATTCTTTTTATAAGAAAAAGTAGTGAATCCCCAAAATAAGAGGATATGATAAATAAAAAAAGATGAAACTTATTAAATAAAAGGAATTAGTTTGTAGAGATATATATTCTGGGTTTATGGCCTTGGCCCACTTTCTCTCTCCTCACCCCTATATGTATAGGGGTTATGCAATCTTCTTTATTATTATTAAATTATTTTCTGTCTACATGGTATCAAAGCCAAGTTGCTCCACTATGGTTTTCTATTGGCACCACCGTCTCCTCGGCCGCCATTCCATCATCGTTTCCACAGTGACTCTCCAATAACTGTCTCCTTGGCACCAACAACCCTGCTGCATCACCTGGGTTTTAACCATTGGGCACGGCCACCTCATCGCACTGCCCTCCTACTCTTAAGCTTTGCCAGGCGCCAACCCACCACTGCACGCAGCCACGCGTAACAGCGCCACGTGCAACAATCGCCATGTGTCTATTATAATGTCTAGGCCAAGTTCTATGAAATGCAGAAGGGGCTTCGCCTAGGTCTATTGCCTGAGTCTGTTGTGACTCTCAATGCACCTCTTTGACTCCACATCATCTTAAGCATGTTGCCTTTATTACTCATCCATCGTCTCAACTGTCTACAACTCAAACATATACTACTTCGACATCTACATAGTTATTAACCCTTTGAAAAGAAATTAAATTGGGCTTGGGGCCTATCTGTGGTGTATGATGTGCTAGTGCTAGGGTCTATCCTTGCAAGGTGACCATATTAACATGCCCACATGCACGAGCTTATTTGATTGTTGTGTTTTACCTATTTGGGATTTATGAGGTTCACTTATTGGAGTCTTTATATTTTGGTGAATTTATTCTACGTAAAATACGCATGTCAAATGCAAAAGTTGAACTAAAGGCTTAAATAAATTAATTTTGAATTAAAATAAAAGATTTATTTATTTCATAAACTTTGTGATCATACGTACCATCTGATTCCTCCATTTATGATTCTAGTATTCCCTCTGAAGGGCAGGGGAAAAAGAGAGGGGAGAGAGAGAGTGAGAGATTGCCTTCGTTTTCAAAGTGGTGCTGGTTAATCTTCCTCGCAAGCCCAAGAATAAGATGACTTAAGATATTCATCGCTTAACCAAAAAAAAAAAGTTTTACGAAAGCAATGCGTAGTACGTCACAAGAAGTTGATGACAAATGTAACAACATTACGACTCAAACTCGACAACAACGAGAAGAAACCGCACACAGCATCTGGCTACTGCAAAGCACTGGGACAACGACGATGATATACGCATGATCATGGCGTGGGGGCGAGGGAGACCGGAGACGGTGGGGGCGGCGGCGGGCGGCGGGCGGTGTCCAGAGCGTCGCAGTAGTTTGTCAATATGTCCCCCTCGTCCGGTGTGAAACCAAGGGAGGTGAGCATGGACGGCCAGCAGCGGTGCTCGATGACGCGTATGGCGTTGCAACAGCCCGGTCCCAGGTTGGTCTCGCCGTTGAGGAAGAAGAGGATGACCTCGCCGGTGCACGCCCGCAGTTCTAGCAGGGAGTTCCAGCATTCCGCCATATCGTCGGCCTGCAAGCGAACTGTGGCCAGGCTAGGGCTCCGATACTGCGGGAACGGCCGGACCGCATTGGCGGCGGCGAACAGGAGGGAGCACGCCATCAGGAAAGAGAGAGAGTCGCTACGACAAGACGCCATGGCGGTCCGAAGAGAGGAGGTGATGACCAAGGCTGTGTGATGAGGGTTGTGTGTGTCAATAGGAGCTGACTCCATGGTCAGGATATAAAGGCGGCAGAAGGCCAGAGATGATCGCCGTTATCGCGGATTCTCGACTTCCCACCCCACGAGCAGTCTTCCGTTCACGTTCTTTTGATCTTCCTGGGGAAAAACGTACACTTCCAGGTTTGTATTCAATCACGAAGACGAGGTGTCGTCGTAACGTTGAATAGTGATCGAGTGGAAGTAGAGCAGGCGATGACTGTAGTAAGTATCCGGGAAGATCAAGAGTGCATTGACTATCTGGTAAGCTCAGAGCACCATTGGCTGTCTTTTCTAGTCGAAGGATGAGGAACCCGTCCTGGCTCGATCTCTATCCAAGCTGGGTCTGGCTTCTTGATGAGTTGTCTCTGAAGCCCGAAGCCCATTTTCTACAGTCATCCATGCGGCATCCTCTTTCTCTCTCTCTCTGGCTCTGGATATGGGATATACAGGTATGACTTGGGGCTTATTTTCGGGTTTATCTCCAGACAAGGCCCTGTTCAGGATATCTGAGCAGGGTCTGACTTGGGGCCTGTCTTTTCCACGTCCCTACTGCTGCCGCGAAAGGCCTTGTTTTTTTTTTCTTCTATTTTTCACCTTCGTTTTGTGTTCGTCTACCGTCCATCATAGCTTCTAAAATTTCAGCAAGGAGCACTGCCTGCGAACCAGTTGATCAATCACATTGAAGATGTCTTGAAGGTTAGTCGATGGTGGCCAGCAGAGCCCCCCTTTGGAGCTGTATAATATCACCCTCTACTTTATTTCTTAGCGTATATCCCAGAATCCCCATTGGGAAACAATATGAGCCATCTAATCACAGAGAACAAGTAGTAAATCAAAATTCCAGGAGACCTTGTGATTGACTAATTTAGATTTTTTATCGAGTCAGACGATGAAAGTTCTAATGAAGTATTTTAAATATTTTATTTGCTGCTTCTGCTTGTACGAAATAAGTGTTGGTGATCTGAGTGTCCTCGTTTCTCCCCTTCTTTCACATCAGAAATCTGATGTAAAATACATACAAGTGAGGGAGAGGGAAAGAATGGTAAGAACAAGGAGCACACCGAATTTATGTGGTTCGGAGAAACCTCCTACTTTCCTAGGGGCATAGAAATCAAACTTCCTTTCAGTCCAACGGCAAGACGCCTTATCATGCCTTCAGAGCATGCTCGCCGAAGAGTCCATTAGTGCTTAATAGGGCCCAAGAGAAGATCAATCTCTACAACTCTAACAATCTGCCGGTTGCAGATTGATCCTCAAATAAAGACAAATTTTTGTTGATCTTGTGCAACACCTCTAATTAGCTAACTCTAGAGATCAATTGAGGTGATACATAACCTCAATTTGAAGCTTTTTACGCTAGGCTCGCTACCTATTTTAGTGTTGTTTTAATCTGTATAAGGAGCTTTATTATAATAAACAATATATGCGTTTAAAAGCACTTGAATATTTCTAAAATATCAATTAAAGTAGGGAGTTATCACAAAAATCCAAGTACTTATTCTCCTGGAGTTGAATCTAAAAAAAGATTAGCTAAGAGTTGATATAATTGGCTTCTTGGAACAATGAATCTAGAAGGTGCAAGCACCAAACTTACTCTATTGGCCAAACTATCATTTTAAATAAAAAAAATTAGGATGACAACTTGATTGATTTATTTGTTAGAGTACTGACTCAAATTGTTGAGAGTTGGCGTAGTTCTACCTCATGTCTTGTATTAAGTCAGTAGGCCCGAGTGGAACACTTTTAAAGAATGAAATAGGTAAAGAATATTGAATTATTACAAATTTGGTGATTTAATGTCGAATAGTTGTGTTATACATTTGGTAGTTTAATGGCTTGTCGATGAGAATAGAGGCAGGTTTCAACTCATCTTATTCATGAAGATACGAATTCACCTCCTTTTCTATTACCATTATTATCCACCGTTGACCAACAGTACCATGGTTTAAAGATTCAGTACATGTTTTATTAAAAAATGAATACCATGAAATTTTTCATAGTGCACATAAGAGGTAATCAAGTAACTAAATTCTAATAGTTTGGTAGTTTATAATGAGAGGAAAGGTATAGTAGAAAGACGATGGACACATCTGTAATTCAGTGACTCATTGAGAGAACTAAATAACCCATAAACCGTCATTGCGTAGTTCTTGGGCAAACGACGTTTGGTATGCAAATTGTCACCGAAAAGTTGGCTGTAGTTATAATACTGTTGTGTGCAAATTAGTAACGTGACATCATCCAAGTGTTTCCCCCCGGGCCGGGTGACTGCGCTAACACAACCCGTCTACGACAGAACCGCCGGCGGCGCAACTGCTCCTGAAGAGATAAATGGTGACGGCGGAGAAGCTATGCCACAAGTTCGAGCGACGTGAAGGCCCGATGCGGCCTATTTAAGAGAATGCTCTCGTAGTCTAGAGCTTGCGCCATTTCTCAATCATGGAGAGCTGCTCTTCAGCTTTGTCAAGGGTTTTCCTTCCAGGTGTCTCCCACCGCCGAAGGAGCCCTGGGGAACTACCGAAGGGGTTCCGTCGAAACCGGTGCTCTTCTCTCCCTTCGTTCACCGAGGAATCCTACGCGGCTCCCGACCTTTCCGATGTCCCAAGCACGAAGGAGACGAAGGGACAACAGTGGAGCCGGTCCCTGTGCGATGTCCTGGAGAATGCCGTCGACAGGCACTTCAATCGGTACCCTCTACATACGTCGGTCGACCCCGCGCTGCTGCTGGTCGGAAACTTCGTCCCCGTTGACGAGATGCCGCCCACCCCGTGTCCCATCGTCAAGGGGAACATCCCCGAGTGCCTCCGCGGCGGCGCTTACATCCGAAATGGCCCCAATCCAAGGCAGTATCCCCGCGGTCCGCATCATCTCTTCGACGGGGACGGGATGCTCCACTCTCTCCTCCTTCCTCGGGGTGACTCCGACGGCTCCCACGCGGTTCTCTGCAGCCGCTACTCCAGAACCAGCGCCCCGGTGATCTCCAAAATATTCGTTCTTGGGGGTCTCGGTGGCATCGCCAGGATCGGTGTAGTCCTAAATAGAGTTCTCGCCGGGCAGATGGACCCCACTGAGGGCATGGGTCCGGCCAGGACCAGCGTCTCCTTCTTGGAAAACATCTTCGTGCTCGGTGAGACCGACCGACCCTTTACCGTCTACCTGTCTCCCGAGGACGGCGACCTACTGTGAAGGAGCGGAGGGACCTCGGCGGGAAGCTGGCGAAAGGCGGGTCGGTCAACCATAAGCAGGACCAGGAATCCGGCGAGCTCTTCGCCGTAAGCTACGGCCACTTCCCCCTGTTCTTACCTACGACTGCTTCGACAGTAGCGGTAACACGAAGCTGGAGGTCCCATCGGTTCTGTCCTGAAACCGTCCATCTTCCACGATTTCGCCGCCACAAAGAACTACGCCATCCTCCCGGAGACACAACTGGTGATGGACCCACTGGGGATGACCTTATTTGACGGCTCCTTCATCCGTTGCGACACAAAGAAGGCCCCCAGTGTGGGGGTGTTGCCCCGATACGCCTCGTCGGGAACGGAAATCAGGTGGTTCGACTCACCCGGATTCAACCCGATGTACGTATGCAACGCATGGGAGGAGGGCGACGACGGTGGAGTGCTGGTTGTGGTGGGTTCCAGAACCGTCAACTTTGAGCAGCTTATGGGGAGGATGGAGCTTCTACACGATCACATGGAGATGGTGTGGATTGATCTCAAGACGAGGATTATCTCCCGGACTACGCTATCCGTTACGAGCCTCCGCTTCGGAGCCGTCAATCCGGCCTACCAGGGAAGGAAGAGCCGCTACGCCTACGCGGGGATCTCCGACTTCCCACCGAAGATACAGAGCGTAGCGAAGCTCGACGTGGCGCTGGCGGCGCAGGGAAGGGAGTGTGTGGTCATCAGGAGGGAGTTCGGGCCAGGGTGCTTCCTGGGGAGCCTTTCTTCGTCCCCAAGGAGGAGGGGGAAGAGTTCGACGAGGACGATGGGTACCTGCTGATGTTCATCCATGACGAGAACGAGGAGAAGTCGGAAGTTTGTTGTGATAGACGACAAGCGGCCGGGCCTAGATGTGGTGGTGGAGAGAGAGAGAGAGAGAGAGAGAGAGAGAGAGAGGGCCAAGTCAATCTGGGCGGCGTTTATTTTTAAAGTCACTTCGATGGGTCAATCTTAAACCAAGTTCGGCTTAATTGAGAAAGACACCAATGACTAATTAAATACTCTCTTTGATATTTCAGTCTTGCTAATTTAAAAGTAAATTGAAAATAGTCGGTTGGTGACTTTCTTCTATAGATCATGAGGGACAAGGGTAGGTTCACAGAAGATACTATGGCCAAGAATGAAGATGTCCTGGATTCGAAGGAATTTAGACAGCATTCATCATTGTGCTTGCGTGGGAACCTTTATTTTCATGGCTTGATTCCTACCACTGTTGGGTAATGGCTTGAAACTGATGGCTTTAAATTATTGCGGAGGAACAAGCACAAGATACACTATATCCACAAAGTAAAAAGGATAATTCAAAATAAATAAGAAAAGGGAGAAGATTGCGACAACGAGTTTAACGTGGTACAAAGAGATTAATACACATCACAATCACCAAAATAGGAGGGAGATATTCCACTATGCAAGAGAAAACAAAATATAGAAATGGAGAAGATTATCTTACGACCAAAACTATCAAATATGGCAGAGAGGGAGAAGGGGAGAGAGAGAGAGAGAGAGAGAGGGAGGGAGAAGGTGACAGATAAGCATAGAAACTCAGGAGCAAGTTAATTTGGATGTGGAGTTTGTTTAAGTTCAAACAAAGGAAAAGCCACCCACTGTTTATCCTGCTCAGGGCAAGGGATTCTTTAGGAAGGCTGTCTCCATTTAAGGGCAAAATGCGAACGCTTATAACTTCTGCAAGACAGAACGACTCGGACTCGTACGCTGTAACAAAACCAAGAAGAAGAGGATAAAGGATCATCGTGGACGAGATCACGACGATCGCCTCAAAGGGGACTGTGGAAATGGTCATGACGTGGGAGCGAGGGAGACCGGAGACGGTGGGAGAGGCGGTGGGAGCGGGCGGTGGGAGCGGGCGGCGGGCGCTTCCCAGGGCGTCGCAGTAGCTTGCCACTATGTCGCCCTCGTCGGGTGTGAAACCAAGGGACGTCAGCATGGACGACAACAGCGATGCTCGATGAGGCGTATGGCGTTGCAGCAGCCCGATCCCAGGTTGGTCTCGCCGTTGAGGAAGAAGAGGATGACCTCGCCGGTGCACGCCTGCAGTTCTAGCTGGGAGTTCAAAAATTCTGCCATAGCGTCGGCCTGTAAGCGAACAGCGGCCATGCTAGGCCTCCGATATTGCGAGGACGGCCTGGCAGCATTGACGGCGGCGACGGTGAGCAGGATGGAGCACACCATTAGGAAAGAGAGAGAGTGGCTACGACAAAACGGCATGGAGGTCGGAAGAGGAGCGGTAATGGCGAAGGCTGTGAGGTGAGGGTTACGTGGCCGTGTTGGAGGTGACTCAATTGTCAGATTATAATGGCAGGGGAAGGGGAGAGTCGATCGCCGTTATCGCGGATTCTCAACTTCCTCCCTCATGAACATCCTTCCGTTCAGTTCTCTTGATCTTCCCTGGGCAAGAAAGTGCACATCCAGGTTGGCATTCAATCACGAAGACGAGGTGCCGTCGTAACGTTGAATAGTGATCGAGAAAAGAATTGGATCGAGTGGAAGGCGATGACTGTAGTCAGAATCCGCGAAGATCAATTTTATAGGAAAACTAATATCATAGGAAAATGAGTCAACTTTCTCAAGAGTGAGGAAATAGAAAGAAAAAGAGAAACATGTTCCACACTATGGTGACCTCAACTTATAGAGCTTTATTTGCGCCCACATAATACAATGAGAATGGAAGCTAGTATATCGGGTACTAATAGGTAGCCGTTGAAATGGCCTAAATTAGTCAGTTTTTTACCATTAGAGAACAAGAAAATCAATGAAAATATTCACAGTAAGAAGATAAAGTCAAGAATTAATTTCCCAACCCTCTAAAAATCTTCTAGCTTTTATTCAAACTCTTAATAATGTGAAAACATGACACTTAGTTCTACAACAGTGAATCTTCTAGTTTTTTAAAAACTCTTAATAATGTGAAAACATGACCCTTAGTTCTACAACGGTGAATCTTACAAATACAAAGGTCCAGGTAGAAAAACTTAAACCTATTTTTCTCCAGGCTCAATCCCTACTTTCTAATAATGTTATGTAAGGTTGTAAGGTTAAAGAGTTGTTTTAACCTTTATGCAAGGATTATTTATGATAATACATGATCTAGAAGTGTTTAGAAGCACTTGTGTATTTCTAGAATATTGAATAAGGTAGCGACATAGCAGTTAATCCAAGTTTATGTTCCGTATATTTGTAAATATAAAAAAGGATTAGCTAGGAGCTGATATAACTGACTTCTTGAACGAAGAATCCAGAAGGTGGAAGCATGAAGCTTGTTTTATTAGCCAAACTATCGTCGTAAATCGAAAAAAGGTAAGTTGACAACTTCACTGATTGATCTGTTAAAATTCCGACTCAAATTGTTGAGAGTTGACAGTTGTATCGCATGGCTTACTTTAGTCAGTAGACTCCAGAAGGAACATTTTTAAAAACTGAAATAGGTCAATAATATTGAATTAGTATAAAGTGGGTGGTTTAATGTAGAACAGTTAATTCCTATACATTTGGTAGTTCAATGTCTTGCCGATGAGTGTAGAGTCAAGATTCAACTAATCTTGTTTTGTGAAGATCTCGCCGGATCCCCGGTCCTGCTTATGGTTGACCGACCCGCCTTTCGCCAGCTTCCCGCCGAGGTCCCTCCGCTCCTTCGACAGTAGGTCGCCGTCCTCGGGAGACAGGTAGACGGTAAAGGGTCGGTCGGCCTCACCTAGCACGAAGATGTTTTCCAAGAAGAAGGAGACGCTGGTCCTGGCCGGACCCATGCCCTCAGTGGGGTCCATCTGCCCGGCGAGAACTCTATTTAGGACTACACCGACCCTGGCGGTGCCACGGAGACCCCCAAGACCGAATATTTCGGTTCTGGAGTAGCGGCTGCAGAGAACCGCGTGGGAGCCGTCGGAGTCACCCCGAGGAAGGAGGAGAGAGTGGAGCATCCCGTCCCCATCGAAGAGATGGTGTGGATCGCGGGGATACTGCCTTGGATTGGGGCCATTGTGGATGTAAGCGCCGCCGCGGAGGCACTCGGGGATGCTCCCCTTGACGATGGGACACGGGGTGGGCGGCATCTCGTCAACGGGGACGAAGTTTCCGACCAGCAACAGCGCGGGGTCGACCGACGTATGTAGAGGGTACCGATTGAAGTGCCTGTCGACGGCATTCTCCAGGACATCGCACAGGGACCGGCTCCACTGTTGTCCCTTCGTCTCCTTCGTGCTTGGGACATCGGAAAGGTCGGGAGCCGCGTAGGATTCCTCGGTGAACGAAGGGAGAGAAGAGCACCGGTTTCGACGGAACCCATTCGGTAGTTCCCCAGGGCTCCTTCGGCGGTGGGAGACACCTGGAAGGAAAACCCTTGACAAAGCTGAAGAGCAGCTCTCCATGATTGAGAAATGGCGCAAGCTCTAGACTACGAGAGCATTCTCTTAAATAGGCCGCATCGGGCCTTCACGTCGCTCGAACTTGTGGCATAGCTTCTCCGCCCCCACCATTTGTATGATGTCACAGCATTGATTTACGCACTAAACTCCCATAAGTACAGTTAAAGGGAGAGTAGACTTTCCGACACCGATCTTCCCTTGGCAAAACGGGCACTTCTAGGTTGACTGGGTGTAGAGAAAGAGATGAATTAGTCGCCCTCGCGCACCCATAGTCGCCATCAAGGGATAAATCATGAATAAATAACCTGGTGCTATAATTTCCGGAAAAAGAAAGGTTTCTGCATGTTTTTTTGAGCCATATTGCTTTTAATGGCTGTATCTTTCCGTTCTCGGTAAGAAATCTGGCCTTTCGTACCAAATGCGAGTAGCACTTCACAAAATACTGCAATATTAGGTATAAATTCTTCCATGCGAACTATGTTTTGCCGTCAAATCTGGGTCGAAGGTGAGTAAAGGTTCGTTGTTGACGGCTTTCTACTTTGGGAAAATTCACTGTACGGTCTCATTAGACTCTGACGCGTCGTCCATACTGTCAAATGTTCTGCTTACGTCAATTTGATATGGTGATGACACCTGGAACGGCAGGAGAAGGCTGCTCCTGCACACGTGGAACGTTAACTTGCAGCATTATACGGAGCCATCCGAAGGGCGTCACGTGCGCCTGCCGTTCCCGCTCGTGAGCTCCTCCCCCCCCGTGTGCAACGTTAACTTGCAGCATTATACGGAGCCATCCGAAGGGCGTCACGTGCGCCTGCCGTTCCCGCTCGTGAGCTCCTCCCCGCCCCCCTCCTGTCCGTCGACGGACGGTTTCTGAAACGACCCATTCCCGGTGTCCGTCGATTCAGACCCTCCCCGTACGCGTCAGCAAATCGGCCTACGCTTGGGGGAAGACGATTACCACAGAAATTCAGCAAGCTCTTAGCGACTAATTGTTATATTCATAATATCTCTACCAAAAGCTCGACTTGCAGAAAACTTGAGAACGTAGAGAGCGAAAGAGAGAGAGCCGGTTGGGTGGTGATTAATTAGACTGCCGCGTGGCAAACTCGGGGCCGATACTTCTCTTGGGCTTGACTATGGGGCATAAGTTTGGCAGGCCCGGCCCGTCCAGGCTCGAGGTTACAGAGCCCATCGGCCCAAGGCACCATTTTTCAGTCGGGCAGCGTCTTTGCCGGGGGCGACGTGGTCCGAAGAGCGTCGCACACGTTTAACTAGTGGCCCTCGTTGACTGTATACGAAGATCCGACTTTTCGCCAATCCATCTTTTCGCGCCAGTTTAAAGCTATCTTGTCTTCTCTGCCAGCTGTCCTGTTTCTTCGCACTCCAGAAGCTTCTTCGAGATCTTGAATCTTTAATAAATTAATAAATATTTGTAATTCCTATTTCTTAATTATATTTCAGTAAACACTCGAAATGTTATTTCTATTTATATGCACATTTATTTACTATTTCCTGGCAGCCGCATTCTAGTTAGATACCAACTTTTAGAGCTGCCTTTAGAAATTAATCAACACCCGTTCTAAGTTAGGTCGTATCAACGTTATCTAAAAGAAAAGGATCGAATAACGTTTTGACTCGAATAACTTGGACCTTATTTTCACCCAGTTCCTATTTCTTAATCATCTCTCTCTCCAAAAGTCAATGGATGCTCAAAGTCAACTATGTTGCTTTGTTCTAAGCGTTTCTCTCGGGTCAAAATCGGGTGGACACAAAAACCCTGGATCAAGACAGCTGTCGCCGGAAATGGGTGGGTTTAGAAACCCAAGAGGCGCAGCTTCTCGAAGAGCTTTGCCATCTACTAAGAGCGAGAAGACCCACGAGAGAGAGAGAGAGAGGGAGAGTGGCGTGAATGCATGCAGAACAGGATCTTCCTCGCTCACTCCGCAAACCGTCGTCTTGAGGGGGTTGGGTGACTGTGCACGTCTTCGTCCCTTACCTCTGCGCTGCCAGACCTCCCCGTTTCGGCTGCAATGGAAAGGAGGAGGAAGGCGGGGGTAGCGGCGATGACGGGTGGGACGCGCCTCTGCGTCTGGCTGGACAGCACAAAAGACCAAGGAGGACCCACTTTCCTCTCTCTCTCTCTCTCTCGTCCGGTCAGGCACCACCAGTCGGGGCCTCGTCCATCCCCAATAAAAGAAGACACACGCGTCTAGATTGCCCAAATCTCTCCAGCTCCAGTGTCTTTGCCGCGTCTGTTCCTCAGTACAGACGCGACGCGCTGAAAGTGTACCCGACTCTCTCTCTCTCTCTCTCTCTCTCTCTCTCTCTCTCTCTCTCTATCTCTCTCTTTCTCGCTAGCTATCTATCTATCTCTTTCTTCCGGGTCTCCATCGATATCCGTCCCAGTATTCTCCAGCGTCCTCTTGCAAGCTGTCGTTGCCGTTACCCAGCTCTTACGGCGGGCAATCCTTTTGTCGCGACAAGTAACGAGCCTCTGGTTTTTGGTGGAGGAGAAAGACGCATTTATTTTTTCCTCGGCGTTCTTCAGCGTCTTGTTTTTCTTTCGGTTTCCCCTAGCGCAAGCAGCGGTGCGGCTCAATGTCCGGTGCGTTCTCCGGTGGTGTTGCCCCCGAAGGAGGGGAGAGGGTGAGGGCGAGCTCCAGGGAGTGGCATTCCCTCCCGGCGGGTGGAGCTGCCATAGCCACGGGTGGGCGGCTGGTGGCGGGCTCCCACAACAGGAACGAGTTTATATTGATCAATTCCGATGATCTAGGCCAGGTAGCAGCCCCTGCGATCTCTTCTCTTCCACTCCATATACTCGCATTTCCCTCTCTTACTCTGTTCTGGGCATAAAGTATACCATCGGGTTGTGGAGGTGTGACAGGGGGATTCTGGGCTCCGTCCTGTCCTCGCCATGGAAGAGCTATTTGTCAGATTAATTTTCGAATTCTTCCAACCACGTCTGCTCCTCCTCATCGGCGCCACTGCTGAACACTGCTACCCACAGCGGCTTAATCCTCTTAGTTCTCATCTTTGATTCGGCGATCACATAGCATCAGCCGATTTTAGGGTTCTTGTTCATAGTGGAGGACAAGAAACGTGATTCTTTGTGCACAGTGGAGGAAGATACAGGGATGGAAACACATCTCCCTCTCCCTCCCTTCATTGCGTTTTGGATCCTGTTAACTGATCGTCTTTTTGTGCTCCAGCCGAAGCCTCTGCAGGAGTTGAGCGGCCAGACCTGCCATATATGCGGCGATGAGATAGAGATTGGGAGCGACGGGGAGCCCTTCGTTGCCTGCAACGAGTGCGCCTTCCCTGTCTGTAGACCGTGCTATGAGTACGAGAGGAGGGAGGGAAACCAGGTCTGCCCGCAGTGCAGAACCAGATATAAGCGCCACAAAGGTAGATTTCTTTGTCCTCCGTAGGAATGGTCCCCCAGTGAGCGAGAGAACTGAAGCCTAATTTCCAAATTATGTGTCTATTCCTCCTAAATCACACGGGTTTTCTTGCTGGATGCTCTCCAGGTAGCCCTAGAGTAGAGGGGGACGAGGAAGAAGACGGCGCCGATGATCTGGATAATGAGTTCAATGTCAATGGAGACGGGCGGGAGATGCTCCAGTTCAAACTATGGACGGAAGGTCATCACCGAGAGACAGAGGACGCGAGCTTGGATCGGGATGCGGCTCCTTGTGGAAGCATACCGCTGCTCACCTACTATGAAGGGGTAATCCATGTAGAATCTTGGAATATGATATTGGTTCCTTAGGCGATTCTTCATCTTCGTCATCATAGTTCCTTCTCTCCCTCTCTCCCTCTCTCTCCTGCTAGGACGCAATCCCTTTGTCTAACAGCCGCGCTCTCATTACCCCTTCGTTCATGGAGAGCAGACGTCAGCTCTTCCCCCCCTCTTCGCCCGATTCCTCTCTCTCCTGTGAGTAATGTGGCTTGAATGCTTTCTTCTATAATCCTGATACCTACATTTATTTTCTGGTGACTGTAATATTGTTTCTTGAGCAGGCCGACCTAGGACAATGGACCCAGATAAAGATATCGGAGCATATGGCTATGGCAGTGTCGCCTGGAAGGATCGAATGGAGAAGTGGAGAATCAGCAAGCAGGATAAGCTTCAAATCGTCAAGATGGACGGAAGAAATCCAGACGGAGATGAACCAGATGATTCTGATCTTCCCGTGTAAGCTGCCCACCATCAATTCCCTCTCCTCTCCAACCTCGTGGTTTGCATGGCTGTTGACGAGTCTTCCCCTTCGCTACTTCAGAACGGACGAAGGTAGGCAGCCGCTGTGGAGGAAACTGTCGATTCCATCCCGGAAGATAAGCCCGTACAGGCTAATTATCGTGCTGCGGCTCGTGATCTTGGGCTTCTTCTTCCACTACAGGCTGATGCATCCAGTCTCAGATGCCTATGGACTGTGGTTGACGTCAGTTATTTGCGAAATATGGTTCGCAATCTCATGGATTTTGGATCAGTTTCCAAAATGGCAGCCGATAGAGAGGGAAACCTACCTGGATCGTCTGTCTCTGAGGTATAGAAGACTAAACCAAAAGTCAAACAGTATCTGCTTAGGGATTCTTCCTTAGGGTCTGAACTTGTGATCTTCTCTTATGCCCGCCTTCCCCAGGTATGAGAAAGAAGGTAAAGCTTCCGGTCTGGCTGGCATCGATGTCTTTGTGAGCACGGTCGATCCTCTGAAGGAGCCTCCTCTCATCACCGCCAACACAGTCTTGTCAATCCTCGCGGTTGACTATCCAGCAGACAAAGTTTCTTGCTATGTCTCCGATGATGGAGCCGCCATGCTCACCTTCGAGGCGCTCTCTGAAACCTCTGAGTTTGCGAGAAAATGGGTCCCATTCTGCAGGAAATTCTCCATCGAGCCTCGGGCCCCCGAGTGGTACTTTGCCCAGAAGATTGACTATCTTAGAGATAAAGTTCATCCCGAGTTCGTGAGGGAACGCCGTGCAATGAAGGTCAATATATGTAAATATATGCGCATATCTTTCTAATGAGTGACTGCTTGATAGTTTACGATGATTATTGGCTCTAAAGCATGGATCTAACTTTGGAAATGCAGAGGGAGTATGAAGAATTCAAAGTCCGCATCAATGCGTTGGTTGCCAGGTCGCAGAAGGTGCCAGAAGAAGGGTGGACCATGCAGGACGGAACTCCGTGGCCTGGGAACAGTGTCCGTGATCATCCGGGAATGATCCAGGTGGGCTGCCGTCATGCTTTCAGAATCTGTTCATCCTCTCGATTCTGTGCCCGCGGGTGCCTTCGGGAGAGAAAAGAACTTTTTCTGTGAATTTCTGTGCGATATTGCTCGCCTCAAATGAGAGCTTATCGTCTTGGTTTGCTCTTTTGATCTTGAAAACTTAACCTCTTAATGCGCTAAACAGGTTTTCCTGGGTCGTGATGGTGCCTGTGACATGGACAGTGACAAGCTTCCATCTTTGATCTATGTTTCTCGCGAGAAACGACCAGGCTTTGATCATCACAAAAAGGCTGGCGCCATGAACGCTCTGGTACGACTCTCTCTCTCTCTCTCGCTGCTTGCACGCATGTGTGTGTGAATGTGATGCGGAGTTTCTTCGAGTGATATCAGGTGCGTGTGTCAGCTGTCCTCTCCAACTCTCCTTACATCCTGAACGTCGACTGCGACCACTATATCAATAACAGCAAGGCGCTCAGGGAAGCCATGTGTTTCATGATGGATCCTATTTCGGGGAGCAAAATCTGCTACGTCCAGTTTCCTCAAAGATTCGAGGGGATTGACCTGCACGACAGATACTCGAATCGCAACGTCGTGTTCTTCGATGTGCGTGATAAATATCAAGTAGTCCAGCTTCATTCGCTTTGGTGTCGTCACATCTCGGCTCTTGGTTCTGACTATTGTCCTTGTGATTAAACAGATTAATATGAAGGGTCTCGATGGGATCCAAGGGCCGATATACGTGGGGACGGGGTGCGTCTTCCGGCGTCGGGCTTTGTATGGGTGCGATGCTCCCGTGAAGAAGAAGGCCCCCGGCAAGACCTGCAACTGCTGGCCCAAGTGGTGCTGCCTGTGCTGCGGGCTTAGGAGCAAGAAGAGGAGGAGAAATCTGCGCCAGAAGTTCTCCAAGCTCAAGGACTCCTCAAAGCAGGTCCATGCCCTCGAGGCCATCGAAGAGGGGGATGAAGCCAGTGAGTTGCCTCGTCTCCTAGTCTCCGAGTTTCCCGCCATTTTCAGCAATCTTTCTAACTACTGTCGGTCGTCATCCTCAGCACCTGAGAAGAAACTCGAGAAGAGATTTGGGCAGTCCCCCGTCTTTGTGGCTTCCACTCTATGCGAGGAAGGTGGGATCGTCCAGAGCACGGATTCGGCTTCGTTCTTGAATGAAGCGCTGCATGTGATCAGCTGCGGCTACGAAGATAAGACCGAGTGGGGAAAGGAGGTATGTTTAGATGCCATCAACGTGTGATTTAATTGTTGGGTTCGACGGGATTCTGGTGATGAATCTTCTCTGTCTCCTCCGGGTTTCTTCAGGTGGGTTGGATATATGGGTCGGTGACAGAGGACATCTTGACGGGCTTCAAGATGCACTGCCATGGCTGGCGATCAGTTTACTGCATGCCCAAGAGGCCGGCATTCAAAGGGTCGGCGCCGATCAATCTCTCGGACCGGCTCCACCAGGTTCTCCGATGGGCTCTCGGGTCTGTGGAGATTTTCTTGAGCAGACACTGCCCGATTTGGTACGGCTACGGCTGCGGGCTGAAGCCGTTGGAGCGGTTCTCCTACATAAACTCGGTTATATATCCCTGGACGTCCATTCCCTTGGTTATCTACTGCACCTTGCCGGCGTTTTGCCTCCTCACCGGAAAATTCATCATCCCGGAGGTACAGAAACTCTTATCTTTTTCTCTGGTTATCTCATCGAACTGTGGACTCTTTTACAGAGCCGATTTTCTCCTACATCGGGTCGGTGCCTTATAATCGTTCTGAGATCCCGTCTTCTTTCTCGCAGATCAGCAATTATGCGAGCATCGTCTTCATGTGTCTCTTCCTCTCCATAGCTGCGACCGGTATCCTCGAAATGCAGTGGGGAGGGGTCAACATAGACGACTGGTGGAGGAACGAGCAGTTCTGGGTGATCGGGGGTGTCTCCTCGCACCTCTTCGCGCTCTTCCAGGGCCTCCTGAAAGTCCTCGGCGGAGTCGAGACGAACTTCACGGTCACATCGAAAGGCGGAGACGACGGCGGGTTCTCGGAGCTCTATCTCTTCAAGTGGACCTCGCTGTTGATCCCGCCCACAACGCTGCTCATAGTTAACCTAATCGGGGTGGCGGCTGGTGTCGCGAATGCCATCAACAACGGCTACGAGTCTTGGGGTCCGCTGTTCGGTAAGCTCTTTTTTGCCTTCTGGGTCATCGTCCACCTCTACCCGTTCCTCAAGGGGATGATGGGGAGGCAGGACCGAGCCCCCACCATCGTCGTCGTGTGGTCGATTATCCTGGCTTCCCTCTGCTCTCTTCTATGGGTACGAGTCAACCCGTTCCTCCCGAAATCAGAGGGACCGGTTTTGGAGATCTGTGGTTTGGATTGCGACTGAAGAAGATCCGGAGCTCCCGAATTTCTTCAGAGCTCGAGCAAGTATTTGCGTACAGCTGAACATGTTCCCCTTATCAGATGTGCGTGGATTCATTCGATTGTAGAATGGGGCCACCAGAAACGGGGGGAAAGGAAAAAAACACAGACCAATGTACATATTATGTATAGATTAACGTCAGTGGCTGACGAACTGATATAAACTTGTTATTGATTCTACTGGTTTCTCTCCCCTTATCTTTCGTTCATCAAGGGGCTGTCTTCGAGAGGGTTGGTTCTTAACGCTGATTATTCAGGAATCAACACAAGAATTAAACAATAAATAATAAAAAGAATTACGTCGAGAGAATCTTTGCTAATTCAGGTTTGAAGGCCCTCTTCGAGGATTCAAGCACGTTTCTGCCTCCTAGGTTTCTTATGTTCTTTCTTTATCATCTTTCTTAGGACCTGCTCCTGCTGCATTTACAGCAGCAACGCCTGGTTTCCTTCCCTAACGTGGAGGTTTTGCATGGTTTGAGCAGATGGGTACGTGGCTATTTTTGGAACTTTAGCATGGTGCTACTGAGTGCTTGGTATCGAAGCTTTCTGCCGTCCCCGGAGCATATCTTCAAGAAACGAGACAGTTAATCGCCGTAAAATGCGTTACATTTTACAAAAAAGAAGTCATTTCCCTTTGTTTGAGTATCATACAGCGGAATGGAAGAGTTGAAACTAACAAATAAAGAAACTTCCATAGATTGCCCGTCCCTCCAGGCGGCGTCAAATTCATTGGACGAGACCATTCTAGGAGAGAGAAAGTCTTTTCGAGGTCAACGAGTTGCAAGAAATCTCAACGGGTCGCCTGGGCCGAGACCTCTCCGAATCGAGTTCGACAACGGATGGGCTTTACAAGCCCAAATCTAAGAAAACATGTCAAGAAATCGGGTTTTGGGCCAAACCCACCCTGGCCCAGATAATGTCCGTTCACACCCGGAAGAAAGAGATAGGAGAGAGAGAGAGAGAGAGAGAGAGAGAGAGAGAGAGTTGGGGAGGGCAGTTAGGAAAATGGGTTTTAGAGTCTAATGGACTGGACCATACATGATTGGAACCCAGAGCCAGTTATTAGGCATGGTCCTCTTTGATGACATGGTTTTGAGGTCTACCAAATCGGGAAGAACAAAGTGTTAAGATCCCCTAGCCCAGCCCATCGACGTTCGCATCGATTGTCATGCAAGATATCATTTTCTGATTTAATAACAAGCAAATACTGAGATAATATCAGATAAAAAATGGAAATAATTGACGTAAGAATATACAGTGTTGTATAAGAACAGTTTTAATCAAATATCGAGCCGAGATTGAATTTTCTACACGTTGATAGTGACGGAAGGATTCTCATCGACAGCAGCACGAATCCACGTGTGATTCTGGCGCAGATCGCAGAAAAGAGCAATCTTCTCTCGCAGGAATGGGGGAGGGCGTAGGAGATTGAACCAGAGAGAAACTGGGACAGAGAGAGAAAGAGAGAGAGAGAGAGAGAGAGGAGGACGAAGCGCGCGATCGGAACGCTAAGCTAAGCGGAACTTCTAAAGAAATTCGATATCTTGATTGCGTACGTGGAAAAGGGGGGCAGATTGTTCATTCTACCGGACTCCCCATCTGCCACTGCTTCCTCTTCTTGGGTTCGCCGTGAGGCCCGACAGGCTTGGTGACCTTGTAGATGTGGGCGAGAGACCGGAACTTCCGTTTCTTCGTGCCGATTGTCTTGTCGGCGTCGTCACCGTCGTTGTCTCCATCTCCGCCGAAGTCCCCCACTCCTATAGCCCCCGCCATCCCCTTATCTTCCTCGCCCTCTACCTGGACGACCGCCGGGGCAAGGCCCCTCATGGCTCCGTTCGCGCCGCGTCGATCTCTCTCCTCCTCGTCGCCACCGAGATGAACGAGCCGCTTCGCCGCCGCCACCTCCGGCTGGGTCAACCCCGCCGGCGTTCCCCCCTTCTGACATGTCCGCATGGAGGGGAATACGTACGCACCCACAGATCACTGGGAAGAGGAGAAGCCCCCCCTAGAATCGAGGATTGCTCTCTTCTGCTTCTCCTTCTTCTGCTTCTCCTTCTTCTTCTTTTTCCTGTTCCCGTATGGATTATTGGTGATCCTGTCCAGCCTCCTGCTGTAACGCGTTGGTCTCGACGGTTTTGATTGAGGACGATGGGAGGGAAGGGACGACCTGCGGAGGATTATCAATTCGTTATTATGGCGATGGACGCGTTCTCAGGACGCCTAGGTGATGACGAAGAGAAAGCCCAACTCCGAGGCGACGGGAGAGAGAGAGAGAGAGAGAGAGAGAGACGTGCTTATGAAGGGATCCATAAAATATTTCTAGAAGAGAGAAAGACAGAGATTGAGAGGAGGTCCCTCTTCGTAGCGGGTACGGTCCGGATTGGGATCCCCGAATTCTCCCCCCCCCGGGCTGACGTCTGCCCCTGGACCCGTATTCTATCTTCGTCGCCTTGCCGCCGAACTCGGAACGCTAGTTGAAGTTTCCGACATTCGCCGAGTCAAAAGACCAAATCAGGACGAAACTAGCAAGTCAAGGACGTGGTCAACGTCGTATCCTCCCGCCATCTTACCCTCTCGTCCAGCTAATACAGCGGAAAGTAGCGTAACCGTACAAAATATAGCCCACATCTCAGGCTCAACGCACGACTCTCTCTCTAAATACTCTAAATGGAGAAAGAGAGGGCCGAGCTTTTTCAGGGCCCAGCCCGTAGCCCTTCACCCGTGAGGGCGCCAGAGTCTGCAAAAGACGCCGCCAAAATTCGGGCCGGGTTCTGCTGCACGGCCCGAACCCGTTTCATCAGCCCACCGTACCAGAAATGGAAAAAAAATGAGAACTTGTGGGTCATTCAAGGTGTCTGTGGGGGGTCAGAGAGGAAAAGAAATCTCCGGAGGAATGAATCTTGGCATCTCTACTACCTGCCCACCACGAGAAAACCACTCTCCCGGGGAGGCGTCAACTCAATGCTCCAGGTGGAAGACGAACTCGGTCAGCCGCTGTAGCTTGCTCGGGTCAACCTTCTGCTTAGAGACCATTGACTCCCTCCTGACGGTCAACATCCCCGTGACAGGATCCAAGGCCCATCCATGGCGCACAGCGTCTGCAGATTTAGACCAAAAATGGAAAGCTTCCTGATGACCAGAGAAGTAGAAAAAAAAAAGAGAGATTTGAGAAATTTAGCGGGCGAGAAAGCATCAATCCTCGTCCCATTCTATGATGTTCTTCAGGTAGTCACCGTAGTATGAGGGATCTACTCACAGTCTACGGCCGCCTCCTCACTCATTCCCATGAACTGGGCTGTGTCGGCAGTAGTGATCGTCGAGTACGCAGATAGCAGCAGCTGGAACATCCTCTGTTGGTAGATCTCTGCAGTTCCATCGCACCCAGACCATTACATTGCGGTCATTTATTCACCGATATATATATATATATATATATATATATATATATATATGCACAGCATCATACTCATCTCCTGCCAGACGTAGCATCACATGACAAAGTAAATCCGAATATACCCCAAGGATCATGGTATGATAAAATGTCCAAAGCAGGCAAGGAAGCGATCAAGAACCGCTGCAGGGGTTCCACTGATTTTCATAATCGAGATATGCACCTCGATTCCTCCAACATATTGGGCAGGAAGGAGAAGATATAATTAATATATACCTTCTGACCCTACACAACGAGGATGATCTTTCCACAATGCAAATAGCTATACCTGAAGATATCAGACAGATGAAGAACAAACCCACAAGCTTGTTCTGCTTTAACCATATCAAGAGAAAAAATTAGGCAGAGATATCCAAAAATTAATTTATTGTCTTTGCAGCACATGCCAAAAAATTGTACCAAATTAGGGATTTTTGTATGAGATCCAAGTGTCATTCAGCTTAGTTTCGCAGGTCCTGTCACCTGCATTGTTTCAGGCTTCCCATGTCCTTCACTAGGTTAATCGTTTCTGATCCAAGAAGGGCCTTTTTTCTGCTCTCCATTCCTTCCGAGGGTCAACTGAATCATACGATAGATGTCCCCCAGTCATGACCTAACTATTTATTAAGTGATTAATTAATAGTTATCCATAATCAGGTAGATTTTTTCCACCCTGAAGCACCAAGTTACAGTCGAAAACTGGAAAAATCTCACAATTTTTCTTTGATCATTCTATCATAAAGACCCACTTGCGAATTACTTCTAAAAAGGATGTTCTATTTTGCCCCTCATATCAAGCTAGAAAGGTAATAAGGGCAATAGACCAGCTGACTATATAAGAGAAAGCGAAACAAACATACTGTAATCAAGATCCATGATATGTCATGCAAACTAGCCACAAAAAAAATGGTTATCTCAGTATAATCAATGGTTAGGAAACTTTTTGCTCTGCATTTATGTTCTTCCTCCGTTATAACCCTTCTGATAAGCAATTTTTTAGTGACATCCATTGAAACTGATATAGTTTAGCTAGTCAGCTGAATCAGCAAATTCCAAGAAAATCTCAGAGGCGCACCACAGGAAATAGTAAAAAATATGCTAATAATTAATCATTATATAATTCATAGACTTCCCAACTGAAAACGAGTTGCGAATTCTGCATAATCAACAGTCAGAAAAAGAATAGGTGAAGACAGCAGGAAGAAGGAAGATGAACATGAAACCCATCAGCATTCGACTTCAAAGAACTACGACGAGAGAAAGACGTTTTAAAAAACATTAGAAAGAAGAAAGTAAAACCAGCGTTCTCTTGCCTGAGAAAGCCATTACGAAGTCCAGAATTTCAGGGCTCCAACGAAAGTCACGAATGGCGCCATAAACCCCAGCACGATCCCTGGTCCACAGGCACTGCCCTATTTTCCAGACCGCCATAATCTCTGGATTTCTCTCTTTAACTCCGGGCGGCAGCGATTTCCACAGGAACCTGGCGCTATTTCTGCCGAAAAAATACACAGTAAAAGAGACGAAAAACACGGATTCAGACACTGTCCACCGAGAGAGAGGAATTAGAATGCAAAACTCACAGGTCGTTCACGTAAATATGCCCGAGAAGATGGACGGCACAAGGCCATTCCTCCAGGAACTCCACTCCTCGGCTAGAGGCGATCTGAAGGGGAAGAGGAAAGGAAGAGTCCAACTCAGAGATCAAGAACGACGGGAAGAGATTCCAAGCAAAGAGGCAGGAGGTGGGGGAGGAGAGGATTTAGGGCACCTGCCTGGAGCATAAGATCGTCGCAGATGTCGGCGATCCTGTCGTAGGACTTGGAGGCCATAGCCTCTCGGAGTTGGGAGAGATCCATCAGGGACGGGACGAGGAAGCCGAGCCCTCTCCGAGCTTCGCCCTCGTCTCTCCCGCTCGCTTTCTCGGTATCAGCCGACCGAAGCCTCTCGGAGTCTGAAAGCCTGCGGTTTACAGGTGTTCGTGGACGGTATGGGCCCAATCCATAATGGGCCTGAAGACGCCTCAAGCTCACATCCCAGCCCATTTCGAAGCACATCTTTTAGCTCAGTTTTTTAATCAATATTTTATCCTTGTATATTTTTAATACATATGAAAAAATGTAAACACAATATTAAGTTATTTAAAGGTATAAAAATATTTTTTTCTAGGGGAAAGTATATAAAGTAAGCAAATTAATATCTTTATCAAATTAACAAAACGAGGTTAATATTTTAACATTTTCGATGTTAATATGTTGAAAATTCTTCAGTCCTATCAATTTTATATTAGATCTTCCTCAAATACCCACGACGGAACATTTTTGCTACGAATTATGCAAATTAATATTTAAGAATAATGCGCTGGGCTCATAAATTAAGGGCGTATTTAAGGCACGTGTGGTGGAATTTGCAAAAGATGCAAGTTTAGGTGCAAAAAAATAAATTATTTATTGATATGAAATGTTAGTTGAATATTTCAAATAAATAACTCTTATATATATATATATATATGATTGTCATATCTTAGATCAACGGGATTCCCCTAGAAAGAAGGTTATGTTCTTTGTCGGTGCAAAGACAACCAGAGGGTGAACGGCAGAATTAATACACTGGTCAAGTCTCTACGAAGAATCACACATGGTGCTATAAGGCCTATGCCAACTTAATCGGTAATCGAAGATTGTGAGAGAGAATTGGGTATATGGCCATGCAAATTACAAGGAATTGAAACGTTTTATTGCTTTTAATGGACGCACCTAATATTTCATTTATATTTGATGTGATACCTCTGTAAAAGATATGATGGTGCTAGTTTTTTTAAAAAGGCATCACAGACCATCGAGATAACAAAAAAAAAAAAAAAAAAAGAGGATCGTGTGTGTTCAAAACATGGTGACAATGATGCTTTACCTCAATCACTTGACCATATTTCTTAGATCTTTAAGCGCATTAAATTCGATAATAAAATATATCAAAAAACTTTCTTCTGCCAGGACTCAATTTTTGGAAACGAGGAGATGAATGGGGCAGGAAGATTTCCGAAGAGTGCTTGCCAGAAACATTGTAAAAAATGACCAAGTTGAACTGTAATCGGTATATTTCAGTAGTAAAAATACCAAGCTCAATGAAGAACAGAAGAAATCATGACGTCGTATTTCTACGGAATGCTTAACAGTGTGAGAATTATAGGAAAATAGTCAGTTACATAGCATTCTTTAACGACCTGGTTGCTCGAAAAGTGTCACAGGCCATCGGATGAAGCACCTTAGAACGGCGAAGCATATGAAATCCGTTCTATCTTAGAGAACTCAAATGTCTTACATCCGAGATACCTTTTCATATGCATCGAAATTTCCAGACAGCAAGCAATCAATCCTTGCATACTTATATGGAAATAGGGAGGAAGTAAAAATTATCGGAACTACGAAAATTGGAGAATTTATTACCTAATAATCGTTCCATTAATTATGTCCAATGCATGAATTCGGGGGGTGGTTTGATTTCCCCTGGGGAAACCTTAGGTAACTGTCCGCAAGCTTTTGGGACATGTCAAGGTCAGGAACGACTCCCACATAGAAAAACTACATGCTACTAATACTGCTGAAGATCGTCCACTTCCCCTTTCTCCCCCACAAGTGAACTTTCTCAGATCTAAAAACCACGATCTGGCCGTCCTAAAGGAATCATCCGATGAAGGTGCAGATGGAAAGAAGAAGAGCAGATCGATAAAAACACAAGGTACACAAGGTAATGACAGAGAAGGGAAGACGATATCAGGCATGAAGAATACTGAAAGAGAAGTCAGAAATCTCGTGTGGAATGCTCCGCTCATGGCATCAGTGATGCTGCGTTCGCACAAGATCTTCATCATCCACACACAGAAAACAGAAAGCAGAAAAAGAGAAACAATCTGTTACATAGCGGATCAAAACCCCCTCCCCCCAGAGGGGTGGATCCTTTCAACCAACCCCCCGCCATGGAAGTCCGTCTTCTCCGACGAAAGAAGCCGACGGTGGTAAGAACTCCACTCCTCTCTCGTATTTATATATCCCTCGACCCGGCGCTCGTTAGCCCTAGAAGCGTAGAAAGCCACCAGCATCGAAAACCATGCCAACGGGCCAGGCCCGGTCCATCGATCCGGCCCGGAGGTATTTTACTCAGCCCGACCAAACCCCGAGAAGCTTCCAGTTGGATTACCTCCAAACTCTGGCCCATATTAAATAATTAGTTTCTTATTTTTATTTTATGCATTTTAAAAAATTTAAAGTCCAGACCGGGCCAACTCGGAAACGGGCTGGTTTGGATAATACGGGCCCGGCCGTAGGCCCGGAAGAAAGCCCGTGCCTTATCCGAACCAGTGGCTCCCGCTTGGGTGAGGAACAAAGGCCGCGAGGGGGCGATGGGGCATCAGGCCGTCCATTCAATGGACTCTCTCCTATCTTGGTCCACCGGCCTGCGCATCCCCCTCTGCCGCCGCAGCGGCAGCGGCGCCGCCGGTCGCCGCACCCTCGTCGATCTCCGGCAGTTCCAGCGCTGCTTCGTCACCAGCGGCCCCGGCCAGCCGGAGACGGCGGGCTCCGGTGGTGGCTCGTTCGACTCAGCCGCGTTTGAGGCGGAGAGGAATCGGCTCGACTCGGAGGCGCGCCAGTCGATGGCTCGGCTGGCCGGGAGCTCCCTTGCCGCAGCGGCAGAGGGAGAGGATCCGAAGGCGTGGAAATGGAGGATACGGAAGAGGATTTGGGATCTGATGGAGGCGGAAGGGATCGCCCAGAATCCTCGGCCGGTTCACCACCGGATCCCTAATTTCGTCGGCGCCAACACCGCCGCCGACGCGGTAGCTCTCTCTTCAATCTTTCTTCTGACTTTTGAGGACCCTCGATCATTCCATAGATCCCATCGCTCGACCCCTCTTTTAATTAGTGTTATTTCCAGCCTGATGATTTCCTCGTCACCCGACAGAAATCGGATGATTCCCATTGGCTGTTATGGTTCAACGCATTTTGACTCTCTACCGATGATGCCGTTAGAATTATGGATTTTGCACGTAGTTGACTCTGTGAGGAGACTGAAATGGCGGTGACAATGTGGAATTTTGACTTTCTACCGATGACCCGTTAGAATTAATGGATTTTCTACTGATGATGCGGTTAGAATTAATGGATTTTCCACGTTGAATTCTGTCCTGAGACTGAAATGGCGGTGATAATGTGGTATTCAAGCTAGGTGGATTGGATGCGTTCCAGAAGGCGCAGTGTGTGAAGGTCAACCCTGATTCCCCGCAGAAGATGATCCGCCTCCTTACCCTAGCAGGTATTAATCAGACACAGGTCTCAGTTCTCTCGATCGATTTTCACGGATTTCTGTTTGACTTTGAGAACCCTCATATTCGCATACGCCTGGAAATTTTCCATGATCTAGATCATCTCCAAAGTCAGACATACCGAATGATTTAAAAATTATAAAAAGCTGTACATTCACGGGTGAATTTCAATAGAATGAAGGGAAATACATCTCTTCAGATGAATTCGGAGGTGGTTTCTGTGCTTCTGAGCGATTAGATTCTGCTAGAGTCTGGAAAGCAGCTGGCGTTTGACTTCCGATAGCTTCATTGTTGGTTCAGGCGGGAAGACGCTGTTGACTCCGCAGCCGCGTCTTAGGACAGGGTTCTTCTCCGTGCTAGAGTCCCGGATGCTCCCTGCGGGCTCCATCAACGAGGCCTGCACATCCGTCGGCGTCGCCAAGTACGGGAAGCCCATCGGCCTGGACGAGAAGATCAAAGTTGACCTGATAGTCGTCGGCTCGGTTGCCGTTGACCCGAGCACTGGAGCGAGGCTCGGTAAGGGTGAGGTAGATAAACGATCACCACGATCTTGCTTATCCCTAAATGTTTAAAATATCTAGTGCATAGACTTGGCGGTCGTTAAGAGGAAGTCAACGGTTTCTTGGGGTGCAATGCAGGGTTTTGCCGAGCTCGAGTATGGAATGCTGCGGTAGATGGGGGCCGCAGATGACTCCACGTGGATTGTGACATCTGGTAAGATCACGCTCTCTAATAAATCCGGTTTAGCCCCGCGTTGACTTACACGGGGATGAACCAAGTTTTTGTTCTTTGTCTGAACAAGCGTGCTCGGGGTTCCGAAGGTGTTGAAACTGGCTTTTGTTGACTCAGTGCACGACAGGCAGTTAGTGGACGATATCCCGGCGGAGAAGCTTCTGGTCCACGACCTGCCCGTGGACATCATCTGCACTCCCACGCGGGTCATCTTCACCAGGACGGTGATTCCAAAGCCGCAAGGTGAGTCAACCGCCTCCGCCGACACCTTCTCCTCGGAGGGACCGACTCGGTAGTTACCTTGCCCGTTTTGTCAGGTATATACTGGGAGAAGCTCTCCCCGGAGAAGCTGGCCCAGATCCGAATACTCAAGGAACTGAAGCGGCGCGTAGAGAGAGAGAGTGGTCGTCTCCTTCCTTCCGGGCCTTCCGAGAAGCTTCCCCCCACCGCCCAGCGGCGGCGCAGGTGACCCGCCTCCTCCCACCGAACAAGATGTCACTTCTGTGTTGAGAGAGAGAGAGAGAGAGAGAGAGAGAGAGAGGATCTTCATCATCAGCGGCGATCGAATTGTTCGAATACTGGGCGTGATGATGATTGACTTCCTCGGCATTGCGTGCGTGTCCACTCATGCCACCTCGTTCACACCCCCGTTGACCCAACGCTGTAATGTCATCTGAGTCGGGCTCCCATTGGGGGTCCTCCCAAGAGTAGAAGATGTAAATGTTTCATCCGCCATCTCCCTTGCCGATTTGTGGATCCATAAAGGGCTTCTGGCATTCCACAATGGGTCAACCAATCCGAATCGAGATCTACTTACCCAATGGATCGATCCCCTAAGCTCGGGTGCGGGTCAAATTGACCTGTTTATGGGGACTCAACTACGGTGATCGGTTGGGTCAATGATTGCCTCAAGGCGGTCTGGTCCCTGCCCGGGTCGTCGATGTAAGATCCTGAGATCGGATTGCACGTGTCCCACGTCGGAGACGCCAAGTAGATTCGTCCCGGCATATCACATCCTCAGTAGTCGTCGTACGGCGGTCGTCACGACGTCGGTTTTAAGGATTGTCCCGTCCTTTGCGGCGTTCAAATCTTGGGAAAAGTCAATGGTACGGCGTACGGAAGACTATTAAGGTCTTCATTGGCGAATCAGCTCACGCCATCTGTAAGAGCCATTTTTGGCTATCTAACTCTCCACGCGGATGTATGTTCCGACATACAAGAGACGGCCTCGATGACGGCGACACTACTGACGGAGCTGATGGGACTAATCACGTGGCAAAACTTACCGAAATGATGACCCGGACTATATCATGGGGAGGAGCACCACGTTGACTTTGATGAGCAGGTCGTGTTGCCGTACACAACTCGGTTTCTTAGCGACCTGGATGTATGATGTTTCCACGAAGTTTCCTCGTTGACCCCACAACGAAAAAAATGAGACCCAGTGCATCCGAAAATAAGCAGAGGAGAGCGATCTCACCAAACTGTACTTCTGCTTCCTCGTTCGACCGAGTTGACTCGGGCAATAGGGCCATATCTCTGAAGACAACCTCCCTTTCCGTCATGGTCAGAAACCTTGACCGGGTGTTGAGGCCATCTAGTTCGTCCCCCGTTGGCCCACCACCCTCTTCGCCGACTTTGGCAGAAACGAAGCATTGAACCGATTGCTCGATCTGGCCACAGTCGAACTATGACGAGAAGAACCGTCCTACAATGGATCGATCATGGCCGTCCATTAGTCCTCCTGGATCTCTCATCCGGGATCAAGAGTTTCTCAACGCGGACGAATTCGGACACATCCGAGATCATGACGTATGCTTGTTCTCTTCGACTCATGAATCAGAAGAAGAGATGAAATCGTGTGTATGATGAACAAAATGAAGAAGAAACTCTGAAAATTCTATACTAGGTTGAGGGAGGAGGAGGAAAGCCGCCGGGGAGGGAGTCCGGCCCTCCGCCGTCCCCCCGGTGCTCCGGCGGTGTTGTGTAGCCCAGCTGCCGGTGCTGCTGCAGCTGCAACTGCCGAAGCTGCTGCTGCTGCTGCTGCCGCCGCCGCTGATGCTCGGCGTAGAGCAGGGGAAACGAGGAGGACGAAGAGGCCGGCGCAGAGGTGTCCGCCGTGGGAGGCGAAGAACCCAGCGACGGTGAAGGAGAATACAAGATCTGGTCCAGAAGGCTGACGGGCTGTCTCTGGAGATCGCCGGAGCCCTGCAGAATCCTCGAATACTCCAGGTAGTCCCTCATGTCGGTGGCGGGGAACGTGGTGAATGGAAGCGCCGCCGTCTGGGAGGCCGTCGTAACGAGCGCCGCCGGCGTGTTCTGGGGGATTAAGAAACTCCCCGGAGGAACTGGCTCCGGCGGCATCAGGCGGACATTCTCCGGGAAGTTGAGCTTCGCCCTCTTGCCGCGGAAGCGGAGGGCGGCCTCGTCGTAGGCGCGAGCGGCGGCCTCTGCGGTCTCGAAGGTGCCGAGCCAGACGCGGGCGGCCTTGTGCGGGTCCCTTATCTCCGCCGCCCACTTCCCCCACGGCCGCTGCCGGACCCCCCTGTACCTCCTCCCCCCTCGCTCCGCCGCCTGGTACGATGAATGTGATGCCTCAGAGACCGACCTCTCCGACCCCGACGACGACATGCTCAGCATGACGCCCCTGCTCGGTTCCATTTCTGCGGTTGGTTTTAAGAAGAGATGATCACAGAGAAAACGGAATCCCACAGTTTTGCAGAAGAGACGATCTCGAGAGGTCAGGAAACTTCCACGAATGATCGCAGCTTGGAAGTTTATACGGGCTTCTCGCAGTATTACTTCACGAAAGGGAGAGGCTATGAGAGAAGAAGACTTGGCGCATCTCCGATGGTGTGAGCTTTGAGGTCTCTCTAATCCATTGGATTTAAGAGTTGTGCAACGGAATACGATAGGGACCCGCACACGGGCGCAGCAAAAGCCGATTGATTATTAAATGGTTTCGACCTATTCTATTATTTCATGTGGATCTTTGACGCAGAGAGCTCGAAGATTGACGAAGAGAGGGACTGGGTTCGGAAGGAATCCGGAAGAAGGCGGACAGACGGGAAGCTGGATTGGGAAGGGAGCTGATCGAAGCGGAGAGAGAATAGCGAGAATTGGTCGAATTGGCTGGTTCGATTACCTGTCATTTCCGACGACGGCTCCCGCTGGATCCCGCTGAAGCTCTGGGGATAGAACGCGTCACCCGCCGGTGAAAATGCCTCGCTCTCCGTCTTGAAAGCTCCCCCGCCGCCCGGCCAGGAGATGGAAGAGAAGGCAAGGGAAGAGGAAACGGGGGAGCACCCGGAGCCAAACCCGGCACCGCCCACCGCCTCCGTCACACTATCGCCGCCCCCCACCATCTTCTCGCCGGCGACGACGTAGCTCAGCGCCGATACGATGGTCGCCATCTCCTGCCCTCGGCAGAAGCCGGAGAACAGCGGCGTCAACGGCGACTCCGACGACCCCTCCGCCCGCCGATTCCCCCCATCCGGCATCCCCTCCGGCTTCTCCCCAGACGGCTCCGCCGCCCCAGCCGAGAGGCAGCGAAACCCCTCGGAATCTCCCGGTCCTGACATCTCCCCGCATATGTATTCCCCTACCCCCTTCCACGCCGGGACAAGGACCTTCGAATCCTAAGGCCTGCAAATTGATCGTCAAAACTCAACGCCCCATATATAATACGCCGATTATAAGACCAAGAAACCTTCAGCGGCGCCGCCTTATCTAGAGTCTACGACCACACCCTCCCCCAGAAGTAACTAATGTCCGAGGGGATTTACGCTATCAGATCTTCTTTCCTTTTTTAGAAAATAATTTTTTACGCTTCGGCGCACCTGCCATTCACACAGCGCTGACTCGTGTCGCCAGACAGAGATAAATGTGGACGCCAGCGACGGCGGTGGGGGAGGAGGAGAACTCGGATTTGGACTTCTCTCTCTTGCCGACATGGGCTCGCTCGAGGATTCGTGGGGGAGGGGGAACCGGGCTTCAGACATCTCATCTCCCACTGGGCTCGCGCATGAATCCTGGACCTAATCCTCCTCAGCCCATTGGATGACTCAACCGGAGGTAGTAAAGTTGGTCAAAGATGGTCAGCGCCCTCTCGTTCACTGTGGTCGTACATTCTCCTCCCCGTTCCCACAAGGATTATCGTCGCTGGCTTGGCTGCAATCATGGCGTTGCACCATTTCCACGCGACGAGCCCAGTGGCTCCGTTTGATCCTCAGGTGAGCTGCCATTGACCACAGCCAAGGCGCCCCATAACCCGTCGCTCGCTTAGCTGCATACGGTTTGTCTGTACTGAGGAAAACCCGGCATGATTCAGTGGATCCCAACAAGCGAGAGAGAGAGGGAGAGAGGGAGAGCGAGAGAGAGAGAGAGAGACGGCATCTGGTAGTGAGTTTCTGTACGTAATTAAATAATTAAAATGCTCTCGTTGATATATTATATTTGAATATTTCGCAGAAAACAACTCTTTGAATGGCTTGCAAGCCGCTCTGGAAGGCGACTGAGTTTGCATGCCGCCCCAATTTTTGAGGACACGAATTCGCTGACATCCCTCGCCTCGTTGAACAAGTCAGCGCGGTCAGGTTCTATGCTACGTGTTAATGGTTCCTTCCGTGTGAATTTTCGTCGTCTGAAATCGGCTGCAAAAGGGACGGGCTAGCGGTGGTAGATGCCATCAGCTTGGCGTCATCGCTGATTACAAGCGACAGGAGGATTTTAGCGGAGCTGACAAAGCCCCGAGCTGTATCCCGGGCCCACTCGAGAGTGGTCAACACCCTTTATGTCTATCTTTTGAAGAAGATCGGACAACATATCTTTCAACGAAAAACTCAAACAGAGAATTCGTCTATTAATCCTCGAGGTTCCGGTGGGTCCCATGGGACGATCTGGAGTGGGACCGCCTTGGGGGGATCCGACCTGGTCCTCAGTGGGCCCCGGCTAAGATCTCGTCCAGCTCCCCGCGCTCCGAACCGTCGACGCCTGTCTAACGGTTCGCTGACATGGACGAAACTCAGGCTCATCTCGTTTTGAGAAGTATAAGAGAGGAGAGGGAGGAGGGAGAGGAGGCGGGTGGTCAACTGAGCTGACTAGGACGGAAGATCTGGTTTGGATTGGATGTCGGAGACGCCCCAGCGTTGTTCGTTTCCCAAAGTCTCACGGTCAAACGCGGGATGGGAATGTCTACGTGGGTCCCAGTGTAAGGAGAGAGAGAGAGAGAGCAATGCCAGTCTTGCTCCGTTAGCCCCCCCCCCCCTCTACTAGAGGGACCACCGTCGAAATCCATCTTTCCCTTGTTTCGTGGGCCACACGATCGATCCGCTAACGACCAAGACAGCTCTCCCGTCCAGTTAATTTCACTAAGGCGTCACTGCTTACAACCTATATGCATACATATGTGTAGAGAGAGAGAGCAAATGGGCCGATTTTTGTGGGAACAAGCATGCGTGCTGAAATCACTCCACTGGGTCCAAACCTTTTAATGGGCCTACTGAAATATATCGTGGGCCACTATGATACATTTGTCTATCAAATAAACCAGCCCATTAAGAGCCTCTGACTAGGGCTTCGATATTCTATGATTTTCCAAAGTTTTGTTCCCATTTAAAGTAATTCGGCGCTGAAATATTCCGAGAGCACCACAAATATTCTGCCAGTAGCTTTTGATTTTATTCCATATCATTATATGCTTTACTGAGCTTTATATAATATTATTAAAATTACGTATTGGTATTCATATAATAAATTGGTCTCATTTTTTAAAAAGCATAAGTCGCGACTTTTATAATCACGAGCACAAATAATTTATCATCCATAGACTTGGAAGTATTGGTTGTGGGCTCTTGTCTGCTACTTCTTAACGAGCCCGATCTGAACGGTCGGTTGATCGGGTCTCACCAATGAAATTGCGGCGGCTGTCGGAGATCTATACGGCACCACCGTTCGGGCATCGAACAAAAGTGAGTGGGCGGCTGCGCCAGGCACCTTCGGAAAGTGGGGGGGAGGGAACGGATCATTGGCGGCGGAGAGGAAGATAGCGGCGAGATTGCGGGGAGAAGGCGGCGATGATCTTCTGCAAACTACGTGGGCCCTCTTATTCGTCTGGGAGCTACAGTTTTCGGCGCCGGCGGCTCTAGAAGGCGGCGGCCTCGCCGTCGCCGTCGACGAGGGTCGACAGGGCCTCGTCGGCGCGGGACGGGTTGCGGATGGAGCAGTTGGCACGGATCTCCCCCTGGCTGCCGGTGAGGACATTCAGCATCCCCATCTTCGTCATGGAGTATACGAATTTCTCGAAGAAGAGGCTCTGGTCAATGGCGAAGCTGATGACGAGGTCCTTGGTCCTGCTGTCGGTGTGGAGAGTCTGGTCGGAGGTGAAGAGCCCCTGCCGGTTCATCAGGTCAAGGTAGTACTTGTTATCGAAGACGTTGGGGCTGCGGATGTCCAGCACGGTCTCGTTGTCGGTGTTGCGCTCCGGGCAGGTTCTCTTGAGGTTGTTGGCGAAGGTCTTGTCCATGACGGGGTCCTGGGTCGGGTATAGCCGGTCGGTGAAGGAGGGGCAGTGGCCGATGCCGATGGTGTGGCCGCCGGAGAGCGCCACCAGGTCGTTGGTGTCCAGTTTGAGCTTGTCGAGGGCCTTGATGAGCGACGTCGCGTTCGACGACGGCGGGGGCAGGAAGTCCAGCGTGGTCGCTCTGCTCGCGAAGGTCAGACCATCTCGTCGCCCCGTCGGCACCTTGTAGTCGGGCCCCCCAACCTGCGCCAAGCCAACAACATCAAGTCAACGCGGTGGACCAGCATGGAGGGAAATCTTCTTAAGGTTTTTCTCTTCTCCTTTTTTTTTTTTTTTTTTTTACCAGGAAGACGGAGTCGCGTGCGGCGAGGGCGGCGATGTCGGCGCAGGAGACAACGCGGCCGCACTCCTTCTGGAGGAGGTTGCGGATATCGTTGATGGCGTTGAAGCCGGACTGCCGGAGGGACAGGTTCGGAGGCGCGAACTTCTCGCCGTCGGTGCCGTCGAGCAAGACCGACCCGTCGCAGCCCTACACAAGGAAGACGAAGACCGCACCGTCAAGCTAAATCCCTCCGGCGGCGGCGCCACTGGTGGGAGTAGGCGATCGGATAATCACCTGGACGAAGCAGTCATGGAAGTGGATGCGGAGGAGCCCGGCGGCCAAGCCGACGTCTCTCTTGATGGCGGTCTTCAGGTAGTTCCTCACGATGGACTCGGCCTTGGGGCAGCTGCTCTTGTAGAAGGTCCACGAAAGCCCCTTCACCAGCGGAGGGTAATCGAACGCCGTCGCCCCCGTGCAGAGGAGTTGGAAAGCGGCGAGGGCCAGCAGCAGGAAGGTGCTTGCAGAGGCCATTAGAGAGAGAGAGAGAGAGAGAGAAAGAAGGGGGGGAAGAGAGAGAGAGACCAGGTCAAGAAGGGTAGGGGGGCTGGGTTTCATTTATAAGGACGAAGACGGTGAAGTTTCCCGACCCTCGTGCTCAGTGGGGACGACCGCCAGTCCGAAGACTCGTGCTCAGCCCATGCATACATTTCAAATTATATAAATATTAAAAAAATTAGTCGAGTGGATAATACAATGGGTCCCACCGGAGCCTGACCAGATCCGATCGGTGGATCGTTGTCACAGGGGAGTGATATTCTCACACCCGCCGTCCTGAAACCTTTGGTAAGTACTCATGGGCCGGGTTAAATGGCGACTAGTACCGTGTCGGATTCATTCCATCGGCGGGGGAATATCAGTCACCGTAGATCTGCCACGTTCCCGTCATTATTAACTAGATAACCGGATCGTCGATTTTTTCCCTCGCAATTTTTCGAAAAATGCAAAATTATAGAATATTCGAAAAATTAGAAGGATTAAAAAGCATATTTTGGCGGTCAACCCATGGGGTTATTCGCGGCCGAGACGTCACGGTCGAGCTTGACGGCGCAGCTCGTGCCGACCACCCGCCGCCGTCAATGACTTTAACTAATATTTTATTATTTATTTGGGTACTGAACTGCGAAATTTCGTGGAGAAACTAGGCACCCACCAGCGCCAGCTGCTCATCATCCATGGCCTCGATCTTTGTTCATCCCATCTTGACCGTTGATTTTTCGTCTGAAAGTAGACTGCCGCCCACGTGACGATATGTCGACGTGACACAAGATTAGTTATCTATGAATCACAAATTGTTGCAATTTTCCTTTATTGAGTCCAACTGTGCCTTCGATTGAGCTGCACGAGGCGACGTTGGAAGCAGACCAGCGAGCACAGACTCTCTCTCATGTGGGCCCGAGAGAGATATTTATTTTGAACAAAACATCTCTCGGGACTCGCAGACGTCCCTGCCCTCCACGCAAAGTAGCTTGCGCTCCTCTTTCCTCTCTCTCCCTCTCTAGCAGTAGAGAGAGAGAAAGTGAGGGGGAGAGAGAGAAAGAGAGGGAAAAAGAGAGGGAAAGAGAAAAAGAAAGAGAGAAAGAAACAGAGAACGAGAGAGAGAGAGAGAGAGAGAGAGAGAGAGAGAGAGAGAGAGAGAGAGAGAGGAGCGTGGTTCTCGCACTTTCACTGGTGACGAACCAGTTTAATGGCGCCGCGGCGGGGCCAACCTAGCGTCCTTGTTGCCTCGAGCAGCCGCTGGCGAGGGGACCTCGCCGACGGTCAGTGAGGAGGGGGGGGTGGGGAGGCGGGCGGCGAGGTCCGAAGAGGCGGCAGAGCAGACAACAGGCATCAATGGAGGACCACCCCGCATTACTGCGTCCATATTCTTTAAGGAAAGTTGGCCATTTGAACGGCACGGGAATAGTTTTCTTCTGCCACCTGTCAGAAAAAAGAAACCTATCGACAAGATATGGGGCACCAATGTCGTCAGCCCCCCTCTCTCTCCCTCTAGAGAGCCACATCTAGAAAGGTCCCCCGCGGCTTGTGGTGGCCAGCGAGCCGCCGCATCCACTCATGTCTTAATGAAGATAAATACGCCTCTGGTCAAACCAGGCCGCCCCCGGATCATCGATGGGTCAACTCGGAGAAGCCCACAACACGTCACATCTTCCCTCCACGCGAAAACGAGCCGTGTTCTTGTCGCCAACGAACCAACGAACCAACGATCTTTCGGATCCAGAAGCGACCAGATTGTGAGTTCGTTTTTTCGGTTTGAATTGCTAAATCTATATGGGAAAAAAATCAGGTAATCATAGGGGGTGAATCACGCTCTCAACCACAGATAACAGGAATGGGCGGCGCCTAAACCTCTGTTTCCGACTCTACCGACGCCTTCAGCTCCTCTTCTGTCAGGAGCTTGGTCGACTGAGTATACCCTGCCGCCGCCGGAGAGTCGGTGACGGCGCCGAGTTCGACCTGCCGGAGGGAGAAGTGATCTTCAATGGAGGCGACAGTCCGGTCGACGAAGTCCGAGCTCGAGGAGAGGAATCCCTTCATGGGGCACAGGAACTCCTCGTGCCGCCTCGACTGATCCGCACAGAAGAAAGACAGATGATTGTGAAGTCAACACGTTGACCTAACTCATCAGAACAACCCCAGAGATTCGGACCCGCGGAGGGAGGGATCATACCGAACGATACTTGGGGGCCCGAGGAGGATGCTTCAGGTACCGCATATTCCTGGCGTCGTAATCCCACAGAAACGACGTATGGTGCAACCACCGCGCCCTGGTTATCGACTGGGCATTTCCCCCGAACTTCCGGTCGCCAAACACATAATCTAGAAGATAAATACCACCTCAGCTGATGACGCCGAACCCACACCTCTCTCTCTCTTCTGTGCGAAGGACTGACCATTTTCACGCAGGGAGAAGTCAACGACGTCATGGAGAGCTTTGGCGTACAACCGGGCCGTCCAGGACATGATGGGGCAGGGGTAGGGTTGAAGGCCGGGAACTGCATCCTTGTTGCAGATAAAAGTGACGAAAATTGTGCCCTTGCCCACGACGACTGTTCCTCCGCCTGAAAACCTTCTGACCACCGGAATGCGATCTCGAAGAACAGACCGAGTCTCCACGAGATCCGAAAGCTTCCTGCCATGAGGCGATTCCAGCATTTTGGCAATTAAATCAAGGTTATTGGAACCGTGGTTTCAAAATAATAATAATAATTATTATAATAAAAATATTTTGGTGGTTTTTTTTAGGTCTTGGAGAGGCGGATTGTAGGAGTTACCCGGATACTCCCATGACTATGGCAGAGTCAACGGTTCCATCATTGATAATGCACCAGTTTTCTGATGATGTTCTCAGCAGCTTCTCCTCTAAATGAAGCTGATTAATAATTGGAAAAGCTGTGGTTCTCACGAGATTCATCAGGGGTAAACTGCCATTCTTGGCATGAGAGACCGCCATGGATTTATTCACGCGGAGAACATCCCAACCTCTTTAATTCCTAGAGAGAATAAAAAAATAAAATAAAATGAGCCAACAATTCAGGAACACAGCGAAATGTTTTCCCATAATGCTTTTGATAAATATAAAGTGCGCGTCGGGGTAGAACAAAATGCGAGACGGAACCTTGTGAATCTCAGAAGAAACCAAATTAATTTCATTTTTTTAATCTGTTCTTCTGATTTATCTTCTCACGGCTGCAGGCACTGGAAATCTGATTTGTTACTGACGAAAGCAGCACCTTGACCACCGTGGATATCAATTCAGAGCTCTTACCGGTGACTGCCATGAAACATTCACGATTAATGGGAATAATCTGAAAAGCCTTGAATGACCCAGAAGAAGAAAACGATCGATGGACGGAGGTTGAGACAACATTGAGCAACATAAAGGGCACATTGTGAATTCTGAATTTGATATTTTTTCCAAAGTAAATGAGATAATACTAGAGTGTTGTGTGGAAAACCTCTCAAACAGGTAGTACGATAGAGTCCTACTTACGAATTCGATCAACAACTTTTGCATTACATGTTAAGGAACAAGAGTGTTTTTATTGAATTTTGCAGAAAAAAAGCTAAAAAACATATGCTGGATTATGTAGCATAATGCGGATCAGAAGGATACAACAAAAGAACTCGGATCACCCGAAGCATTCTCCACGGACCAGTTCAAACGCGGGTTCATCGTGCAAACAGATGAACAAAGGCTTTCCTATCGATCATGCTTGGTAAAGCAGCAATCCAATTCCACTGATATGAAGTCAACTCGGTTCTATTCAGGGATCCACATTTTTTTTTTCCTTTTTTTCCAAGCCGCGACTTTCAGCTCGAAATGGGCATTCAATCCCAATCATTTAAAGTAAAAAACGATCAGCAGAGGCGGCAGAAAATAGAAAGCAAGTTTCCTCTTCCAACGTTTCAGTGGGCAAGATCAGAGTAAAGAAAGCTCGATGATAATACAGCACGAGAAAATAAAACTGCGAAGGGCAATCTGCTCTTCTGGCATGAATCAAGGGAGAGTAGCTCCCTTTTATTGTCTCGTCCAGACGAAAACAGGCTGTGAGACCCTAGATTTCAATACGAAGCATCCAAGTGGGGGAAGCATATCAGAACATAATCGTGAAAAAGTCCCCATTGATCTCGGAGACAAGTAAATAGAGAATCCCGTGCGGGATCAAGACAGATAAGATTGCAGCAAACAGAAAAAGGCGATGCCCACGACGGCCAGAGACCGCGAATTCAAAAGAAGCCCGACCGGTATTATACAGGCCGAGAATGCTGGGGGAGTCGGGCTTCACCGCATGTTCAGCACTCGCTGAAGGTGAGCGACGCGCAGCAACCAGATCTTCAAGGCATCGAGGAGGCTGTCCGGAACGCGGCCGCGCTCCACCGCAGAGAACCAGATGGGAGAAGGAAGCAGGATCTGGGAGGCGTGATGAACAGAGGGGAAAAACGATTTCGACGGCGCCTAAGCCCGAGAAATCGCTGTGCTCGTGATACGATCCCGGTTCGTATCGAGCTATTGTATTTCTTCTTCCGAAGGAACGTTCCCAAATCCGAACTTGGGACGGGGGCGCCGGCGGGGATCCTTCTTCGGATGGTAAAATGAGAAGAGAGAGAGAGAGATGATATAGGTGAACTGGAGACTTCTTACGATTTTTCCTGCTTCTTGGGGAAGGCTCCACGGTTGGATTTAAAGAAGGCTCTAACTGGGCCTGATGGGTCATGATGGGCTATAACCCTCTCTTCTTACTTGTTCTGGTAGAGGCCCTCATTGGGCCTGTATCAATACTCCCCCCATGAGTTTAAAGCGGCTAGCTTGTCTTCAAGCTGGAATTCAGGAAACTGCAGCGCTACGACAGGAGCCGACTCTCACGAGGCTTCAAATTTAGGCAGTTGCTTCCATTTGATCAAAACACGACTGCCATCCGGAGCAGGTTTGACATCTAGCTACTCTTCTGATTCCACCCTCCACTCCCGATCTGCTGATAATGACGTAGGAAGGTCAGGTGGCGTGATTCCATCTATCGAAGCTCTCATGAGCTGCAAAACATGAAAGACAAGGTGTAATGCAGAATGAGGGGGTAGATCCAACTTATATGGCACATGACCCATCCGTTGCAATATCAAGTAGGATCCGAAATATTTAGGACCCAATTTCTCGTTCAGTCATCATGCCACATCTCTTCAAAGTGCATATCTCTTCTATGCACGTCTTCATGCAGGCTTGGACACGTGCCAAATGGATCTTCAACAGTTCTAAAATTTGATCTTGCTCTAATAGATATTGGTCCATAGCGTCTAAGGGTGACGTGGCGAACCCATAACGCACAACGGTCGGCGGAGTTCTGTCATATACTATTTGGAAGGGTGTCATCCTGATAGCCGAATAATGCGAAGTGTTGTAGTGCAGTTCGGCCCAATGAAACCACTCTCACCACCGTACACAGGGTTTGTCTCCTACAAAGCAGCACAGGTAACTTTCCAAGCTACGATTCACCACTTCGGTCTGACCATCCGTCTCAGGGTGATAGGATGAACTCATTTTAAGTGCCGTCCCTTGTTGCAAGTGGAGTTATTTCCAAAAAGTTGCTGGTGAACATATTGCCACGATCAGAGATAATAGAAATTGGGACTCCATGCAAGCAGACAATCTCATTGGCGAAACTAGTTGCTACATCCTTGGCCGAAAATGGGTGTTTCATTAGAATGTAATAATCGTACCTATTGAGGCGGTCCGCCACCACCATAATGCAGACATACCCCTTGGACTTAAGCAATCCTTCCACAAAATTCATCGCGATATCCTCCCAGATCCGGATGGGAATCGGCAAGGGTTGAAGAAGACCTGCGGCAATTGTGTGTCTGACTTGAAGCGCAAGCACACATCACAATTGTTGAAGTGTTACTTGATATCTTTCTTCATACCTGACCAGAAAAAATTACTAAGTTAGTCGAGAGTAAGTCTTCTGGATGTTCCCCCCAACGCTCGATCATGAAATTCCTCCAAGAGTTTCTTAAGTGAAGTAGATGTCTTCGTCAATGCCAGATATCCCTTGTACATCAGCAGCCTCCTTGGTAGCGCATAATGCGAGTATGTCTGACCCTTTGCTTGTAACCCTTTTAGTATCTCTGAGAGGCGCGGATCTTCCTGCACCTCCAGACGAATGGCCTCTAAGTAGAGCCACTCTGACGTGGATAGAGAAAATAATTGTAAGGTATCCATAGAAGGATGGCGAGACAACACATCTGCCACTCGATTTTTTTGTCTCTCATTGTAATAAATACCGAAGGAATAACCTATGAGTTTGGATAATCACTCGTGATGCTGTCCGTACACTTCCTGTTGATCAAAGAGGTACTTGAGGCTGTACTAGTCAGTCTTGATAGTGAAATGCTGAAACATTAAGTAGTGTTTCTATTTGTGTACAACTAGCACAACGGTCATTAGCTCTCGCTTATACACAAAACAAATACGAGCGGTAGGAGCTAATACTTTGCTAAAGAAGAAAGCCAACAGTCTCTCCTGTTATATGAGTACTGCTCCCATCCCAACGCTAGAAGCATCTGTCTCTAGAACGAAGGGCTGAGAAAAATTTAGGAGTATCAGTACTAGGGTAGAAGCCATAACTCGTTTGAGCTCATCAAATACTCGTTGTGCTGATGTAGACCAAGTGAATGAATCTTTTTTAAAAGTTGTGTGAGACGCTCAGTGATCCCCCCATAGCATACCACAAACTGCTTGTAATATCATGTCAGTCCCAAAAACCCTCGCAATTGTTTCAGATTCTTCGAATTCGGCCAATCTTGAATATCATGAATTTTTCCTTCATCTGTGGCTACACCGGTGACCGATATCCAATGGCCCAAGTACTCTAAATTATCTAGAAAGAAAAAAATATTTCTTGGTATTGATCGTTAATTGATAATCGTTGAGTAAGCTGAAAACCTTCTTCATATGATCTTCATGGTCTAGCTGCGACCTATTGAACACTAATATATCGTCAAAGAAAACTAGAACAAATCTGCGAAGAAAAAGGACAAATATTCTATTCATCAATGACTGAAACGTCGCGAGCGTATTTGAGAGGCTAAATAGCATCACCAAATATTTGTAGTTGTCTTGATGGGTGTGAAAAGTCGTCTTTTGAATGTCCTCATCTTTCATTCTGATTTGATGATAACTAGATTTTAGATCTAGCTTGGAGAAGACTGTGGCACAATGTAACTCCTCCAAAAGCTCATCCAAAATCGGTTGAGCACCATTACGCGGTTGAGAGCTCTGTACTGAACACAGAATCTCCAGGTGTTGTCTTTTTTCTTTACTAATAGGGCAGGGCTGGAATACAAATTGTTCGAATGTCGGATGATACCCATATGTAGCTATTCTTCCACCAATTTCTCTAGCTCATTCTTTTGTTAGTGAGAATAGCGATAGATGCGTCAATTCACTACTGTTGTCTTAGGTAACAATATAATTGTGTGGTCTGCTAGCATGGTATGAGGAAACACAAAGTCAGAGGAGAAAACACGAGGGAAGGTCTGTTGAAACACTTTCATCGTCCCCTCCTGGGATCCCGCCTCTAAAGGCTTTGATAATTTAGATGAAAAGTGTAGTCTAAAAGTAGAAGCCCCACACAATGCCTTTGGTGCTCTTGATTGTCTGCCCCCCCCCCCCCCAAACAGTTGGCTGTTGAATCCAAAAGTACAATGAAGATAATGCTTTACTCCATCAACCCAAAAGCACAATAGAGTAGCTTGTAGTTAGTCTGAATTCAACCCAAGGTCCGTAACCACTGTGCCCCCAGGACAACCTCGATCTCAATATGATCGAGAGGCAAGAAATCCTGGACAAAAGAGAACCCTTGGATGGATATGGGCAGGCCCGTGCAGAAATCCTACCCATGGATAACATGGTCATCTCGGAGCTTAATGCTATATGAATAACCTCGTGAAGTGGGAAGACTCAGGCGTCTGATCACCCCGCGGCAGATGAAGTTATGCGTGATCAGTACATCCACTGTGTGATTCTGAATGGTCCCCGATATCAAAATAGTGCCACTACTCGTGACCTCTAAAGTAGTATAGAGTGAGAGGCCATGGTGCCTGTCATGTCCAAGTCTACCTCCTTTAACACTGGTGCATCATCCTTTTCTGAGTTGCTCTTGTCTACTGCCTCCTCCATGATATAACAATGTAACTCTTTTTTGCACCGCTGACTCGGTGTGAACTTTTCGTTGTAGCGAAAACAAATGCCTTGCGCGCGTCGATGTTGCATTTCTTCCAAGGTGAGGTCAAACGGCCTCCTACCATTATGCAACGGCTGACCCTGTCTTGGATCCTGTCACTACTACTGCCCCACAATATTATCATTCCACCTTACTTGTCACTTACAGATTCAATGAGAAATCATGAGTAACTGAGCTTCGATGTCGAGGGTAATTTCCTATATTTTCATGATATCCTTTGGATTTTGGTGGTTCAGAACATCTTGGATGTCATCTTGGAGGGCTGCAAAATTGACTAAAATTGAGAGATAAGGTCTTCTACTAACCCAATTTGCCATAGGGCCTTACCATCAAAATAAGTCATTGCTGTCCAAATGCGATCTTGGTCATACATCTTGTTGAGGCGGAAAAATTATTCCACTCGAAGTAATTAGCCTTTTGGGTTGTCGCTCATAAATATAAAAAATCTCCCCCTTGCGCTGTAAACTATCCCCGCACTAGTCTCTAGATACTGTCCGGCGACTAGCCGGAATTGCCTTGTCAACACTCAGTGAGCCTTTGGTCACATCCTCGTCCGGTTCAAAAGAGAGGGCCTCATCGTAAAATTTCTCTTCCCAAGGTGATGTATGAGGGGAGCCGAGTTCCTTGCAACCCCAGTCAAGGTAGCGATCCTTCCCACACTTCAGCCCTGGCTGGTGGCAAGAGGAGATTAGAATAACACCCTCTCCTTTGTCTCCGCATTTGGGCTCCGTCAGGTAACCGATTGGGGGCCCCCAAATTGCCATGGGCTACTCCTTTGGGCTACTTCTTCTTGACCGGTTTGCTGCGATGTGGGTCCCCCAAGTTGGGTGATGAGAACGAACGATGATTTGCAGGGGCGACTGGGTGGTTGGCAGCGATGCAGGCGCTGCTACAGTACCTCCGGCACAAGTAATAGGCCATCCTTGGAAACGCCACCTTGCGTGAGATCGCCCCTAGAATCCTCTGGGTCGAGGTGCTCCATGTAGTACGCAGTAAGGTGATATGTTGGGGAACTCACTGTGTCCTGGGGGGAAGAACCGGAGGCCCACCCACAGCCACAAACAGAGGTTCCGTAGGCGCCGAAGAGTCCCGAGTTTGGGACATGACATGAAGGTAGGCTTTCAGTAGGGCGTGAAGGGTAGTCAAAGCCGAAGAATGTTGATTCTAGGACAACTCCATTTTCTTTTATAGAACCACGATTTTGGCATTCATCCGGACCTCCAAATCTTCCATTTTCGCTCCTTGTGTTCTGGTGATCATAAATCTGAAGTTGGAGGTTTCTCTAGCTCTGATACCCGTTGATATGATTCCGATTCGTATCTAGCTATTGTATTTCTTCTTCTGAAGGAACATTACCAAATCTTACCAGACAAAAGGCTTCCATAGAGGGAGAGGAACCCCAAACGGAAAAGGTAGAAGAGAGGCAGGGGAAGGAGACAGTCTTAAGGTCTCTCCTAGGGAAGGGGGCGTTGGCAGGGATTCTTATTCTTGTGACAGGGATAGTAGAATCAGAACGGAGAGAGAGAGCCCAATAAGGGACTCGACAGTAAGCTTTCGCAGTTAATATCTGAGATTGATGATGTAACTAAGTGGGTATCACGATGCCTTACTTCTGATTTTTCCTGCTACCTAGGGAAAGCTCCACGATTGGATTTAAAAGAGACTCTAATTGGGCCTGATGGGTCATGATGGGCCATACCCTCTCTTCTTCCTTGTTCTGGTAGAGTCCCTTATTGGGCCTGTATCAGCTCGCCGCTGGGCGATCGGAAGTGGAGGAGGCAATCGAAAATGGAGCCGGTGGAAACCATGGAGCATGAGGCAGCCCTGCTGGGCTTTGTGTGACTGGTCATTTTATCAAACAGGTCGAAGAACAAGTCACCGACTTGGGTCGCTTGGTTGGGTATCGAATTCTTATCAGAAACCTCAGAAACTCTGTCCCTCCATGGTCAGGGAGGCTGAAGAGGGCATGGGGCTCACTGGAGAGCCACCCTAAGTTAGCTAAATCATTCGACCGGCTACCTAAGTCATTTCTGGCAAGTCGCAGATCGAACAATACCCTCCCATGGGCAAAAGAATATGGTGGGAAAACACTGCTCGTGCTTGGGTTTGTGAGTTTCGTCCCTCCTCTCCCTTCTCTCTCTAATTGCATTACCTTCCATGAGGAAGACGTAAGTAGATCCCTTGTGCCCCATGACTTCTCAAATGTTTCGTCTCTCATTTCTCGTCCTTGGGTAGGTCACAATTGTATCAATATTGCTCTTAACTTTCATTCAAACGTTCGGCTTTATGAGAGAATTATAAATGTTATAAAATGATATCAAAGCCTATGAATCTTGCTCAGTTGTGTAAGAGAAAGACAAAAATCAAGAATTGGGCTTTTGAGAATTGACGTTTTAAAAGACTAGAGATCAAAGATTGTTCTAGCATCTTGCTACAATTGAATAGAGAACTAATTTAGCATGTTGAGAAGGCTAACCCAAATGTTGGAAGAGCCACCCAACTAAATATTGAGAGGCTAGTATTGCCAACCAACTATAAAGCTACTGAGATATAAGACTATTCATTAAATGTTTATATATCAAAGCATACACGATAATCAATGGATATAAATACTAAGATATCTCCTTGAAGATTTTGGCTTTAAATTAATATCATTGGTGTGTAGAAGCACGTAATACTGACTGAATCATTTTTTTATTTAGAAGCCATATTACTTCTCTTGTTGATGAAGAATAAACCGACAATAGAGTAGATTATGATTTTTATCATCAACATGAGCAGCTTCAATGGAGAAAAAAATGTAGATTTTAGACAAGCATCAACCTTGCAAGAGTATTTGATGAAGTTTGATACTCTCTTCAACCATTGGGGTGGCTTTAAATTTTTTTGAAGTTAAGATTGTTTTGATGCAAAGAATGAGAGAACTCATTAACCTTTTCTAATTGTGCGAAAAAGTTTTAAATCATATGTTGTACGTGCTAACGTGTTGAGCAAATTGAGTAAATAAGTAATCATTTACTTTTTAGAAAGTGATAAATTTATTTTCATTCACATATATGAGAACACTATTGACTCTTGGAACCTAGATTGAGTTCAGAAGTTGACTCTAACACATAATGACAAAAATGTCATTCATGTTGTGAAATAATGAAGTATACCAAAATTCTTATTTTATTCGACATGAAGAATTTGATAGGTCAATAACAATATTTTAACATATGAATGATATGTATAAAGTTATAGATCTCTCCTTTAAGAGTCATGAAATAATTACAAATATGCTATAGTGTCTACTTCATGTTATTATTACATTTTATTTTCTAAAAGTTTGTTCAATAATGGTGGCTTTATGTACATTGAGTCTATTATTTTTCATAAAATGAAATAAAAATGAAAGAAAATTTATTTCATCTTCAGTTTAATGTGACTCTTCTAAGGGTTGTTAATGAAAATTGTGATCACAAAAATATTAAGCTAGTAATGATATGATGGTGTCAAATAACTATATTACCCTTTATGTGTATCTTGAAGACATGTAAACATTATTATTGCTAAGACAATCCGATTGTTTCATTTAAATGAATATTAATTAAATAAATGAATATGAAGTTTGATACTGCAATAAATAATAATGAATACCCCTACTTGGGCTGCTTGATCTTTTGGCCTTACCATCTAAGATGAGGACAACTAAAAAATATTGTTACTGAATTAGAGATTATGAAAATATAATTTTAATATAAAATTATCATCGTACCATTATATTGTGTCTTAGTCATTACAAGTGGTAAGACTCTTATTGTCATGCAAATAAATACACTTTTCTTTATGCATTATCTTGGTCATTATAAGTATCAAGGGTATTCCTCTCATTTGAGTTTATTTATTTCATTTATAGTATGTTAATTGTTAATAAAGATGGAGAGATCGAAACAAGATGAGGATATCATATTTGCAAAGGAGAGAGTAATAGGAGGACAAAGAAAGACAGAGAGGATGAAAAGCCATACTTAACCAAGCCTCATATAACTCTTATAGAATATTATAATAAGTTGAAAATGATAAGAGGACGAAAAGGTGGCAAGTCCATAAACACTACAAGGACCAAGAGTGATGAGTCCATAAACGTTACAAGGACCAAGAGAGACAAGCCCATTAATCAAGATTTGGCAACCCCATAGTAATATAAACTACGATTAATGCCGATGATCTTCTGCAAACTACGTGGGCCCTCTTATTCGCTTGGGAGTTACAGTTTTCGGCGCCGGCCGCTCTAGAAGGCGGCGGCCTCGCCGTCGCCGTCGACGAGGGTCGACAGGGCCTCGTCGGCTCGGAACGGGTTGCGGATGGAGCAGTTGGCACGGATCTCCCCCTGGCTGCCGGTGAGGACATTCAGCATCCCCATCTTCGCCACGGAGTATGCGAATTTCTCGAAGAAGAGGCTCTGGTCAACGGCGAAGCTGATGACGAGGTCCCTGGTCTTGCTGTCGGTGTGGAGAGTCTGGTCGGAGGTGAAGAGCCCCTGCTGTTTCATCAGGTTAACGTAGTACTTGTTGTCGAAGACGTTGGGGCTGCGGATGTCCAGCACGTTCTCGTTCTCGGTGTTTGCCGGTGGGCAGGTTCTCTTGAGATTGTTGGCGAAGGTCTTGTCCATGACGGGGTCCTGAGTCGGGTATAGCCTGTCGGTGAAGTTGGAGCAGTGACCGATGCCGATGCTGTGCCCGCCGGAGAGTGCCACCAGGTCGTTGGTGTCCAGGTTGAGCTTGCCGAGGGCGGTGATGAGCGACGTCGCGTTCGATGACGGCAGCGGCAGGGACTCCAGCGTGGTCGCTCTGCTCGCGAAGGTCAGACCATCTCGTCGCCCCGTCGGCACCTTGTAGTCGGGCCCCTCAACCTGCGCCAAGCCACCAACATCAAGACAACACGGTGGACCAGCATGGAGGGAAATCTTCTTAGGTTTTTCTCTTCTCCTTTTTTTTTTCTACCAGGAAGATGGAGTCACGTGCGGCGAGGGCGGCGATGTCGGCGCAGGAGACAACGCGGCCGCACTCCTTCTGGAGGAGGTTGCGGATATCGTTGATGACGTTGAAGCCGGACTGCCGGAGGGACAGGTTCGGAGGCGCGAACTTCTCGCCGTCGGAGTCGTCGAGCAAGACCGACCCATCACAGCCCTACACAAGGAAGACGAAGACCGCACCGTCAAGCTAAATCCCTCCGTCGCCGCCGCCACTGGTCGGAGTAGGCGACCGGATAATCACCTGGACGAAGCAGTCGTGGTAGTGGATGCGGAGGAGCCCGGCGGCCAAGCCGACGTCTCTCTTGATGGCGGTCTTCAGGTATTCCTCACGATGGACTCGGCCTTGGGGCAGCTGCTCTTGTAGAAGGTCCACGAAAGCCCCTTCACCAGCGGAGGGTAATCGAACGCCGCCGCCCCCATGCAGAGGAGTGGGAAAGCGGTGAGGGCCAGCAGCAGGAAGGTGCTTGTAGAGGCCATTACAGATTAGAGAGAGAGAGAGAAAGAGAGAGACTAGAGAGAGAGAGAGAGAGGAGCGTGGTTCTCGCACTTTCACTGGTGACGAACCAGTTTAATGGCGCCGCGGCGGGGCCGATCTAGCGTCCTTGTTGCCTCGAGCGAGGTCTGAAGAGTCGGCAGAGCAGGCAGCACCCATCAATGGAGGCCCACCCCGCTCCACTGCGTCCATATACTTCTTCTGCCACTTGCCAGAAAAGAGAAACCTATCTACAAGATATGGGGTTCCGCTGTCCTCATCCCCCCTCTTTCTCCCTCTAGAGCGCCACAGCTAGGAGGGTCCCCAAAGGATTCTCCCATGTCCATCATGCTCGGTACCCAAAGGAACTAGGATCGCCCAAAAAATTCTCCAAGGACCTGTTCAAATATTAAACAGACAACACAGAAAAAATAAATATTAAAGAGACAACACAGGAACTAGTGTCGCCCAAAGGATTCTCCAAGGACCAGTTCAAATGCGCGTTCATCGTGCAAACAGGTGAAAAAAGGCTTCCCTATCCATCATGCTCGGTAAAGAAGCAATCCAATCTACTCATATGAAGTTAGCTTGGTTCTATTCAGGGATCCACACAGGATATCTATCTATCTATATATATATATATATCTATATATTATTTTATTTTATTTGTTTATTCCCGAAGCCGCGGACTTTCAGCCAGAAATGGGCATTCAATGTCAATCATTTAAAGTAAAAAGCGATCACCAGATGGGGGAAGGAAGCGGGATCTGGGAGGCGTGACGAACAGAGGGGAAAACGATTTCGTCGGTCCCTAAGCCCGAGAGATCGCTGTGCTCGCCGCCGGCCGATCAGAAGTGAGGTGGCAATCGGAAGTGGAGCCGGCAGAAACCAGGGAGAACGAGGCAACCCTGCCAGGCGCTGTGTGATTGGTCATTTTATCAAACAGGTCAAAGAACAAGTCACCGAGTTGGGTCACCCGGTTGCATATCGGATTCTTATCGGAAACCTCAGAAGCTCTGTGTCCCTCCAAGGTCAGGGAGGCCGAAGAGGGTATGGGGCTCACCGGAGAGCCACCCCGAGTTAGCTAACTCATCCGACTGCCGAGCTGAGTCATCTCCTGCGAGTCGCAGATCAAACAAACCCTCCCATGGGCAAAAGAATGGGGTGGGAAAACACTGCTCATGCTTGAATTTTGTGGGTTTCGTCCCTCCTTTCTTTTCTTCTCTCTCTAATTGCATTACCTTCCATGAAGTAGATCCCTTGTGCCCCATGCCTTCTCAAACGTTTTTTCTCTCTTTTCTCATCCTTGGGTAGGTAATTATGTTAAACTTAGTTTGAAACGCCACAACGCCAATATGGCTCTTAAGTTTCATTCAAACCTTCAGCTTTATGAGAGAATCACAAATGTAATAAAATGGTATCAAAGCCCATGAATCTTGGTCAACTGTGCAGGAGTAGATACAAAATAAAAAAATGGGCTTTATAGAATTGGCGTTCTAAAAAGTGGAGACTAAAGGTTCTACTAGCACCTTGCTTCAGTTGAAGAGAGAACTAACTTAGCAGGTTGAGAAGGCTCACCCAAATGCTGGAAGAACCACTCAACTAAATATTGGGAGGGAAGTATTGGCAGTGGTAAAGCTACTTAATATTTATTTTTCCATTCTTCAATGATTTAGAAGACTATTAATTAAATGTTTAGATATCAAGGCATACACAATAATCTATGGATATAAAATACTGAGATATCTCCTTGTTGACCAAACCATTGGTGTGTAGAAGCACATAATGCTGACCAAACCATTTCTTTATTTAGAAGCCATATTACTTCTTTTATTGATGAAGAATAAATCAACAACAAAGTAGATTGTTTTTTATCAACATGAGTAGCTTCAATGGAGAAAAAAATGCAGATTTTAGACAAACATCAACATTGCAAGAGTATTTGATTAAGTCTGATACTCTCTTCAACAATCATGATAGTTTTCAAAAAAAAAAAAGTTAACTGTCTCGTCAATAGATTTAATTTGAAGCATGAGAGAGACAATTAACCTCTTATAATCGTGTGAACTAAACTTAAATCATATGTAGATGTTAACATATTGAGCACATTGAGTAAAAAATTCATCATTAACTTTTTAGAAATTGAGAAATTTATGCTCACTCACATATATGAAAACATTATTGACTCTTGGAACCTAGATTGAGTTTTGAAGTTGACTCTAATACAATGAAAAAAATGTCATTCGTGTTGTGAAATAATGTCATATACTAAAGTTATTATCTTAGCCAACAATAATTTTTCCATGTCGAAGAATGTTGTACATCAATGGAATTTTTTTAACATATAAATATATGTATATAGTAATAGTCTCTCATTTAAGAGTCATGAAACCATTACATATATGTTTCAGTGACTAATTCATGTTATTATTACATTTTTGTTTTTAAAGGATTGTTCAATAATGGTGGCTTTATGTACAATGAGTCCACTATTTTTCATGAAGGAATTAAAAAGGAAATAAATTGTCTTTCATCTTCAATTTAATGTGACTCTTCTAAGGGTCAATGAAAAATATTATCACAACAATATTAAACTAGTAATGATATCATGATGTCAAATGACTGTATTACACTGTATTTTATAGACACGAAAATATTAGTGATGCTAAGACATATGATTATTTTATTTAAATAAATAGGAAAGATTATATGAAGTTTGATATTGTAGTAAATAATAATGAATACTCCTACTTAGGTTACTTGGTCTTTTGGCCTTACCTATTCATAATTATAAATTAGTAGTTACATCTATGTATTAATATCATATATATAGATATTAATTAATAGGTAGATAATATACTTATACATGTGTTATTAACTTTTTATGACATTCATAATGTTTATCATTTAAGTCTTAATACATATTACTATACATTTTATTTATATTATGAGATTAACCTTACTTGACTTTTATGAAGTCAAGTGGTGGTTCTCTCATATTTTCTTGATAATTATTTGATTGCAAAAACTTAGGTGAGTTCTTATTATGAGTTGGAAGTAATAGAAGAAGCCCAAGCCTTTAGCCCAATAAAAAATCCAAGTCTTATGGAGAGGGCTGATCTAATATGTTTATGAGCCTAAGAGAGTGCGTCACTTTGGCCTAGCTTATTTGGACTTAAAAGATTTATCAAGAGATAAGATTTAAGTTGCTCATCTTAAAGTATCTTAAGATTAAGATTAAAAGAAGGATTTGAGTGCCACCCTCATGGAATAATCTAGGCTGTTCACCAAGAGAGTCAGTTATTAATCTTAACCATTTATTAGAGGGGCCTAACTCTTGAGAAGATTAAGGCATCTCGCCCCCTTCTTGAAAGGTGCTTTTTGATTCTCTCTCTAGTAGTGGTTAGTCGAAGAAAATAAGAAGAAAATCAAATCTTGATCAATGACATTCTCATGTCCAAAGTCATCGTGGAGAAGAGATTATCTAGAGCACATCAAGATTGTCATAGATCGAACATCACTCAGCCTAGGATTGACGCACAACAAAGTTTGTGTAAGATCTAGATTTGAGGCGTCCTTGTAATACTCTTCTAAATAGATTAACTTTTAATTCGAACTAGTTTTATCATTTATTCCATCATTCTATTACGTCAGATCTATTATCTCCCCTTTGTCATATTTTTCACAACTCTTTATTCACTTTTTTACATTTATTCCACCCCTCACAATCTCATGGACATATCTATATATACATAAAATAAATAAATAGAATTCATACTCTCATTACCGATGCTCCCTGAGGATTGACCCTTTAGTTATTATAATAGAAGAGTGAGGTTTTATAAATATTATTTATATAAACTTGATTACATCACAATGATGTATTTGACCTCCAAGTCAAGTTCATCACCTGCTCAAATGAGAACAACTAAAAAAAGATATTATATTATTATTGAATTAGAGATTGTGAAAATAAAAAATTAAATAGAAATGATCAAAATATCCTTATATTGTGTCTTAATCATTATAAATTGTAAGACTCTTATTATCATGTAAATCAATTCACTTTTCTTTATGTGGTATCTTGGTCATTATAGGTGTTAAGAATTTTCCAATCATGTGAGTTACAAAGATGGAGAGATGGAAATAATATGAGGATATCATATTTGCAAGGGAGAATAGTAGGACAAAGGAAGACAAGAGGATGAAAAACCACACTTACCCAAGCCTCATATACCCCTTATAGAATGTTACAAGGAGTTGAAAATAATAAGAGGATGAAAAGGTGGTAAGCCCATAAACACTACAAGGACTAAGATTGACAAGCCCATAAACATTACAAGGACCAAGAGTGATAAGCCCATTAATCAAAATATAACAAGCATCATAGTAAGGCTATACCGAACACCTCTGATCAAACTTACAATAAAGTAGACATCTAGAACTTATCTAAGAGATGATTTTCTGCAAACATTATTATAGTTGATCTAACATATTTCTTTTTAATTGTACGCACAACCACATGATACATGTGATAGATTATTGCAAATGATAAACTAATTGTTCAAAGAGAATTTGGATGTGGTGAGATTAGGGCAAAGATCTAGGGAGGTGGAGGTGGGTGAGAGAAGATGATATAATAATTAGGAATAATACCAATGAGACATACTATGAATAAAGTGACGAGTTGACCTGGTCAACAAGTTAGGAAAAAAGATAGAAAATGAGATTGGATCTGAGATAGCTGTACATAAACCAATGATATATGGGGAACATAACAAAGAACACATGATAAAGATGAGACTTCCTCGTCATTGAGTAACCAAGAAAGGAAATAGTAGATTCAAATTTAGCACAAAAATGATGCAAAAGATGTCACCAAGAAACATGCAAATAACATTATAGAAAATAGGATATAAAGTAGGAACATAGAATGGATGAAAGTTTCTTATGCCATTACATAAACTTCCTCAAGCTTGATTGGCATTTATCACACCTTAAATAGGGAGAGAACCTTATATAATATTTTCCAAAATATTCTTAGGTTTTTACAGTATTTCTCTCACAATATGACCATGATTTAAAACTCCAATATTCACCAAAAGAGGATGAGTGACAAAATATTAATCGAGATCAACCAATATCAACTAACAAAGACTAGCCAAAGGCTTGATAAGGAAAAACTAAGATTTGACAATGAGGACCAACAATATGGTGATTTGAAGAGAACTAATAATGCAAATATCTAAAGACAACCAATAGTGAAATTTGCAATGAAGTCAAAGGGATGAGAACAAACCCAAGACCAAAGAAGAGAGCACATAGAGAGACCCAAACTCAATACCGAAAAAATGAGTAAGGATGCAAAAAAGACATTGATGCAAAAAGAGTTCACCAAGAAAGAGTAAAGTGGCAAATAAACTATGAGGAGTGAGAACATTATAGAAAATAGATATGAGAGAGACTAATAAGTCTTCATTATCATGAGTTAATAATTAGTAAATAATATAATTTTAGTCTTAACTCATGATAAACAGACTTATATTTATGTTATAGTGTGAAAAGTGGTTTTTAATTGATTAACGTAAATTTTTGGCTAATTATGTGATTTTATATGAATTTATATAATTTTTATAGTTTTATTTTTTAAAATAAATAAATAAAAAGAAATAAAAATAAAAATATAGTAAAATGAGGGGGACTCGTCAGCCAGCTGAGCCTACAAGTGGGTCAAAAGTGCAGTTAGGGAAGAGTCGAGAGCAGGGGCTCGAGCGGCTAGGACTGATGAGGGCACGTGTGTGCCACTCCCCTTCTATGTCACTAGTGGCCAGTCGATTGAGGGGCAAGGAGGGGTCGTACATATAGGAGAAAGGGACTCATTACTTGCAAATGAAATATTACTATATATTCGTTCGAAACTTTGGCACACAAGTGATGTGAGACTAAACCCGTGCCATACCTTCTCTTGAAAGGCTTCAAAGATTTTAATACCTACAATACTCTTTTTTTTATAATAGAGGTATACCATGATGACATCACTTGATAAAGGCAATAGAGTATTTCTTTTAATCTCTCTTATATAGGCGGGCAACCGACACGAGTTTGAATCCTCATAGAGCCAAAATGTGTATTTTTATCTGATTATCGCAACTTTCTTGCAAATTGTCAATAAAGGTTTAAGCCTCTAAAATCGCTAAATCATTGACGAAAATCTCGTCAACGTGATTTGTGGAGCATTGTTACTAAAATTGCCAAACGATTTATGATAAAAAAGATCGTGAATCTATCGAGTAAATCATCTCTAATTGATTGACGAACAAGCCGTTGTTAGGAAGAGGATGATCTATTGGGAGACAAGTCGCCACCTCTTGAGAGTATACCAGAAGCGATGAAGAGCCTCTTCTTGCTGCACGAACATGAAGATGAAGCTCTTTGACATGCGCCCCACCTCCATTTAACTCTTCTCTATTGGGTGACAGTTGCTGGAGAGCCACAAAGTTGCCATTTTTCTATTCCGTCGGGTGATAGTCGTCGGAGATGATTCGATGACCCATTTCACTGATCTCTAGACTTTGCAAAGAGATCTAGAGATTGCTCACATTATCTTTATTCAAAGAGAGCTTTCGAGGCCATGGACAGTGCACGACGATCCTCTCGAATGATCAGGATTCTAGTACATCGTTGATACATTATCACTGCAACACTGGAACTCTATTTTGCTTCTTTCAACTTAATTTTCACCTAATTTAGTGATAATTTATATAATTTCAATTTACCAAATTATACTTTATTGAATTACAATTATTTTAGCTTTTACAGATCTTAATTTAATTAATTAAATCATCTATAATCACTTATGTAATAATCACTAGGTGGAACTCTATTTTTGTTTGATTTGCATTCATCAGGTGTTAATGTCATCCTGACGTCCGCACCCTTATTTCCTTTTTTCGTAAATTTTAAATATATTTTATTCTTATTTCTTAATATAAAATTTATAAAAACTCATATTCTTTGACTTTTTTTGAAAAATTATTTGATATTATATTACATCCCCTGATTGATCTAGAAAATTATCACTATTTTTAGAAATTTTATTAAATTATAATTGATATATTTTTTCAAAAATACTTCTAAATATCCACAAATTAATATTTTTTAGTTTTATAAATTTTAAATTTATGTGATTTATTATACAATGACTAAGTCACATTAGAGATCAAATAAAAAAGTGAGTGGTGATTGAGAGAGCAAGAAAGATAAGAGGAGAATAAGATCAACTAGGCAATGCCAAAATCAAAAAGAGAAGATGCTAATAAGGGTGCAGGAGAAAGATGAGAGCAAGACTAAAAAAAAGTAAGTCTAGAAAATGCATTGATGGTAAATGGGGTGGTGGATGAAATCTTGAAAGATAATCATTACTTGTTGGAGAGAAGGGAGAGGCAGAAGTAGAAGAGAGAGAAATGAAGAAAAGGGAAGTTGATCACCTAGAGAACATCATAAAGAAAGGAAATGATCCTACATTTGATGTATAATAATGACTAGAGGAAAACATATTGAATGTTAGGGTACTAGATGATTGAGTGCCAAGAGAAGATGAGGGAGTCAATATTCCAAGCATTAAGGAGAAGGAACCAAACGTGGTAACTATAGGATCAACATAGGCTCAGTGAAACACTAAGGGGGGTGATAAATCCAAATTTAAGGGTTTTTGTGTCGCTGTTTCAATTCAGACTTAATCAACAATAATTAAGAATATTTTTTACTTAGTTACTCTATATCAGACATAGGACAAGGGGTCAATCCACAAGGAGGCAGAAATTCAATTTCAAAATTGTTTGAGGCCTACAAATGATAAAAATTGGTTTGGAAGTTAAAATTTTATTCTTATAGATTTTAATAGAGCTTAATATAATTTTCTGGAATTAACCTCTGCAGAAAATACAGCTAATTATTAGAATTTTATTTTTTTAGTATTTTTTTCTAATTTTAATTGATTTTTTTTATTTTAAATGCAAAAGAACACAAATAAACAATAATAAAATAAGTTACCTTGGCGGTTGACAGTTGGGTCAGGGGAGGGGCTGCGGGGGTCGCAGATCTTCCGTGACCATTTCCGGACTTGACAAAAATTTAGGACTTTCGGTTACGTCAGGAAGGTAGAGAGAGAGAGGGCAACGGGCACGCAGCGACCGGCAGCGAGCGATGGGCACGCGGCGGTGCTCAGCGGACGCGCTGTGGCTGGCGATGGGCAGCAGCGGTGGTCGGCGGATGAGAGAGATGCGGAGTGACGGGCACGCAGCGACCGGCAGCGAGCGCACGGCGGCTGGCGATAGGCGGCGGCAGTGGTCGGCGAACGTGTGGCGGCTGGCGATGGTGATGGACAATGGAGTGAAACGTCAAGCGACTAGAGGAGGCGGAATGGAAGACAGAGCGACGTGAGGCGGCGAAAGAGAAGGAGGTTGTGGGAGAAGGCGGAGAGAGAAGGAGGCTGCGGGAGAAAACAGAGAAACGTGGAGCGGCTGGAGGGGGCAGAACGGAAGACAGAGCAATGGGAAATGGTGGAAAAAGGAGGAGGGTTCAGAGGTATGGAGAGAAGATTGTTGCTGATGTTCGTCCTTTGAGTACTCAAGATTTCGTCCTCCTCTCAGATCCTTATATTCTGCCAGCATCAAGCGTTTTGCAGTGCAAGAAGGGGAAGAACAAGAGTGAACGTTTCAAAAGGACTTACATCTATCAGGGTGGACACCTCGGATCTTGGAAAGAGAGAGGAAGATAGTATTTATACAGGGGATATAATCACTAAAATACCCTTCTAACATTTATCGACTTTTCTCCATGTAATTTCTTCCTTTTTTTCTGATTGGTTGAGAGTTCCCATGACCTGAATTTCGTGCTCCTCTTTAAGAGGAAAATTAGAAGGGTTAGTGGATGGGGACAAAAGGTGGCCCACATCCCTCTAGTTGATCTTTTGAAGCCCAAAATCAGAACTGGTCCATTCTGGCCCAACGAATAAGCTTTAAAATCCCATGGAGAGCTCCAGCCCGTTGGTAGTTATTCGATTTAGCTCTTGTAAATTTCTTCACACACGGAACCTGAGAATATTCATCGGTAATAAAATTATTCGACTTCATAGAAGTCAAGCATAGTCAATCAAAAACATCCATAATATGCATGAAATGATATTCATATAAAGTTCAAGAATATTCACATAATTTAGTTGATATCATGATAAATTTATGATGTAGATGGTTAAACTCATATCAAATGTACGGAATTGTGGGCACATTTATCATGTTATCAGGGGGGGGATGAATTGAGTTTCTAAAACTTCTTAGAACTTTTTATTTTCTATCTATTAGTGGATGTGTTGACACACGTTCTCTCATAGCCTCCCTCTCCGGCGTGCCGCCCTCCTCTAGTGGTGCCCTCCTTTGGCGGCGCCCTTCTCTCGACGGTGCCCACCTCCCGACACCATTCCTCTCGTCGGCGCCCTCGTCCTCGGTGGCCGCCGGTCTTCGCGGCAGCCCTCCTCCCCCATCGCCCCTCATTGAGGCTGCCTCTGCTTTTTCCCCTCTCCAGGCGTTGCCGCCTGCCTCTCCTACTTCGGCCGCTCCAGGCCGCCATGCCGGGTGTGCCCTAGGCAACATCCGCCTCCCCGCCGGGCGTGCCCTAGGCGCCGCCCACTCCCCTTGATCGCCGCTGCTGCTGCGGCATGCCCTAGGCAGCGTGCTCTGCCGCCACCGTGGCCTCCGCCACCGCTGCAGACGCCACCGCCACCGTGGTCTCCCTCTGGCTGCATCCTGAGGTCTCTGTCGTCAGCTGCACGCCCTTGGCCGGTGCCCTCCCGGTGCTCCCCTCTCGGCCGGCACCCGCCTCAAGGCCGTGACCTCCCTGCGGCATTCCGGCGCCGTCTGTGCTCCCCCGGCACCTACGCCTTCATGGCCTCCTTCGCAGCGTCTCCATCGTCCCCATCTTCACCTACCTCAGAGCTCCTATCGGACGACGTCCTACCTCCTCCGGCACACCACGGCACAACTCACTCGACCCGCTTATATGGCTCTTTCATCTCATCGCACGGACGACTCTCCGACTATCCGTGACCTTTTTTTTATCTACTGGTCGCAAATCGACTCAGTCATTATCACTTGGATGCTCCATAGCATCGAGAAGAGCATTGCCGAGCCTCTCTCTTATATGAAGCTGGCACGATGTATGCCAGTTGGAGGAACATGAGTCGAGTGATAAAGATCTTTGAGTCCCTCCGCAATTACAAGTAGGCCCTCACTCAAGAGGTGGACTTCATCTACCTCCCACCTTAGACTTCTTGACTCTCTAGTGTTATTACTAGGAGTTTTATGTTGACGTGTATCTTAACAAACTTCATCTTTCCACCACATCCTAGATTTGCGGTTCCATTATCTCTGATGATCGGGTACCCAATCTCGCCTCCATCTTCTTTAGAGCACTTCGGGTTATGATTGGCACGTCTTGCCCTCTCTACCTTCCTTCACAGGCATCGTGACTTCTCCTTTGGCTATGGCCATCACCGCTCCTCGGGCTCGTGATGACGGTCCATCTTCTCACCTTGAGGGCGGTTGTCTTCCTCGTGGAAAGGGCCCGCAACTCCTTCCCCCCATATCCCTATTGTGGCAAGTAGAATTAGGCTAACAAATGTTGAAAGTAATTCAACAAACCTACTTCTACTCAGTCAGTGATAGCTCTTTTGGCTTCTATCTCACCCACTTCTTCAAATGTTTCCACCTCAACTTTCAACATCAACTTGACGTCTGTAGAATACAATGTATTTCACTGTTACATCAATCTCTAGAATCCTAATAGTGTCTGTTCTTTTGTCAGCTTCACTTTACTTCTGACTCCCTCTATGTCATGTACACATATTCTTCTTGCTTCCTCTTCATCGTTGTGGATTATCGACTCGGAGGCCTCCACTCATATGACCGGCACTTCATCTCTTTTATCTTCATATCAACTTAACCCTTCTCATCCTCCTGTCACTATTGCCAATAGCCAGACTTATCCGATCAAAGGTCGTGACACTACTCTCGCCACTCTTAATCTTCCCTTAAAGTAAGATCTTTATGTTTTCAGCTTTCTTGTAAATCTACTCTCAATTAGTGTCATTACTCATGTCTTTAGATGTATCGTTACCTTTTCTCCTTTTCATTGTATTTTTCAAGATCTGCACACCAAGTAGAAGATTGGTTTGGGCCGTGAGAACGGGTGAGGTCATTTTTATTGAACCTTCTTCTGGCCTTGGGGCCTTTTTTGTTGCCTCTACTGTCACTTCTTCTCTTTTATGACATTCACAGTTAGGCCATTCATGTTTTGAGAAACTTCAAAAAACTTTACTATGATTTTCTCTTAAGAAGTTTGTGTGTGAGTTATGTTAGTTAGGTAAATACCACCGTTTTTTTTATTTCAGTCGAGATGGTATTTTCTCTTCTATCTCTTTTGATCTCATCCATTATAATGTATGGGGTCTTTCTCGTACTCCTCTCTTGAGTTACCGGTATTACATCATTCTTATTAATGACTATACTCATGTAAGTTAAGTATCCTCCTACGCAACCACTCTGAAATTGTCACTGTTGTTACCTACTTTATCACAAAGGTTGTCACTTAATATTATGTTATGCCTAAAATTCTTTGCACTGACAATGCCCTCAAGTTTGTTTAAACCTCTTTCCAAAATTTCTACATCGATTGTGGTATTATTCATTATATCACTTTCTCTTAGAATTTCTAGTAGAACGATGCTATTGAGCATAAACATCGTTGGCTCTTTGACATCACTCACACCCTATTTCTTAAGATGAATTTCTCACATTATTTGTGGACCGATGTCCTCATGGCGGCCACTTACCTCTAAAATCGGCTTCCTTCCACTCCTCTGGGTGGGGTCATTCTCTTTCAATGCCTCCTACCTACCTCATCTTTGTTTTCTCTTCTTTAGATATTTGGATGTATTACTTTCGTTTAGGATCACTCTCCTTCTCTATCTAAACTCGCTCATTATGTTCTCAAAGAAGTCTTTGTTGGTTATTTTTGAATGTAGCTGCCCTCACCTCTTCCTCTTAGCTCTCTATCTCCACTAGCCCCCTCTGCTTTAGCTACAGATCCGTCATCACTCTCCTCCATTGAGCCGGATGTGCCTTCTACTGACGTCTCTAGTGCTCCTCAATGGTGTAGGACGGGCTTGTAGACCCGTCACAACTAAATACAGGTGAGGTAACAATGGGGGAGGGGGCCGATACACCACGAGTGATGCTAACCAGGGACTTTAGGTGATGAATGCTGAACTCAACTATGTGCAAGCAATAGTCGAAATGTCATGACGTCGACAGTCCATCACAACTAGGTGCCGCCAGGTGACTCTAATGCAGGGTGATCCTCCAAGTCCACCTCCGGAGGGCGAAGACAATGTCGTCAACGCAACTCCACGGTAAGTGCCCGACGACCAACGTGACAATTCTAGCACGTGCATTAGAGGTGATTTCGACAGCAGGTAATGTCGCCAGTGCTTCAGCACCTGGATGACAGCATAGAACTCATCGTAAGTCGAATATCGGAGTCGAACGTCATTCAGCTTCTCGCTGAAAAACTCTACAGGGTGGGTGGCCATCTTGGCTAAGGACACCCTCGATCCCTATGCCAAATGCATCGCAGGTGACTTCAAACACCTTCCTGAAGTCTGGTAGACACGGAATGGGTGCCTGGGTCATCGAGCCCTTCACTCTCTCGAAGGCCTGACGGCTGCCTCTGTCCATTGAAATGGATCCATCTTGAGGCAGTTGGTGATGGGTGCTGTAACAGAGCTGAAGTTCTGTACGAAGCGGCGGTAAAACGTCGCCAACCCGATGAAGCTCCGAGTCTCATGAACGTTGGCCGGTCGAGGCCAAGAGATGATGGCGCGGACCTTGTCAGGGTCGGCAGAAACTCCTTGTGCTGAAACGATGAATCAAAGAAAGGAAACCTCAGTCGTAAAGAAACTACACTTCTTCGGGTGAGCATATAGCTTCTCCCTCCGAAGCGCGGCAAAGACCTGTCGCAAGTGCTGGAGATGGTCGTCTCGTGTGCGGCTGTAAATCAAGATGTCGTCGAAGTAGACGACAACGAACTTCCCCATGAACGGGCATAAGACCTCGTTCATGAGACGCTGAAACATACTCGGCGCGTTGGAGAGACCGAAAGACATAACTCTCCACTCATATAGACCATCCTTTATCTTAAAGGCGGTCTTCCACTCATCTCCCGGACGAATCCGAACCTGATGGTAGCCACTTCTCAAATCAATCTTTGAGAAAATGGTGGCACCGTCCATCATATTGAACAGGTCCTGAAGGCGCGGGATCGGAAAATGGTACTTGACCGTAATCTTGTTGATTGCGCGGCTATCGCAGCACATGCGCCAGGTGCCGTCCTTCTTCGGCGCTAGAAGTGCGGGAACGGCGCAGGGGCTAAGGCTCTCCTGGATAAGACCCTTTGTCAACAGCTCCTGGACCTGACGATATAGCTCCTAGTATCTCGAGGGCTCCATACGATAATGTGGTAAGTTTCGGAGCATGGCTCCCGGCACGAGATCAATCGCGTGCTGTATGTGGCGCAACGGCGGTAAATCGCTAGGCAACTCCTCAGGGAATACGTCGCCATACTCCATCATGATGTCCTCGAGCTCAAGTGGGTACGGGGAAGGAGTGGTAGCAGCAGGAACGTCCAACGTCAAGGCAAACCAGGTGGGGATATCCGTGATCTCCCTCGTAATGTCCCTATGAAAGGCTGGTCCCCTAACAACCACCAACCCCACTCGAGGGGTAGTCACTCGTCTAGTTGGAGACTTGAAGGTGTAGGAGTACCATACAACCCTCTGACCGCGATGCGTGAAAGAGCAAGTGTTTGCTCTCCCCGAGAGATGGACGTCGTTGTCGTACAACCACGGTCGTCCGAGTATGATGCTCCCGATTTTCGTCGGAAGGACGTCGCAAAGGACATGGTCGTCATAGGTGCTCACCCGAAGTGGCACCCGGCACTGAAGTCGCACTGGAAGCGATGTGGTGTCTACCAAATACACATCATAAGGGGACGGATGGTTAGTGGTTACCAATCCGAGTCTCCGGACCATCACGTCGGATACGGCGTTGACGCAACTACCACTGTCGACGATCAGCTTGCACACTTGGCCGTTGATCTTCACGGAAGTGTAGAAGATCGACGTGCGAAGAGCGTCCTCTGCCGTTGGGTCGACCGATGGTGACTGGGACCTGGCCGGTAATGATGGTGGTCGAGCTGATGGTGGCCGAGCTGATGGTGGCTGAAGTCTGTCTGCCGGGGTCACTGCTGATTGGGACGGCGGATAGGCGCCCAGTTCTTTCTCTTCCTTCTTTTTGAGTTTAGTGTTACAGTTCATAAAAAATGGTCCAAGATTGCTAGATTGAGCACGCGACGCGTTGCGTCGGGGCAGCGACGGATACTGAAGGGATGGCGGCGGGCGTGATCTGGGTGTAACCAATCAGGTCCTGAGTGTCATTGCACTCATCAGCCGCGATGTAGATGTCGTCGCCAGGGGAGGTGTCGTCACCCTGAACACTAGAATTGGCATCCTCGATACCTATAAGTAGGTTCGAAGATGGGCACTGGCTCGCTCGGTGCCCCTTGCCCTGGCACTTGAAACAAGTGACATGGGTCTGGGAGGTAGTAGGTGCCCGGACTTCCACGTTTGAAGTGGTCGTCTGGGGTAGCGGGGCTGACCCCACGGAGGTGGCATGGATGGTCCGACCGTTCCCTACGCTCATGCGAGTAGGCGAAGGGGGAACTACAGAGGTGGAACGGGTGGTGGTCGTCTTGGCGGGCTGTTGTGTCATAATTGGTAACTCGTCGCCAGGGCGCTCCATGTGTTCCACAATACGATATGCCTCGTCAACATTGGAGGGGTTGCACTTAAGCGCCTAATTCCGAAGACGCGGGATCAGTCCATGCATGAATAGGCCAATCACGATTCCTGGTTCACCCACGAACCGGCATCTCATCCAGCACTCCTCAAAGGCCTGGATGTAATCCCTGACGGGTTGTCTTCCCTGTCTCAAATCAAGCAAGAAAAGGAATAGTGTCGACTCGTACTGTCGAGGAACATGTTCCTCAACTTCTGGGACATTCCCGTCCAAGTGGTGATGGGCTATCCTTGTCGCTCGGCGGCGAGGCCCTCGTTCTCCCAAAAGATCTTGGCCTGTCCGCCAAGTTTCATCTCCACATACTCTACACATAGGTCTGCGACCATTCGATACCAACGAAAGTAGGATGCAGTCAATGCAGTCTTTGGGCTCACGAGAGCTGTCAAAGACGGGTACGTCGGCCTTCACGCTCTTCTAGATGCGGACGCAATGCTCGTCACGTCGACGGTCACGATCGTCTCGCCGTTCATACCTGCAATAGTCGTCAGGCTGATGGTGAGGCGGACTCAGGTGGCGCCTTCGATCGTCGTCCCGATCGTAAGGGGCATCATAAGGTGCACGGTACTGAGCGCATGCACGCGGACGGTCGCGATGTACATCATCGCGATCGTATGGTCGGCGATCATTCCGCCAGTCAAGGTCATCTCGACGGGGATGATCACCGTGGGCTCCCAGGTAATCCCGATCTGTGACACTGCGGTCGTACCCATAGTGGCGGTGAACGTCCGCCTGATGGTAGTCAGGCCGACGCGGAGGGTCAACTCGCCGATCGGGGTAGTCCCGATCGTGACCGCCGTAGGCGGGGGTGAAGGGGCTATGATCGTCCAGACGATCGTACTTGTTATGTGTCGCGTCGCGACGGTCGTGGATATCTCGGCAGTAGTCACGTCGATAATCCTTGGCCGGATACCGCTCGTCATAGTGCCTGGTGGTGGTGCTCGGTCGTACAAACCTCGTGGCGGTCTCGCCTGTCGCTCTGATTCAACGCGCTCGTGCGCGTGGTCGTATCCGGACTCACGGCCTGGTCTGGGTCGCTCTGGGGTCGCAGTGACTGGCGAATGCGGCTGGGTGACGGGCTGCGCGGTCACCCGCTCCATATGCTCTGTAACAGCAGCCAAGGTCCGTAACAACTCGGTCTGTATGCTCGAGCCATCACCACGATAAGATGGTCGGTACGGGCCTTGAGGGCCCCTCCTGCCTCGTCCGCGTCCACTAGCGGACCGAGGTTCAGGGACTATCACGGGATCTTTCCCGTGGGGTCGTCGACCCGGGGGTGCTTGCGGTGCGGGATACCGGGGCGATCGTCCTCTTGACGATCGTGGGCTCGAAGACCCTCGCCCCGGGGAGAGTGGGGCGATGGCATCGGGGTGAAGGCGCGAAGTCGAGGGAGGGGGTGACCCATCCTCGGCAGTGCGCGGTAACCCTAGGTCCATTGGCACGTCGGTATCACGACGTGGCGATGTAGGTCCCTCCAGTACGGCAGCTCTGGCGGAGTGTATCTCGACTACCATGGCCAAGTACACCGGGGTGCCTATATGTATGCTCACCAAGATGATGTATGATACTGACGCGAGGTAGCGGAACGCTGGGTGAGCGTCCACAACCTGGCTTTGATACCAAATTGGTGTAGGAGGGGCTTGTAGACCCGCACTGACAACTAAATGCAGGTGAGGTAACAACGGGGGAGGGGGCCGATACACCACGAGTGATGCTAACCAGGGACTCTAGGTGATGAATGCTGAACTCAACTATGTGCAGGTAATAGCCGAAACGTCATGACGCCGACAGTCCATCACAACTAGGCGCCGCCAGGTGATTCTAATGCAGGGTGATCCTCCAAGTCCACCTCCGGAGGGCGAAGACTTAATGTCGTCGACGCGACTCCACAGTAAGTGCTCGACGACCAACGTGACAACTCTAGCACGTGCATTAGAGTCGCACGGTGGAAACACCTAACCCATTCTAATCTAGCTAGGTCCGACGGCAGTGGAGCAGGTGCGAGATGATATTGAACGTAGTAAACGACTTGGGGGATAGGGGATAAGAGCTAACCTGCACGGCAGAGGTCCGGTCGGTATGCAGTAGGATGTCCAACTATCACCGTCGACATGCGTTCCAGTGGTGGATATTGGCTGGGTTCGGTTGGGCTCAGTAGTATGGGCTCGGACAGGGTCGGAGGAAGGGGCACGACCAAGTGGCTGGGGCGTTCAGGTAGACGCCCGAGGTCAGGCGCAATGGCGAGCTTTGAGGGGCAGGTGTGGTGGCACGCGAGGGGTCTTGCAGCGCACATGTAGATGTGCCGTAACGGTCGCGAGACGAACGCACGGTTGAGCGCGCGGCGGGCACGCGATAGCGGGCGCGCGGGGTTGGCACGCTAGCAGAGACACGGCGTGTGCTGCTAGCCCGATAGCGAAGATGGCGTCCTGGCGGCAGCTCGATGGGCTGCTGATGGCCTGGAAGCAGCAGCGGCGACCTGGCGGTGATCCCCTTTGATGGAATCAATATGAGGGTTCATTTCCTTTGGAGGACCCACGAGGAAGAAGAAGAGGGAGGAGAAGAGGCCACGTCGCCCATGCACCCCTTCTCCCCTAAGGAAGTCGTTTCCCCCTCCAAGAGACACCGCTTGACATCCTTTGGGAGTGGACTCCTCTAACTACCGACCTCTATTTCCTATAAATATCCAAACTCAAGAATACCCGAAAGAAGAAGAAGTTGAAATTGTATTTAGAATCAAGAAGATTCGTGTTATCCCTCTCACCTCTCGGGTAGGGGTTCCTTCTCCCTCATTCACCCCTTGGACTGAGGGTTCCTCTCTCCTTTCATCGCGTCTTGAACTAGGGGCTTCCTCTCTTCTTCTCGCCCTCTTGGATTAGGGGGACCTTCATTTCTTCCTCGTGACGTCGTCCTCGCCATCTGCCCCGCCACCACCATCCTGCCTCCTCGCCGTCCCTGCATCCTTGTCGTCCGCCCATCACCGCCACTCCCCTTCTCGCCAGCCACCCTGTCGCCATCGTCCCGCCTCCTCGCCGTCCACCCAGTCACCGTCGTCCCCCATCCTTGCCATCCGCCCCGTCGCCACCATCCTGCCTCCTTGCCGTCCGCTCCGTCGCCTTCCGCCCATCACCGCCACTCCGGCTCCTTGCTGTCCGCCCCGTCGCCCCCACATCATCTCCTCGCCGTCGCAAACCCTCTCCTTTTCGCCCTTTTGCTGCCACCACGAGAACCCCTTTTCCCTCTCTCCTGCTGACATATTCATTCCGCCACCTTTTTCTCCCCCACCACGAGAACTTCTCTTTCTCTCTCCCCCCCGTTGAAACCTCTTCCCACTCTCTCCCGCCATCGCCACGTACCCCATCTTTTTCTTTCTCTCTCTCTCCCTCCCGCCGAAACCCACTTTCTTCTCTCTCCCGCCATCGCCATATACCCCCCCCATTTCCTCTCTCTCTCTCTCTCTCTCTCTCTCCCGTCGACGACCTCTCCTTCTGCCCCTTTTCCTCTCCCCACCTTTTTATTTCTTTTCCTCATTATTTTATTCTATTATTCCTCCTTTACACTTTTTTCCGTCTTATAATTTTAATTATCCAAATACTTTGTGTACCCTAGCTACTCGGCCCAAACCCCTCATTTTCTTGAATCATCACCGATTGGAAAATCCCTAGCAAGGCTCGTGGATTTCAAGCCACTCGAACCAATTAGAATCTTCAAGATATCAAAATCTACATTGCAAAGATGTGTTAATTTTTAAATTACTTGTGAAGTTGGTCATTATTTTAAAAACTTTGTTCTTAGAATTTGTGAGATTTATAGGATAGCCACTTGCATGTGAATGATTGACAGTCCTAATTCTGGTTGAGAAGCCTTATTTGATTCTTTGAATTAGATGACCTAAAAGGTAACTGATGATCCTAATTCTCTTAAAATTGTGGGATCATCTAAATATTAAGTCCTCATTCCTTGTGTATTTCTTTCTCTTTTAAGAAAATCTATTTTGGGCCATGTGTCCCGCATCACCCTTCCTCTCTTTGTCCTCTTGGAACGGGACTCAACCAAACACACTTTCTCCTAAAGATGATGGCTCTACTCTTAGAGGTGGCTCTCCACCCTAATATGAAGTCTTTCTGTGACCTCTTAGTCGATTTTTGGCTCACATGTTGAGGCGGCATAAGTACTTAAATGGAAGGCGACCGTGGACTCAGAAGTGGATACCTTGATATCTCAAGGGACTTGGACACTAGCTCCTCATCCGATGGATGCCAATATCGTCACACGTAAATGAGTGTTCACACTCAAATACCATTTAGTAGTCCTATTACATGTCACAAGGCTCATCTGGTTGCTTGTGACTACACTCAAGCATATGGCATCAACTACATTGAGATGTTCTCTCCCGTCATCTAACTCACTTTTGTCCGAGTGTTCCTCTCTCTTGTTGTAAATTAGGCATGGTCTCTTTACCAATTAGATATTTTTAACAAATTTCTCTATGGTGATCTCGATGAGTAGATTTTTATGGAGCAACCTCTAAGATATATTATTATGGGAGAGTCATCTAATGTGTTTTTTTTGAAGAAGTCAATTTACAAGCTCAAGTGGAGTCAACATGCTTGGTTCACTAAGTTTAGTTGTCTTCTCACCACATTTAACTTCTCATCATATGTTGTAGATCTCACAATACTCACAAAGAAGACTAAGGGCAGCCTAGTCATTTTTGCAGTCTACATTGATGACATTTTTATGATTGGGAGTGATGATGCCGACATTCATTATATCAAAGCTCATTTGCAACAACACCTTAGCATATGTGACTTAGGAACTCTAAGGTATTTTCTTGGGAATTGAGTTTGCATATAGAAGTATGCTCCTCACCATGACCTATCAGAAGTATGCTCTTAACATGCTTCAAGAGATTAGACTCCTTTGGTGCAAACTAGAAACTTTGTCTATAGAAGCTCATCTGTAGTTGTAGGACACTTCTTCTTCACTCTTTGAGGATGCTAATTGATATAAACAATTGTTGGACAAGCTGATATATCTCACTATCACTCACTCTGACATCGTGTATATAATTAGTGTTTTGAATTAGTTCATGCAAGAGTCATGATGAGTTTACTAAGAGGGAGCTCTACGAGTTCTAACATACGTCAAGTGAGCCTCAAGACAAAGACTCATCTATTGGCAACATGGTCATCTCTATGTCCAAGCTTATTTTGATGCTAGGTATGTAGGTGACAAGGGTGATCAGAAATGTAATGTGGGTTACTACACATATGTCGAAGGTAACCTTGTCACCTGGTGGTCTCAAAAACAAAGAGTGGTGTCATGATCTAATGCGGAGTCTGAGTATCAAGCCAAAGCGGAGATCACATGAGAGATAGTATGACTTCGATCACTTTTCGAAGATCTAGCATCTCTTCTCTTTCTCTAATACATATGCATTGCGATAGTTAACCCGTTATCTTCATTGCTGGCAATCACACATTACATGAGCGCATTAAGCATATTGAGATCGAGAGAAGATTATGTCTGGTCTCATCTCTACTCTTCACGTGACCTCATTTCATCAAGTCGTAGATGTCTTCACGAAAAATCTAGTCGAGATCTCATGTCATACCACATGTATCAAGTTGGGCATGCTTGACTTATATGTTCCAACTTGAGGGAGAGTGTTCGATAATGTCCAACTCATTAGGCCCTATCAGGGCCTTATATATACACATGTAGTCTTCTAATATGGATGATGTATTCTAAGGTTTCTTCTTTTTGATTGTCAACATACTCAGAAATACACATTGACTTTTAATGGGATCAACAACCCAATCACACTAGCTCATCATCCTCAAAGACCTTGCCCCTCAAGGACACAATCATCTTATCAACACTAGATGCTTTAACTTAAATCTTTCTCTACTCACCACCTAAGCATCTTAGGGCCTGATGGAGAGTGTCAACCTTTGAGATGAGTATTATTTTAAATCATCAAATATTGAATGTAAGATTGATGTAGAGTTTTGTACTTAGTTGAAGATATGTATTCAATGGAACATGAATAGAGAGATGGATATGTTCATTGGAGTGTGGATAGATATTAGAAAGTATTTTGATAGTCATTATTATTTTCTTCATAATATTTTCTCCTTTTATTCTTCAATGTTTTCTAATCTTTTCATGTCTTAACACTCAGACAGAAGTGAGTTAGATGACAAGAGAAAACGTCTCAGTGTAATTAATGCCATACACTTGGGTGAAGCCACAAGCAATCATACGAGCCTTATGACATGCAATAGTGCCATATGAATAGTATTTGAGTGTGAACAACCATTTATATGTGACGATGTTGGCATCTATTGGACAGAAAACTAGTGTCCAAGTCCCTTGAGATACCAAGGCATCCACTTCCGAATTTATGACTACTCGATACCTATGTCACCTTAACATGTGGGTAAGGAATTGACTTGAAAGCCACAAAAAAGGCAAAGGTATGAAAGGAGGGGGAAAGGTGATCGTAGGAAATGAAGTGAGAGATGGGGTGTTAGGTACAAGCACAAGTGTCTTTGTGTAGAGAAATGAGAAGATCAAGATCCTCTTGAGGAACACTAGGGACGTCACTGGGAGGCACAATCAGCTTGGTGGAGGAGGGGGACGATGGATCTATAGTCAATGTGGAGGAGGTTGGTGGAGATGAAGAGCCAAGAGGAGAAGGTGATAGTGAAGAAGACACATAGGAGGGAGTCAAAGGAGATGGATCTGCAAGGATCATCAAGGGGGGAAAGCTAAGTGGAGGAGAGGCAATGATTTGAGGAGGAGGGAAGGTAGAGGAGAAAAAGAGAGACTCCTCATAGAAGGTGACGTTGGCCAACGTAATATAGTGATGGGTGTCAAGAAAGTAAACCCAATAGCTCTTCTGCATTCGGGAGTAGCCAAAAAAAACCCCTTTGAAAGCATGAGAGATGAATTTTAGATAGAAAAATAGGGTGATCTCAGACGAAGGCTGCATTCAATCATCAAAGGAGGAAGAAAAAATGCGGGTAATATAAGTACGAGTCATTGAAAGGGAATGACTCTATCTAGAGAAGCAGAGGGAAGTTGATTCTAGAGTTAAGTGACCATCATGAGGGCGTTGATCTATAGATAGTGTGGGACATTCATCTCACAAAGTAGGGTGCGAGTGATTTTAAGTAGTTGACAATGTTTTCGTTTAGTGATACTATTCTACTATGAGGTATAAGGGTAGGTGGTCTAATAGATACTATCATGATCTGTGCATAAGGTTTAAAGAGAGGTTTGAATAAACTTGAGGGTGTGTCGGTGTGAAGAATTTTGAGTGTAGTAGAATATTAAGTGACAACCTTTGTGATGAATTGGATAATACTAGTGATGACCTCAAAGTGGTCACATAGGAGGTATACCTAACTCACATAGGTATAATCATCAATAAGAACGATGTAATATCGATGACTCAAGAGAGGAGCACAAGAAGAACCTTATACATTACAATGGATGGGTTCAAAAAAGGGTGAAAGAGAGAATATCATCTTGATTGAGGTAAGAAGAATGGTATTGTTTACCCAATTGACATGACTCACACATAAATTTTTTTAAGAGAAAACTATTGTAAGGTTTTTTGAAGTTTCTAAAATAGGGATAACCTAACTACTAATGTCATAAGAGAGAAAAAGTGGCAGTAAAGACAACAAAAAGAGCTCGGAGGCAAGAAGAGGGTTCAACAAAAATGAGCTCATAGACACCTTGCTCGTTCTCACGACCCAAATGAATTCTCTATCTGGTGTGCAGATTTTGAAAAGTGCAATGAAAAAGAAAAAAAATAACAGTACAACTAAGGGCACAAATAATAGCACTAATTGAGAGAAGATTTGTAAGAAAGCCAAGAATGTAGAGGACCTACTAGAGGGGAAGGTCAGAAGTGACGAAAATAGTGCCACAACTATTGATCAGATAAGTCCATTCATCGGCAATGATGACAAGGGGAATTGAAAGGGATAGATTGATATGAAGATAAAAAGGATGAAATGCGTTGAGAAGAGAGGGGTGCTATTGAAGGAGGGCAGCATGTTAGAGAGGGATATGGCAGCTAAAGAAAATCTACCTTTAATACCATGTTGACAATGAAATAGAAAACCCTAGAATATATCATCAAGAATGAAAGACTGCATATTTATATATATGAAAGAGGAGATAGAGATGATACTAGGTTGAGAGTCTGATGACACTATTAAACAAATATCATACTTTTTCAAGAATTATGAGATTTATCCACTAAATAACACCATTATGTTGTAGAATCTTCTTCACTATATAGTGATGTTAAATGACATACTTATCAAAAAATTGATCAAGTTTAGAATTCTTAAATTATATACCATTGTTACTCCACAAGATTTTGATCTTTCTTTCTATCTGATTTTCTACTAATAAGTTTTTATTATCATGAGTTAATAATTAATAAATAATATAGTTTTAGCCTTAACTCATGATAAATAGACTTAAATTTGTGTTAAATTATAAAAAGTGGTTTTCAGTTGATTAATGTGATTTTTTGGTTAATTATATGATTTTATGTGAATTTATATGATTTTTATAATCCTATTTTTGAGATAAATAAAGAAGAAGAAAATAAAATAAAATAAATAAAAAAAGAGAGGACCCGCTAGCCAGCAAGCGAGTTAGAAGTGTAGTCGAAGAAGAGCCACAAGTGGGGGCTCAAGCGGCTATAGACTGATGGGGATACGTGTGCGCCACTCCCCTTTCATGTCACTAGTGGCTAGTCAGTTGTGGGACAAGGAGTAAATGTACATGTGAGAGAAAGAGACTCATTACTCAAAAATATGATATTACTATATATTTGCCCAAAACTTTAGTATACAATCGTTGTAGGACTAAATCTGCATCTTCTCGAGAAAGCCTTCAAAGATTTTAATACTTATATTACCCATTATTTATAACAAAGATATATTATGATGACATCACTTTATAAGGGCATTAGAGTACTTATTTCAATCTCTCTTCTGCAAGCAGACAATCAGCGCAAATTCGAATCCTCTTAGAGTGAAAACTCTTATTTTTATCTGATTAAATTTTAACTTTCTTGTAGATTGTCAATGAAAGATTAAGCTATTAGAATCGTTAGATCAATGGTGAAAATCTTGTCTACATAATTCGTAGAGAATTCTTACTAAAATTATTAAATGATTCGTGATAAAAGGATTGTGAATCTATCGAGTAAATTATTTTTGATTGATCGACGAACAAGTCATCATCAAGAAGAGGATGATTCGCCGAGAAATAAATTGCCACCTCCTGAAAGTATACCGGATGCGATGAAGAGCCTCCTCTTATTATGCAGACTTGAAAATGAAGCTCCTTAATATGTGCTTCACTTTCATTCAGTTCTTCTTCATCGGGTGATAGTCGTCAGAGAGCTGCAAAGTCACCACTTTTTCATTCCATCAGGTGATAGTTGTCGGAGACAGTTCGACGACTTATTTCATTGATCTCTAGACTTCGCAAGAAGATCTAAAGATTATCTATGTCGTCCTTGTCTAAGGAGAGCCTTTGAGGCCATGGACACTATATGACGATCCTCCTGAATACTCAAGATTCTAGTACATCGCCGACGCATCACCGCCATGATGCCAAAACTGTATTTTATTACTTTCAACTTAATTTTTACTTTATTTATTGATAATTTATGTGATTTAAATTTACCCAACTACTCTTCATTTAATTATAATTATTCTAACTTTTATAAATTTTAATTTGATCAATTAAATCATATGTAATCATTTATGTAAGAATTAGAGTTTTACTCGATTCGCATTTATCATGTGTTGACATCATCTTGATGTTTGCAACCTTAGTTTCCTTTTTCATGAATTTTAAATATATTTCATTTTTATTTCTTAATCTAAAATTTATAAAAAATTAAATTCTTTGAGAAAAATTCTAAAAAAATAATTGATATTCTATTACATCTCTATGATCGGCCTAATTTTTTTCACTATTTTTGAAATTTTTATTAAATTATAATTGATATATTTTTTCAAAAATACTTCTAAATATTTAAAAATTAGATTTTTCTAGTTTTATAAATTTTAAATTTACATATTGAATGGAAGATTGGTTTGAGCTGTGAAAATGGTGAAGTGTCTATGAACTCATTTCTAATGAACCCTCATTTGGCCTTCAAGCCTTTTTTGTTGCCTCTTTGGTTACTTCTTCTCATTTGTGATATTGTCGTTTATGTCATTCTTGTTTCTCTAAATTTCAAAAAATCTTATTGTGACTTTTTCTCTCTAAGTTTATGTGCGAATCTTGTCAAGTGAGTAAATATCACTATACTTCTTATCTTAGTCATGATGACATCCCTTCTTCTATTCTCTTTGACCTTTTTCATTACGAAATAATAAAAATGGTTTTATTTAAGATGTATGGGATCCATCTCGGGCCATCATTATTTCATCATTTTTATTGATGACTACATTCATGTGAGTTGGGTCTACCTATTATAGAACTGTTCTAAGGTCGTCATTATGGTTACCCACTTCATCATCGAAGTTTTCACCTAATACACCACTACGCTCAAGATTCTTCGTACTGATAATACTCTTGAGTTTGTCTAAGCATCTTTTCGTAGCTTTTGTAATGATTGTGACATCCTTCACCAGACCATTTATTCACGCACCTTGTAGTAGAATAGTGTTGATGCCCTTTTAACTACTATTTACCTCGAGAATTGGCTTCCCTTTGTTCTTCTTGAGAGGGGAGACATTCTTCTTTATCACTTAATCTATGATTCTCTTCTTTTTTCTCTTTCCCTTTGATAACACACATACATTCATACTTGATAGAAATCATGTATGTTATCACTGAAGTCATTCATTTTGTGTAATCCATACATAATGTTCAAGTCACAACTTTACATATTTTTTAGCACATCTATAGATTAATGTTATTGGACTTTGTGAAGTTCAACAACTCAATTCTATTGATTATTCTCTAAGCTTGTATGTGTAGAGTATTAGGCCTTTATTAAGAAGAAAAGAGACAAAATCCCAAAATCTAAGCAAAGAAGAATTAGGCTAACCTAAGACTTGGAGGTATGCCCATAAGTCAATGGGCCTACAAGGGCTAGACCAATAGAGCACCAATTGAAGCTTGGAGCTCAATGTGGATCTCCGTGAGCCCAGCTAAGGTCCAGTTGGTGCCAAGGTTGTGGATTTATATTTTCATAAAGTCTAAATGAAGTCTATCTAGAGTCAATGCTCAACAAGACAGTTGGGGTCCAACTAAAACAAAGGCCCAAACATGCAGCCCAAAGCCCAATTACAAGGAGCTCAACTGTAGCCCAAGGCCCAATTACAGTGGTTGAGGGGATAAGCTTCAAATTCACTAACCAATAGAAGAAGAGTACGGTTGTGCTGGCACCCACTCCTAAAATATGCAGAATCTAAATACCCTTGTAAATTACTTTAATAGTAGCCACAAAGGGAGGTTGTTTGTTTAATTTTAAGAAGGTAAAATAAGAACTAAAAGGGGGTATTTAATGTCTCATGGCCCCACATGTGGAGGCATCTTCAATGGTTCCAGACTAGGGCTGGCTGTAAGACAAGACCCCAAGAGTCCCTCTTCTATTATGCAGGTATGAATAAATTTATTTTGTCCATTTCTTGTGTGATGGAAGAGGTTAGCAAGGAGGAAGGGAGAAGAGTGGCCTAGAAGGGAAGATGCACTTACCTGAAGATGAATAGAGCCTTGGGTTGGCAAGATAGACCTTAGGATAGATGTGTGATTCTCTTGTGCATTCACTATCCCATTAACTTCAAAATTATGTAGGTTAGTATTAGGAGGGAGCATGAGAGAGAGACTTGTCAAAAGAGATAGCACTTACTAACTGTTGATTAGAGCCTTGAGTTGGCAACGTAAACCCTAAGATAAGTGTTGTTCTCTAGAGCTTTCATGCCCCCTATCTTAGTCCTTGCATAGATAGGTTAGCATTTAGTATTCTATGTAGTTTAGAAGTCACATTTGCACAACCTAACCTATTATATTCTTCCAAGTGTCTTACCCTTGAGGCATAAGATACTTCTCCCTCCATTCATCTCTTTCTCCTAAATCCTCTAGAATATAAATTTTCACCCCAACCTAATCATATTCCCTATGGATACGACCCTAGTTCACTACTTTCTACATAATCAATCAAGAGTTAGACTTATAAGTATTTTTTAAACTCTAGTTATGATTCACGACACCTTAAATTTAGATTTATCACCCCTTGGGTCTTTGAATGTACTGCCTTCATCTAGGATTCCTCTCCTTCTCTTTCTAAACTCACCCCTCATGCTCTTAAAAGGGTCTTTATCGGACTACTCTCGCACACAAAAGGGTTATCAGGTCTACTTCCTTGATACCTGTTGTTATGTTACGTCACTTTTCATTTGACTCATTCTCCTCCTTGTGCTGCTATGTCTCCTCCACTTGGTTCCCTCCCTTAATGGTTTTTATGAGCCCTCTTCTTTCTCTTCCCTCATGTTCACTCTATATGGGGTCGTTACCCTCATCCGCCTCTCTTCAGCCTATGTCTCCCATGGCTCATCATGCTCCAAATATAGGTCTCATCCTCTCTTACAATCCCCTCTCCTCCTTCAGTCCTTGCTCAACCTAATGACTATCATCTCCTTATTATCCTCCACAAAGGTACACACATCTGCACCCATTATCCCATTTCTCAATTTGTCTCCTATGATCGCCTTTCTTCTTCCTTTCATGTTTTGCCCTCTCTATGACCTCCAAGTTGCTTCCACGATTGTATATTGAAGCTACAAAGGTACTTGCATGGAAGGCAGCCATGAATTCAGAGGTAGCTACATTCGTTGTTCGGAAGACGTGGCATTTGGTTCCACACCCAACCGATGCCAACATTGTGACGTGTAAGTAGACGTTTACCCTCAAGTATCACCTGGATGGCTCCATCGCTCGTCACAAAGCTTGTCTGGTCACTCAAGGCTACACGTAGGCATATAGAATCAACTACATAGACGTTCTCTCTTATCGTCCATCTCAACTCCATTTGCATGCTCCTCTCTCTCGTCATCAATCACATACGATCTCTCCACTAATTAGATATTTCTAACACCTTTTTCTACGATGATCTTGTAAAGTAGGTCTTTTATAGAGCAACCTCTTGGGATATGTTTCTTAGAGAAAATAATCGAATGTGTGTCTCTTATGACGTGTCAAACAAAGTCCATGTGTTTGGTTTGCCAAGTTTAGTGGTTTACTCACCACTTTCAATTTTACCTACTACACTGCAAACTCCACCATGCTCATAAAAAAGACAAAGAGTAATCTTATCATCCTTGTTGTCTATGTTGACGACATTCTTGTGATTGAAAGTGATGAGGCAAGCATATTTACTATCAAAGTTTACTATAGTAATACCTCAACATTCATGACTTGAAGATTCTGTAATATTTTCTTGAGATTGAGTTTGAGTATTAGGACAGAAAACTCATCCTCACTCAGCAGAAGTATACCTTTGACATACTTTAAGAGATAGGTCTCTTTGGGTGTAAGTTAGAGACTTTGCCTATGAAACCTCGCCCACAACTCTAGAACACTTTATCTCCCCTACTCGAGGATGTTAATTGGTATCAACAATTATTGGGCAAGTTGATATATCTCACCATCACTCGTCCTAATATTGTGTACACGATTAGTGTCTTGAGTCAGTTTATGTAGGAGCCTTGACAAGTTCATTGGGAAGGAGTTCTACAAGTCCTTGCCTACATCAAGCAAGCCCCAAGGAAAGGCTCATCTATCAATGACACGATCATCTCTACATTGTAGTGTACTCTAACGTCAAGTATGCAAGTGACAAGAGGGACCGAAAGTATACTACGAGTTATTGTACATAAGTCTACTGGTAACCTAGTCACCTGATGATTTCAAAAATAGAGAGTGATGTCTTACTCTAGTGCGGAAGCCAAGTATCGAGCCATGGTTGAGATAGTGTGGAAAATTGTATGACTTCGATCACTTCTTGACTATTGATAACATGCTATTTATGCATGTAATTATATAATTATTAATGCAAATTAAGGCATTAATCATTACAAATATATGCATGTTATCATATTTTAAGTATATTTCTATCATTTTGTGTAAATTCATGTTATGATCTTAAAATACACCAAATTATGAATTATTATAAATAATTACACATTATAATCTTTAATCCTAATTATATTTATGATCATAATCATGTTTTAAGAGTGAAAATATGAGAGAAAAGATATTTATTAACATTTATGTATTTATATAAATTTATTTTATATAATACATAAATGTATAAAATTAATTAAAATTTATTATCTTCTTATTTTAATAATTTGACCTTTTATAATGATAGATATTCAATTTTGAATCCAACAAAACAAATTTGAATTAATTTGGAGTTGTATTTTGAAAGTTATGAGTTTTACAATTTTACAGAATTTTCTGGAATTTTTCTGAATTTATTTATTTTCGATTTTTAATGTTTTAAATTAATTAAAAAAATCGCAAAAAAGGGGTTATATGTCGCGCGTGTACACGTGGATGCGACGTGGCAATCGGGGGCCACGTGGCTCTGCCATGTGGACAGCACGCGGGGCGCCTGCGTGGCGCTGATGTGACAAGTGACGTATTTATATTTACTATATATATTTATTTAATAAAATACATAGGTCCTTCGATTATCGGATTAATCCCACTTAATCCTCATATGTTATATACCCGAATATATTCCTTTGTTTTTCCCGTGTGGGACTAAAGTCCCTTAGTTTTCTTATGTGCAGGACGCGTGGCGTGATCTCGTGCGTCCGATCGACATCGCGACAAATAGCATGCGTAGATCACGTGGAATCGAGGTCCACGCGATCAGAGATCAACCACGTGCCTAAATACTCACTTAAGTGAATAAATCGTGACCGTCTGATCGAGAGTTATAACGGTCCAGAGTATTCACATCAGATGGACATCCAATCACATCTTAACCGCACGATCACGATCGGATGATCGTCGAATCGTCGCGACGATTCGTGAAGAGGCGTCTCATCGCGATCGTCCATCGCGATCAACTCCATCAGATCGGACGGCCACGATCATTTCCGAATTTTATAAAATCCGTTCTTCGCGACGGATGAACGGCCGCGATCAATCTTCAAATTCTCCTTGTTTAGAGCTCCAATTCGCGCGCCATCTTTTGCATTTTGTTCGCAACTCATTTCCGCTTCTGTTGGATGTTTAATTTCAATGTTTGATTGAAATAGTTGGAAGAAATCAAGTCTTGAACTCCTCTTTCGTCTTCGAAAATTCGGAATGAAAAGCCTTGCATCCGGCGATTAATTGGATCATTTCGAAGGCTAATTTGGGTTAGATTGTTTTTTTTCATCTTAATCTTTCATCATTTAGTATTAATTTTACTTTAAGTATTGTAGATTAAGTTTAATTTAGTTTTATTTTTTGTTTTTAATCATTTCGCGATACGAAAATTTCTCTTAACTTCAAACTTCGATTACTCTTCGAATTCTCATCCAAATTACCTGATTTTTGATTACGTGGATTCGAAATTGAGTTATCTTTCTTAATATACTAAATTGCCCAATTTCTAACCTAATTTCATCGTCCGATTTGACCGAATTTCAAAGATATATCTCAAATTTCCCTAATTCTCCGTGGATTCGACCCTTAATTACCATTATACTAATTAATTACTTTGATTAATCATAAATTGGTAAGATTAGGACTTTGTTTTGACACTGAATCGTGTGCATTCAACGACCATACGATTTTGTCTCGTCAACTATCTCAACATTACTTCTCCTTCTCTAATACTCATGCATTGCGACAATCAAGTCGTTATCTTCATTGTTGACAATCTCACATTTTGTAAGTGTATGAAGCATATTGAGATCGACTATTACTACATTCGAGATAAGATTATATCTAGACTTATCTCTATTTTTCATGTGACATCATCCCATCAACTTGCAGATGTCTTTACGAAATATTTGGTCGACATCTCCTACAACACCACATGTACCAAATTAGACATGTTCAACTTATATGCTCAAACTTGAGGGGGAGTGTTTGATAGTAGTATCGAACTCTCGGCCCACTAAGACTTATTATCTATCTCTCTCTGATCTCTCCTATATAGAAGTCATGTATTCTATCTTGAGGCTGCCTAAATTCTAGAATTTTCTCCTCTTATGTCAATAACTCTAAATAACTGAAAATGACAAGTACTAAAAATCATGATGAAGATTAGACATATGGCTTGACAATGAGAGTCCATAGAAAGAAATTTAAAAAAGAGAGTAAATAAATCAAAATTTAATTCATTAATGAAAGTTGTGTTATAATGTAACCAAAGATGACAGATTAAGATAGCAAGATTAAAGAGAAATTGTGATCAATAGTAGAAGAACACAAAATGAGCTGTGGAAAGTAGGAAGAGAAATCAAGGCCTTTTGAAGTAGAAGTAGGGACATGAAAAAAAATAGGCTCCAAGTTAGACCTTGCTCAAATGACTTGAATAGGGCACCTATCCATCTATAACATCAACAAGCTCCAAGTCGAACCCTGTGGAACAACTCAGGCTCATATGCTATAAGAAAACCAATAAGAAGAGGATAAAGGGTCGTCGTGGGCCAAGTTGACTTGGGAGACACCTGGAAAGAACACCCTTGACAAAGCTGAAGAGCATTAAACTTGACGAATCAAGTGCGTGGACTCTATTTAAGCTCATAAATTATCTTTCGTTAAAAGCACACCTTATCTAGCTCCCCTTAAGTAACATACCTTAGAGGCTGTTTCATAAAGACCTACTCCTTGAGATCAGCATAAAGAAATGTATTAGAAATATTTAACTAGTGGAGAGACCATTTTTTATTTATAGTGAGAGAGAGGGCTTGCTATTCTCGCATCTATTTAATTTAAAATTTGAATTGAAGATTCTTTCTTGTCACCTAATATCTTTGTTGTTGAGGTCAAGTCACAATAAACTTATTTAGTATGTCATTATCTCCACATAATCTATTGAGGAATCACTATTTAGAATGCACGGCAATGATCTTTTCTTTTTTCGTGATTTTTCAAATATCTTCTCATCGTAACTTCCGACTTGTTGGCATATGAATTTCAAGTTTGAATCTTGTACCAGACTTGATACTCCATGAATTTAGGAGTTTCTTCACTGAAGCTTCAACATGCCATTGTCCGAGTTTGAATTTTGTACTTGACTTAATATTATGTGAATTTTCATGTGTTTCTTTGCAAAGGCTTCTAACATGTTGTCGTCTGAGTTATGAGTTTGAATCTTACACCTAACTCAACATTATGTAAATTTCTAGGTATTTATTTGCTAAATCATTCAACTTATTGTCGTTCAAGTTCCAAGTTCAAATCATAAGATTATGATATTTTTCACATATTTCATTGCATGTGTTGTCACTAGATTTCTTGTACTTATATATTATATCTAAGATGCTACATTAGTTCTAACATATAAAGATCTTAAGGATTAACTCCTTGTATTTATTTGTTAGCTATAGTAAGATCACAAGAGAATTAACATTATACATATTGAATAATACTCAAAAGTATTAAACCTTTAACACAAACTCTTATGAAATATATTAGATATTTAATAAACATTCAATAAATAAATGTTCACTTGTATCAAAATCAAGGGCATCAACAATAACAGCGATGACACCAAAGATTTTGGAATTTGAGGAGGCCCTAAATTTCAAGGGTGATGGGTTTAAGTCTAAACTAAAGTTGGGTGACATATTAGTGGTCATTGCCACCACTGATGTGAAGGACTTGACAAAAATCTGGAACAAAGGCTTGATGAGAACTGATAATCAAAGGTGGTGGTGGTGGTGGTGATGGTGATGGTGGAAGGTAAAGATAATGACATTGGGATCATGCTCTCTTCCTCCCTGCTGGTTTGTTGTCTTCACACAGAATAATAGAATGTAAAAACAAAAAGAGTAAAGTATGTATAAGATGTCCTAGAGACACTATTGCCTAACAAGAGATAGGCCATATGTTGAAATGTGGCTCTTTGGACTGGCAAGAATGAGTCATGTGCCTATTAAATGGATCACATGCCCAACATAGACTAATGCAAAATAAGTACCACACGAGAATAAGGACAATAATGATTGTTGAGTCCTACCACATCATTTTTACGTGATAAGCAACTCATAATTAATATATTTGGTCCATTAGTTTGTGTTAACTAATATATATTTAATGAGACATCAAGTAATATATACTTTAGTTTAATTGTGTGATATACATGCTTAATGTATGATTTTAATATATTTTTATAGAATATTTCTATTTTGAATATTATTTAATCATATCTTTATATACTTTGATGATAAGTTGAGAAGGTTCAACTAGAGAAGAGGGGAAAGGATGGTGATGAGGATGAAGAAGAATAGAATGTGGATGAAGGCAACCAAAAGATCATAGAAGAGGATGACAAGAAGAATATAGATTATGAAGATGACAAGGGAACCTCTAGGGTGACAAAAACCTTACTGCAACAAAGGCCCTAACGTGACATAAAGACATCAAGGGAAGCTCTAGGAAAACAAAAACTTTGAAGTGATAGAGATCTTACGGGCTACTTCTTTAATGATGGAGATGGCAATGAAAGCCCCATTAACTTTGATACAATGTTAACAAATATAGAGAGACGAAAACAAGGTGGTAATACCATATTTACAAGAGAGAGAAAACGGAGAAGAGAAAGAAAGATGAGAGGGCGATAGGATGAAAGCACACACTTAGCCAAGCCTCGTATAACCTTTATATAATGTTAAAAGGACATAAAAACGGTGAGGACCAAAAGGTGACGAGCCCATAAATACAGCAAGGACCAAGATGTGAGAAGCCCATTAACCAAGATATGGGAAGCCTACAATAAAACTATATCTAACATCAATCACTCTTGTTACCAAAAATAAATATTTTCTTAATTAAAAATTGACATGAGGTGGTGTTGATGATACTAAACCAAGTAGAGGGAGACAAGTTGGCCAAATTCCACTTGGTGGAGCTTAACGACCTACAAGGATCATTAACAAAGTTGTGCTATATGGGATCATGTGAAGATTAACTCTCCCAACTCAAGATTATCCCTACTAACACTTAAGGCATATGCAAAATTTTATGTAAAATATTCTATTCTCTATCAGCAATATAAGACCTCCTTAATAATGGTCCATGACAAAAAGTTTTTATTTTAGAGGGGACGGAGGGAGATGACTCTCGGCATCACCAATAGTTAGGGAAAGTTCACTTAATCTCAAAGAAGATTCCTCATGTAGGATAAAGAGAAAAAACGGATGAGAAAGGCTGATGGTTTACTCATAATGGAAAATGTGATGCCTCAAGGAGAGTGGAAGGGTGAGTTTTCTTCACACACCAACAACCTCTAAGTATTTGATGCAAATCTGAAGTGGGATGTCAAATCCAATTCTTTTCACCAATCATGAACCAATAACCGAAATTATTAAGAAAGTATTAAAAAAAACGATTTGGGTCTAATGAAATGATTTTGTCACTTAGATGCTCAATAGATTGAAGCTTTATATGATTTAATGATTGGATCAGATCCAAATCTTTTGAGTGATATTGGTGACTAATATTATTTAATAGATGAATTCAATATTAGAAGATTGATATAATAGTCTTAAGGGTCAGTTTTTTTTCCTCTTCTTGGTGACATGGATAACGTGAAATTGATGAAGATCTAATTTGATAAAACATGATTCTTGTGGATTTTATTTTATATCAACATCATTGAGATTAAAATCTTATAAGACATGATATGATGACGAAAATGAACAAGATTATGGAAAAAAAGAATGTCTTAGAATTATATCATCTATTTTGTGGGTTGATGTCCTATGACTCAAAGTACACTTCTTATTTCTAACATGGATAATCTGATATTTATGTACACATAGTTTGATACTAAATAATTCACTTAGATTTAAAATTTTGGATTTCATCAATCGTTCAATAGATGAGATAGTATTGCCGCTAAGCACGAACGTGGAACAAAATTTGAGTGGGAAGGTTCATCTCACCAGAATCGCGAAGAACGAACGGCCGCAATGGCATTCCTGCTCAAGCGGAATGGCCTGAAGAAGTCCCGGAAACCCTCTGAATTTATCAATCTGGTGCAAGATGGGAAGTGGCATGGGCATCCATGGAGGTGGAGGAAGAGGATGACTTAAGAGCATTTTCCTAAAAGCTGAGTTCGCCTGTGACTTGCTCTCTCTCTCTCTCTCTATCTCTATCTATCTATCTATCTATACACATCTATCTTCTTCTCCCTCCCCTGACCACCCAAAGTTTCACTCCGATCGCGAGAGCCAGCTCGGGTTTAACTTGGATGTAGCGTTGGAAGAACGGCAATATGGCCCTATGAGTGACGATCTCTCTCTCTCTCTCTCTCTCTCTCTCTCTCTCTCTCTCTCTCTCTCTCTCGCTGCCCACCCTTCCCCCCCGCGTCCCTCGTCTCTCTTTTCTCCAAAAGCTCCTTCCCCCCAAGTCCTGCGGACTCAACAGCTGGAGCGCCACTCAGAGTCTTCGGGGAGGCCCGAAGATTACGAGGCAAAACGGAATGTTAATGATTGCACCTCACTGGCCGGTGACACTTGAGCGAAGAACCGCAGCTTCCGCTGGCAAAACCGACGCAAACCCGGGATCCCTCCTCCCCTTTGCCGGTCACGGGACAACAGTCCAAGAGAGAGCGAGAGAGAGCAAGAGAGAGAGAGAGAGAGACTTTCGAGTCACCTCTCCGTCGTCCGTTATGAATTAACAAGGATCTATTCGCTCCGTTCTACGGTGGAGATTCCTGAAGAACTCAGCTGCGGGTACTAGCTGGCCGATTGCTTTCGTTCTGATAAACGGGAGGAGAAACCGGCGAGAGAGCCAGCCAGCGAGACGGTCGCTGCTTGAGCGCCACATATAAGCTCCACTTTTGTGTTATAACCGCCGAAATCATTACCCCCGGAACCAGGCTCCGACGAGGCCTGACGCGTTTCACTCTTGCTTCTTGTCATGTGCTCCCTGAGTTGGGGGTTTCTACGGCGATACCACTCGGCTGAAGGAGAGAGTTGTACCCGCGGCGTCTTCCGGGTAAAGCGGGTCGACTCGGGTGGAAGAGCCGCCATCGTCGTCGAGAAGTCTTTGCAGCACGCGGGAGTTTGCTATCCGTTTTTGTTCCCATTCGTGGATAACGGCATCCGCTTATGATTGAATCTCTTCCTCTCTCTCTCTCTCTCTCTCTCTCTCTCTCTCTCTCTCTCTCTCTCTCTCTCTCTCTCTCTCTCTCTCTCTCTCTCTCTCTCTCTCTCTCTCTCAATCGGTCTAAATTCGTCACCTTGCCCCCTGTGCCCATTTCCCATTCCCATAGCCATCCCCTCGCCGCTTCCAGCCCCTGAGAGCTCCTCCCTTCCTGCTTCTTCATCTCTCTCTCTCTCTCTCTCTCTCTCTCTCTCTCTCTCTCATCGTCTCAGGGAGGAGGAGACCATGATATCTTCCCCTGGGATGAGAAGACTTGGGTCTTCCTCGATTCGGACAACTCCGGCGGGATCGATGGAAGACCCGGTGAGAAGCCGGCGGGAGAGTCGGGCTCCAACAGTCTGACGGAGGTGGTGACTCTGTCTGCGCAGAAGAGGCCCCGAAACGGGTTGAAGAAAGGGAAGAACGTCACGTTGGAAAACGAGAAAACGGGCGCCGCTGGGGAGCCTGACCATGAGATTCATATCTGGACAGAGAGGGAGAGGAGAAAGAAGATGAGAAACATGTTCGGCAGCCTCCATGCCCTTCTTCCTCAGCTACCAGCCAAGGTAAGGACCTAACAATTCAAACTCCACGTCAAAAGAGAAAGTGTTTTAGGTTTTTGCCATGGACAGAGGGAATTCCTTAATCTTTTCTTCCACCATTAACGAAAAATACTCAAGCTGCTGATATGAGTTTTCGACTTCTCCTACCACGCAAACGGCAAGAACAAGATGCCCGCTTCGTTTTCATTCGCCATTAAATTATTTGATAACACAGAATCGCTATACCTGGCCGTGTGGACACTCGGAGCTATGCTTTTGTCTACCCTTTCCTGTGTTTATTAGCAGAAAAACCTCGGTTATGCGCGGTGCGAGTTAGAGAGAGAGAGGATATATATATAGAGAGGGAGAGAGAGAGAGAGTTGGTTGAATGTCGGTTCCGATGAGCTGTGGAGCTTCTTGTTCACCTTTCTAGACCGCCAGATGGGATACTCCATTATCATTTTCATTCTTCGCTTCCTGAGGAATCGCCCGTTTTCCAGGCAGATAAATCAACGATTGTGGACGAAGCTATAAAGACGATTAAAACCCTAGAAGCCACTCTCAAGAGACTGCAGAAGCAGAAGATGGAGAGGATCCGGGGAGTCATCCTCGATAGCCCCATTCCCGTGACGGCACATCAGTGGCAAGCTACAGGAGAGTCCTCGAGGGAGGCGTTCATGGCGGACCAGGGGAAGAGCTGGCCATCAGCGGCCTCCTCCGAGCTCCGCTTCCCGCAGTGTTTCCAGACCTGGTCTTCACCCAACGTAGTCGTGAGCGTGACCGGAGCCGACGCTCACATCAACATTTGCGCCGTGACAAAGCCGGGACTCATCGCCGCCATCGTCTACGCGCTGGAGAAGCATAACCTGGAGGTCCTTTCTGCTCACGTCTCCTGCGACTACTTCAGGAGCATGTTCATGATCCATGCACAAGTGAGTATCAGAAGAACCCTATTTTTGTCTCATTTTAATCTCCCCCACCCTCTCTCTCTCTCTCTTTCTCTCTCTCTCTCTCACTGAACACGTTTCTCAATCTGCCTATGCATACATATCTACACACACGAACACACAGAGAGAGAGAGAGAGAGAGAGAGTTCACGCCAAGCGGTTCCAAGAGAGGACGCTCCAAATAAGATCCTTAGATTCCCACTGCTCGATCTGCCGTTCATGAAGAGTTACGTTGATTCTGGCATTGAACAGGCCAACGGAGCTCCCGACACGTTCCCGGAGGCGCTGCCATTGGAGGAGATCTTCAAGTCGGCAGTCGAAGATATCATACCGTGGATTTCGTGACTCTCTCTTCGCCGGAGCAGAGATCGTGATTGCTACGCCTTCATGAACCCTACCTTCAGACTCAGCGGATTTTCATTACTCCTTTTTCCGCGTTAAACTGAGATCAACATGAACTCCTCGATACCCCATTAGGATTATGTGGTTGAACTCATCGTGCACCAGTTTAATGGCATGTTCGTCTAGATTCAGCGATCTTCCATGCTGTGTATTGTTGTTGGCAGATGTTCTGTGGCTTATAATCGCTGATCCCTTCGGATCGATCTTCCTCGGCCTGTATATCTCTTGGTTGACTGCAAAGTCAGACATGAAATGAGGTCTATCAACCATGCAGCATACGAGAAACAAAGTATAGGACCAATTTTAGTCGTCCCATGCAGCTGGTCTTATGGCCTAATTGAGCGTAACTAAAAACGGATTTTTTTCCCAAAATCATGGAATAAGCTAGGATTTGCACAATGCACCCACTCGGTAGATCCTCCCAATTGACCCATGCATGATCGTTGGCGAAACATTGGTGAATCGTACCCTAACTTCATCTGGAAACATCACCGTTGCCCAAAGTCTCCGCAACCTTAAAACCTAAGCAATATATTGATCTTCAATATTTTCTTATTGCAATTGTATGGTTAATAGAGTTGGAAATCGGGTCGGCCCGGTTTCGGAGGCCCTGACCTCGATATGGTTGATTCCAGTTCTGAGCCCTTCTCGGGGCTTTACTCTGGGCCCTGGCCATGTGGCCCATTTTAGGCCCAAACTCCTTCGCCTGTGGTGGTACAGCTGGCGGTGGCTCATGAAAAGGAGAGATGCATCTGGAAGGCGGCCCGGCCCACTGGGAGAATCGCGCATTTTTGCCACGCTGTCCAGAATGTCCGCGTGGCATCCAGTTCATCTTGATCGTTATTTCTCTGTGGGCCCCTGTCCCTCTCTTCACGTTGAAATTAAGAAATCCATTCACGTGTGTAAAAACTTGGCGTAACGCAGGAAAATGGCAGGGAAGTCAACAATCAGCTGTAATCCCATTTATTTTGACCTTCAAACGTGTCGCATGGCGGGTGGTATGTCGATTTAATGGAGGACTCTATCGAGGCGACTGGCAGCGCCTCCTGCCCCCATCTACTCCGACGATAATCCATCTGACGGTAAGGCTGGTCGGGCATGGTTTTTCACGTGGAAAAGTCAAAGATGCCGAACCCACGTGTCTTGGCCCTGGCGTATCATCCCAACCGGGGCCTGATCCCGAGTGGGAGAGATACAGAGAGAAAGAGGGAGAGAGAGAGAGAGATAGTAGATATATAAAGATATATATATATATCTAGAGAGAGAGAGAGAGGACGTCGACTATAGTTCCCGGGGCAACATCACATGGGGGTGGGGCAGACGTGAAAGGCCTGTGCTACCGATCGAGGGAGACGGTCCACGGACGGCATGCTCATCTCACCTCTCTGCAACTCATTATTAGAGAGAGAAAATCGAGTTGACTCCAATCCGGAGAGCGTTGAGGGCCAGCCGGGTCGGCCCTTCCTCGTCTTACTCCTCTGTTCGACGCCCGAGGGAAATAAATCACCTGCGCGAGGGCTCTCAGCAGCCTCGCCGCCGCATTCATTGCACAGCGGAGGCCTCGCGCAGAGCGGAGGCCCTGGCGAGGGCCTCGGCTTGCCTGACTTTGATTTGGGTCACCGATGATCAACTGTCTTCCATTTGCGGCAGGAGCTCTTAAATATTCTGCAGGTCGCATCATGACAGCTGCGATCTCTCTTTCTCTCTCCATCGCGGCTTTCCCACGGTATCGCTCCTCTCTCTCTCTCTCTCTCTCTCACTCTCCCTACAGACTGTAGATTAGACCCACTCTGTTGACGAAGATTCTACAATCCCGACACCTAAGAATTCTAGAGAAATTCCGACGTCCGACTCGCCGACGAAGGATGAGTCATCGCCCTCTCCCATATGTCCAGCAGAGACAAAATTCCTAGAATGGCCCCTTCGTCGTGGAAACACCCAGGTATGGGAGCTCCGCCATCTCTCCCTCTCTCTGAGAAGCCATCCCTTGAGTGCCCGGCCGCTAGGCTTCCTCGCCTCCGCTTCTCTCCGAAGCCTCCGCCGGTCTGGTTTGTCCTCTGCTAGCCCGTCGGATTCTTCGGTTCGTCCTTCCTCTGAAAAAACTCGAGTTTCTTTTCTTCTTCCGGCTATTTTCGCCCTCGCCGGAGGAACCGAGGGGGAAGGAATGGCAGTGAAAGAGAAAAGCTCGCCCTCGCCCTTCCTCAACGACCAGCTCTCGAAGCGCACATTCATCTTCGGGCTCCGTCTGTGGGTCATCGTGGGGATCTGCATCGGCGCCGGCTTCGTGCTGATCCTCTTCCTCATCTCACTATGCATTGTCCACAAGCGCAATCGGAACCGCCGCCGCCGCCGCCGCCGCGGCGAGTACCTCCCGGAGGGATTCCACAAGCCCACCTCCCCTGTCGTCACCAAGGAGACTCAAGAAATCCGGGTCGACCCATTCCGTTCCGGCGATCCCAAGGTCCCCCTCGCCGGTTCCCATCCTAAGGAACAGGCGGCGGCGCTTTCCCCAGTACAAGGGGAGAAGGCCGTGGGACTCCACGGGATCCACATCGAGCTCGGGAAGGTCCACCGCGTCACCTACCCTGAACGCGGGACCGGCGGCGGCGGGTCGTCGAATGGAAGCGGGGAGCACAGGCCGACCGATCAGGCGGCGGTCCCCATCCCCGAGGTGTCTCATTTAGGATGGGGGCACTGGTACACCCTCCGGGAGCTCGAGGAGGCAACCGGCGGATTCTCCGACGAGAACGTCATTGGCCAGGGGGGGTACGGCATCGTCTACCATGGAATTCTCCAGGACAACAGCCAGATCGCCGTGAAGAACTTGCTCAACAACAAGTAAACCCCTTCCGTCGCATCCCCCCGAGAAATCTACCCTTCGATCCTCTGCTCACGATCGATTCGATCCTTCCTCCTCTGACTTTCAGGGGGCAAGCCGAGAGGGAATTCAAGGTCGAAGTGGAGGCGATCGGGCGAGTCCGGCACAAGAACCTGGTGAGGCTACTCGGATACTGCGCCGAAGGAGCTCACAGGTATTGCCCATCCCCTACCTTATTCGGCAGATCATCGTCTTCCTTCCTTCACGGGCGAACAACAAGATCTCATCTTGCGCCATTCCCCCGGCAGGATGCTCGTCTACGAGTACGTGGATAACGGGAACTTAGAGCAGTGGCTCCACGGCGACGTCGGCCCCAGCAGCCCCCTCTCGTGGGACGTCCGCATGAACATCATCCTCGGAACGGCGAAAGGGTGAGTCTCCGGCGAACGAACTCGCCCCCTTCCTTCCTTCCTTCTCCGTCGGCCATGAACGAGCCTCCCCCTGTTGCAGGCTAATGTACCTGCACGAAGCCCTCGAGCCCAAGGTCGTCCACCGCGACGTGAAGTCCAGCAACATCCTGCTCGACAAGCAGTGGACTCCCAAGGTCTCCGACTTCGGCCTCGCCAAGCTCCTCGGCTCGGAGAGGACCTACGTGACGACCCGTGTCATGGGCACCTTCGGGTGAGTCCCCCGGGAAAAACTCCTCCCCTCCCCTCCTCGGAGGCTCCTCGCTGCCACCGCTGACCACATCCCTCTGGTTCTCCGGCAGCTACGTGGCCCCCGAGTACGCCAGCACGGGGATGCTGAACGAGAGGAGCGACGTCTTCAGCTTCGGCATCCTGATAATGGAGATCATATCGGGCCGGAAGCCCGTTGACTACAGCCGCCCCCCCGGCGAGGTCTCCAATCATTTTCATCATCATCATCATCTTCTCCATTTTCGGCCTCGTCCTTCCCCGCGGTTCCTTCCTCAACCCTGTCGCCCCTGACGGTCGTTTTTTAGGTTAACCTGGTGGACTGGCTGAAGACGATGGTGAGCAACCGGAACTCCGAGGGCGTCCTGGATCCCAAGATGAGCGATGGGCCCTCTTCCAGAGCCCTGAAGAGGACCCTCCTGGTGGCGCTCCGCTGCGTTGACCCCGACTCCCTGAAGCGGCCGAAGATGGGGCAGGTCATCCACATGCTCGAGGTCGACGACTTCCCCTACCGCGACGTGAGTACCAGCTCCCCTCTGGTTCTCTCTCTCTCTCTCTCTCTCTCTCTCTGCCTGCATGATCCAAGCTTCTGCCTCCAATTATCCAGGAGCGGAGAGCCGGGCACGAGCCAGCGGCGGCGGGGCATGACAGCCCGAACGTGAGGGTGAGGCTCTCGGAGAAACCGCCCGCCATGGAAGCCGGCGACGGCAGCGCCGACTCCGGGAGCGCCGCCAGGTGGCAAAGAAGAGACAACTGACATGAGCCCACCGTTTTAGGCTCGCGTTGACCTCCGAAACCGCCCTTTCTTGGATCATTCTCTTTTTTTACGATACACGTCAGTGATTCCAATACCAAACCAGATACAGCGGAGAACCGAGTCAATTTTGATGAATTTGTCGGTGGGGTGTCATCGGGCCGGGCCTCCTGGGCCCGGAGGAAGCCCACCATGACGAGCTTTGGCCCGAAAATTTTACGGATTGTATGAGGCCTAATCTTGCTCTTAATTCTCCGATCACGACCGCACTGATCTCCTTCGATTACCCGATCGGGGTAGAAATGGGGAAACTCGATGGTTTTGGCCTAAATGACTGCCCTTATTGGGCCCACGCCAGCCCAATATTCAAGAAGGTCCCACCATTGTACAGGACATTAATCTCCGTCTTCACCCGTGTGGGTCCTAACGGCTTGGCCAAAATGACGGGCCTTATTGGACTCATCCCAGCCCAATAATTAAGATGGTCCCGCCACTGACGTCAATCTCCGACTTCACCATGTGGGCCCAATGGGATGGCCCGAATGGCTGCCCTGATTGGGCCCAAGACAGCCCAATATTTAACAAAAACTCGCCACTGCACGACGTTTAATCTCCGTCTTCATCCGTGTGGGCCCAATGGTTAGCCCAAACGGATACTCTTATTGGGTTAAATCTAGCCCAATAATTAAGACCCGATAAAATTTTCTATTTCTAAAAGGGGATTTTTTTCGCGGCATCGCTATTTAATTTGTTGCCCATATAGGCCCATTCCAAATATCTGTTTGGCATGAGAAATCATTTGAGGAAGGCCCATAAAAATCCTACATTGACCCAATAATAATATGCCACGGCCTCCCGGACTCGGCCCACTAGAGGACGATATAAATACGTATCGGGCGTCAGAGTAGGGTTTCCTTCCACCGGCGGCGCATCGGCTTGAAGCTCTACGGCCTGCTCTGCCTCTTCTCTCGTTTGCGGCTGCCGACCTAAGCAACTGCAGCCATGGTAGTGAGCCGCGAGAGCGTCAATTTTAAGTCCCTTCGGTTTATATTCTTGTTCTGTAATTCTCGTGTGGTGAATGCTTTCGTCTGGTTCTTCCCCAGATTATTCCGAAGAAGAACCGGCACGAGATCTGCAAGTACCTCTTTCAAGGTGCGGGCTAGGGCTAGCGTCGGGTCTCCGATCCCGGCGCCTATTTATTTGCTTTCTGTTATTGCTCCTCTCTTCTCTCTGACGGCTTGCGCTCTTGGCGATGACAGAGGGTGTTCTGTTTGCAAAGAAGGACTACAACCTGCCCAAGCACCCGTTGATCGACGTACCGAACCTCCAGGTTATTAAGTTGATGCAGAGTTTCAAGTCGAAGGAATATGTGAGGGAGACATTTGGCTGGATGCATTACTACTGGTACCTCACCAACGACGGTATTGAGTTTCTTCGTACCTACCTCAACCTTCCGTCGGAGATTGTGCCGGCTACCCTTAAGAAATCTGCCAAGCCATTGCCATCTCGCCCCATGGGCGGGCCCGGCGACCGCCCTCCCAGGTGTTACTTCGTTACTTTTGTCTTTCTTTCCCTAAATTTTATTTACATTATTGATATATTTATTTGGTCATCTTTGTTCGATTTTGTGGCAGCATGATGCCATTCGATGGGCTTATTGTCACTTTAATTTGATACTTATTAATTCGCTTTTTTTCGGTATAGGCGCTTTGATGGTGACCGACCAAGGTTCGGCGACAGAGATGGGTACCGTGGAGGTCCTCGTAGCGGTCCAGGCGACTTCGGTGACAAGGGTGGCGCCCCGCCTGAGTTTCAGCCTTCATTTAGGGTAAGTTCCCGAGTTCGAGCCGTCTTTTAAAGATGAAAAATGTGGTTTGTGATTTCCATCATTCTACAACTGCGCCTTTGGTCAGTCACACATGGCGACTAGTTTCGGTAGAAACAGAGTCTTGAAAATTCGATTGTGGTGCAAGCATCTTCATGCCTTGCGTAAATTTTGAGTGGATATTGTTTTTGCATGTAATTTGGTTTCCTTTTTTTCTAGAGAGACGAAGTTGACCAATCCCTGCCGGTTATCAAGCAATTGTATTGACGATTGCTTCTGAATCCTGGAAATTTCCTTATAACAACGTCTGTGTTTCTCCCCGTATCAAAATATTCTGGCTGTTAAGTAACCCTTTCTTCAGACCGGAAATTAATTCTCACTGAACCGTATTTTACTGGTTCCCATCTATCAACCTCTGAGCTCGTGTTCTCTGGTTTCATGTCTTCAATCGTATTTTAGCCCTCCAGTTAGGGCCCTTCAGTATCGAGTTATCTTTATCAGCCTACCTGACGCTTATCTACTTGAATTTACCGTAGGGGCTTCTAATGTGAGCATTTAGAAGAAGTTAAACATTTTGCAAAAGCTAGTATGATTTGATTTTAGTTGTCCATGCTATCCATGTATCACATACTTGAATAGTTACGTCCACCTCTTTACGGCTGTCTGAGAAAATTACCAATGCTGCTTTTTCCTCCAGCAGTTGACCAATACTTTAATCTTTGTTAGAATGAGAGTAACCCAATCATGAAATCAGATGCCGTGTTTAATTGGTTTGACTATTTTCTTATGCGGAAGTGGAGAATGTGACCATGTTTAGGATATTGAACTTTTTCAAACTTATCATAGTTTAATACCATTTATTTTGACGAATCCTCGTCACAGACTCGACTTTCTGAACGAAACCAATGAAACATTTCCACTAGTTGATTGGAGACGCCAAGTAGTGTTCTTAAACAAAACCCTTTTCAAAATTTAGCCATAAGTTAACGTAGATGATGAAATTCGTGGACATTATCGTCTGTTATTTCACAGTTTTGTGCATGGCAAGGTCATCTGGTGTTTGTGTGAATCAGATATCAGAAATCACTCGTTGATCAACAGATCAGTTCAAATCTGAGATGCTTGTTATCTACAGGGTGGCAGCAGGCCAGCTTTCGGCCGTGGCGGCGGTGGCTATGGTGCGCCTGGTGGCAGTTACGCAGCTCCTGGGTCCTCCTCCCTCGAGTAGCTTCGAAACATCTATCCCTCTCTTCCGGTCGTTGCATGTTGGAAATTTTGCTTCTGTGCGTCTGAACCAGTAACTTCATTGCTTCAGGTCGATAGGCAACGGTTCTTTCACCATCAAAATCCTCTTCTTTCCTATTCTGATGGATCTTTTTTGTGTATTAAAGAAGCGTTGACTCATCTCAAGCTTTTATATTTAATTAATGACACATCCGATTGGTCCACTAACCTTGCTTATATATTTAGAAGAACTTGGTTGCAAAACTAACCAGCTTGAGCTGATCAAAATAACCAGTTTGATCCTCCAATGCCTTTTAATGCAGCATATTTATCTGATGCAGTAGAGATTTCCTCTAATGGTAAGCACTGGAAATTAATGCACTCCTATAACAGCATATCCTCTCACGTTGACCCAGAAGCCTCGGATACAAAGCACAACTTATTTGCCCTCATCTAGACTGCGCCGGATCGGCTGCCCGCAGAAAGAGAATGGCGTCTGGAAAGAGTAGCTGCCCTCCTGGGGATGGTGATGATACTGGTGCAGCTCTCTCACACCTCCACCTCTGGATGCTCCATGTTCTTCCTATAAATAGAAAGGTAAGTGACAGGGCCGACCCACTTCCACGAGATGATAAGCAGATGAATAGGTCAACGGCGGTGAGTTTACCAGGATCATGCCCAGTTCTTTGTTCTCCGCCTCAAGCAATCTTTCCTGCGAGTTTATCAGATCCAGGCATGCATAACTAATGGTAGAAAAGTGTTTTAAAATAGTAAATAAAATAAATAATGCTAACACCCCCCCCCCCACATTCTTCTTGAGCTTCTTCAGAAGTTCCATCTGCTTCTCGCGGACGCTGTCGAGGCCCCGTTGAAGCGTCGCCTCGAGTGGGATCAGTTCGTAGGGGCTCAGCGGGGCGATGTCCTCCCCCTTCAGACGCCTGAGAACATAAAAAGCTTCCATTAATGGCGGCTATAAAGGAAAGGGCTTGGTGTCTCTGGTTCTTGGCAACGCAGATAAGAAGACCTGAGCTCGATCTGCATGGAGTCGTTCTCCTTCTTGATCCGGTCGATCTCAGCATTCAGCCTCTGTTTCAGAGATGAAAGAACCAGAGGTTCAGAGACGGGGCGGTGTGAGCTCATTCGGAAGAGGGAGAGCCAGAGGTTTCCTACCTCGTGCTTGGCGTCCCAGATCCTGTTGCCAGTGTACTTGTGGTATTGCTCCAGCATCCAGGAGAGCCTGCGGGGGGCCTTTCCGGTGAGAGATCGGAGAGAGAAACAGAGAGGTATAGAGATGTGGTGGGGATGATGGGAACGGACGTGGTGTTGTCGCTGCAAAGCTCGGCCATCTTGCCGGAGCTGGAGAAGAGGACGAGGTAGACCTGGGCGTTGCAGAGGACGGAGATCTCCTTAGCCTTCTTGATGATCCCATTCTTCCGCTTGGTGAACGTCACCTGCCTGTTCGTCGAGTTCTCTATCCTCTTTATCTCTATCTTCCCTCGTCCCATCCCCGAGCCTTCTCCCCCGCCGCCCCCTCAACAACGGGGAAGAAGAAGAGGAAGAAGAGGAAGGAGAAGAAGGAAAAAGAAGAAGTCGGAGAGGTTTTAAGTCGGGAGGGGAGCTTCCGTCGATGGGCTGAGGCGACTGGGGGCCTCTTTCCGGGTGGTCGGCCGGCAGCAAGCCAAATATGGAAAAGGACGGAAAGAGGGGAGCGGAGCATGCCGCAAACCAGAGGGCACCTCTCCTCCCCCTCCCCGCCGTACCTCTGGACTTCTCAGAGCTTCTGCACGCCGTGTACCTTCCCTTCCGTAGAGGTAAAACCGGAGGATCCTTTCGAGCACTTCGCTGGCGTTCTTCCCGGATTTCGGAGGTCGCCGCTCTGCGTCGAGTCAGAGTTTTATCAGCGGCTGCAGGAGCACCCGCCGGCGAGGGTGAGGGCACCCTTCGGACCCCTTTGTCCGAAGATCGCCGCCCGCTGTTGCAGAGAGACCCATGAACAGAACTGGATCAAACACCAGACCAGACCTGTTTGATTGAATCGATCAGAACAATTCGATCGATTTCAGAATGTATGGAATGCGTTACGCGGGTGGCAATCATATAAGCAGCATGGAAAATGAATTCCCCTGTTCTTGGTAGAATCAATATGTCTCAGTCGGATCCAACAAGTACAAGGACGATTTCTTCGTGTTCAATCTTGAGGTCGATGATTTCCCACCGGGGGCCTGCAGAGAATCAAATGAGGATGGAACGGGAGCCGCCGAAGTCGCCATCGTGGAGAGCAAGCTGGTACTTCCGCTTCCGCTGGCGAGGCTCGAGAGGCCATCGGTGGCCTTGGGAGGGGGAGGCCTCTCGATCTCCATGGTCCCCTCCAGCATCTGAACCACCCTCCCCATGGTCGGCCTCTGCGAGGGCTGCTCCTGGATGCACCAGAAGCTCACATGGACGGCCCTCGCCATTTGCACCATGTCGACCTCCTCCGGGGCGAGCCTCCTGTCCACGATGCTCGCTACGTTGCCCTTCTCGAACTCCTCGTAGGCCCACACAGAGAACTTCTTCCTGTCTATGTCCTCTGAGACGTCGAAGTTCCTCCTCCCGCTCACGATCTCCAGCAGCACCATCCCGTAGCTGAAAACATCAGACTTGGAGGTGATGGGGAGATTGGCCAGCCACTCGGGCGCCAGGTACCCTCTGGTTCCCCTCACGCTGGTCAGCGTGCGATGGCGGTGGTCCTTGGGATGCACCAACTTGGCCAGGCCGAAGTCCGAAACCCTAGCGTTGAAGTTGTCATCGAGGAGGATGTTCTCCGGCTTGATGTCGCAGTGGACGATGCAGTCGCGGCACTCCTCGTGGAGGTAGGCGATCCCCCTGGCGGTGCCAAGGGCCACGCCGAACCTGGTCTGCCAGGAGAGTGCCACCGTTGACGATGGGGAGGAGGAGAAGAAGAGGGAGCGGTCTAAGGAGCCGTTCTTCATGAACTCGTAGATCAGCAGACGGTGGCGCCCCTCGGAGCAGAACCCGATCAGCCGGACCAGGTTTAGGTGGTGGGTGCTACTGATGGTGGCGACCTCCATCCGGAACTGCCTCTCCCCCTGCTCAATCCCCTCCAGCTGCTTCACGGCGACGACCACCCTGTTGGCCAGCACGCCCCGGTAAACGGCGCCGAAGCCGCCTTCTCCGAGCTTCTCTTTGAAGCCTTTCGTCGAACGGTGGAGCTCCTTGTAGGAGAACTGCACCGGCGCGCCGGAGGCGTACTCCTGCAGCGCGTAGTGCGCCCTCGATGGCCCGTACCTTCGGCTGTTCCGGCAGAAGCACCACCAGAGGGCGGTCTCCAGGAGGATCAGCCCCGAGATGGTTCCTGCCACCACGACTACGATGATCCAGGCGCTCAGATTGGAGGAACCCTTCTGCGGCTGATCCGCCGGCGGCGGCGGCTGGTTGTAGACGCCCGGTCCACAGGCCTTGACGAAAGAGGTGCTCGGCAGCGCCCGCGACTGGTAGCCGCTCAGGAAGTTGGACACCTTCAGGTAGCACAGCCCGGTGCCGTCGGCGAGCGAGGTGGAGGCGCCGCAGGACGCCCCGGAGAGGCAATATTGCTCGCACGCCGCAATCCCGACGAAGAACACCTCGACCTCAATGTCGGGGGGGTAGGTCAGAAAACGGGTGTGCTCCAGCTTCAGCATGGTGGAGCTCCCGGGGCAGTCCCGGAGCTCCTGCCGCCGCTTACAGCCGCGCCGAGGATCGCCGGGGTCCACCAACTCGAAATTCTGGGAGGGGCACCCGCAGGAGGGCTCTGTGTCATTGTAGCTGCAGATGCCCATGTTGCCGCACCAGCCGAAGACCTCGCACTGGTCCGTCACCGCCGACCACCTGGCCGTCTCCTGCCTGCTGGCCAGCATGTAGCTGTAAGCCCTCAGGTTGCCGTCGTCGTCCAGCCGGAGGTAGCGGAAGAGGTCGTTGTTGTCTCCGAAGTCGCTGCTGTAGGCGATGTTGGAGGGCTGGGAGAAGGAGGGATCGGAGAGGCTGACGATTCCATTGATCTCCAGCCTCAGGCCGGGAGAAGTGATGGAGGTATTGGTCATGAGAGAGGTGGTGTTGGGGCCCTCGTTGTAGTAGACGATGGTGTCGTTCCACCTGAGGGTGAGGTTCCCCGTTCGTTTCAGGGAGAAGGAGTAGGGGCCGGAACGAAGGACCATCCGCGAACTGAAGTTCTGCGTCTGGACGATGGTGTCCGTGGGCTGGGAGAACGAGTCCCAGACGACGGAGCTGCCATTTCTGAGCTCGAAGTTGCCGGAGTCTCGGAGAGCCGCCGCCGTGACCCCACGGCCGGCGGTGCCCGTCTCCCAGACGATGGCGCCGGAGCCGTCGACGAGGCGGAGGTTCCCGTCGGGCTGGAGGTGGAGATAACCGGCGGAGTCGACCGCAGCCAAAGGGCTCCGGCCCCCCGCCGTCCAGATGCGAACGCCGCCGGTGAGGGCGATGGCGACGACGTAGAGGGAGGTGTTCGTCGGGTCGACGGCGAAGAATCCGAGAGAGAAGGTCTTCCTGGGGGAGACCCACGGGGAGCTGAAGTCGCTGGGGCGGAGGACGGATCCCAGGGCGAGATCGGCAGCATAAGATTTGAATACTGCCACTTGAAGGAAGAAGATGAGACTGGAGAGGAGAAGGAAGGGGAAGTGCCGGTCCCCGCGGTAACCCATCTTTCTCTCTCCCCTTTCCAGCTCGGGGATCCGTCCTCTCGCCTGGTTCAGATGCGAAGAACGAGAAGTAGGTGAGGCAACAGAGGTGAGCTAGGAAGGGGGGCGAGGGAGGAAGAAGACGATGACAGGTCCCGTCGGCAAAGAGGACTGAAGAAAAAAGGGGTCACTGAGAATGTGACTGACACAGAAGGGGGCACCTACGAACCAGACCGAGTCACATCGGAGATCCCCTGGTCGACTCGACTCGCCGCCGAGTTCCTCCCCGTTCTTGGAACACCGTTGAGATCCACCGTCCGATTCCTCTTTGACCGGGGATATCCGCTGTACGTGGGGTCCACTAATCCCCCAGGGAAATCGCTTCTATAGACTAGAGATGGTGGCTTCTCCCTGAATCGGCCCCAATCGATTCGCCATCCTCGAGAAATAAGGGGCGCCTGCCCGGGCATCGGTCGGCCCGAAACATCGGGCCCGGGCATCGGTCGGCCCGAAACATCGGGCCCGGGCCTCGTCACAACTGGAGCCCGTTTTTATTCGTGGAAGATAAGTCGGGCGGAAGTTACACGGCCCATATCAGGAGGTCACTGGCGGACGTTTTAATTCCAATCAATGGTCCATACCCACCGTGATCTGGTCCACCGGGCAGCGTGACTTTTGTCCGTACATCGCGTTGCACTCACGGCGGCTTGACTTGACCGCCCTCAGTGGGAGAACAGGTTGCCGTCCTGAGAGATGAGCAGACACCAGGTTGACTGTCGTTGCGGTCCAACTCGGGCTCAATTCTCTCTCTCCTCCGCCTGATATCGTCGAGACAGATGAGCCTCCCGGAAGACGGATGAAACTACGGGTGAAAACTTTTTCCGCTGCCGTAACTTCTGCATTGAAGATATTACGGAAGTCGACCCCTGAAGCTCTCCGAGCACCAACGCTGCCACACCGTTCCGCTGAGTTGAGACGGGGGCCAGGATGGCGGCAGATCAGACGACTGGATTGGCACCATATTAATCCATATATCTCATCACAATCTCTTCTTGTCAAACCACGTAATACTTAGGAAGAGGTTTTATTTCGCGTTTGACGTCACTAGTTAACCGAGAAAGTCGTCGGTCGTCGTCATGAATCCACCACAAGATAAAAGTCAACCTTTTATGGGAATTATTGCAGTCATTCCTCGAATAATGAAAGTTTTTTGGACGGCTTCACAGAGATTACAGTCCGTTTGCAGCATCCGTCGCCGCCGGCGCTCCTCCTCCGTCGCTCCTCTGACAACAAAGTCAACGGCGAGGTCAACATGTGAATAGCGAACATCGCGATGAGAAGGGCAGAGCAGCACCTTGTAGAAATCGACGGCTATGAAGTTCGGCCACCGGTTCCCGGAGAGGCTGCGGCAGGTGTTGACCATGGCGAGAAGCGCCGCCGAGTTGTCCCTGCAGGCGGTGACCAGGTTGGGGTCGTCGGGGAAGTGGTTCATCAGGACGAGCGACCTGCTCACCGAGTTCATGGGCGACGACTCGGCACGACTCGGGCACCCGCCCCCCTTCATTCCGCCATTACCGTCTGCAGAAGCTCGTAAAACGCTCGTTTAGCTTTCCGGCGAGTTCCTCACGAAGGCAGATTGCTAGGGTTTTCTCACGTACACTGGTTTTCCACGAGGTAGCGCCACTGGTAGGCGATGCCCTCCGAGGCCTCCTTGCCCGACTTGGAGGTGAAGACCAGCAGCCTCTGGTTCCGGCCGATCATGTCGTTGACCGTCGGCCAGTCTTGTCCGTTCTTCGGCATCCGAGACACCGGAAACCAGAACTTCCTGAGACCGGCGGCGTCGAAGACCTTCGTTAGGCCCCGGGGGGAGGTCACGTAGTCTTCGATGAAGACGGTGACTATCGCCGCGGGATTCGTCTGCAGAAAATCGCCGACCTCTCGAAGAACATTGACGGCAGGTTGCTGCCGGAGGGTCAAACACAAGATCACCTGGTTATCTGGTCATTCATCCTAAATAAATCACATAGAGGGCCAGATCTTAGATGATATCTTATCTTACGAAGGCTGTGAAATTGTAACAGTTTCCGCCGAACGAGTGGCACAGCCAGACATCGCCTTCGAAATCATACATGTCCAGCATCAATCCCCTGACCCCGTTCTGCACCGCCCAAAACCCAGATACATAACCACATAGACAGAAACAGAGAAGATTGAGAGAGAGAGAGAGAGAGAGAGAGAGGGTCAGGGGGTGTACATTGAGCTGGGAGGTGACGGTGTCTTGCTGGTTGGTGGGGGCAAGCAACACAGCGCCGGTGGCAGACATCTGGCCGAGCCGGGCGAAGGAGTTGTGGGTCGTCAGCCAGGAGTACCTATTGAACGGCAGGCCCCTCCCCTGCGATCAAGAACATCAGAAACTGAGGAAGAGAATCAAAATAAACAAAGTCGATCCCCTCAGATGGGCGATGAGAACCTTGGATAATGGGTCGGTGGGCTCGATCCGCGTGCATCGCGGCCGTAGATTGCCGTCGACCAGGCAGGTCTCGCAGTGCAGGCCCTCGTCGCAGTTCCCATTCCGGAAGCAGGTGTGCCCGATCTGGAGACAACAAGAGAGACGAGTAGAGAGATGGAGACCTCGCTGGAGCAGGAAGGCGGTGAGGATAATATGAGTGATTGGAGAGGGACCTTGCCGGCGACGACTTCAGCGGCCAGGAGACCCACCGCCGCCGCCGCCAGGAACAGCATTGCTCCGGCGGCCATCTGCAGGCGGCGGCGGAAGTTCTCTCCTCCTGGTTCAGTGAAGAACAGCCAGACCCAGAACCATCACCCCGAATCCTCGCTGCCGTAGAGGAGGATGACCCCTAGAGGATATATAAAATCTCAAACAGGGAGCTTCGCATTGTCTCCAAATAAATATCATGAGATCTCTGTGCTCCCAAGTTTCCTCTTTCTTCGGTGGTCCACCGGCGGCGGTGGGTGGCACCTCGCCCAGTGCCGCCGTAGGCGGAGCGCCGCTCCGCCTGTGGGCCTTTCGAAAAAGCCGCCGCACGCGCCGAACGTGCTGAAACCGGTGACGATATGACACGTGGTATGCCACCAACCGAAGATATGGGATTTAGAGCCTTTGAAATGGCACGCGCGAGGTGCTGTGGCGGCTTTCTTTGCAGTTAATTCTATATTTGCTCATTTAATTTTCTAGAAGGAGTGATTAGACCCCCTCACGTGCTGACATCAAGATGTCCGACGAGAAGCGACGCGTGACGCAGATATCTGAAGACCAAAATTAATAAAAATGATAATACCATTAAATAAAGTATAAATTCCGTACGATATTTATTACTAAGAAAAGTATGCTCCATATATATATATTATTTTTTTGGGTGACCCCCATTTCGTGGGATATTTGTATTTCATTTAGTATATAATAAATTTTAAGCCCATAACTAATAATTGGAAATTTTCCCTGATACATGCAACAGCTTGCGGGAGTCTTTGACCTCGGGATTTCTTAGGTCAATGGTTTGACTATCTGTCCGTCCAACGCGGCTTCAGCCAAGCAACGAGACAGAAGGAAATGAGCAGGAATAATATAGACTTAGGAACGAGGCAAAAGGCAATAAAAATGGGGAACGGAAGGGACGCGACGGCGGCTGTCATGTCGGGAACTCTCCGTCCCCATGAGATCTCTTCTTGAGAATGGAGGTCCACCAGTGGCCACTGCATTGACTTCCTGCGGAGGAACAGCTCCTCCTCCGCCGTCGGGTTGCGAGTGCAGGGCGGAGAATCGAGAACTGGCCCCATCTCGGAGGCTCTTTCCATGCCCGTGACCCAACTTTGTCCATGCAGGATAACAGGTTTGCGGCTGTGGCCCGATCGGCCGAGGAGCTTCACCTGTTCTTACAGGAGCTTCGGCTGTAGGAATCCGACTGCAATTCATATACGGTTTCGATCATCTCCTGTTCTTTTGAGGACGAAGGCTCCGATGGCCTTACGATCTTCGTGCTGGGTATGGATCGTCTTCCTGACCACCGCTGCGATATCTCCGGCCACCGTGTCGTCGGACGTCGCAACGTAGATCGTCCACATGGACAGGGCCGCCATGCCGAGAGCCTTCTCCGACCATGGGAACTGGTTCAGCGCCGCCTTGTCCTCTGCGGCGGAGCAGTTCCCGGAGACGGCTTCAGCCGCGCCTACTCTCCTGTACGTCTACAACAATGCCATCCATGGCTTCAGCGCGCGCCTCTCTTCGTCTCAGCTGTCGCACATCGAGAAATTACGTGGGTTTCTCTCTGCGTACCCGGACATGCCGGTTCAGGTAGACACCACCCACTCCTTCGAGTTCCTCCGCCTGAACCCTAGCTTCGACCCCCACGATGGCGAAGGCGACATCGTGGGGGTCGTCGACAGCGGCGTCTGGCCGGAGAGGGGGAGCTTCAAGGACGACGGCATGCCGGAGGTCCCCTCGTGGTGGAGGGGCACCTGCGAAGAAGGCGTGGATTTCAATTCCTCCGCCTGCAACAAGAAGCTCATCGGAGCTCGATACTTCAACAAGGGGCTCCTGGCCGCCGGAGCCAACCCCGCCGCCGTCGCCAGCTCCGACCGGGACACCGAAGGCCACGGAACCCACACGTTATCAACGGCGGCGGGGAATTACGTCGACAGCGCGAGCTCCTTCGGCTACGCGCGGGGCACCGTGGGGGGAATGGCACCACGCGCCCACTTAGCCGTGTACAAGGCCGCGTGGAACGACGGCACCACCGCAACGGATCTGATCGCCGCTATCGACGGCGCGATATCAGACGGCATGGACGTTATATCCTTGTCCCTGAGCGTGGGGCCCGTCCCCCTCCACCGAGATCCCGTCGCCATCTCCGCATTCGCAGCCATGGAGAAAGGCATATTCGTCGCCGCCCCCGCCGCCGTCAACTCCGGCCCATCTCCTGCAACCCTGCACAACGGAGCTCCCTGGTTGTTCACCGTCGGCGCCGGCGACCTCGACCGGGAGTTCGCCGGGACGGTGGAACTCGGCGACGGGAGATCCATAATCGGTACATCACCCTACGTGGGGGCAGCGGCCCTGGACGAATCACCTCTCGTGTTCATGGGCGCCTGCAACAATATCACGTCTTTAAAACAAGTCGGCCGGAAGATCGTCGTCTGCCAGACCCCTTCGTTTGCCTCCACCGGCATCGCCATAAGCTTCACCGCCGCTGCCGAAGTTTCAGGGGGCATCTTCATAAGCCCCACGAGCTACAACCTCTTCTTCCAACGGCTTGAGCATCCTGGAGCTCTCGTCAGCCCCGCCGATGGGGCAGCCATCATGGAGTACATTGAGAAGAGCCCATCGCCCACCGCCGGCGCTAGGTTTGGGCAGACCATACTGGGGATAAGCGGAGCTCCGTCTGTGCCCTTCTACACCTCCAGAGGGCCTCCTCGGAGCTGCGCCAGCGTGTTGAAACCCGACCTCGTGGCGCCTGGCACAATGGTTCTGGCCTCCTAGACGCCGAGCTCCACGGTGGGAGGCGTCGGGTCGAGGGTGGTTTACAGCCCCTTCAACATCGCCACCGGAACCTCCATTTCCTGCCCTCACGCCGCCGGGATCGCCGCCCTCCTCAAAGTGACACACCCCCAGTGGAGCCCTGCGGCCATTCGCTCAGCGATGATGACCACAGCCGACTCGCTGGACAACACCGGTGAGCCCATCCGCGACATGGGCGAAGGCGAGGCGGCGGCACCGCTGTCCATGGGGTCCGGCCATGTGAACCCCGACAGGGCACTGAACCCGGGCCTCGTCTACGACGCCGGCGCGGGCGACTACATCAACCTGCTCTGCGCGATGAACCTCACCAGGGAGCAGATCACGGTCATCACCAGGTCCTCCCGCGACGACTGTTCAACCCCGTCGCTTGACCTCAACTACCCTTCCTTCATTGTTTACTTCAGCCCTAACGAGTTCTCCCCCGCCGCCAACGCTACCCGGGTCTTCCGGAGGACGCTGACTAACGTCGCCGACGGAAGCTGGAGCTACTTCTCCAGGTCGACGCCCATGGAAGGGATCAATCTTCACGTCGAACCCCATACGCTGGTCTTCAAGGAGAAGAACGAGAAGCAAAACTTCACCCTCCGGGTGGAGGTCAACACTGCGATTAAGCCGGGGATCTGGGTTGACTCCCTCGGTAAGCACGTAGTGAGGAGCCCGATAGTGGCCACCACCCTGACCGTGGAGCCCCTCTCGTGATCGTAACCGCCAGTCTCTGATCATGCGGTTGAGATCAACGGGGGATCTGTCGAAGTCAAAGTCCGGGAAAAATTACCACCTTGGGCAACTGTGGGGTCAATTTCTACAGTAGTCATCTTCTTGCTATCAGATCTGATTTCCAGTTTCGTATGGAAGTAGAAGGAATGATCTCCCTTCTCCGGGTATTTTTTTTATGGACTGGTCAGGTAGGGGGATCCTTGTTTTCAGGTACCTCACATGGGGCTCCTGTTCATCCCTTCGTCTCCGTCCTATTCCTCCCTTCAGGCTAGGGCTTGGCGACGGCGCCTCTCTACATACTGCCGGGCTTGCGACCGGGGCGGAGCTCTCGCCGCCATCTGCGCCTCGTTCCATCGTCCTCCTTCCCGATTTGTCGTAGAACGGAACCTGAAGCATCAGGAGGACCGAGCTCTGCCACAGCCTCCGCTTCGCTTAGTCGAGCTCGATCCATTGAGAGTGATCTATCATGGCACCAACCACGGGGGAAGGCAGCAGTGGAATTTATTTCACCGTAATAAATTCCGGGGGGTGGCGGAGCTGAGTGAGGACATGGAATGATCGAGTGATCTATCATGGATTCAACGCAGTCCCCATTTTCGCGATCAGATCGACATTGGAAGAACTCGGAAGAACAGATTGATCAACCGAAGAACGCCGAATCAAAGGGACGAACGAGCTCATGGAGAATGATAATCTCATGCCCATTTCCATCCCTCATTGAAATCCCATGGAAGTGAGCTGGTGAGATGCAGAAGTTCAGGGATACCCATATTGCAGAAATCTATGAACACAGATCGAAGGGGACGATCGCTCTGGTTCACGGTGCCGCCTGCTCACGTCCCAGCAGAGATATAAAAGACTAAGAACAATACCAGAAGCGGGGGATCCAAACAGAGCTCTGGACGAGCGCCGAAGAAGCAAGGGTCGCCGGTTCCTCCTCAGCTCCGGCAGCGAGTGATGGCGGAGCAGCCGCGACTGTAGGGGTTGACATGGCTCCGCGCCCGGTAACAGTTGTGGGTGTAGTAGGACCTTCCAGATCGGGGAGGGCAGGGGACCCTGTTGGCGGAGAGGGCGCCGTAGGAAATGTAGTAATGGACCATCCGCCAGAAGAGGGCTCTTCTCATGCCGCCATCGCCGCCGGCGATCTCACCGTCGCCTCCCTCCCCGTCCAGTTCCCCGAACGGATTGACGGCAGCGGCCTCCGGCCACTCGAAGGCGTCGTCCAGCACCAGTTGCAGGGTGGCGTCCCCGGCCTGCGCTTCCGCGCAGGGGGCCCTACGGCCTCCGCAGCCGCCGAGGCAGAGCAGAAGCAGGAGGAAGAACCTGGGAGAGAGAGCCATGAAGTTGTCTACGGCCGCGAAGAGAGAGGAAGCCGGGTACCGCGCCGCTGCTGGTTAATCTGCAGATGAGCCTCTCAATGGAGATGGAGAGGAAGGGGAAAGGTGACAGAGGTTGAATGAAGGTCACATGCTCCTGCCACAAGGATGGTGTGTAGAGAGAGAGAGTGTGTATGTCAGTGCAATGGGCCCGATGGACGGTAGAGATTGCAGAACAGCTGGCGAGGCGACGAATTTAAACACGGTTTCCTTTGGCCCGTGCAGAAGCGCTAAACTACACCCGCGGTGGACGATAGCAGCGCCATCATCAGCAGGGCAAGGCAGTTCTGAAGACGGCAGGCATGGTCTTGTCTAACGTGGACCGCCGAGTCAACAGATCCAAGACAGGATATCATCACCGCTTGATTGGGCCACTCCGGCCCAACCCAGAAAATGGGCCATGCCGAGGCTTTCAGAAGGCCCGATACTCTTTAACATCTAAAGATGAGAATATAATAAATATCCAATTTAAAAATTACAAGATTTTTGAGGATCGTCCTTCGAGCATGGACGATGCCGTTGACGAGGAACAGAATCTCCGCTTGCCAAATCAGGAAGGCAGGAGTCAACTCCATTTATGAAGCCAGGGCGGACTCGATCGCCGCCACATAGACGGACTTCGGCATCGTGCCGACGATGCTCCTCAGCTTCCTCCCCTTGAAGAACAGCTGAACCGTGGGGATGCGGTCAACCCCTTGGTCAACGGCGACCTGGGGGTCCCGATCGGCGTCGAGCCTGAAGCACCTGATCTGGCCGTCGAATTCTTGGGCGATCTCGTCGACGATGCGGGCGACCATGCCGCAGGGGCCGCACCAGGCGGCCCAGAACTCCACCAGGACGAGCGAGTCGCTGCACTGGACGGAGACCGCCCAGGTGCTCGCCGTGACGGACTCAGCTGAAAGAGGCAGGGCGATCAGGTGGGCCTCGTCGGCGAGGTGGTTCTCAAGTGCGATGGGCCCTGGAGACCCACAGCGTGGCCAGAACTGGTAATCGGAGGGAATTGGGAAAACTACGACACGGTGCCCAACACGGAACGGGATTTTGAAATCACGGAAAACGCCCACAGAGCGGAAACGGTGCTAGGGCTAATGGCAAGAACACGAGATCGACAACTCGGAAAGGCTTGCAATCCGAGAGGGGAGATGAAAAAGGGGGAAATCAGTCGGTCTAGAGTGATGACGATGAGCTTACTAGTGCCGCGACGCCCGCTGAGGACACCTCCGGTCCTCCGATGCCGCTTAATCGCATCCCGAGAGGCGAATGGCTGGCGGGGGCGGCGAGCGGCGGAGCCCGGCTCCGTGCCAGAGCAGCGGGGGAGAAGAGCTCGGTGTCGGCGGGCGGACCGGCCGGCGGCGGGGGATCTCGCCATGGCCGACGCGCAGGATACATCGAGAGGCGGACGGTAAGCAGAGGCCATGCTGACGTGGACGGCGGCGAGATGAGCTCGAGCAAGGGAACTCGCTGGGAATTCATACGCCCCGACCGGATGGTCTGTAGGAGTCAACAACTCTCGTGTCTCTCCATGATTGGATGGCCTAAAAAGACAAAAAATATAGATATTAGTCCCCAACTGGTGATTGCTGTAGAGGGGAGGACAAGATTTGGCACGTGGCGAGAAATGTGTGGTCAGCTGACAAAGCTTTCTTGGCTTCGAAGGCCAGACCACGTCTAGATCCCCAGAAATCCTGGACTATGAGTCCCAAATATATGAGAATGGTGAGCAAATCATTGATATCTGATTCAGAATCATCTCAGGAAATTGCTGTAAAAAACTGAGATTTGCCCACATATTGATGTTTTTTCAAGCTTCTTTGGGATCCCACGCCAAATTTCTCATCTTTTTTTGTGTGGAATCGAAACAGATTAGAGACTGATTAGCATACCTGGGGAGAGATCATCAGTGGTAATGCCGGATCCACACTGGTACGGAGTAAATGAGGGTGCCCATGGCGAAGGAGGGGACGAAGGTGGCGGCCGCGTAGGCCAGAGCCCTGCCCTCGTGGCCGCTCTGGCGCATCGCGTAGACCTCGGCGGCGAAGGTGGAGACCGTGCTCAGGCAACCCAGGAAGCCGAACTGGAGTCCCCTTATGATCAGCCCCGCTCTTCTCGAGTCCACCTGCACAGCGGAGGGAGAAGAAGACAGAAGAGGTCAGATCACGGAGGAGGAAGGCGAGTAAATCCTCTGCGCTTACTGACCTCCTTGTCGGCGGTGGAGAGGGCTCCCATGGCGAGAGCTGCGAGGATGTTGGCCGCCATGGTGCCGATGGGGAGCCACTTGAGGACGGCCTTCTTGCCGAGGCCCCTGCCATTGAACCTGGCGAGGTACCAGCGGAGCCACACGCCCGGCGGCGCGGCGAGGCAGGCCACCCACAGCACGGAGCCGTCTCTGAGACCGTCCAGTGAGGTTCCCGTCATCGCGCCGCTGACGCCCCACAGCGAGCACAAGAGGAGCAGCGCCGCGGTCATGGCAGCCGCGTGCTGGCCGGGCCTCCTCACCGCCCATCTATCCGGGACGAAAGTGGGCCTGTCCGGAGTCTCATCGAACAGATTCAGAAGGTGTTCCCGGAGAAAGTCCGCCGAGGCGACGCCGTACCTGAAACTCTCGTTCACAATGAAGAAACCTGCGGCAAGTACAGTGTTCTTCATTCGGCGAGCTAGAACTGGTTCCTTGGATGGAAGGAACCGGCCACCTATCCATCCTTCCATGTAAAGTTATGATAGGTAGGGAGAAGATCTGAGAGGATGAGCGACAGGTTTCGGCTTACCCAGGATGATGCCGGCCGCAGCAAAGACCCAGTGGTCCTCTGAGGACAAATCGAGCATTTTCTGGTTCCAACCGCTGAATGTTGTGAGGCTCCCCATGAACCCTGTTGTCAGGGCGACGGCGAGATGATCCGAGACATGGCGCACGTCTCCTTTGAACACAAGGCCGAACCATCCCATGAAGAATGAACCAACCTGATGAGGAGGAGCACATTTTACGGAAAGTCGAATGTATGTGCGTGTTATTTCTTTTAGAGAGAGAGAGAGAGAGAGAGAAAGAAAGAGACCATATTGGCTGGGAGATCGAGGTAGAGAGGTGTTCCATCTCTCGTTAATGCAAGACAACCGGGCCCGAACAGCTTTTGCAGTAAATGCCTTGTAAAAACCTGGCAACCGATAAGAACATACCATGGCGTATGACATGGTCAGAATGATAAAAAAACATGATCAAGCTGACAGGCAAGCCATCTCCATGCGGATCTTCATGCTAGCTAGCGTAGAGCAGGAAATCAAACAGATGTTTTGAGTTATTTCACGTCCTCTTTCTCCGGAGATCAGCGGTAAAATTATTGCAATTTAATTGATATCGGTTGCTAAGCTGAGATGATTATGATACATGGAGACTAATGCATGGGGCGGTAAATAAAGATCACATGGAAAGAATCAAGGTCATGCTATGAAGGAAATCATTAGATCTATCTATAGTATGATTTCATGGCTCACCCCAAGGATCCCGAACACAGCCATTGGAAGCATGTAAGCCATGTAGTCTAGCGGCCGTGACAACTTATATCTCTGCAGAAAAGAGCAATCCATTAGTACCCACAGCTGGAGAAAGAAGAAAGAAAGGGATCATTTCAGACTGAGGAAACATTTCTCAGGTGATATTTTTTAAGCAAAGCATGAAAGATCCTCCTTATTTTTTAAAACCTACTTGTATGGTTTTCTCAGGTGTAGTCTTGTTCTTTCCGACTGATGACGGAAAAATTTGCCTTGATTGAATCTACGTTCTGTGGCAGAAAGCACTGAGGAACGAATCAAAACAAATGAGGGCTCGACATCAATGGAGCCAAAAACTTTCTCAACATCTCTTCAGGCAAGAGAAAAGACAATAAAATTAGCAGAATAAGTTGAATAATTATTTGTTCAAACGAAGATTTTATTACACCAAAGGATACATCTAGGGAAAATCAGTCGGGAGGAAAAAGCAAATCACACAACAATCTGCATTTCATTACAACCCCTGCACGACCTCATACTCTCCATTCAGAAATGGAAATCTTCCAAAAAAACAAATTAATATTTTAAACACATATTTCGGCCACCAAAGTAAATGCTAAACTTAAAATAGTATGAAAACCTCGGTAATTCATCGCCAAACGAAAGTGGGATGGTCTACATTTCACAACAAACCTGTACAGGCTGCACAATCAATGTACTGATCTTTTCCTCCTTCGAATAGAGAATAGAATCAGTGGGCAGAGATATTTTCTCCAGTTCCAATGGTGACCGCCCATCTGGGATTGGGACAACATCCGTCTCAGAAATTGTAAATACGTCCTGTTCAATCATGAGACCGCCCTCTTCATCAAACAATTTTTCTCCCACTACTCGATCCCCGCTGTCCCCGATTTTTGCAGAGAAGCGGTTTTCCTCATCCTCCAGAATTCCATCTTCCAAGTCATGGGAGAGCCTGATTGAGCCCTTACGCCAGGATTCCCTGTGACTACCTGATGAATACCTCCTCGGATGAGTTCCATACAATTCATCTAGGTTGTCTGCCGTTACATTTCCCACTGTGCCATCCAACATTCGATCCCCGCTGTCCCCAACCTGTGCAATGACCTCGCTTGGGACATCTTCAAATGACCTACTCGAGCCATCTCTTGAAAGGCTGATGGAGCGTCTCCGCCATGAACCAGGATCCCGCGCTCCGCCGAGAGAAGAGCTCCGTCTGAAACCCCTTCGACTCGATGGAGACAAAAAATTCGCCGACTGAGATTCAAAGTGAGTACGCACACTTAGAGATCTCTCAGAAAACAGTCCATCGCTCGTGCGCTTCTTGGCCTCTTCACCACAATCACCCGCATCAGAGCCACCGGGCATCGTGGCTCCCCGGAGAGTTCAGTATGGTACCTACAACACGAGGAAGAATTCTAATGGGCAGAAGAATTCGAATGGTTAGAAATCAGATGCGAAGTGTCCGTGAAATTTATGCTGCAATTAATTGCGATTTTTGGGAGAAGAAACTAAAACAAAAGTTTATATTCCGGAATTGATCTACATAATCAGATAGCTTTGATGCATCCGTCTGTGGCCTGCCGATGTTCTCAGACATTGCCACATCTTACGACAGATTCCTTTGGCAAACAACAGTTTTACGGCTGTGAGCCTCGCTGGAAGGTCAATAGCCACCAAACCACTCGGCCTAAGCGTATGGCAATAATTGCAGGCACTATCTTTCCAGGGCAATGATACACTTGCTCAGACAAGAGCACACGCCCCAACAAATCTGCGCCATCCATCAAGGTTGGGATCGCTCTTCATTCATAACGACGAACACGATCACCACGATCAGATTCTGGATTCATTGACCACTGAATCGTGACATGTTGTCGCTAGCGATAAAATTAGTGTTGTGGTTTTGCCTCCGAGCACGACGAGCCACGAAAAATTAGGAAACTCTCAACCGATCTCTTGGACGCTAAATTGTAAAATCTGAGTGGTTCCCACAGAAATGAGTGATTTCTGTTGGTCTGGAGTCGGTTTCCGCCTTCTAATTCAGGGAAAACAATCGATTCCATCACAAGGAGCATGAGGTACCACACGAGTAGCCTCCGTTTAAAAGCGAGACGCAAACACAGATGAGGAGACAAAGGGAGAGGAAAATTAAGAAGTTCTAGGGATGGTTAGCATACAATCAATCATACACCATTGACCGATCAAAATTCAGGCAGAAGATCCAAGGAATTAGCATTGCGGGGGAATCCTAATCATTGGCGGCCGCCCGCCGAGCACCGAATCCTAACCTAACCTCCTCAAAGCAACAGTCGGTGGGGTGGGGGGGGAGGGAGGGGATCAAAGAAAGCTGACACGAAAGGAGGCCACCCTCAAGGCTATCTGAGGAGGGCCTTTCCCCAGGCGCGGAAGGAGGATCCCAGACGCACGATGCCAAAAGGATCTGCCACTACCATGCCGATAGCCGTCAAAGCTGTGCAGCAGAGCGTACCTGGAAGAGGATCCGACGAAGGGACGACGGAGACCCCTGGGCGCCGCCGAAGAGCGCTGCCATCTGGCTCGTCCGCCAAGCCACGCCTGCGATCGCGCGGCGACTCCCGAAAGATGGAAGGAATAACGGCTTCCGAGAAGCTTGGACGTATAGACAGCATACACGTTCCGAACTCCCTGGCACTGCCACGTTTTCAACGGGCGGGGCCAGGGCCGTACGTAGATAGATCTGGCCCAGGCCCGTCCCAGCCACACCACCGACCTAAATGGGCCGGGTGCGGTTCCCGGTTGGGCGATTCCAAACCCGGCCGATGAGTTATTGTGCAATCTGAACCGTTCATCGTTCAAACGGATTCACCAATGACGTGGCTGGTAATGAACGCTCTAATCCGTTGGCGCTAAACGGCATGCGGCAGGACCGAGAGTCTCTCTCTCTTTGCACCGGATTTCTTTCCCCTTTAGAGAGCGAGACGGCGGCGGCATCTCCCGACTCTCTCCTGCTCTTCTTCGCCTTTTGCCTTTGGCAGACTGAGGCGATCATCCCTTCTTCCTAAACCCTACCTGTTGGCGGCGAGCGTGATCTAGGGTTAGGGTTTCCTCGTTTTTGTTCTCTCTCTTCTCTCCAGTCCACTGCAAGCGGGAGCTTTTCTTGTTTCCTTTTCCTGTTCCTCAGCGGGGGGAAGCTAGGGTTTTTATCGTGCAGAGGGAGATGGCGCAGGGGAATCGGGAGAGCGGGACCGTGAGCTGGTTCAACAGCCAGAAGGGGTTCGGGTTCATTAAACCTGATTCCGGTGGTGAGGACCTCTTCGTCCATCAGACCTCCATCCGTTCCGATGGCTTCCGAGTCCTCACCGAGGGGGACGCGGTCGAGTTCGTGATCGAAGAGGGCGACGATGGGAGATCTAAGGCCGTTGACGTCACCGGTCCCAACGGTGCCTTCATTTCTTCATCCGGCGGTGACAGGGGTTTCTCCGCTGGCAGGGCGAGAGGAGGCGGGGATTATTACGGCAGCGGCGGTGGTGGGGCCGGCTACGGTGGTGGTGCGGGCGGCTACGGCGGTGGTGGGGGCGGATACGGCGGTGGTGGATACGGGGGGGGCGGCTTCGGCGGGGCTTTCGGTGGCAGCTGGGGTGGTGGAAGAGGTGGGCGGATGAGTGGTGGTGGTGGTGGTGGAGCATACGGTGGTGGCGGCGGTGGAGGGTGCTACAACTGCGGGCAGCCTGGCCATATGGCTAGGGATTGCCTGCAAGGGGGTGGCAGTGGTGGCGGCGGTGGCGGTGGCGGTGGCGGGGGGACGTGTTATAACTGCGGGCAGCCTGGGCATCTGGCGAGGGAATGCAACCGAGGGGGTGGTGGCGCGGCTTGTTATACTTGTGGGGAAACTGGTCACCTGGCTAGAGACTGTCACCTAGGAGGTGGTGGCGGTCGCTTTTCCGGCGCTGGTGGCGGGGGAGGGGGAGGGGGAGGGGGAGGGGGATGCTTTCACTGTGGGAAGCCGGGACATTTCGCGAGGGAATGCCCTAGCAACGCCTAAACGTAGCATATCGTGAGCTCTATTCATCCTTCCCCTCGTCGGGATTTCCAGCACCATCGAATTTTTTTTCTCGGATATTTCAGTTTTTTTGGCAATGCTTTAGGAATTTTTTTTCTCGTTTAATGTTTGTTCTGTCTCCATTTTTTAAAAAAGGTACTGACGTTTTAACCTTACTATTTGATTTGTTCGAGATGAAAACTAAACTGAAATCATCTGTTGTGTCGCCGGCCTTTTTTAATGAACAGTAGCATCCCTGGATATATCTATATGTTACTAACCTTCTCTTGAAATATTTTGACACGTTTCTTCCATTCTTTTATTTTCCTAGCCTTTGAATCAGGAATTGCTAGGTAGATGCTGGATCACAAGCTATCCTATTTATTATAATAGCATGTAATTGGATGATCAAGTGATTTCCTGTTAATTGCAATACGTTTTAGTTTTCAGGTTATTAATCAAGTTAGATTTCTGGTTATGAACTATTTTATTTCAATCTCACAATATTTTGTGATTTGGTGACAGTTGACTTTCTGTTGATTCAGTGCTTTACAGTGGACTGCTAATAGCTAGAACTCTAGTCAATGAACTTGTCTTGTCTGAAAGCTGCATAATGTTGCATCAGGATATTCTGTTCGTAAATTGCATCAACTGTTTTTTATTTTCTCTACAGCAACATATTATTGGATGATTTGATAGTTGTTTATTGCCATTAACGTGCCTGATTGTGGGCTTCTGCTTAATCAAGTGAGGTTTCTGATCGTGAATGATTCTGTAAGTTGAGACTTTAATTATGACCAATATTGCTCTGAGAGCAGCCTAACACAGAATGTTTTGACGGTCGACTTGTTCTAGCAGCAGTAGCAACTAATCATTTGGCTAAGTTAGGGTTTTGATTATGAACTAATTTCCTTTGAGAGCAGTGTAAATTTTAATATGAAATAATTCTAATTGCAGCCCTGTATGATCTGCTGCTAGTTTTCTTATTTAGGATCATAATTGTAGTAGAACAGAGATCCATGTGGGATTTTTCCCTGCGACATAGAATGATCAAAGTATTTGTGGGCACATCTTTTTCTGGCTCTTGCTTCTGTTGGATCTTCTCAGGATTATCAGAGAGGGAATTAACGTAAATGCATTGCTTCCAAATATGGCATATATGAAGCTCGTAGATACTCCGCATCTTGAATCTCATTCAGCTAAAATCTGTTCTCTCAAGTTTCTTGATGGTGATTTTGATTGTAGAGTATGTGATGGCCAAGCTTTGAAGCGAAGATGATGCCTGGTGATCGAGTGGGCTTACCGGTCAGGGAGGCTATTGAGGCTCACTCAAAACTCGGGTACTTCTCTCGCTTCACTCGTTCGGTCATCTGGGTTGATGGTTCAAGAGAATACTTTCCATAATCGGCGTGTGGAATGTGTTCATAATTTGCTCAGAGATTTGAAATAATTCCAGCGATCGGTAGCTTGGCAGTGTGTTGGAGACTTTCAGAGTTCATGAATCGGTTGTTTTTATCGGAAGACTATGATAGCCTACTTTTCTCTGTTCCTGTGCCCGTTGTTCAGCTAATTGTCCTCTGTCATTGTCACATGAGCGTAGATATCTCTGGTTGTTACTCGCTCACTTCATGTTTTATGAGAGAGAGAGAGAGAGAGAGTTATGGCTTCATGTTTTATGAGAGATAGTTATGGAATTAGGGTCTACCGGAAATTCATGTTTTATGAGAGAGAGAGAGAGAGACGCTAGTTATGGAATTAGGGTCTACCGGAAATTCATGTTTTATGGGCGAGAGAGAGAGAGAGAGAGAGAGAGAGAGAGAGAGAGAGAGAGAGAGAGAGAGAGAGAGAGAGAGAGAGAGAGAGAGAGAGAGAGAGAGAGAGAAGCTAGTTATGGAATTAGAGTCTGCCATGTGTATTATGAAGATGGTCTCCGGAAATTCTTGGCCGGGGTCTGGTGCTTGGCCAATAAAACCATGATGTGCTTTTCTGTAGTATAATGAGAAGGAAATCAGAGGAAAGAAAGATTTTGCGATGAAATACTCTGATTAATCAACAATTTCTCATGACCGTACTCAAAAGTCTGGGATTTCCCCTTCTTCGAGCAGCCCATCGCAGTAGGCAGCCATCGCCACCGCCTCTCCCACTCCGTCGCCCTCGCCGAAATCCCCGTCTAGGCAGAGGAAATCATCTGGGTTCACCTCCCCAATCAGATCAGAGTAAGCGTCCCTCAGTTCCTGCTCGAAGTCGAAGCACCCATCGACGGAGGAGCTGGGCGGAGGGTCGACACCGCCGGGCGCTCCCACCGCCGGCGTGGTAGAGCCGACGGCCCCGAGATCAAGGACTCGCGTCCCGCCGGAGGCGTCGTCGTCCTCGAGTTCTTCGAGTTCTTCCTCCCGGAAGAAGACGCCGTCGCCGCCGCCGTCGCCGCCGCCGCCGCCGCCGCCCTCCGGGCTGCGCCGCCCGTCTGCGGCCTCTTCGCTGTGGGAGGATGGCAGCGAGCCCTTGACGACCTCCACCTCGAAGTCGTGGCTCTGCGTCGGGAGGTAGACGAGGACGACGGGGTACTCCAGCACGGTGATGTTCGCAATCTGCGGACCCATCGGAGCCGCCGGATTCAGCTGGAGACAGGGGGACTTGGGATCCTGCGGCAGAGACGAACCAGAAGGATGAGTTCCCAGCGGACGAGCTAATGCTCTGGGTGGAATGAAAAGATAAGGGTACCTTGGGGTCCTTCTGGAGGAAGAACTTCAGGTCTTCTATCCTTTCGTTGCAGAAAGGCCTCAGCTTGTGATTCCACGGCGTGGGTTTGAGGTGCTTCCCCATTACAGAGATCAGGTTCATGCGCTCATCGACACTGTTGATGGGGATGATATTAATTTTTTGCTCAATTAATGCTTAATCGATTACTACAGAAATGTGGGTTTTTTGTTCTCGATGTTTAATGATTCAGGATAAAGAATAAAAAATATTATGAGGTTAAATACTGGCCAAAAATATTTTACAGCTCACCTGCGGTCAGTCAGGACGACATCCGTCGAATGGAAATGCCACTCGATCGTCCAGAATATGGATTTGGTCCTGAAATGAACAAGAAATACAGCAATTGGAGATAGTTCTCGATGCCGCCGGCAAATGATGCGATTGTATGAAAGCCATGTAGTTGGATGATGGATCTTGACTTACTTTTAATAATTCAGAGCGAAACCATCAGCAACCAGGTCAATTAAACAAACACATAAAAGAACTAATCATAATTTTGGGTTGGAAAGTAGGCGTGGCAGGTTAGAGGGAGAGAGAGAGAGAGAGAGAGTAATATTGCCAAGACGTGCAGCATCACTGCATACAATTTTCTAGGTCTAATCCAAGTGATGAACTAACATCTCGAACCAGAGGGTTGACCTGAAACTGGGACGGTAAGCAACAGCTGAGATTCCCAATGATGAACAAAATCGGGGAAAAGAAAAAGTTGGGGAGATAAAGGAAAGCCAAAGCAAAGTTTATTAGGAACTGAATTTGTCAGGATTATAGAAGGCACATAGTTCCTATATCTATCTATATGAGAGGAAATCATGTAATGAAAGGGATTGGCTAAAGATTCACTAAGGGCATTAACGCTAGCAGAAAATGAAAATTTCTTCATTGGTCAAATTAGAGTAGACTTTAGCAAGTAAGTCGATGCAGAAACACATTGGAAGAGCAGCAAACCTGCGATCATATCGGGAGTGATTTTTCTCTCTCTTAGACATGCCAGCCGGTAGCAGCAGGAGCCGTACTTTCCTCCGAAAAGCAGCCTTACGGAGTACCCCGAGCATTCGCAGCTTGAAGCCTGAGTGTCTGCCCATCCCACCCGGGCAACCACCAGTGATGCCCCTCATCCGGCGGGCAGATTCTGTGACCCTCAAAGTCTCCTCCAACAAATTATAATCTGTGATAGACAGTTAATGAATAACCAGATAGAAACGCGAGAAAATTTGGCTCCATGCATAAGAAACTATTGCAGGAAGGGAGGAAGAGAGAGAGAGAAACACACACACACACACACACACACCAGAGATGAGCAGATCGTCGCTGAACTGAGAGAGGGGAACAAACTGGGTACGATTCCTCTGACCGGTGCAGCTGGTGCGTGCCTTGTGGGACTTGACGCAAGGGAGGCTGCAGGTGCGGATGGAGCAGCTGGGGCATCTGTATTTCCAAGCGTTCTGGCCGCACTCCTCACAGGGAGGGGGCATGCTAGAGTGGGGGCTTGAAGTAACCTCTAATTCTTCCATTTCCCCTGAGAGAAGAATCACTGAGCTACTCGTTCGCTACCAATAATCTTTCTCAAGAGCTTTTCAACCTGCTGATAGATGAACAAGCGACAGGGCCTAATTGACATGAAAATAACATCAGCCAGATGATTAAACTCTGCACTAGGAAAATTTATTTTCCGCAGGTATTATTTCATAATATTCATAACAAGTGGGCTTGAAATCTTTTGGCTTCCTTACTATATGAATCCTTTTTATAAAATGGACTTAATAATGGTGATGTTATTATACTTATCTGTAAAACTGGGTTCGCTTCAATCCGATTTTAATATTTAAAATGAAAGAGGCGAAAGTATTTAGCTGTTTGATGAAAGTATTTTACATGCTAAATATTTATTTATTTCTAAAAAATTATCAACCCTTAAAATCTCGCCCTTCACCCTTGATAAATTTTCCTCTAAACAAATACACCTTTTCATTAGAAAAGGTAAAAAAATAACTTTAATCACAGTTATTTTTTGAATTTACTTACATAAAAAAACTTTTTTTGAACTAGATTAACAAGTTCATGCCACTTGAGCAGCCTCATGTGGCTAAATGGGGGATGTGATGATCAGCCAATGTCTGGTAATAGGATAAGACATAGCGATTACACCTATGACCAGACCACGACTAAGGTGCATGAATTATCATGAAATCATCAGGATAATTAAATACCAGCATTGGATGAAGTGTAGAAAGGGTATCGATGAAGCTAGTCCGAAAATGAGGCAACTGCCAAAATTCACAAGATTATAACGAAACTAATAGGCAAATGAATTATCTACATAAATGTGCAAACTAAGTTTGGCTACAATCGGTCCATGCCAGCTACCACGGATGCCTGATGTGTCCCGATTGGACTTTGGATTTTGATAAAGTTTTCTCACAAATGGACATAAATCTCTTTATCCAGACGGTCTCCTCAAGAAGAAGGATTCGGAGAGAGCGTACCAGGAAGCCTGCGCGAGAAGACGTTAAGAAGGTCCAAGGGAAGGAGGTGAAACTGGAGACGGCTCGGCGAGCAGCAAGGAAGAAGAAAAGACGCAGCGGCGGACGGCTGCGGGACGGCTAACAATCAGGCAGAGTCCGGGCTGAAGGGGAACACTGAGCTGCCGCTGGATGCCGGAGAACTGGCGGCTGCTTTCCGCGACCCCCTGCGCTAGGGCGGCGGTAGCGCCTGAGGACCCACCGCGCGCGAGGTAACAGAGGCAAGAGAGAGAGGAGAAGAAGAAGAAGAAGCGGCGCGACGGGGTTTAGGCAGAGGGCTGCGACGGATCAGGGTACCAACGGGCCGCCAAATGATTTTTACGCCCAGCCCGGGCTTCGGGCTCTGCTTTGTGAAGCCCGGCGAGCCCGATACTGTCGAAGCCGCCAAGAGCGCCAGTCGTCGAGCGCCGGCGGCGGCGAGAGAGCCGTTGTTGTCGTTCGAAGAGAGAGAGAAAATATAGGCGGAAAAACAAAAAACTTATTATTGGGTTAAACTTAATATGATCCGATTCATATTATCCAGTTAAACTTAGAACAAAACGGATCCGATTCACCTACAAACAAAAGTAGGTATAAATACAAAATATCTTTCAAAAGGTATAAAGGCAATTTCGGACAGATATATATATATATATATAGAGAGAGAGAGAGAGAAGGCCGGCAGACGAGTTTTCCCCACCGCTCCCCCGCACCTTCCCCTCACCGCCAACTTCTTCTCATCTTACCCGCTGCAGGAGTTTCCTGAGAGGAATGAATAAGTACGGCACCGGAGCGTGGAGTAAGATTGCCGAGTACTATGTGGAGACAAGGACGTGGGGCCAGGTCGAGGGGGCCTGCAAGTGCTGCAGGTCTAAGAGGCATTCCCAGCACCAATGCGGTGCAATCATCCCGCGGTCGTCGTCGGATCACATCCAGTTCAGCCAATTGTCGAAGTTCTGCGGCGGCGTCTCCATCCCTATAGATCGTGCCTTGTCGTCCTTTGCAGCGCCAGAAAACTCCTGCTGGATCGGGAGGAGCGCCGCCGCGTTCACTGACGTCCTGAAGACTGGTCGTGACATTCCAGCTACCCCTGGTGAACACTCTCTTCACTCTATCAATCTCTTCGCATTAGTAATGCTTAGAGGGGCCGGTGGTCACGAATTCTGAAACAACGATTTCTTCGCACCCCTAATGATCACAACCCATGAGAATTATTAGCCAGCTCCATCTGCGCTGGCTGACAATTATCATGGGTTGTGACCTTCATCAAGAACGCGAAGAGATCGTCGTTCTAGAGGTCGTCGCCAGGGAGGTCTCCAAGCATTCCTAATGGGAAGATGATGGATAGAGAGAAGAAAGGGTTTAGTAGGGGCAGCTGGGATGTCACCACCAGTCATTAGGACAAGAGTAAACGCGGCGCTTCTCCCGACCCACCCGGAGTTTGGCGGTGATGCAAGGTACGACAGGACAGGATCTATAAGGATGGAGACGCCGCGGCAAGTCTTCGACTATTGGATGAACTGAATGTTAACCGATGACGACCGGGGAATGTTTGCACCGCATTGATGCTGGGAACGCATCCTGCAGCACCTGCAGGCCCCATCGCCCGATGCGGCGGTCACCTGGCCCCACGTACTCATCTTCACGTAGTCCTCGGCGATCTTTCTCCACAATCCGCTGCCTTACTTATCTATTCCTCTCAGGAACTCCCGCAGTGGGTAATAAGAGAAGAAGCTGGTGGGGAAGGACAAGTGCAGCGGAGCGACGGGGAAACTCAGTGTTGCCGATGCACTGAACTTACCCGTGTTTTTCTTCCGTCGTGGAACGGGCTTCTCGCAACGCCAATGGTGCTGCGGGCACCATCGGCGGATCCTCTGGCGGCGCCTTCTCATGGGTTGTCAGGATCGGAGCGGAGATATCACCGGCGTTGTCAGGATCGGAGCGGCGGTTTCACGCGCAGACCCTCGGAGAAAACTCCGAGGAGCTCATGGGGCCACCAGAGGAGTAGCCCATTACTTATAGATCTGTGGGAACCCAGTCTCTCCCATTTTCCTTTCCACACACTAAACAGTCTCCCCACGCCGCACCACGAATCCCTTTCGCATGCGTCCTGAGCTCCCACTGCATGGGATCCGTTCCAGCAGGTGACTCTCGTGAACCTCGCTAGGAGCCGGCGGCGTCACAGGCCTGGATGGGTATGCATAGGCGCAAGCCCCCTCCACTTTGCGCATGCTGTGCCATGCAAACGCGTGACAGTGCACAAGCTGCGCGTGGCGTGCTGTGCCGCACACACCTGACCGCCTGGCCTCATGCTGGCGGCGAGGTTCTACACCTAGAACCACAACTACCCTGTGGTGCGAATATGGGCCGTCTCGTTCACCCTCAGCGGCCGATTGTTATTTCTAATTGAAGCACTGCCAAAATCGTTTACAGGTATTTACACCGACATTAATAATAAAAAAAGAAAATTAGCCATCGATCATCAGGGATTGTTACTAACCTTTTTTTCCTCGGATTTTTTCTTTGGTAGGGAATCTCTCGGGGAACTCGGTGGGGCAGTTTCATAGGGCAGTATAACGACAGGAGGAGCATGTACAGCGGCCCAGCGTTCCTTCAATAAGGCTCTGAACTTCGTGACCGTCTCCCGGCGGAACTCCAGCTCTCGCGTGAAGAGATCGAGGATGATGAAGGAAAGGATGTATCTGAAAGGAACTAGGAGGAGAGCGGTTGCAGCACAGAGTAGCACCAGAGCAACCTCAGTTGTGGTCTGCAAGGAATATCACAAAAATGGTGCAGGAATGGTGAAGCCTTTATTTATTTATTTATTGAAAAAGAAGATATAATATTTATTATTTTTCTTTGACCAGGTTATGACTTTTTGAAGGCATACCTGCGGTTGACCTGCCAAAAGAATAGTACGAAATTTAAGAAGGGTGACATTCAGGCGTTGAAGCTGGTCCTCCAAGTCTGCCATGGCTTCCTTGAGAGCTACGATCTTCTGGATTGTGTTTGAGGGTGGTTGGTCCCGTATGGTTACCTTACCAAACGATCTCCCCAGCCGGCCTTGTTCTTTCAGTCCCTTCAACAATAGCATGGCGGCAGCCATGATTATGAAAGTCACAGGTAACACATATGCCAGCAGGTTTCTGACAAGCGGGGGAAAAAAATAAATTAAAGTGATGACCCATTTCAAAATCAGAAGGATCAACATTTCTGTAACTACTTTGGGGAGCAAGAGGAACATAAAATCTGATAATTGCTGATGCCATGTTAAGCACGCATTGAAAATATTTGCTGAAATTGTAACATCAAAACGATGAGCTTTTGGGGAAAGCAATCCTGACAATGAATATAATTGGGGAGCTTCTAAAATATGAATACCCAACATTGACAGGGTTCTAGTTCGTGCTAAATTTCCCGGACATGTAGATATTTTCGTTGTGAACTATATCCAAGATGGAAATGCATCCAATATTTATCCTTTGATTGCCAAAAAGCACAAAAAGGCGCATGTTTTGTACGTAGCATTTGAGTTGAACGATGCTCACCTGAAAATGACTGTGTATGTAAATGCCAGGAAAGATACAGTCAGGTAGGGATCTTCCCACCGTCTGAGTTTCTCAAAGTTGTTGGCCATGACCACAAAAGGAAACATAAGTTCCTGAACACCAACCAACACCGTGACCACCACCGTCTCAGCATAGATCCAAATTCGAGCCAACAAATACACAACAAACCGTACAGTATTCAGTAGAGATAGGCACCTTGAAGAGGTCGATGTTGCTCGGAATCCCTTTGATCATAGCAGCATCTATTGTCGCCCGGATCTGGTCAACTATCTGGCTTTTCTCCCTGCACGTCAATGCTGCCCTCTCCACTGTATTCAAGTCGGCTACGACCAGGTTCTTACTCAAAATAATTCCTTGCCTGACGGAGGTATTCTTCCAGAAAAGAACAGACGGGTTCAGCGCCCAGGAAGGAGATCTCATCCAGTTGTGTAAGTAGGCGCTTCCATCTATGTCGAAAACATTAACTCCGAAAGACACTATCCCCTCTGAGAGTAGTGCCTTCCGGGCCTGGTCACGGTCAGTTTGCCTATATTTAGTAATCAGAGGCCCACCCCAGAAGTTGACTGCCAGGGTCTGCAAGACGACGTCACCAAACGGCACACTGCGCAGGTAGGAAAACTGAACGAGCTTGGCTGGATCCTCGGACAGCTTTCTGATGAACTGAAGGCACTGTAGCCTTGCAATGCTGTTTGCAACACTCTTTATTGCTCTGCTCTTTCCTTTGTGGGCGCCATATACCTGCCTAACGGAGGGGTCACCACTCTGTGGACCGAATTCACGAATGAACTCGTACACTGAAATAATTTCACTAATGAAGGCGTGCCAGACGTCTCTCCTCATTTCCCCACCGAAGTCAACAAACTCAAGAACCCAAGTTTCTGACCTACAAAGATAAAAGGCTGTAAAGTTACCACAGTACGGATGAAGAACACATCACGAAAATGGAAGAGTTGGAATCAATCACACTCATCCATTGACTCTAGGAAAATTAGTAAAATTCACTTGGAAAAAAGTAAAATAGCTTCCAAGGGGGAATGAATGGTAAAAATCCGTAAGGGGCACCCTCTTTTGTTCTGATCCGTGAAGGGATCTGAAGCAGCGTTTTCACTTATTTACTCCATAAGAATACCCCTGAAAGATAGAAGAGATCATCCTAGTTGCTAACTACATAAAGTGACATCAATAATCACAGTCGAGTGACAGTAGAAAAAGCAAAGAATAAACAATGACCTCTCAAAGACAGATAATGCTGAAAGGGTGTTGTAAGAATAATAGATAAATTAGCATGATCTGGTCCGTTTGGGAAATGAAAAGTACAAAATGGTAGCATATTCTGATAATACATGCCCAGAACCAAACGAGACAGAAAGAGCTGAATAAGGATGATCTGGCCCCTTTCAGCAATCAAAGTTAAAAAAGAGTCTCCATCCCCTTTGGTATTTTTCAATTTTCTGTTCCCCTACCACTATATACAAAACCTTAGGTGCTCCTTTTATCAGTACCTCAAATAGATATTAGCAGGTCCATCACTGAAATCATCAGCATAATCAGAAAATATGATAATATATTCTGATAGCACATACCCTGAACCAGAGGAGACAGAAATAGCTGAATCAAAAAGCTTGGAACCGAGTGGCCCTACTTTCGTTTTCTTTACTCTTGAACCCTGCTTGGAGAGATCCAGTCTTATTGGTTCCTTAGGTCCTCCCATGCCAACCCTCTGCAAACGCAACAGAAGAAAGCTATTAACGTCAATATATTGTCGCATTTAGAAAGCTGATCCGCACATGTAAAGTTGATATGTTTGAATCTATTGTGCAAATATAGCAAAAACTTAAGAAGAATAGATACTTCAGGAAATAAAATTATTGTCGCAGTTCGAAATAGCATACTAGGTGCATACACCGAACAAAAGAAGCTTACAGATGGCATAAATATGCACATGGGGATACATCAAACGATATGCTCTTACACGTTAGACATAATTAAAAAGGCACAAAAATGAAAATAATTAAATAAAATATATGTGAAAGGAGGCATGCAATATTAGCCATAGAAATCCATAATCCAAGAGAGAGATGTAGGTCAACTTGCGAGGGAAGAAGGCTGCAGCTCATGTGAAGAAACTGTCACGTGATTCTGCCACATACGAGGGTTTCAGCCGTAATATATGCCGCATATGTTTCTTTATAAGGTCAAATGGTAACAAAAGGGTGCACACAATAAGTTGTATATTCCATATTCCAAACCCAACTCTTAATTAACTTTCCAAGTAAAGGTGTCACATCAGGATTAGTGTAGTATCACTCTAGTATAAGAAAAATGTATGCAATATATAGGATGGACAGAGAGAACTACAAAAAACCATTTGCTATTTTCTGATTTTTCTGTCCGAATATTTCATACAGAATTGGGAATCAACAATCCAGAAACTTAACACGACGGTAATAATTACTATCCTCTATAGCTATCATTTAACAGTCAAGAGCAGTCAAGAATTATCAATGAGCTCACAAAGTGCAGAATCCCCACAAAATGCAGGTAGTGAAAATGTATGTTGGATGGACTGATGTTTTTAGATGATAAGTTCTCAATTTTATATGGAAATTCAAATATCAGCAGAAAAAAACAAAAGAAATGAGGAGGCTTAGATCCCTTCCCATATTTATAGTTTCCTTCGTCAGTTCCAACAATCTCCTTACATAAAAGACTCCACATGTCAAGTTGTTCTTTGGTATTTTATTTCAACAAAGAGAATTGAGCAATGACAAATGTGGTGAGAAAGCAGAGGAACAATAGGAAAGCATTCACATAATGATTCTTACATAAGCCACCTTAGCTTATAAGTGAAAAAGTATCAAATGTAAGTGCAATTAAAGAATTGTACCTCGAAATATAACGCACGGTCTGTCAAAGTTAGGTCTCCAGGCCATGCAATATTTTCTTCCCATTTAAGAACCGGTCGCTTCCTACTAGAACCGATGCACAGTACTTCCTCATCGGGAGGTTGAACATTAGGATGCGTTTCATACGACTTTCTACCTTCATGCACCCTACAGCACATGAAACACGATCACTTCAGTGGTTTGCTTCCGAGAACAAAATAGAATGAAATTCTAGCACAAAAGGAAAATGCAGTTACTAACATAGAAGACTGAAAAATGCTGCTGTCATCGGAAATACAAAGAAAATTAAGGGAAAATGTAGTCTATAAATGCTTGATATTTAAACTCTTTTTTCCAAGAAACAACATTAGATGAAAGAAAATGATGCAGTAATTGAGTAGGGAGATCGGAAAGTTCTGAAATACATGTAGCAAGCAGAATTAAGGAAATTACAGGTTATGCTGCCTCACTTGGAAAGTTCTGAAATGTAAGTCATCCACAAACTTAGCGATATTCCTTTCCCATCTCCTACCAGAGCTTTAAAGAGGTGGTGAACTGTTGATGTATCAGCTACGCCTGCAACAGCCGGAGCAATTCGGACAAAAGCATCGAGTCCAACACATTTTCCCTACAAGGTCAAGGAGAAAAATGACTGGAAATAAATTACAAGACAAATCAACTCTGTACCAAGATTCTGACATTGAAAACAATGCAATGAAAAAAGTAATTGTTTGTCTAATGAATCAAACCATAGAGAAGGTGGTTTTTTAAACGAAAATGGACAGAAGTAGCTAAATGGTAAGGACCAAACATTGCTAGGTCATGATGGAGATGCCGTATCATCACTTCCATGTCATTGACATTAGAGGAAAATTATTTTAGAGTCATGTTTCTTGGCGGTTCTCATTTGATCTGGGCAGTAAATACTAACATCACGAAATTAGTTTCAGGTGATGAAACAATGAAGCTTAAATGAACTAAGAATTTATTCATCAAGTCTAATCCTACTATGTGTTCTCAGCCAAACAAATTTACGTCTGACAACCTATCAGACTACTCATAGGTTATGATAAAGAAAACTGAATAAATACGTATCACAAAGGTGCACTAGCTTAATAATTGAATAACTAACTCTTTTGGAGCTTTGAATTTATTTTACAGAAATAAGCAATAGATGTTATCGACCTTTAGATTGTTCAAAAGTTAGAGGTAAATTATATATTTAAACAGAGAAATGACATTTTATATGAAAATATCTATATTGGTTATATGAGATGAGAACTTGTTTTCTGGATCCAAAAATACCTTCAGAGATGAGCTCTCCAGTTGATAATTATGGTGGTTGTCTTCGCAGTAAGGTTTCTCCCAAGCAAGCATTGTTATAAAAATCAGCCTCTGAAACGCAGACTCCTGAAAACAAGGAAAAATTCATCATGGAATCAACATGTTTTCTTCTAACCTACATAATTGAAAGAAATGCCATGTGATGAACAGCCTAGTTGTTCTCTCTTTCCTCAACTATAGATAAATGAAAACCAATCAGATGTATCTGAGCCGCGGTAAAACATGGATTGTGATTGCGCATACAATCAAGATTCACAAGGAAAGGGAAACATGTCACAAGTCTTATATTCAAGAGATTCGTCCACTACTGTTTTTGCAAACAATAGAGAGTTATGAGGTGATGTTCCAATTACTAGAACGTCATAAGCAGGACTAAACTAACTTACATGACCGTAGTTCCAATAATTTTGGATGCATTATCAAAAAAAAATGGACACCAACACAGATTTCTTCTATATAACCACTAAATAAAAGATGCAAATAATCAAATTTATGACGATGCAAATAATCAAAGTGAAGAGTTTTTTTTTTTTAACACATGGGTTGTGAAAAATCAATTAAATTCCTTATTCAGAAAAAGCCTATTAATGTCTAACTCTCTACTAATGGAGAAAATATGTACCCACATCTACTTTTCCCCTGAAAAACATTAGAATTAATATAAGGGGGGACAGGAGGGGGAAGATAATACTTTCAAACATGGCAAAAGTCTGAATTTTTCTGGAAAAGTATTTATAGGTCATATCATGGATGGGAGCATACCTTCAAGCAAGGATGAATATGGGAATTATCTCTGGATAAATATCTAAAGCAGCAGTACTCCAGAAAGCTGCGTGCGTCACTACGGATGGAGACAGGAGCCTGTGCTTCGAATATCTTCTGCATCTTCCCCCCGGTTTGCCCAATCATCCTGTCCGAGAAGTGGCCCATATGTCATAGTTAAAGACTAATCATTACACAGGAAATCCGGAATAAAGGACAGGCTTAAAAGAGTGGAGATAATTTTGTAGCTACCGGCTGAATTGCTCTATAGAGACGGCTGCTTCTAAAGAGAGGACTCCATTGGGCGTCTTCCAGTTAACGGTCATCTCAGGAACCGGCATCACGACTTCGTCAATTCCCACGTTCTCCAGATCCGCCGGAGGATCGGACCTTATTCCTGGTCCGGAATTGACGAGCGGCCCGGCGACCTCTGTGATCACCGTCCGGGCCTTCAGAAACCACGAGGTCAGCCTCTCCTGTACAGCATCTACTGACAAGAAAACTGGAAAAATAAGAGAAAAAAATGGTAGGAGCTGGGGAAGGTCGGTGGAGAGAACATGAAATGAAATCAGAGTCAGAAATCTGAAAAGGAGAAATAACCACTCACCTGAGTCGATATTCTGCAAGTTCCATCTGTCGCCCAAGGACCAGCAGACTACGCTCGCGTGGGACCGGGCCGGGGGCCTCGCACCGGAGGTTGAGGTGAACCGCGGGAGGCTGCGGAGCGGCGGCAGTGGGAAGCTCGTGGAAGGTCCCGGCGACGAAGACGGGATTGAGCGGAGAAGGGAATACTGTAGCTGCATTCTCCTCACTCTTCAAATCTCCTCATGGCCCCCCCGCCCTCCCGTTCCCCGGCATAAGGAGAGATCGGGTAAATTCCGTCGCACGAATCCGGCGGTCGCAGAATAGGACGACTACGGGCGAGGGTCTGACCCGGCGCCTGCAAGAAAGATGAAGAGAGACGTATGCGAGTGTTTCAGACTGCGAGTCTTAATGGAGTCGGTGATATGGCTACTGCAATTTGTGGCGGTGGTAAGCTCACCTCGCCCCCATGAAGAGATCTTTAGATTAATAATCATTTCCCACACACAGCTCTAAACTCAATAATAAATTATTTAATAAATGGAATTTATCTAAGTGATTTTATTTATTTATAACTCGAGAAGCAGGATTTATCCACTTTCATATTTTCTCGTACTTATAAAATTAATCTTCAATAAAATATCAATTTGTATAACTTACTGGGGGCGTGTGACGAATAAAATCTTGGTTGATGTCCCGCGGCAGGGCGGCGTGCTGCGAAGGGGAGCAGAGAGCGACGTTGGAGGAAGAACAGCGAGATGCGACTTCGCAGTCGGGAGTGAGATCCTCGGCGTCGAGGCGGGGGACAAATCCGCTGCCAGAAAACCGCCTTCCGACTCTACATTCCTGTGGGACCTTCCGGCGGCACAACATGTCTGTCCAACAGGGCTGCGGCGGAGGCCGCGGAGGGACAATGGAAACTGCCGAAGCTGGATGTTGGTGGAATGGCGGTCTTCTCGCAGAATCCTGTGACTCGGCCGGAGCAGGACTGAATACGAGAGATGGATCGCCCCTCCGTTGCGTCGAAGATCCGCCTACCTCGTCGATCTGTCTCCGATACCTCATTGCCATAGGCTTCCCGGATATCTCCCTTTCCTTCCTTCCGGTGCTTCCCGGAGACCTTCAGGAGCTCCTCCTCTCAGGCGACGGCAACTACGACCGTCGCCCGAAATTTCGAGCTGCCGACGCGGACCCAAGGTTGATCAGAACCATTTCCTCGAAGATCCACCTACCTCGTCGATCTCTTTCCGATTCCGCATTGCCGTAGGCTCGCCGAACGCGGAGCCGTTGCTGTCGAAGATCCGCCTGGCTTGTCGATCTCTTTCCGATACCGCATTGCCGCAGCCCTCCCGGAGATCTCCCTTTCCTTCCTTCCTCCGCTTCAGGAACTCGTCCCCTCCGGCGACGGCAACGGCGACCGTCCCCCGATTTCGAGAGCTTCCGACGCAGAGCCGGGTGTTGATCGGAACCGCCCTAGAGAACTAAATAACCATCTCGGACAGTTTAAAAGGTTAACGTTGGGTTTTCAGCGTGAAACGTGTGGGCCCAGTGGGCCACAATAGGTTTGGGCTAAGTTGGTCATCAACATAAATGGATAGGCCCATTTAGGGCCCATCGGTATCGTCTTCGTGAAAACATTTTACGGGTGCTCTCGCTAACGGTCTCCGTAAGTGGAAGTGATTTTCCGGTTCTTCTAGACGCTTCCGACAACGAGGGAGGAAGCGGGAAGGAGAAACCCTTACCGAAGTTACGAGGCCGCTCTCGTTGCACACCATCAGAATCTGTAGTGTCTCGGACACCATCGTCTTCGTCCTCCTCCGTCTCCACGGGGTCCTGGTCTCTCCCTTCCTCGTCACCATCGTCTTCCTCTCTGAGCTCCCTGCGGAAGGCGACTTCTCTTTCTTCCACCAGGGTTATAAATGGTGCGACGCGCCGGTGCGAGGTTTGCCTACTGGTTGTCCCGTAGGTGCCTCGCGTCGGGTGTTACCGGAGACAACGCCACCGGCGCGGTAAGCAGCCTTCCCCACTCCCTCTGTTGTCGTCTCCTTGTATTGGGTTCTGCCTTTGTTCGTCTCGATCTGTCTGATTCCGTCCCTGCAGTCGGGAGCTTTCTCCAGTCGGTTCGCGTCGGGAATATGCAGCCTCACGCGCGCTCCCTCATACGGTGGTTCGGATGCGGGTGGGTGAATGTGCCGGAATTGATTCTTTCTGAGAGACCTTTTCATTGCCAGACTCCTCCTATTTGCATATGCTGGCTTTGACATTGATGTCTTTGCTTTTTTCTGCACGGCTCAACGAAAGGGAGTGGGATCCAAGGTGTAGCATCTCCCAGGTCTTGGTGCCCGAGCAGGTCATTTCACGGTACAAATGCCGACGTCAAGCTGCTCAAGATGTTCCTTTTCTCTATGTCTCAGGATTTTCTAATTATCCGTTTTGTTTGTCTACTTTTTTCAGGTTCACGTCCTATGTGTGTTAGGGACTACTACGAAGTACTCGGGGTCACCAAGAACGCAAGTCCATCAGAAATAAAAAAAGCTTATTATGCGGTAATTTTCATTATCTGCTTTCCTTTCATTGTTTTTAAAAATACCGATCGTAGGACCTTGTTTTACTCGAGTTTCATGCCGGCTGATTAGAAAAGGACAATTTTCGCGTTATCTTATGAGCAAATTGACTTTATTTTGAATCAGACGGAGAGAACAAGGTCTTGATAATTATACCTCACCATCGTTTTTTGTTCTTCACTTTTCCCTATTCTTCTCGCTGAACGAAAAAGGAAAGCATCCCTGCTTGAAAGAAACATGAGTTGAAATTTGATTAAGTTTATTGATCATCAACTGGGAAGCCTATACAGTATTCCACTGTTAGGAGACACCAGGCAGACTCTCTGCATGTTGGGAACAATGATGCTACTACCAGTACTTTCAGGAGAGAATTCAATGTGAAGTTAGACACATATGGCTATTATCCGGAGATAATTGACAAGAGCCAGAGTCTCTTGTGATAACATATCAAGAAAGGTGATGTACTCTGGATCAGCCATAGGTGTAAACTTGTCTTACCCGAATGAATAAAGGAAAGATGATGAGAAAATAAAGGGCTACAGGTAGAATTTTGTCGTTGTCTGTTTGACAACTGAAGAAGTGCCTCTTCATTTGCTAGGTTCACATTTGAATGTATCCAGGCCCCTTAGAAATCAGGCACAGGAGAAGGCTTCCTTTCATTGGCAACACTTGTGGCTGAGGAATCGATAAGTTTGGATGAAGAGAGATCCGCAGATTTTGCTCAAACGTCAAGCATCTGATCGGATGCACTCACATGTTTGCACTTCCTTAAAAGAGGTGATCATTTAAAGAATTTAATATATCAGTCACTGTCAAATTTCATTGTAGTTATTGTTCTATGCTCAAAACAGTACCCAGCGATGTGTAGAACCCAGCATCAGGAGAGGAACCTGGTGCAAACCATACAAGGATCAACAGTCGGGAAAAATCTCTTCTACTTCTGAGTTCATGGAACAATTGCTAGTTATATACAATTACCCTGGCTACAAAAAAAGGAAACTACATAGGCTAAGGAAACTGATCAACGGAAACTAACTTCTAATTACACGTTTTTCCCACAAAGCCTTTTGACAAACAGTGCCAGAAAATGGTACTTGCCTGCTATTTGAATGTGATTGTGCTAATCTTATTGCTAGCGATTTTACTGGTGGAATGCATTTTGCTTTCTCTTTTCATCTGTCCATGACTACTAGATAAATGTGTCAGTTATTCATTTCCTAATGTAGCCCATAATGACGGAGAAAATTTCATGTTCTTAATTAGATGAACATAAGCAAATTGTTGGTGACGTGGCCATAAATGAGTATCAAATATTTTATTTCTTTTTCTATTTGTCGATTTATGTTGGTTCTTGAACTATCCACTTCTATTGCATGTCACACAGCTAGCCAAAAAACTTCATCCAGACACAAACAAGGATGATGCTGAAGCAGAAAGGAAGTTTCAAGAAGTTCAGCGTGCTTATGAGGTATCATTCTCTTTAGGCTATTATCTCATAAGTGCATGTTTCTTCTAAATAATTTTACAACTAAGATACTGTTGCTTCTCATTTTCAGGTCCTCAAAGATGACGAAAAAAGGTCACTTTATGACCAGGTGAATCAATTAGACTTCTTTAAGTTACATGATGTATCCGCATATTCGATTATGGTAGTATCCCTTTTGATTAATGAGAGATAATTTTATCATTCTTTGCGAGAGCAGCAACCGAAAGGACATTGCATTTTTATTTTTAAAATGTTTTTTTCTTTTCAATTTGCCTTATTATTGTCTATGGTATTTTCATTGATCAAGCCTCTTCTTCTGTCTAGTATTTCTGAACTTATAAACAGGAGTGTGATGTGCTCCTTAAAAAAGCAGTACATTAAAATTTGGAGATGAGACATATCTCCGCATATGTGCTAGCAGACTAACAGAAGCTTTGTCATTTTAATTTCTTCTTAGCTTGTGGCACAAAAAATACATGTTAATTTCCACCATTGCATGTCCCCATTGCATTTTCAATGGCAGGGTCTATTAGATTTTTCCGACTTTCTTTTATGTAGCTAAATCTCAAGAATGTCCCCATTAGGTCTCTGTATTGTTTCAATACGCTCCAAAATAATGCCGAATCCCAGAGAACGTGCCAATTGATACCCACGGAAAGCTCATTGGGGTACTGATGGTCCTCGGAACACTTAGACCGGACAAGTTAAACAACAATCAAAGTTTAGGCGTTTCTCAACATCTTAGGAAAGGCCGGGGTTCGAGCTGAGAAGGGAGAAGAAGGGAACACTGGAGTGTTTCAAGAGCACATGCGATCTAAAACGCGGCTTGTTTCTCATGAATGGTACAACCGTTGCTCATCTCCAATATGCCCCTTGAGAGGGGATATTGTTCCCTTCATGGGACGATGCTGCCACGGATATAAAATTGATTTAGGCAACATCAGCACTTATAGGGCCATTCTTCACATCCTAGCGAAAAATCTTCTTGTGATAAAATTGTATGTTAATGGCCATCTTGTGAGCAGGCTCCCCTAGATGCTTTTGATGTGAAAACTCTCATCATTACCAATTCTTGCTATCTAATCTGTTCCGGGCGATTCAGTGGGCTAGGTAGTAACAGTGGATAGAAAAAGTAACCTTGTCAACATCATCGATCCTGTCTCTCAACAATTTGTCACTATCTGGTTTCGCCTTAATAATCAGGGCCTCAAGCACAATTACTTGTTACATCATTTTGGTGACAGTTGCGTCTATTGTCATCCACCTTGTTATTTTTACCTCCCAATGCTAAATTTCTGACAGTATCCTAGAAGGCGAATCGTGTATGTGTCACTTGTTCCACAGTGAGGAAGAGAGCTGCTACAGATGTGTCCGGTGCTTTTTGCCATGGTCGCAATGGAATTCTCTATTTATCTTGTGATGGTTGGAGGTCCTAGATGGTAAGCAAGAGAGATTATAGGGATACCGTGGCTGCGAAATTAGTTGAGACTTGTAAGCTCCCGTGTACTGTCTGCTGGGAAACCAAAAGTTCGAAAAAGAACACAGGTGGGCGGGTGGAGTTTCTATTGCCTGCATTTTTCTGCTGTTTGTTGTAACACTTCCATGGAGCAACCGCTATTATTAGAATGGGTTGGAAGGTGCTGAGATGTTCCTCCTCATGCCATGCAGTTGTATTTGGGTGTGGACTCCGATTCAACTTTGAGCCTCATCATATTTATAAGAGTTTTCCTTGGATTGCTTACCTTTTCTTACTTTGGCTCTGGGGAGGGGCCATATTGATAGGAGTTGAGGTGTGTCGAGGAGTACTGTCTATGCTCAAATTTAATTCAGCCATCGAAAGCTGAAAAACATCCACAAGGCTGAGTCAAAAGTGGGGTGAATAGAACTAGCCAGGATGTTATGTATATAAATTTGGACAAATATCTATGGTACTTTTCTGTCTAAATGCTGCATCACACCCCTTGTTTCTCTATGAAAGCAATTGTAATATTAACTGTTAAGAAAGAAGATGAAGAGATGCCCTCCAGAAAAAAAAAGGATTGTGGAAATGACCATAAATTATGGATAATGGAGGGGTGCCATGATGTCCCATTGCCTTTTGTACCTTTCCGTTTTTCTTTGTTCAACTGTGTCATTGAACTCTTTCCTCACAAAAATAAGTTGGTCCCTCTCTTTCACACCTGACTTACCAGCAAAAGCAATTCATGGAAAATGATGCGATTGATGATGTTATTTTTTTGTGCATCACTCACATTATTTTTCATGGGTTGTTATTTTTCCTTTAATTTCTAGAAGAAACTATTGTATCCATGTTATCTCATATGTCCTAGTCTATCCCTCCTTTGCTTAGGCTAGTTATTGTCTCTCAATATTATTCTTAATAATTGCCTAGGTTGGTGCTGAAGCATTTGAGCAAGCGGCTTCTGGTGGCGGCCCTGGTGGTGGTCCATTCGATGGTGGATTCAACCCGTTTGAGGAGTTCTTTCGAGGTGGAGGCATGGGCAGTGACGTATGTGCTCTTCAGAAACCTTTGCTGTTGTAAATTTTTTAAGGACAATATTCTTTCTAACAGTAGACGAACCTTTTGGGTTTTTACGGTGGTGAATTTCGAATCGTCTGATTCATGTTTTTACGTCACTGAATTTTACATCGAGAAAGGTTTGTGTTCATTTCTGCAGAATTTTTTTAATAAATGTTGGGATTTATAGATTCAAGATTGCTATATTTTCCATCTCTGACTTAAGTTTATAATACTCATATTGTTTGCTTTTTGCAGCGTTGTAGTGATTTGTACTTGCTTATTTCGGTTATATCTGGCTTTTAATCAAATCAAATGTTTGTTTTGGCGCATGGAAGCTATTGCCTTTTTGACATCATTCTCATCTTATCTAAATTCATCTACTTTGTATACTTCTGCATTTATTGGCTTTTTTGCCACTGATACATGCTTTATTCATGAAATAATTGCATCCACCCTTGTGTATAGTTTATGTCTACTCAAATTCTTGTCGTTCCCCAGTATTTTCTTTATAAACTTATTGACCATTTTCCCTTTTATCTAATTTTGTTGAATTCGTAGAATTCAGTCAACCAAACAGGAGTGGAATCCCAATCGTGCTGCTTTTGTTTTTAATGAATGCTTGTTGTATTTTCTATAACCGTTCTTTAAAAGTTCCTCTCTGCGCATGCTGCCCTGCCTCAGATTTCTTCCATTGGAGTGTATGATATCTATCTCATATGATAATAAATCCATTGGATGAATATTTTTGGTTGTAAATACCTACTTTAACTTTGGGATTGTGATTTTCTAGTTCATGTCTTTCATGTGGCCAATCTGTGCAGAAGAAATGGAAATAGCATAATATTGGAGCGTTTTCCCTTCTTCACCCACATTATATTAAAACTTTTTTTTGGTGTGGGGCAGAGTCAGGATGAGTACAAATGGTTCAACCTTTTAAACGCCATTTTTCTCTTTCTAGTTTCAGTTAAGACGATATGTATATTTTTTTTGTCCTCCCCACAAAGAAAAACGTTAGAAAAAGAAAATAAAATCTCATCGACCAGTTTTTTTCTCATTTTGTATTTTAATCTTCCACTCTCTCTTAGTCTGTTGCACTTGCCCCGTTCTCATTCGTTCCTATTTGAATCTCTTCTATTTATCATTTAAGTAGTTCACTATACGTTGTTTCATAGTTTTTTTGGTATGCTTGGGCATGTTTTGGTTTTTATTCACATCTTCCTCTTTTATGGATGCATGATCAACAGTTAGGACATGGCGAGCTGGGCATGTTTTGTTGTACTCATTGATCCCAATTCCGATTGAACAAGACAGGGTAATGCAGACCCTTGGCAGGCTTGTTTTGGTCTAGCCGTCTAGGCCGTCCACGGATGTAGTAGTTGGAGTGCGCCAGCAATATCTATCATGGAAGAGTTTGAAGACCTACAAAATGTTGGGCTTCAAACTATTTTTGCTTTATTCATATAATAAAATCACCTAGTGCAGTAAAATATAAACAGCAGTTGCGGTATTCTACTTCTTTATTTCATACCATTTTCGGCCAATAGCATGCCACATTAGTTGTCTCCCAAAGTAGCTGGTTACTTTTACACGGGTTCCAACTTTTGTTTGTGTGGCTGAAAATGACCGGTGACTTTACATTGCCAATCTTAATAATTAACCTTTGTAGTTGCTCATATTTATATTCACAATTCTATGTAATTTGACCGGGCTAATTTACTTTTTGCATCCTTCATGTTTTTCCATGAATTTTCAGTTTTTTGGGAATATCTTCAATCGAAAAGGGCGAGATATTCAGGTCAAACTCTTTCCATTATAATTTAATTCTCCTTCAAGTCTTGACTATTTCACTTTCCTTGGCTTATTGGACGATGACTGAACCTTTTCCATAATACAGGTGGAATTGGAATTGTCATTCATGGAGGCAGTTCAAGGATGTACAAAGACTGTGTCATTCCAGGCTGAACTACCTTGTGAAACTTGCAGTATGATTCTTCACTCAAAGGAGCTAGTGTCATGGACAATGTTTCATTTTGAATCAGTCTCCGTTCTGTAAGTTTACTAATATTCATTGCATTTCTCTGTTGCAGACGGAACTGGTGTTCCTCCTGGAACAAAGCCCGAGACATGTAGGGCTTGCAGAGGCTCAGGAATGGTTCGAAACCAAACCATTGTTGTTCAAAATTTGTACCATAGTCTCAAGGATATTTTACAGTTCACAATCATTGCATTTTCTTACATATGCAGACTTTCATGCAAAAAGGCCCCTTTAGAATTCAGTCTACCTGTATGCACTGCGGGGGAACTGGGAAAACAGTGAAGGTACATTATTCTTGTTAATATGATATTCTACCCTGGCTTTTGCAGAAAGGTGTGATACTGTTTTTCTCAATTTTCACTCTATTGTCGATTTTAGATTTAGAAGTTCGCTCATTCCCCCAGTAGCTCAAGCAAAGCTGCTTCCTGCTAGTTTTGCTGTGATAACGGTTTGATATTCAGAATTTGTAAGTTATCTTCTATGAGTCGGATAAGCAGTATATTACTAACATTGGTTTAAGATGATATTTTTGGTTGATCCAATGATCTTCCTATCTCGACTTTCTTTTCAATAAAATAACTTAACTTGGGTTCGGTTTATATCTTTCTGACTTAGTTTGACTTGCAGAATTTTATCAGCTCTCAGGTTATCTAGCTGAGATAAGCGTAAATATCTTGTGAGGCTCTCTTATTTTTAAATGAGATATGTCATAGTTGATAGTATCTTATAAAAACTTTTAATTTAAAATACTAAAAATATTTCCAATACAATTGCATTAAGATCCTCTTTTTCCGGAAAGGTTTGGGAATATCAATCTTACTTGTGCAATTCAGAGGAGTTGTCCTGGCACTCTTTAATCCGGAATCAGTCTTGCGATTGACAGAATCAAACCTTTAGACTAAGATGATAAACCCTGGTCTTTGTCTTTTTCATTTGCGTAAAGATCCGCAGATGGGTTCAGATTGACAGATAATGTTTATGCATTGAAACATTTTGCGTTTCAGAGATGCTAGCAAAACTCTGATCTATGGGTTGAAATTTTCTGGACGAAACTTCTGTGATCTTGATTTGATTATTATTTCATTTTATTTTCCGTATAGGTTTAAATTAGTTTACATCCAACAGTTGTCCTTTTTGTACTTCTAATTGAAAAATTATCTGCAGAGTTTTTGCAAGACATGCAAGGGAGGCAAAGTTGTGGCAGGAACAAAGTCAGTGAGAATAGATGTGATGCCAGGTATACATTATTGGACAGTACCTTTTATGGTTTTATGTGAAGTTCATAGATGGATGATGGTAATCTTTGTTGGACAAATGTAGCTTACTCATTTTCAAGTCTGAAACTTTGTATTGCTGGTAATCTGTTCGTGTGCGTGCGACTAGATTACCTTGTTTGGTCTGGATGAAACCCAGGTAGGGCCGAGCATCAATGACCCAACTCTTCAGTTCACTTGTTTTGAAGAATGATAAAGTTCAACAAGCTTGCAAGGACGAAAGATTGCCAGAAAAATCTTTAGAGAGCATGTCTCAAGGTTTGATTTGTTGGTATACATGCGTATTCCCTGGGGGAGTGGTTTCATCTGGTTAGTCAAGATAGATTAAAACCGAATGAGAGCGGCTTTCAAATCTCTTTGTATCGAACTCCCCGATTTTCAACAATCAATCGTTTGATTAAGCTCAGCCATGTAAAATGACTTGAAGAATAAATGACATTTCGTGCTCACAATCTCATCAACTTTCAAGTCATGTAGAGGTGATTACACAAGCCAAGTCCTATGACTGTTACGCAGGAAAATTCTGAGTGAACTTAGGCCTTTTGGAATCATCAGTTTCTGAGTAAATTTTGTTATCGGCCATGTGATATGCTGGAGGAAATATTTGAGATGTCGGTCATGCTGGTTCCTAGATATGGAAGGCTTATAAAACTGAAACTGAAACATCTTCTCTTTTGACTTTAGGGAAAGCCAGACTTGTCATTCCAGCTCTAAAACCGAAACAAATAACGCTATTTCTCGTTTCTTCTGGATGTATATTGGCATGAAGCTCTTTGCTGCTAAAAGATGTTAGAACCTGTCTGATTTGCAGAAATTCCTCAAACTTCCCTTTCTCGGGGATAGAAGACCAAATGCATGGGTCAGTCATGAACTATAGAGTATCTTGATCACTGTTTATTTGATTGGCATTGGACAGATGACCATAAATAATTATTTGCAGGTGTAGAATTTGAGATTGAGGAGTCATTCTAGGCCGGGTAGGTTAGACTTTTGTTGCTTTGGACGAGTCTGCGAATTGATGGACGCGGGAAAAAATTAGCTGCTGCTGCCATTGAGTTTGACCTCCTTTGGTTCTGAGACGAGCATCTGTTATCACTGTGTCTTTTCTTATTGGTGCGATGTTTTCTCTTCGCACTGGTAGATACATACCATACACAACCATCATGACTCATAGGTATGTACAATATATAGCCAAGATTATAACTGGTGGCGCTGAGCATCTGAATGAAGCTACTGTTTTGGGTTGTATATTATATTCATTCGCAAGGAAATGCCTGTAATACATGGGAGTCACACTTTCCTCGAGGATAGTTTCGAAAATGAACAGAGAGGGAGAGGTGTGTGAATCTACAGGGCGAGTCTCAAAGCCACCCTGGTTTTTCTGGGCCTAGGTCAAGAATTAAGGTCAACCCCAGCCCTGGCATCGTGCTTTGCCAGGCTTGGCCAATGCTCTACCAGATTCTGTCGTGGAAAGAGTCCTGGTTCCTCTGTGCAGCAGCCTGACGGCATGTCATGTAGTGGCCCACTTGCTTCATATTTAAACCCTCCTCCCCCCAGCCGCACACCAGGGTTGGGTTTTTCTGGGTCCTGTTAGTTGGCATACCATTTATATCCTGCATCATTTACAATTTGGGTGTCGCTCCCTCTGTGTTTGCAGATGATATCCTGCCTTTTTTCACCAAATTATATATATATATATATATATTGAAAGTGGACAGTATGAGTTGACAAATTAGGCATTGAATAGTCAATATTATGAACATTCATTCCATGTTGAAATCCATGTTTGAGAAATGGTGAATAAATGTTCGTCAAATAATTTGAACATCTGATGATGAATCTCAGCTTCTGGGAATTCTCTCTGAGCTACTCTGACGTCATTCTACCATTTAGGGATGGACGATAATGAAACCATACGGATTAACAGAGGTGGTGGAGCTGACCCTGAGGGCGATCTACCCGGTGATCTTTACGTCAAATTGAAGGTAAATTTCCCCCTTTTGCATCCTATCTCGAGCAAGAATTTCTAAATCCATTCACTGAACCATCATCTGAATTTCACAGGTTCATCAAGATCCTGTTTTTAGGAGAGAAGGCCGCGATATTCATGTCGATGCCGTTTTGAGCGTCACTCAAGTAATTCTCTCTCCTCATTCATCGCTTCTGCGTCGTTCTTCCTATTCCTGCGTTGAACGATGATGTTGGCAAAAATATATTTTTTTTCCCTTCCACTTATTAAAATAATCTCTTGGATCATATTATTCTGCGATTCCCATCTGATCTTCGCCGTCCAAATCCTGGTTGACTTTTGCAGGCCATTCTGGGAGGAAGCATCCAAGTTCCCACTCTTACAGGGGACGTTGTCCTCAAGGTTTGCTACGGTGCACCATCATCTTCTCACTCAGCTAGACTTCCGCGCAACTCCATGGGAGCTAAAATATTTGGCTTTCTGTCCACAGGTTCGTCAAGGCACCCAACCTGGTCAGAAGGTCGTGCTGAGAGGGAAAGGTGGGTCCCAGCCAGGAACCCAGCTCTGATGCCGTCCGTCATCCATCCATTTTCCTTCATCTGGATGCTCATACATAACCTGCTGTTCTTCTGCAGGGATCAAGACGAGGAGCTCTTCCTTCTACGGCGACCAGTTCGTCCATTTCAACATCAGCATTCCGACGTAAGTCCACTGTCTCATCCTGCTCCCTGATCCCTCCACACCCAGTGAGAGATCCGACCGTTCTGCAGACGAATCTTAGCGATCTGAGTCAACGGATCACTCTTGAGCTTTGTGTTCATGGTGGATACTTCTGCGTGCAGGAACTTGACCCAACGGCAACGGGCGATCATCGAGGAGTTTGCGAAGGAGGAGCAGCAACGTGAGGATTTCAAGGGTGCTGCTGCCGCTGCAGGAGCATCGGGTTGACTTTCGCAGCAATATCTGTGTCCATTTTTGAAGGGTTTTGTAGGAAGGAAATATAGCGTAGAACCCATTGTAGGCTCCTCCGCAAACTATAGTCATGCACGTTATGTATTCTTTGAAGAATATGGTTTTCCCGGTAATAATTTCACTTGTAACATTATCATGTTCCTAGACAGTTAATCTCAGGGGGTGTATATAATCCATTCATCCGAATCAGTCCTGTCCGGAAGGAAGGGAGGCACCTTCTTGGGTTATTTATTTATTTATATAAAAATAAATAAATAATTGAAGCATGCTCTTTGTTCTTATCGTCGTAGTACATTCTGGTGGTTTGGAGGATAACTTTTTTTTCTTCTTTTTTTTCTACTTGCAAATAATTCTGCTTCATTTGATTATATTATTGAAATTATATGTTTTAAGAATAACTGAGACATTATTTTCGTATAATTCATAAAGCTATGTCTGATTCCCCTCCTTGAAAGCAACCCCTCCTCCCGAGAAGTCAACGGCCGTTGATGACGTAGCGAGATAGTTGAGCACAAACTGCCGTTGATGAGTCACATTTATCGGTCTGGCCCAGTTTTTGTGAATTTCAGCTCATTCAGCTCAATATGTCATTTTGGCCCAAAATTTGAAGCCCATTGAAGCAAAATATGGCCCATTTTGGACTTCCCGGCCCATTTACTTCCATCTCTGTAAACGGACCAAGATATGTGCCCCCCCCCCCCCCCTGAGCCCAGCTTGAACGACTGCATGTACGAGGAAGGGAATTAGACCGAATTATGCGATTAAATATCTCTCCTTCATTTCAATGTTAATTAAATCTCATGATTAATATATCAACTCCATTTTTAAATTAAATGATGTGATTAAGATTCCTTACTGCTTTTCCGTACTTTACTTTCGGTCGTGCAGTTCTTGTTCTGAGCTCAGCCATGGGTGCCATCACTCTCTCTCTCTCTCTCTCTCTCCCTCCATTAAAGGAGCGGTCTTTCTTCCTACACGCAGACGTCCGGTGGGGAGGCGTCCACTATGGCAACCCTACCGTGAGTTAGGGTTCCGGGCCGGCGGGAACCCCATGAACTGCCGGAAGGTCTGCCGGAAAAGAAGACCCATTGATTTCCAAGCCCTCCCGCCGTCCGGTGAAACCCGTGTCGCAGTCACAGCTCTGTTCAAGGAGCCCCCCTGGCCGGTGGGGAAGGAGGAACTCGGCGGCAGCGGCCATCTCGGAGCCGTCGCCGCTGCAGATGGCTGCGACGGCAGCAGTGGCATTTACTGCCGCCGCTGTTTCGCCACTAAATGGGTGCGCCCAGCTCTTGCTCTCTCGCACTAAATGCCGGGAACGGATATTGTCGCGTGTGTGCTGGCTCTGCTACTTTTTATCGTCAGCACGCCGAAGATCTCGCTTGCGGTCGGTGGCTCGTGGACCATCGCCGCCATTAAAGCTCCTTCATTTGCTACCGTACATCGTCTTTCATGTCTCCCAGTCACATGCAGACCTGAATGATCGCAGCAACTGGGCGAGAACGAGAGAGAGAGAGAGAGAGGGAGAGAGGCGGCGGCATGCATCGGCCGACGGAGATGGAGAGACTCGGCGGCGCCAACCATAGTTTCCACAAATAACACGCTTTCCATAAAAGAATCATGACTCGGAATCATTTTGTAGGGGCGATTAGTGGATATTTATCCACACGCCCTTGCTGGGCACGCCCGCGTGCACGACAAAGAGTAGGTAATACCCCGGCGGCGCTATGTTGGCGCTGGGCGGAGCCGCCGTTGTCGCTTGGTACGCCTCGCCCCCCGCCGACTCCACTTTCTCCACCGCGAGCACCACCATGCGCTGGTTCATTGCCAGCGAGTGGGTGGTGAACGACGGAGCCAGCAGTGCCACCACCACGCCGCCCTGCGACTCGTACTCGGCCACCTCGAAGCTCACCGCCAGCGGCTCTCCGTAGCCCACTGCCCCCCTCGGCACCGCCTCGACGGCCGTGGGACGCCGCCCGTCGTACGCCGCGTCGAGATACGGCGGATAGAACGCCTCCAGCCGCAGCTCCGTCGGATACTCCACGCCAGTGAAGTTGTAGTATATGTGCGGGTTGCTGCCGCCGACGAGCACACGGCCGAGAGTGTCCACCATCGCCGCCGAGTGGTACATTCGGGGGATACCAGAGCGGCTGAGGACGCTGAACCGCCCACCGGAGGGGCCGTCGGGGCGGTAAAGCAAGGGAAAGGTGACAGGATCCCGGCCCAGTTCCCACCCCGCCGTGCCCTTGCCGGCGCCGTTGACGATAATGACGTCGCCGGTGGGGAGCAACAGCATATCCCCCATAACGCGGGCCGCCGGCATGGTCTCCATCCGCCAGGAAGCTCTCGGGTCGGTGAGGACTAGCCTGCCGCAGGTTCTAAGAGCGGGGACGAAGGTCCCGTTGAGGGCCTGCTGGTAGGACCCCCGCGGGGCGCCGCCGCAGATGAGCACCTCCGCCACCAGGGCGGCGGCGCCGCCGGCGGGGAGGCGGAGGGGGAGGAGCACGGAGGAGCCGGTGCTCGGGTAGTTGCGGGGCTCGCCACCGGGGATGGCTGGGAAGGTGCGGAGCACGCGGCCAGTGACGTAGTCGATGGCGACGGCTCTGGTGTTGGCGAAGACGAAGAGGGAGCCGTCGGGGAGGAGGTGGAGGAAAGGGTAGAGGTTGTTCTCTGCTTCTCCATCCCGGGTCTCCCTCAAGAAGGGGAACTCCGCGGGCTGCGCCTCCTCCTCCCTGGGGAAGAACTCGTAACTGTACTGCCTCCGGCCGCCGACGATGACGACGCGACCGTCGGGGAGGATCTGGTTGGTGGCGTACCAGCGGCGCACGGCGAGGTACCCGGGGTGCTCAACCCAGTCGCAGGCAGCGGTGGCGCCGCCGTGGAAAGCGCATGGGGCGAGGGAGCGGACGACACGGTCGCCGTCGTTGTAGCCGCCGGACTGGAGCAGCGTGCCGTCGGGGAGGACGGCCCCGGAGGAACACCAGGTGTCGGTGAGCACCGTCAGCGGCGCCACCGCGTTGGCGGAGACGTCGTAGAAGAGGGAGTGCGCCGTGCAGTCCTTCTTGAGGACCGTGTCCAGCGGGTCCTGCCGGCACCGCCCGCCGGGAAGGGAGAGGTTCGAGGCGCCGAAGTCCGTCCTGTCGAACATCGCCACCTTGTCGTTTCTCATCAGCTGCATGTGCATGGCGGAGATCCCGATGCTCTCCCGCAGCACCCGCCACTCCCCTCCGCCGCTCCACCCCGCCATCGCCGCCTGCGCGAAGAAGAAGAAGATGAAGAAAGCCAAATGATGGTGTTCCGCCATGGCCGTCCTCCTCTGCTCCTCCCCAGCTCAGGGGGGCTCTTTTCTGGGGGGATTCAGGGGAGGCCTTCTTTGCGCTTCTTGATTTCTTGGTGGGCGGTAGAAGGGTCCGTCCACTTTTTGTCCCCGCCGAACCCACACGGGCCATGCCCACCTGGTCCTCCCCTGCTCCACCATCCTGTCCAAACGAGCTCGGGGCATTTCATTCAAGAAATCCGACAACCAGTAAGAAGACCTTGCAACCGGGGAAGCCCTACATCTCATTCATTAATCAAAGACAAAAACATAGGAAAATTTGACGGCCAACCAAAGAATAACGCCGTTAAAATCTTCTAAGCACGATATTAATAATAAACACAGTGCCGGCCTTACATTACAATAGAATCAAAAGAAGAAGAAGAAGAAAAAAAAAGAGGCCTGGGTTTAAGCTTAATGGTAACAACTTGTCACAGGCATCATCATATGATCGACGATACAGCAAGGCACGCAACCCAGTTTATGCTTCTTCTTACGCCATGAATAGAACCTGGTATGGTCTTAATCGGCCCGAGACTGGCCAGCGCGTGATGAGAGGATGATGCCGACGATGAGACCATAGAGAGCAAGCGCCTCGGCGAAAATGAGGATGAGAATCATACCCACGAAGAGCTTTGGCTGCTGCGCGTTGGCCCTGCAAGAACGTGAGAACAAGGATTCAAAAAAACATCTTCTTCCAGGATGAATACGCAGGAAACGATGGGTTCAATTCGTCCAACTGATGGAACAAATGCCAAGCAGAAGCAAAGATCATCCACCCGTGGATCTCAACAAGTCAAAGCCGACGAGGTCAAAGTCATCATAATTAGAAACCCCAGATTGATTACCAACCCAGAAACACAGGTTTACATCTTCAAAAATAAACGAGGAAATGAGGGGAGGGGGAATGCCACTGTAACCAATGGGGACAACCCTTGCTCCCGTGGCAAGACACCATTTTTTTAGCATGCCAATAGCGGGGAGAGAAACGGGAGAGGGTGGAAGCCACAGCAGGCAGGCATGGAACTAAGACAGTGGGGATGAACGACGAAGAGATCTGCCAGCCCTGTTTTTTTAAGAAACTTGTTGAGTGTGTGTATTGATCGCTAGTTAGCTACAGTCCACAATTGCAGTCCTCTTCTCTTATCAGACTTTTGGATGAGAAAGAGAGACGTTCTTTTAAAGAGGGAGGGAGAAAGCGAGGGCCAGGAGGATGAGGAGGATGTAGTTCACTCTCCCGTTAAAGGGAGGATATCTAACGCGACTAGAGGAAAGAGATCAATCAGTTGACTCCATCACAAGCTTTTTCCTTAATTTTGCATTAATTTCCCTACCCCCCTCCCCTTGCTCTTATTCATTTCGCCTTCATTTTCTGTCCCCACAGCTACCCCCTTCTTGCATCCTAGACATGAAGGGTGGCGAGAAATTTAGCACAAGTTAGTCAAAACATTTTAAGCTGATCATGAATCACGATAGCTCCTAGGGAGATCCGGACTGGAGGTTGTTTTTAGTAAGACAAATGGCCTGCAGTAAGAGACAAAAACCACACATATTTCACATCCTAGACCACGCCACTAACAAGGAAATAAGTGGGAAAGGTGGGAAACGGTACCACTTCACCTCCCTATTAGTTTCACACACCCACTGCACCTCCCTGTAATTGGCTTTCAGGTTCCAGATCGCAGATCCTCGATTCTTCTCCGGATCCAAGAAATGGAGGTGAAGAGGAGAAGAAAGGAAAAGAACAAGAAAACCTCTAGAGCTTCCCCTGATAAATTGCAGGAACAGGAAAAGTGTAGAGACTGATTAAAGCCACACACATGTTCAGGTATCTGGTGAATCATATCAAACATCTCATAGATGTTGAGAATGAAGTACGTTATGGCATAAGTGAAGATAGCTCACTGACAGGAATTGCCTGAAATGGCGATGACAGTTGTAAAGCCGAATTTTATGAGATTTTTAGGGATGACATGCTCAGAAAATTTGAAAACACATGATGTGTATGCATATATGAGGCCAAAGAAGGAGATGATAATGACAGCCGGAGAGACATTTGATTGGTCGGGCATAAGCATTTCAACCTCCTGTGTGAAGCTCGAACAAGGGGATTATCCACGCCAAAAAAAACTCGAAAACCATCCGTGATGGAGCCAAAAAGATAATTGTAGCAGAGGCATTGCTCCAAAGAAAGAAATTAAGCATAGCTTGAAGGCCACAAGTAAAACGATCTAAAATCTGGATATTTGGCGTTGGTATCCTTCCTACCCACCTTTAAAAAACATCGCTGGACCTCTAAAACTTGGTAGAATATAAATTACTGGACATCTGTTGAGCTAACAATCAACTTGCAAGTGCGTCTGTGCTGAATATTTATATTAAGCATGTGTTGCACTTTCGTTTCTGAGTTCTAAACATCATATACATTTTCTGGAAACTCCAACGAACAGATTAAGGATCACGGTAGAAAAATTTCAGTGCATGCTACCATATATTTTTTTTAGAAATCAACAACCACCAAATCCAACATCGAAAATATATGGTGGATACACATACGAGTCCATTTCACATACTAAATGGTTATCACTGAATAGTTATAACACCCTAGGACAGATACTTATATTACTACCAGACATCCATACGGTACCTGTTTCCTGACTATCGTCCAGGGTATAAACTATGCTCTTGAGGGATAAGGACTATCTTCCAGCGGAAGGGACCATCAGAGAAAATTTTAGGAAAGAAAGAATGGATTTCTTTACAAAGGGGAGAAAGAGGGGGAGGATCTTATGTTCCTTCTTCTACCTTATCTTTGTAGTCGAAGGTCAAATTTCTCTAATCATATGGGGTACATTTAACTTTTTAACAGAGAACCAAAAGCTTGTACGCACTGACATTCATTTATTCATCCAAAACAGAATAAATAAGTTTATGAACAATGTTATGCGCTACTAATCATTACAACACTGAAAATCTCTACATCACGTAACACTTGAAGGACTTGAAAGAAGGATAAAGAGTTTGATCACAGAAAAATAATTACCAATATGAACCCACGAAAATAATTATTCGTACACGTCACGTGATCAACTCTTTCATTTATTGTCAAAAACCATGTCAAAATAAATGGAGATAAGATTTAGCTTAGAGAGAATGGAATATCAAAATAAATTACAGCCACTAAAATGGTTTAACTTATAACTACTGAATCTTATGTTCTTGTTTTAAGTCTACAAAGTCTGGATTTGCATGGGAAATTCTGGTGAATATAACATTCAGAAGGAACATAGTGGCAAAGGTCTAATTTACATGCCATTAAATTGTCTGATCAACGAATAGAATCACGGAACTAATCTTTTACTCATTGGGACTGGGAGGTCATATTTTCTCCTCTCCTTCTTGGAGATGTTTATAATCTTCAGAAATCAGTAAAGAAATGAAGTTCCGTACTTAGAACTAAAAACATGGTTGTAGGAACCCCTCAGCGCCCACCAATGCTACAATTGAATTGAGTTTTGCATTAAGAACTTTAACAAGTGGGAAAAAAACTAATTTTCTTGGAACTATAAACATTCGATATCCAACATAAATTTCATCCGACCATTTCGAACATTTTTCCTCCCAAGATATCAACTTGCGCCCGTAAAAGTTTTCAAAACAACTAGCGGATCATCAGGTAGCACAACCCATACTATAATATATGAATCACTAACACCCGTCGACAAGGGAAGAAAATGAAAATAGAAAACCGAGTATAAACAAGCAGGTCGCATGGATCATACATGATCGATGACGAAGGAAAAGGATGTCAAGAAGATAAGTTACCGCACTCCAGCGTCCCCAACGATTCCGATAGCCATCCCCGCGGAGAGCCCCGCGAGACCGCACGCGAGACCAGACGAGAGGTGTGCATACCCATCGAACAAGTAATACGGCTTCGCCTTGGGGTTTATCCCCGTGCTAATGATAACTGCGATGATCAAGCCGTAGATCCCGAGCACTCCCGCCATGACGACGGGAACAATGGACTTCATCACCAGCTCCGGCCGCATCACACCCATCGATGCGACCCCCACCCCGCTCTTCGCTGTCCCGTACGCCGCCCCCATGCCTGCCAGAAACAAAAAAACGCTATCAAAGCCACACAAACCGGACCGCGGCGCGTCAATCCGACCAAATCAAGGACAAGAGAATCCTCCTCGGGAGGGGATTTACAGGAGAAGACGAGGGCCGCGGCGGCGCCGAGGAAGCCAAAGAAGGGAGCCGTCTCATTTCCACTGAATTCAGTCATTCTCCTCGGGAATCCTAGATCTCGGAGACCCCAAATTCCTTCGCCCTCCCTCCCCGTTCTTCTTCCTCCGCCCTCTCTCAGCAAGTCCAGGAAGGAAAGCCCACCCCACAGATGCAGAACTCTTGTGGAGATCGAGACCCCCAAATCTTCTTAACAATCCTCAAAACTCCTTAAAATTGCGCAGCTATTCTCCTGGCCACGTGGCGGGACCACAGCTCAGCTAATTTGTTTAAAACATGATTTCTATTAAAAATACCCTCCCCGCGGTTGTGATGGGAGCATCGGATCTACACCAAATCGATGGCCAGGGTGAAGGATGACGTGTCCTCACTACGGGACCCACAACGGCTAAGAGGGAGGGAGGCACGTCGGCGTCCAGCAGCAACCTGCACTCACATTTCGATTCAGAAAGCCGTCGAAAACAGTACAATAACACCAACGCAGAGCAGAAACAGGGGAAGCCATGGATGCCGAGCAGAGTCGACCCAAGAGCTCCGCCAATTGAAGCTACGCTAGCGAAAACCCTAGAGGATCACCGTCCTAGAAGGCGAACTCTTCCTCCTCGCTCGCCAGGGGGAGTCCGCCGCGCTCCGCCGCGTCCCGCAGAGCCGCCGCGGTGTCGTCGGAGATGCCGAGCAGATACTGCAGGCGGGAGAGCTTCTCCGGCTTGGGGATGCTCTTCAGGTAAAGGCAGTAGAGGTCGGCCAGCTCCTCTGGTGAAGACCAGGAGAGCGGCTCCGAGGGGACGGCCCGGTCGCAGGCGAGCATGTCGTTCAGGGAGGACGCCTGCAAGAGAGAATCGCCATCGATGTCAATTCCTCCCCGAGGTATGACGAAGCCTAATTTTCCTATCCGAAATGCTCGATTTGGGAATGAACGACGCACCACTCCGTCCCGATTCCGCTGCCGAAGCAGCGACACGGCCTGAACCAGAGAGTTGGAGAGCCTGATCCTCGCGAGCTCGTGAACAACCTCTCTGGCCTTGTCGGCGTTGATGTTCAGGTCACTGGGAATCTTCTCGTAGACCTCCTCCTCGTCAAACTCCCCGGTGCCCGAGGAGAAGATTTCATCCACCGTCTTCTTGAAGAGATTCTCCCGCAGGCGCTCCGAGATCATGCTGTCAAGATCAACGCTCGCCTCCTTGAGCTCCCTCACCTGCTGGATGCCGATCCTCCCCTGACTGACGGCCGTTTCAATGGCGGCCGCCATCTTCGTCGTAGTAATGTTCTTGATGACCTTCTGCGCGTACTCTCCCGGCAGGCCCACCTGCTTCTGCACCTCGGTCAGCTGATCGATCCTGGCCTTGGTCAGCTGCCCGTCGGCGAGGATGACCTCCGCCTGCTTCATAAACGCCTGCTCGGCCAAGCTCCTGTGGATCTCCACGATCTCTTTACCAGTCAACCCAAGAATTCCCCCAAGCTGATTCAGAAGAAGATACTCCGAATTGTCCTTCTTGGTGGTGATCTGGGCCCCAAACGGAACCACAGTGACCTCCCCTGAGAGACAGAACAGTAAGTATGTCCTGTAGAGATCCGTCCTGTCCCTCTCTGGCAGGTCGTCCTTGAGATTGATCTCTGTCTGGCCGGGCTTTCCCAGCTTAGCCTCGAGCTCCTTGCTGGGTCTGGTCTTTCTCAGTGTCTGCAGGGACTCCCACTCTTCTTCTTCTTCCTCAATCTGCTTGGGAGGCTCTTCAGCGGGCTCTGGTTCTGGCGGCGGCGCAGGGGCCTCTCCCTTGATATCAGCGACGAGCTCGGTGACGACCAGCGTATTGAATGCAATCATCTTCTTCAATTCTCTGGCAGACTCAATGCGATTCCCGGCCCCTCTGGAACGCTGTACGTAGTTCAAGAACACCTTCCGCACCTGCAGATAACCCATTTCATGGGTCGCGATCAGATCCAAGGTAATATAAAAATCCTCTTTTTTACCAGAATAATCAAATCACAAAGGGAAGGCCCGAGTCTCCGAGCAGCATCTGGCAGGGAAAAGAATCGTACAGCTTTGCTGGCAATGGCCATGGCGGCATCTTTCGTCAGCCGCAGGCCTTGAGAGGCCTTCCTCACGGAGGCTCTGATGTCAGCGTCGTATCCCTCAACGCCAGAGGCAACCGCGTCCTTCACAACCTGCAAGTCAACGCACAGAGAAGGCATCATTGAAGGAAAAGGAACCGGAGAACTTGAATCTCAACGTTCCAAATGGGGAATACCCGAAGAACACCTTCCTGACGGAGAAAAAACAAGCCTTTTTTGTACGTATAATAAACCATCATTTTTTTTTAATCTGCATATAAATTATCCCTCCCAGAGCTAAAAAATGACAGAATTATGCACCGTATTAACCACTGACCTTCTCAAACAAGGTGCCACATATGTCGGCATGGGCAGCATCGACAGTTTCTTGGGGAATGCAAAGCATGACACGCAGTCGAAGCAATGCGGCAACGTCCTCCTCACCAAGCTCCTTATCAGCCACACACTGCTGCAGCTTATGCCTATAAATTTCTGGAAATAACTCAAGCGTGGGTCATTTTCGACACAGTAATAAGCATCCAAAGGTCACAATGATCTGAAAAGCAGAAGCGAGTGCAACATGCGTGGCTTAGAGCACCTGATAGCATCATTCTACCGCGTTTTAGGATTACATCCCATGATCAAAAATGGCTCCATAAAACTACATCTGAAACAGGTTCACTCCGCGGAAGTGTTCCACTTTACTTATAAAATTCAGTAGACTGTGGATTTCTGGCAAGGTAGATGGTTTCATCCATTTTCTCCATTACTACATACTGGAATCTTTCGATGAGCTGATCACCAAAACCATCCAGGAAACCGATTGTCTCTACCGCTTAAATCCACAAGAATACTTCATGGGCTGATCATATTTCCTCCTGACTTCTTGAATCCGGTGGAAAAAAAATAAAATTATGAGCTAACTTGAATTACCATCGGACTAGACAAGTTCATCAGAAGATTTCTACGAAAAATGGGCAATGATGCTGAACAAGAGGTGGGTAGAAACGATGGGCAGCTGCAAACAGATTGGGTCGTAGATCTCGGTGCCAGACTACATTAAGAAAAGTTGGATATTATTTTAGATTAGTGCCATATGAAAAGAAGACAGCAATTCTAGTCAACGATGCAAGAAGTAAATGAAAGAAGATGGCAATAGTGGACATGATATTCAGGTTGGTTGACTTTCACAGTGACTCGCAGGAAGTTCACATAAAGTGGTCAAAGACTTTGTAAAGATTTAACAAAGTTTTAGGTTCCAACATACCTTGATGAATCTCACTAGCCTTCTGGGGGTCAAAGCGCAACTCATCACAAAGGGTCTGGAGGAAAGCTGCTTTGCTCGGAGCAGCTTCCAAGCTGCCACTGGTGACAGCTTGTGAAAGTCGCTTCCTGTAGGCCTTGGACGTAATATCTACCATAATAGTTTCAACCTCGCGCTTGCCCAACCCAAATATGTTTCTCAGCTGAGCCAAAGCCGAAATCTACAAACATTGAGAGGCAAACACGCATTGAAGTTCAACCACCAAAACAGGGATGAACGAATAAATAATACGCACCACAACAAGAACCAAAAACAAGCTAAATCATCTGATCCTATTCGGGGAAATGCATTACCTTTCGTCAATTCCTCAGGATAAGTGACAACATAAACATAATGAATGTGAATATTCCATATTTATACGAGCTCAGATGAGACTAATTTCTTTAAGAATTTTTTTGGAAAGCATCGCACAGAAGATAATCGAACAGCCAGATGGAAAACACAGCTGTAATATCGTGTGTTACCAGAAAATCGATATGAAAATATTTTATAAATGATCGTCCGTGAACGTCAATGCATTGCCGAGAAATATTCACCACATCCAATGCATCAGATTGTTAAAGCATAAATACCAAGCCACAGGCAAAAATAAAAAAATAAAAATCAAGGTATCAAGGTTTTAAAAGGACAACATTTGACCAAGTTAATAATGTGGGTTCGTTTCTTCATCCTTGTCTTCTTTTTGCAGAAATATCCTCCAAGCAATAGAATTTGACCAATTTCAGTGGAACTGTCACTGGGCAAAGGTAAGGAGCTTAGACTTCAAGAAGGCAAATAAATGGCTTCAGAAGGGGGGAAAAAAAAATCCTTGGCAACACCCTGAGCTTTCAGACAACAATAAATATATTTATCAGGCCTCGGCGGACTATCAAATTAATTAGTCAAAAGAAAGTCAAAATGATAAAGCAACTAAGAGGTCAAATTCAAACGGGGACTCGTTCTTCTGGGCTAGTACAGGGAGATGACGGCTACAGTGGAAAAACATGCCATTCCTTCAAGATAAATAGTGTAAACAGCAGCATCCATTAGAACCATTGTAACAAAATGTTACCACCCAGTCGTCTTGCATGTAGTAAAGATGTTGTTGATCATTTCTATATTCCCGCTTCAATATTTAGCCAGGAAAAAAAAGCGTATTTTCCTAGATAATCCATGGGAAACCAAATACTTATCTAAACAACAAGTCGTCGATTTAAAATCCAACAGCATTTCTTCTGCAAACAGAAAATGCCCCATTAAATGTAATCTGTTCATGCTGGCAATCAATGCTCTAGCAACCATCATCTCGGAAAATTGTAAGTCCAAGTTTAAACGAGAGTGGCAAGCTTAAGGGAAAATTTAATATCATAGTTCTCGCCATAATTCTTCAGAAATATGTGAAGCACAACATCGATATTCTCGTCCCTTAAAAAGTGAATTCAGTTTTCTGGAAGTCCATATGGTAGATGACTGGTTTCAGAAAGTACTAAAAATTGGAAACAAGCTGTATGTGTGTTTAAACAATTTAACACCCACCGCACTGTCCTGCAGGTGTCCATCAGAAAGAGCTTCGGATGCATATGCTCTATAGAGGAGTTTCAGGTCATCAATCTTTCTATCACCATCATAGTCCCCACCTGAATCAAATCACAGAGATAAAAAATCAATGCTCTTCGATTTATTTTGCAGAATAAATAAAGAGTATTCGATTTTTTGAACTACCTAATAAAGAAATTGGACCGACCCCCGGGGCAAACTGTGCAGCGTCAGCATGTTTTTTCAATGATGAAAGAGAATCATTGAACGCTAAAACTTTTTCGAGTTCCTCAATAACTTGTCCCAATCCTCTACTGGCAAGAGTCCAGTATGTTAGTAATCAGAGAAACAAAACATCAAACGATTAATATTCACGTGAATATAACATACGTCGCTCTTGTACGTGACTTCAAGATATCCAGAGCTGATGAGATGTTCACTTCAGCTAATTTTCTTGTATGCTCTCTAAACATTTCACCGGCAATCTGCATGTGAACAAGTTTCATCACATAAGAAAAGAAACCAAATGCATTCAGTAATATGAGATGAGAAATGTCGAAATGACAAAGGATTGGTATTCAGAAGGATAAACCTCATCAGAGAGCCGGTAAAGAAGCTGTGTTTGCCTCAAGTTGATAAGTTGCGTTCCATCAATGTCTGAAAGATGGATGACTTATAGGTAAATGAGGATGAAAAAATTGTGTTCTTACCGTGATAAGTCTTGAAAAAACACCAAGCTTACCGTTTCATTTTTCAAGATATGGTACTGGCACATATACCATGCCGATTCATTTATGAAATAATATACCGTGCAAAGGTCTAAATCAGCTGACTAATGTTCGAATGAGAAAGGTAAAATTTACTGAAAATGCATGTCACCTCTTCCAATTAAATTTAGCTTGTAAGAGTAAAGCCTCTGAGCATTATCTCGAATCGCAACATCCACCTAACAGACAAGTCATAGCTTACAATCATTGGACTACCATGAAGATAAGGTATGAAAAAAAAAGGTTGCAGTCTATTAAACGCAAGTATAACAAAAAACCACTTTTTCGCGTATAAAGAAGCTATAAAAGCCGAAAGAAACAAAATTTTGCATCAGAGAAGGGGAATAATTAACAGAGATGGGGAGAAGGAGAGATGCTGGGCAGTGCCCAGCACTGCAGCACTCTAGTTTTAAGCATGGTTCCACAATGCTTCTTTCTAATACATGAGAGCTGGGTTTTGCTCGGTGATTATCTGATTAGACAGCCATGACACAGTATGCTGATGGGAGGGGAAAAATAGTATATATTTCCTTCATAAAACCATCTTTAATACCTTTGTAAAACAGGACTTAAGCTTCAAAGCGGGAGGTAAAAATATCAAAAAAATCAACTACAAGTCCACTTAGATGCCAAATACTCACAGCCATAAAAATTGATGTTTAGAAAACATAGATCTGTTTGAAAAATACCTGAGAATCAGTTACTTTGAAAACACGTTTCCAAGGCAGAAGGAATTTTGATGCGTCTCCAAATACAAGTGTGGAGACGTATATGAGCTTCTGAAATGCCTGTATTCGAAATAACAATGAGCAGAGTTTTCTTCTTCGGATGAGTTATGCGTTAATCTAATGCCGCACACCATCTAAGAGCATAATCATAAGGAAGAAACAGACCCGACGCTGTTCTACATCATCATCACGATCACCAGCTTCCAACCTTTGCCTGAAAATACGCCTTCCAATCTACGAGACAGAACAAGAACATCGTAATGAAAAAAATGAATACTTGCTTAAAATGAGATGTCACTTCCACAAATAAGCAAGGGAAGATCCCAAATAAGAAGTGCTTTTTGGCGCGGGTAAGAATTGGATTTACATAATTTTTTAATTAAGTTAGAGATGTGTCCGATTAATTATCCTATTTCTTTAAGGAACACAACAGGCAGAATAAAAAAGGAAAGGGGCATTGGAAAAGGGAGGAAAAAAAAGAGAAAAAAATAATACCTCGACATGAACAGTTGCTGCGTCTGGGTCGTCAATCCCAAGAGCATCTTTGAATTTAAGGATCGTTTCAGCCTCATGACCCCGGAGATTTTCACCTCCTGGCGGAAGAACTGAAATCACAAACCTGAATCCAGAGGAAAAAAAAAAAAACACGAATCATGGTAAGAACAATGTCTCCAAAATAAGTGAGAAACATTTATGCCTGCAATCTAGTGGGCCAATGCCTCGATTCTCGCTATTACATGATAAGTTTACTACTTACCGACTGTACAAGTCGCAGAGCTCTGACTTGAAGGCATCATCTTCCTTGCTGACACCGTACCTGAATAATTAACACAGAGAACGCCTGCGGGTCAGATGTAATATAACAGAACAGATGGCACCTATCTGTGTAAACATAAGTTACCAGGGGAAAGATACCGAACAGACCGAAGCAAACTACCGAAAAATCAATTCATATCAATGGAGCGCACGACTCTGATGGCATCCTAGCGATGCCAATCGAGACGATAGATCCATCCCACCTACTAGACAACAGCATTAGGTGTGACGGCTCCCCCTAATTCCTGACTAAAGCTCCATGCATTTAGATCAGAATGAAAACATTCTCACCCGACAAAGATGAAACTTTTGAAGCCTGAGAATAGGAAATGAGCCCAGAGAGGAAGAAAAACCAACCTTCTGGCCAATTCTTCTACGTCCTCCTTTCTCAAGGTCGTCGGGTCGTCGTGGCCTGCCACAAGGTTGTGCAAATTCACGGCGGCCACCTCTGGAACGCACGCATTCAAGGCGTACGCCGCAGCACTACCGGCTGCTCCCACCACAGCGGCAGCCCCTAGACCAATGGTCCGGCTGCCCCCAAACCGCAGCCCAAGACCGTACCCGGCAGCGAGAGCGCCAGCGACAATTACAACAGAGCTCGCCAACCTCACCGGAGGGGGCAGTCCATCGGCGACGATCTGCACACCCGAGAGTTCCCTTTTGCCTCCGAAGACGGACGAGCTCGATGGCGTCACCTTTTCCTCCGCTGCCTCGGAAGAAGCCGAGTTTCGAACCAGAGATACACGGTAGCGCACCCGTCCGCCCTTGACTGGCAAGCTGAGGAAGAGGGGATTCCGGCCGACGTATGGACCGAACTGGGCAGCTAGATAAGGCGAAGAAGACGGAGAAGAGGTGGTACACAGGAGGGAGCGATCCATCTCCTCTTCCCTTCTTCTTCCCTCCGGGAGAGGAGGCACCAAGCCCTGCGATGGATTGCAGGACCCGGCAAGCCCCCCAGAATTGACGAAAATTTAAGCGCAGGCGTCCTCTCGCCGGAGGGAGAGGCGGAGGGAGAGACTGACAGTGGCCGGGAGGGCGCAGGGTTTGAGGGGAGAAGGGTGAAGAGAGAAGAGATGCGGCTTATCCTGAGACTTCCTCTGCCGGGTTTCCCACCGGGCCCGGCGCAAGACTGGCCCAAGCTATCACCTTTCCTAGAATAAACCTGAACTAGGGTTCAAAGAACACCACTCCCAAGAAAGACCCACCCAAAAATACTGCATAAAAACACATAATTCTCGCTTTAAAATAATGATAATTTTCAAACATCTGAACTACTGCGACTTCCAAGAACGATGGAAAGACCATGAGAAACCGGGGCTTCGTATTTTTTCAGGATTAATGTCGACAAATTAGTTGATTATTTTTATAAAATAGCCTATATTAAGCTTAGAATTATCAATATTGACCAGTGGTTTCGGATTGTCGGAACCAACAAACAAAGTCAACTACATATGACGCGTAGTTCTATGCTTGTTATATCAATAACGATAGGATTATGATAATTAGACCGTATTAATAAGTAATAAATATAATTATTTATATAATGAAGAATATAGATAGAGATGGAGAGAGAAAGGGTAAAGAAAAAAGTGTACATTTTAATAAATTGAACTAGTTTTAACACGAGGGTATGATTTAAAAAATGGTAATTAAATATGATTACACTATTTTATTGGGAAATGAAATGGAAGCAATAAATCCTATTTTATTTATTTTTATTTATTTCCACGGTACTTGCACGACTGTGAAAAAAAAATTCCCCCTCACGTGCTATTTTTTTGGTTTTTTAATTAAACCGCCTCAACGGCCACGTAGACGTTCTCCAGAAGAGAGCCTTTGACCGTCGTCGCGTAGACGTTAACGACCGGATTTCTCCTGCCTGGGCTTGGGGGCTAATGCCTCTCTCTCGCTCTCTCGCTCTCTCGCTCGCTTCTCGCTGTGTATTTGTCCGGACCGCCGTACCTACGCCGAGGAGAGAGGCGAGGGGAGAAAAACATGGAAAGGAAAGCAAAGTACGGATGGGCGGCGGCCGTTGTCTGCTTCCTGGTCCTGATGGTTGTTACTCCCGCCATCCCGCAGTCCCAAGAGTACCACCAATTCGCGGATCAACGCCGGCTGTTCTTAGGTGATCGCGAGGGAGATGATTCGTGTTCCCGCGTCAATATATTAAGTTTTTATCGTGTTTTTAGAGTCTGAATGCGGAGGGGCCGGCGTTCGGTCTCTTCGTGTTGATCTGCAGCTCCTATGTGCTCGATTTTCGTAGAAATTGGGATCACTTATTCAATTCATCGCGCGCGGCAATGCAACAGCTGCGAAATTTTCTTCGATTGCGTGGTTTTGGAAGCCAGGTTTTGTTGACTTCTCTCCCCCCCTTTCTCTTGTCACAGGAATACCTAACACCTTGAACGTGATTTCAAATTTTCCGTTCCTCGTGGTCGGGATTATCGGGCTTATTCTATGCTATCACGGTAACTACTTCATTTTAAGGTAATCTTCGATGTATCTCCTTTTCGATTGAAGGCCGCGACCTAGAACGCCGTTGTGAGTTTCCTATTTTGGTTGCTCGTTGCCTTTGATCTCCGGTTAGCTTGGAAGGTGAAATCTGGGGCTGGACGTGTTTCTTCCTCGGAGTTGCGGCCGTGGCGTTCGGTTCTTCCTACTATCATCTCGATCCAGACGATGCAACTCTTGTTTGGGACCGTCTGCCTGTAAGCTTCTTCCCTTCACGAGTACGCCGAGCTTTTCTGCTGCTACTCTAATCCGGTTGCAGATTTTCCATAATGTTCAGTGTTGACATCGTAATTAACTTATTATCAATCCGGTTGCAGATTTTCCACATGCAACCCATCACGGAGCCCTTTGGAAAAACTATAAGCTCGATCTTTTTTCAGGAATTACCTTTGTCCTTTGACTAGTATCAAAAATAGTCAAGCATTGATTCCATTACTCAGAAAACTGACGCTAAGATACAGTTTAGACTGTAGAGTAAGATTCACGTAGATATGAATAACTTGTAGCCGAGTTTAGTTCCACTGAATCGATAAGAATGAATACTCTCATAGTATTTCTCTCGATAAGAATGAATACTCTCATAGTATTTCTCCAAGCTTCTAATTATTGTCTCTGGTGTCATTCGCCAATACGTCAATCCCCATCAGATTGATGCATCTTCAATCTCCAAGAGAAAAAAACTGTTGCATGGTGCCATTTTCCTCAAAAATACTCTATTTTGCTTTTTAAAAAAATTATACGGTGATATTCTTATCCTGAGCCAATTATATTTTATTCGTTTCTGCTTCTACGTTTATCATCGATATCAATAAACTCTCAAATCTCAGAACATCGAGATTCTCAATCCTAAAACTGTCCGAATTACTGTCTTAAAAAAGTGTCCAGAATTTACAGGCTAGATGCAGATGGATATGATTTGGCTCCCTCTATTTCATTCTTCCTGAATGCGACCGAATAACATGGACAATTCTATGAACACTGCTAGCCTTTTTTTTTTCCCCCAATGAACAAGGTGGCATCAATCACTTCACATCAAGTCTGCAATGCATTGTTCCAATTAGGCATGGGTATACGTATATACCCATTAAAACCCTCTGATTGATTGTTTGTTTATCCATTAAATCTACCAATTCTGGGAATTTTCTATTCTGGTCCACAGAGATCTGTTTCGTGTTTATACCAATCTAGGTGAAAATATTGGCTATTTTCTTTATGAATTTCGTAGTGGCCTATGCTATATTATCCACACATAGTTCCTCAAGAACTTTAAGAAGCCTTTGAGGAAGAATCATGCATTCTATGGGAGCCAGGGATTCGCCGCCCTACTATTTAAAGTACCATAAGCAATCAAAAAAGTTTTGGTTATGGAAACCGAGAAAGCTTTTCATGTGCGAGAAAGCTTATTTAACAGCTGACGGCTGCGCTTCATATGATCTTCAGACTGAGAGTTGCTTCAGATGGCAGTTCATTCCAGGCCTTTTCAGTCTCACGGAAAGCAAGGAACAAAAATAATGCAACTCACGCATTGGAATAATATATGGTGCTGTTGACATTTTGCCCTGTGATCAGAGTTGACTTTGCTCTGTCTTGCTTTATTTAGCATATCATCAGCAATGGAATAAGTAATTAAGATATTTTGCTTCCAATTATTGAATGAGGGAAGGGAGAAGAAATCTGGTTCACCAGGACAGAGCACCCTTTTTACTATCCACAGCGCCTATGATCTTATTAGATAGCGCTGCTGATATTTTGCCTCGTGATCAAAGTTGACTTTTCTCTGTCTTGCTTTATTTAGCATATCTGGAATAAATAAATAAAATATTTTGCTTCCAATTATTTAAGGAGGGAAGGGAGAAGAAATCTGGCTCACACATGACAGGGCACTCTTTTTATTAACCACAGCGCTTATGATCTTTTTAGATGACAATTGCATTCACCTCCATCGTCGCCATCTTCATCATCGAAAGGGTCAACGAGACGACCGGAACCACATCTATCCTGCCTCTTGTTGCAGCGGGCGCCGTGAGCATCTTATACTGGAGGCAAGAACATCCATCACCTCATCTTATACTGCAACTTAGCCGCCTGAAACCTCTCTGTTCATCATGTTCACGAGATCCGACGGCCTCTTCACAGGCTCTTCGACGACCTTCGTCCCTACGCAGTGGTTCAGTTCGTACCCTGCATCGCAATACCCGCCATGGCAATTTTGATGCCCCCCGCTTACACCCATTCGTCTTACTGGCTCTGGGCAGCAGGTTGACTATTTCTTCTTTTGACTTTTCTTGGGTGTGAAGAACATTTCGCGGGTGAGCGAAAGATCAAGGGTTTTTTTTTCTTCTTTAATGGGCAGGGTTTTATCTGCTGGCTAAGGTGTTGGAGGCTGAGGACGTAGTGGTGTACAGGTGGACTGGCCACGTCATCAGTGGGCACACCCTGAAGCACCTCAGCGCCGCAATGGTGCCCGTCTTCTTGACCTTGATGCTGGCAAAGAGGAGCGTCGAGCCCGACAGGTACGACGGCGGCGGTCCTCCACCATCTTCTCTCCTCATCCTCCATAAGTCAACCCTCTTCCCGTCCACCCTGTGCAGGACGACGACCTTGCTGGACAAGTGGCGCCTCTCGTGGGTGAGGGTAAGCGAGAGGGGATTCTTCAAGGCCGAGCGTCTCGACTGCGAGTACGCCGTCGTCTCCGGCAGGGAGGGGTGACCTGGAGGCCACGTAATCACAGCAATACGTACACGTGTACATCTCTGTGGATTCATTCAAAGTCTTACGAGAGCTATGCTCGGCGAGTTCCTTGGGGCTGAGGGGTGATTACCCACGAGAGCCTCGGAGAAGGCCGAGGTACTGACGACCATCTCCTCTTCCTCTTCTCCTTCCCTCCCTCGCTTCCTCGGCGTTCCCAACACCTGGTCATTCATTCCTCTCGCTGATTGAAACCGCGGAGAGACGGAGCGAACTGATTAGATGGCGGAATAGAACTCGAAGAGAGAGAGAGCAATAGAAGCATCCAAGGCGAGAGATGGAGGCCCTCTGAGAGAACCGCCGGGGACGATCCCTTGGAGATGGCATGGGATGTCCCTCTCGGGCAACGAAGCGATGCTCACCGGTTGCATTGCAGCGAACAACGCTTCCGAACGCGATCCGACTGGCTTGTAGTGAGTCCACGCCGAGGGCAGCCAAGTTCCTCAGACCCTCCGCCATGAGAGAGAGAGAGAGAGAGAGAGAGAGAGAGAGAGAGAGAGAGAGAGTGACGATATATATATACGAGAGAAATTATAGAAGAGGTACCAAATTTAAGATGGTCGATATCTAAAATATATATGATATAAGGGATGTCTTTCTACTTTATCAAGACTTAGAACTCATGCATACCATACTAGACTAGATGTTGAGGACCTCAAATAATATCACTATCTAGTAAAGTCATTATCCACTATAAAAGATTTAGAACGCTCTAATGATTTATTACAATGACTTAGACCTTCTTCCCACGTAATCACAGCCATACGTCTCTGTGGATTCATTCAAAGTCTTAACCACATTAGGGCAAAGTTCTCCTTGACTCATCTCCCACTGCGGTCCGTCCGTCTCCCCGCCATTCCTGCGGCGGCGGCGCCGCCGTTCCGGCGGAAGGCAAAAATAATAAAAAAAGGTCCTACCGGGATTCGAACCCAGGTCGCCAGATTCAAAGTCTGGAGTGCTAACCACTACACCATAGAACCAATGTGAGACTCAAACAACGAAGAAAAATCAGAGATTGCTGCTAGCGATCTCAACTGCTGCCCAAGAGAGGCGATCGTCTTCTGGCAGTCGTGGAGCTTCCCGGCGGCGGCAGTCTGTGCACAGGAAGATGGAAGAAAACGTCAGATTTCGATGGCAGGAAGATGGAACCGCCGGAACGGCGGCGCGGTCACCTTTTCGAGCTTCAGTTTTCCCGGGAAGATCGCCGCTCGCCGGAGCTCTGATTCTGGTCTCTTCCTCGAGAGCTCCTCCTCCAACCTCTGACACTTGCCTGTGAGTTCCGCCGAGAGAGCTCGCTCTTCTTCGATGATCTTCTCCAGCCGGCGAACCTTTTCCAGCAGCTCTTGCGCTCTGGAATCGCCGGTCATCTGTAGTTGGCTCCACAGATCCTCCGCCTTCCTCTCGCCTTCTTCTAGCTGCCGCTGTGTGACCTCCAGACGTTCCCTGGTTTGAGCCAGCAGCTTCTCCATCTGTGACTTATCGGTTTCCGCCGTCTCGGCCTTCTCTTCCAACTCGGCCGTCCTCTCCAGCAGATCTCTGAGCTCCGCTTCCGGCGAGCCGTTCCTGGTTTCCCTCCCCGGCGACGCGACGAGCCTTTCCATCTCCAGAAAGTCGTCCATGAGATCAATCTCCCAGGTGAGATCGCCGGAGGAGGGCTTCCGAGCCAGGGCCTGGAGCCGGCGGCTCTCGGCTTCGAGCGCGCTCACCTTCTTCATGCTCTCCACCGTCTGGAGGTGAAGCTGCTCGGCGAGAGAGAGAATCTTCAACCTGAGATCGTTGTTTTCCATCTCTAGGGCATCGAGCAGGGGTCGACGGGCGATCTTCTTCTCTGCGGTCTCCAGTTGGGCCTCGAGTTCAAGGATGCGGATCTCAAGGCTGAACTTCTCCGACCGCCATTGATCGGCCCTGTCGCCGAGGGCATCTTGGAGTCTCTCTTCCTGCTGGTCCCTGGAGAGACGGAGCTGCCTGAGGCATTCCTTGAGGGCGCCGTCGAGCTGGACGACCCTGTCCTCGAGGGAGGAGTTTTTCCGAGCTGTGGCTTCGAGCTGGTCTCTCAGGGATGCGGCCTCCTTCTCTGCCTTCTCCCAACCTGCATGGTCCGGTCCCCGAAGAAGAGCAACAAGAGAGACAACGGTCACCCATGAGAGAGAGAGAGAGAGAGAGAGAGAGATGCACGATAGGTGTTTCTGGGGGGGGGAGCAGAAGGCAGATCAGCAGTTTTAACGAGAAGAAGCTGAAGAGAGAGAAAGAGAGGTGTGGAAACTGTGAGGGAGAATTCATGGCGAAGAAAACATAAAGAGTCCCATCCAGGAGTCTCAGCCTACCCGAAACAGCATCCTCCGACACCCTGGCGTGCTCTCTCACCAGCTCCTCCTTCACATGAACGCTCATCAGCGCCGCCGCGAGCTCCTCCGCCAAACTCCTAGCAACGCCGCCGCCTTCATCAGAATAAACTCGCGTGGAGTCTGCGCCACCCGGTGAAGCCCTTGACCCCACCTGCGTCCACCACGAAGAACCCTGTTACTCCCCGTTCTCTGAGATTCTCGAGCTGCTCACTCTGCTCATCGCCCTTCTGCGATTCTGATGATGATGATGAACAGGATCCTGATCCTGTGGCATGAAGCCACGGCGGCCACCAGGATCGGCAAATTCTTGCCGGAGAGAGAAATCCGGAGGGGCTTTGTCAACGGACCTGATCGTCGAAGAGAGAGGGAGGAGATCGGCTGCGGCGGTCCATCGCACGGTCCCCGCCTCCGCCGCCCGCCGCCACCACCACCACCAAGTCCCCGCCCTCGCCCTCGCCCTCGCCCACCATCAGGTCATCATCTTGGCGGAGGAGGCGCTGACAACCCGATCACGACGCGCCACCCACCGTCTGCTTGCTTCGAATCTACTCCGCCGCCACCGGAATAAAGCCGAGAGAATCGATCAAAGAAAGAGGAAACAACAGAGGAAGGAACGAGCAGAAGACAGTCAAATGATCTCAAACTGTGGCAACCCGGGAAGACCCTTCTACGGCAAAAACCCGTGAATCCCTTTTCGAATAGCCACCGTCTTCATCCCTCCCGGGGAGGGAGGAGGGGGAATAGTTGAACTCTGACCGAAAGTCAACGGCGTGGGCTTATCCAAGAGATTGTTAACAGTCTTTGGGACTCTGACCTCCGAACGAAGACTTTGATCGCGACCCAGCTCGGCGGTCCATTCTGTTCAACGAATTGACAACTCAGCTGGGTTCCTCTAGTCAAGAATAAACAATGATTGAGGTCCATTCTGTGAGAGGAATATTGTATAAGACGTTGATGTTTCTTCCGCCCTTTACCCTCCTCATCTGCCCGTCAGGCCACGTTGAAGGGGATGATCTGGCTCGCAGCCCAACCGAAGCTCCCCAATAAGATTACGGAAACGCGCAGGGAAGACGGCAACGCCACCGCCGCCGCGATGGGAAGAAGAAGAGGATGAAGGAGCCGGCAGTTGGGGCGTCGTCGTCGCCGCCGGCCAAGTCGCACATCTCGACGGCGACGGCTCCGCCGCAACCCACCGGCCTTTCTGAAAAACCCCACCACGAGGAATGACCGGAATCCTGCGAAGGGCCCGCAAGGGAAAGGAGAGAAGAAGGCGACGGAAGAACAGGCACACGCAGCGCGAAGATCTCGTTCTTGGGCAAAATAATAGCAACGTACCCACCCCCCCTCCTCCCCCCCCCCCCACGAATCGGCCGAGTAATACTCTGGCGAGCCCTATACAGATAGAGGCTAACAAGGGAAGAATCAAGTCGCCTCACGACTTGGGTCGCTTTAAAAGGACCAACAGACCGATTCCTGTTAGAAGAACTGCACCAGCTAGAGCCCCGGTGTGGAGAGAGGTCCAATCACTCTTCTGAACTGGCGCGGGCGCGAGCTCTGAAGGCGCGGTCATCTGCTTCAGCGTATTAGAGTAGTAAATGTGCAGCCTCAGCACCTGGAGAACCATGCAGAGAAGTGAATATTAGGCGCCAATTGGGTTCCCCAGGTTATCATACTAAAGCGTATAGAAGTCGATTTTACCTTCCAGCCAGCTACTCTTGCATGGTTCACAGCGTCCGCCAGGTCGCTGTCCGTGGATATGAGGACCTTGTCGCCTTCGTCGTCCTCATACTGCATGCATTGGTTCATGAGGTTGCCGCATCAGCAGCGGCGATGCCTAAAACTGAGAGGGTCATTCAGAGAGCTCACCAAAAGCTGAGGATTTTCTTGGGCAGACCCGGTTCCTGTTCTCTGGTTAATAGCAGAAATGAGCTCGCTCAGGTTCTCTGCATCTGCAGTGAGACGAGGAGATGGGAATCAAAGAAAAAAACATATTAAAAATTCATCGAAGCTCGAGGAAGGTTTAGGCACTCACTGCAGTTGCATCTGTGTACGCGGCCCTTCTGATCTTCAAACTTGAAAGCAAATGAGTTCCCCAGGCCCAGAGAGGGGTATGTGAGCCTTCCTGCTTCACCGACTTCTGACGACATCAGTGCAGAGAGTTCACTGTAAGAGCAACACAGTGGAATCCCACAGACTGCAATGAGGCCGAGTTCGAGAACATTCTGTGCCGTATGGAGCGAAAAGTTCACCTGTGAGTGTCATCATATTCGTCTTCAGGGGGTTCAAGAGCAAGAGCTGAATCCCAGAATTTCTGCATCATTGTCATCGCCGCGTCATTTGCCGCATTGGATCCTCCATCCACCTAGAGCTCAAAATGCCACAAATATAAGAAAAAGTCAACCATCGGCCACGAGTTCGTGGCTGGCAGCCATAGAAAACGTGGGTACATTTTAGATACATCATCCAATATTTCAGCATTGTACAAAGCTACCAGGTGAAGGAATTTGGTTCAAACACGGTATACCTACCATTGAAATGGCTGCATGAGTTATTTGCAAGACATCAACGCAGGCAGTGACGCATCCCTCTGCGGATTAACATTCTCAGTCAAATATCACACATGGCAGAACAAAGATTTAAAGGCAAAATCAGGAGAACATCACTTGCCTCCATCCAGAACAGGAAGATGCAAGAACTTTCCGTCGTGCATTATATGAAGTGCATCAAGGATGGTGGTGTCCAGAGTAGCACATTCAGGGTTCGGCGTCATGACCTTTGACATATCAACAGATTGACGGAATCAGAAGCTCAGAAATAAAGGAAGATACTGGGACAGAAAGATTATAGTAACCAAGAGGAGTTGATTGGAGTTTTCCATCTAGACATCAAAGGATAATGATTAACTAGCAAAAACAGGGGCAACAGACGAGTAAGAACTAGTAATCATATTTTTTGTCTTCTCTTTCTAGACGGGTATCTAGGTATGTTAAAGATATTAGCAAAGTTTCATTTGAGTTTTGTAATTGCACACCAAACAATAAGGATATGGTAGCAAAAACTGGCTCTGCTGGAACTGAGACTTGATCTATAAGGTCGACAGAGAATTTGGCCAAGGTAACAATTCTCACGGAAGAAAGCACATCCAAGAATCCAATTGTCTCCACAAAATGAGCATTGGGTTTCTGTTGTAAGCGTCTATAAGCCTGTTTGAGCTATAAAACGGAAAGATGTGAGTTAGGGTCATTCAACAGATTTTACCTAGCACCACTGTGGCTTATCCGTGACATTAAAGAAAGGGCAAACGGAAAAAAAAAGAAGGAAAATACTAACAAGATTCTAAATTGATGAGATTAGCACCTTCTCCACAAGAGTGAGTTCAGGCGAAAGATTTTGAGCTACTACTCGCATGAGAACATCCTTTGATCTGAGAGATATATAAAAGGCCTCCATCAGAATGCAACAGGAGAAAGGGAGACTAGGGCAACAGACAACCAGTAAAACATGTGGAATTAAAAGAAAACTATGCATACGTAAGAATTCCCTGAGGCTTGCCCCCACTTGCGATTACCACTGAATTCACTCGTAGTTCGCGCATCTTTTTTGTTGCAACATATATAGGATCCGATGATGAGACCACTGCAACTCTGAGAAGCAAAAAAATTCGAATCCATTAAAAAAGATATTGAAATAAAGCCCAGTAAAAAAAGCCGACGCATACTACAAGATAACAAGTAAAATTTAACATTACTTGGTGTTCTCATTGATGATGGTTGCCAGAGAAGGCTTAAACATCCTCTCCCGAAGTGTTTCTATTAGAGCATAAGGTGCTGGAGAAAAGAATAAGAACGTCAAGGGCATCCTTCAAAAAATACCTTGATATTTTTAGATTAGTTATTTCCATGGAATGTCTTTTCAGCAAAATTTATTACGAAAACGACCTAGCGAAAGTTGTCTTCAGTCGCTTTAGATCTATACTTGATGATTATCGATTGAATTTATCATGAAATCACCCTTATTTGTCATCTTGTGCAGTGAACACAGCAAAGATGTCTTGATGCTAACCCATTGATTCTTATCGCAAAATAACCAGGGTTAAAAATATCCGAGAATAGTTTCATGTAATATTATGGAAACCATACGCAGAAAATGACAAAGATAACCGATAAAATATCATTGTTCATGCCTAAAGAGTATAATTTTGCTATTATGAGACAAAAGTATGATTTAAGATTTTTTCATGAATACTTGTATCCATCTACAAAAGAATACAGCATCGGGAAGCATCATCTTTCACTCACATCAATGTTAAACACGTTATATGCATCTATCAAGAATTCAGACATCTATCAAAGATCAAAAAGTTAAATAAGCAAAACTAACCAGAAAAGTTGCTTCCCCATTGACGTTCCACCCCTTCCACAGCAGCAGCAATTGCACTTCCCTGCTCTGCTGCCTTTTCCATTCTCGAAATAGCATCATAAAGACATTTCGTAATATCTAACAAGGCAATAACTTCTCCATTTTCTACAACCGGGAGGTGCCTAAATTTTCCTGCGAAGAAATAGACTTGGCATAAGCCTTAAAATAGTCGATGGAAGGCTCCTAGATAGATACAACACTGTATATTTTTTGTTCATTTTCATATGAACGCTGAACGATATAGTCCCACGATGACCAGAAAAGCTGTCCCTGCCATTCTTCCTGGACATTATAGAGCCCTTTGTGGATGTGAGAATTGTTCGGCAGAAATGATCTTAGCTGATGGCTCAAGAAATCCATTCATTCCCCTGCGAAGAGAGAAACCCTAAGGAATATTTGGTTCTTAGGACCAACTCAAAGGCATCCAACTGTAGATATGTTGTTCTAGATAAGGCTCCAACGTTTGATATAAATCGTCAACTTGAATCAACTATGCTCTATAGATGGAATCCGGTTCAGTACAAGCCCTTTCAGGCCAACCTATGGGTTTATTATGATATCTCTGCGGATAACTTTCATGTATGCTTCAATTATACGAAGTTGGTCCTTAAGCACGTATGGAGGATGATTCTCAGCCGCATGAAGGTATGCCAGGGGTATCTCGCATCCCTTCCTTCCTATTTTAGCCTGGGTCGTTTAAACACCGAGATCTAGATCACTTCTAACCGAAATTTTCCTCATTGTAAACTAATAAATAACATTTCGGATACAACAATGTCGTTCAAAGTCCTCTGATGACGACATAAACCGAACTGTCTAAATGAAATATCCAATTAATTTCCGAATTAGGCCATATAGAACTATTTTTGTTTAAAGATGGCACATTCCAAAACCTTATGAACATTAAAACCTGAGGTTCAACAGTTGGCAAAATAATGTATCAAAATTCGTAGCGAGAGATACCTTGGACCATCTTCTGCAGAGCCTCAATTGCAAGGGAATCAGATGTGACAAACACCGGATTCCTCGTCATGATCTTAGACGCTATAGTTTGCTCCGGTCTCAAGCCCTCTGCTATAACCCTAGTGGAAATATCCTGTACAAGTACGAACGCAAATTTCCAAAAACCATAAATAAAAAGCTGCGGTTCAGCAAAAGTGAAAGTGACAAAATAAACCACCTTATCCGTAAGAATCCCAGAGAGGAGGCCGTTAGCATCCGTGAGGAGCACGGCATCCACCCGCCGAGCTGCCATCCTTCTGCAAGCATCAGACACCGTCGTGCCCTCGGGAACAGTGAGAGCTTTGGACAGTCTCAGCTTCTTCACCGTCCTCTCCCCTCCGTTCACCCTGCAAATATTCATTCCCCTCAACAACACTCTATCAAACAAACAAGTTTCAACATACCAGGATGGAAATCGAACTGTATCAATTCACGTACGAGGGCTGGTTAGGCGAGGAGGGCTTCGCCGGGGCCCCGCTTGGGGTGTTGACGCCGTTCTCGGACGGAGCTGATTTCTTCACCGCGGACGGACCGCGCCTGGAAGCCACGCTGTTCCGCCTGAGCGGCTGCACCGCGTTGCCACTCATCTGCACAGAGCTAGGGCTTCGTCGCAGAGGTCCCTCGCTCTCCTTCTTCCTCCAGCGGCCCTCCCTGCTGCCCACCCAGTAGATCCCCCTAGGTCAAGGGAATTTCAAACGAGCGGCTGCTACGTTTAAACACGGCGGGACCTTCTGAAACAAACTCTGATAATTCATATAATTACGTTATGACCACGCACCGGCTAACACGTGTACGGTTGGATTTCCATACTGACAGGTGGAGAAGCAAATGTCTGGCCCATATAACAACGGGTTTGTTGGCCTTCAGCCCATTGATAGGCCCATCAGGCCCATTTGAAGAAATTTCGAGAATGTGGGCCCCTTGCGCCGCGAACGTGTGGTCGAGAGTGGATCCGAAGATTCTAGTCTTTTTGGCGTTTTCCTTTCCAACCGTTTCCTCCACAGGCGCCAACAAGCCGACGTGGTCGGGCCATCGCCATCCGCTTAGTGGACCCCATCCACGTCACTCCGTAATCCCCTGAGAGTGGTGCTCCCGCGTAGGTGTACCGACCAGGGAGGAAAGTGAAAGGAGAGTGGGACTAAGGAAATGGCGCAGTCGATGCTGATGTCCAGCTTCGGCGGAGGAATGGCGGAAAGGTGGAAGGAGCAGCCACTGATCCAGTTCCAGATCCGGCGGCTACGGCCGACGCCGGTTGCTCGTGATATTCTGCTCCCGCTGCTCCCTCCATCGCGTCCCCTCGGTTCTCCCGGCGGCCCCACGCTCGCGGTGTTCAAGGCCAAGGTCAGGGCCTCGCCAGCGAAGGTCCCGATTCCTCGATCTCGCCGGATTAGGGCGCGGCAATTTTGGTGTCAGGTTCGGCGGTAGGGTTTTGACAGTATCTCTTCTTGATGTGACCAGGTGGAGAAGGCAAAGCCCAAGGTCGAGGGTGGGATATTTGGTACGTCGGGAGGGATTGGTTTCACCAAGCCGAATGAGCTCTTCGTCGGCCGTGTGGCCATGATCGGGTTCGCGGTAGGTCGCTGGCTGCTGGTTAGGTTTTTCTTCTCGTGATTTAGAGCAGCATAAACCCTGAGTTTCTTCTTTGAGAGCTCGATTTAAGGATGTGCCCTGGTCGTTTCAGGCATCTCTACTGGGAGAAGGAATCACAGGGAAAGGGATTCTATCCCAGGTGAACTTGGAGACCGGGATACCGATCTACGAGGCCGAGCCGCTCCTCCTCTTCTTCATCCTCTTTACTCTCCTCGGCGCCATCGGTGCTCTGGGTGACAGAGGCCGGTTCGTCGACGATCCTCCGACTGGTCTAGAGAGGGCCATCATCCCCCCGGGAAAGGCTTGAGGTCTACTCTGGGTCTCAGCGAGGGTGGCCCTCTTTTCGGATTCACCAAGGCAAACGAGCTCTTCGTGGGGAGACTGGCCCAGCTGGGGATCGCCTTCTCAATCATCGGAGAGATAATAACGGGGAAGGGAGCTCTGGCGCAGCTCAACATCGAGTCGGGCGTTCCCATCAACGAGCTCGAGCCCCTCGTTCTGTTCAGCGTCGCCTTCTTCTTTTTCGCCGCCTTGAACCGGGGAACCGGCAAGTTCGTGACGGACGAAGAGCAGGACTGAGCCATCATCTACTCAATAACCTCCCCCTTTATTATCATCTCCATATTCTTCTTCTTCCTCCTCCCATCCACAAAGCAACAACTGTTTCAGTGTCCACGTGGGGCCGCTGTCCTTTTGTCGTCCGATCTTCAGATTGCCGTGGACTTCCCACTGTTGCAACTGCTGGTTCCTGTGGCTTTGGAAGACGTGGATCATCAGTCAATCAATCAAAACTTTTAGAAAGATATAATTTTTTACAAATCATTTCATCAAATTACAATCATTCTGCTCGTTGATAAATCGGAGATTTTTCTGCAATCACACCGATTCCCGTAATAAATCCCATTGAAGTCATCAAGAACTTAATCATTCCAATTTCACAGGAAAAAGACTCGGAGGAATCTTCACAATCGATAGAGTCAACGACGAGTCACATCAGGTCCAGTCTCTGCTCTCGTGACCAGAGATATGAATAAAACACGTTACTTTGGATTCCCCAGAAGTGTAACCAGCGACGACCCCGTCGCCATCGCCTGCTGACATGGAGCAGATGGTGCAACGCGAGCAACAGTCAACCACGTCTCTCAGCGGGCCACGAAGCAGCTTATTCTTCACGAAAGTCCTCCGACGTCGACCAACGAGAGGGATACAGACAGAGAGATGGGGAGAGAGGACGGAAGGAGGGGCCCATGCCGGGCAGTGTAGTTTGAACCAGTGTTCCATCCCTTCAATGGCTAGAATTCCGGCGGTGGCCTCCACAGAGTTGGTGTTGGGGAAGATGACGAGCTGTCGAGCCGCGCCTATTCGCAGATGCCGCCCCCTGCGACGACGGCCTCGTCATGGTTCTTTCTTCGAGCACTCGGTGTGTGGGTGGGGGTCTACCATGTGGTCGCGGATCGCCATCGGCAAAGAAGGGGCAGAGATTCTCTGGGAAAGCAACCGTCCGATCGGAAGCTGATGAGGAAGACGACGGGGCGTGGGGAGGACGACGGTGAACGACAGAGAGACCGCCACCACCTCCGCGGGTCCCCCCAGGAACCGAAGGAAGCCAAGGAACCAGTTGCAGAGGAGGAGGAGGAGGAGGAGGAGAAGGAAGAATAAGCACCAGGAGCAGCAGCGGGAGACGAAGGGGAAAAGGTAAATCCAAGCGGTGAAGAACGTTCGAGGAAAGAGAAGTGGTGTCTCTCTCTCTTTCTCTTTCTCTCTCTAGCTCTCGCTCTCGCTCCCTCTCTATATATATAGAAAGAGAGGAGGTCGCAGGTCGGTCACTCTGGGCCTTGTATCCATATCTTCTCTCCGGTGGCGGGGCTGCGACATCGATCGCCGGGGTGGGCGCGCTGATCCGGGGAGTTGTGTTGATGTTTGCAGAGTATCGAGAGGGGCTCGTCTGAAGATTTAGCAGGGAATTCCGGAAGGGAGAAGAGCGGGAGGCGATCGATGGAGAGGTACGAGACGGTGAGGGACATCGGCTCGGGGAATTTCGGCGTGGCGAGGCTGATGCGCAACAAGGAGACGAAGGAGCAGGTCGCCATGAAGTACATCGAGAGGGGCCGCAAGGTCGATCAGATCGGTTCCCCGTCCAATCTCCCTCCTCCGTCGTCTTTCCAGTCCCACTGTTTCCTCCCTGGATTTGTTTCCTTATTCTCGTCTCCTCCTCCCCTTCCTTCTTGCTGCAGATCGACGAGAACGTGGCGAGAGAGATCATAAATCACCGATCTCTGCGGCATCCCAACATCATCCGCTTCAAAGAGGTGAGTGATCCAGGATCGCCGCCAGAGGCCTCCCTTGCTCCTTCCCCCTCCCCCGTTTGACAGGCGTCGATCGTAGCTTAGAGACGGTACGAATTTCCTGTGTAAAAGGATTGTTCTCTCGCACGAGCAGGTGGTGCTGACGCCGACGCATCTGGCCATCGTGATGGAGTACGCCGCCGGTGGCGAGCTTTTCGAGCGCATCTGCAGCGCCGGGAGGTTCAGCGAGGACGAGGTATCTTCCCCCCTCGCTCCGTCTCTCCAATTTTATTTTTCCATTTTTAGCTAGTTGCTTTGAAATTTGTTGAAAACCCCATTTTCTGATCTTTCATATGCAAACCCCCCCTCCCTCCCTCTCTCTGGCAACTTCCAGGCGAGATACTTCTTCCAGCAGCTCATCTCCGGGGTCAGTTACTGTCATCACATGGTACGCCTCCGCGCGATCAGATAAGCAAAAAGTAGAGGTGAGAAGGGAAGAAAAAAAATTAACAGGGGTCATCATTCTAATTTACCCTTTCAGCAAATATGCCACCGGGACCTGAAGCTGGAGAACACGCTGCTGGATGGGAGCCCGGCGCCCCGCCTGAAGATCTGCGATTTCGGCTATTCCAAGGTCGGATCCCCATCGAACCTCTCACATAATCCGTTGCATCGTGCGCGTTTTGGAACCGCAATTCGCTGAGCTTTTCCTTCCTGGCCTTCTCTTCTCCTTCCGTGGCCAACGGAACGATCAACAGTCGTCGCTCCTTCACTCGCGGCCCAAGTCGACGGTTGGCACGCCAGCGTACATCGCACCGGAGATCCTATCCCGCCGGGAGTACGATGGCAAGGTGAGCCGATCGTCTCAACACCTGAGGCGCTCGATCTGTGTTTGTGAGCGGGACTATTTCCTTTTCGATCCGCAACCTCATTAAATTTCCTTATTTATCGGTGATTTTCTTCAGACTCGCTAAAAAAGAGTTACATTCGGGGGGGTTAGGATTGTCGAATAAAATATTTCTATTATGATTTTGTCTATGCATCCATTCAATCTTATCTGAAATTTATGCATAAGGTGATAAAAGGGATAGGGTTGAAGGGATTGCCCAGGTCGCCGGAAGGTGCCGGCTGCTTCCGAGCCGCTTCATCTCCTTGCCACCTGCCATGGCGGCACGTAGAAAAAGACCCGACTCTCCACAGCATTTTTTCAGAGTACTGAATTCCGGTTCTGTTTGGGTTGGGGGGAAGGCTAGAAATCGTTGTTGGAATTCGTCTTCCTACCGCAATCAATGGTCCCACTTTCTTTCAAAGATTCGATCCTCCGCTGGTTTTGGGTTGAGCCAGGGGTGTTTGATTTGGATACATGGCCCCCTGTCAAGCGAGTAGTGGGGGCGGCGGCGAACGGTCTCCGACGGCGACGGCGGCCGGCCGGCGGGCCCGGGACCCGCCTGAGAGTGTTATTTTCTGAACTGTCTCGCATCTGTCGTCATTCCTTCACTTGAAATCATCTATATGCCCCTTGCGGATGCCTCTGAAGCCGCATACTTTTCTAGAAGGTCAGAGGCCGTGGATATGATGAACATCTTCCTTGAGCTCGTGATTTTTATTTGACCGCCGTAGATTAAATCACAGAAACAAGAGTTTGTGCTCCGTCGAATCATCTTCTGATTTCGAGACCCTTAATATTTTTGCACCCATTGACGCCCTCCTTTCCCTGTTCTTGCGTGGTTCTCCGAGATCAGCTCGCAGATGTCTGGTCTTGCGCGGTGACCCTCTACGTCATGCTGGTCGGAGCGTACCCCTTTGAAGACCCGAATGACCCGAAGAACTTCAGGAAGACGATCGGAGTACGTATTCCATCTCCAATGTCTCTTCTTCCCCTCGCGAGATCTCCTTCTTTCTTCTATTCTAATCTCTGAACTAGCTCTTCTTTCATGCCAGCGTATAATGGCGGTCCAGTACCGGATTCCAGATTACGTTCACATCTCCAACGATTGCAGGGACCTGCTGAAGCGCATCTTCGTGGCCAGCCCGTCCAGAGTACGTGATCTAAACACACTCCAACAAAGATTATACTGGTTTAGATTATACCACCTTGCAGAATACCCTGCCATCCTTTGTAAATAGTCGGGTTCTCAGCAAGCCAGACTGCGCCTCCCAAATCCCTGACCCCGAAACCAACCAAACCTGAGAAAAAGTCAGAAAAATGGGCCTCAAGATGAGAGAGAGAGAGAGAGAGAGGAGGGTGAACATGGGACAGCCAAGTGGCGAGGGAGTGGACTTTAGGGTATGATCCGGGTCCTATCGATTACCAGACCCAGTCAGTCTCCATGGTTGTTGGATGAGATCTGTTTTACGCAAGATATTGACTTTTTCCCATGATAGTCTATTTATCTATTTTGAGGACTGAGTTTGGATAGAAAGAAAAATTTGTCAGACCCTAGACTTAACCGGGTCAAGATATTGACTTTTTTGGGGAAACAAGTCGGAGAACTCGGAAGAGTATCGTCGCTGAAAAAAACCCACGGATATTTCCCCCGTGGACCCACTGATTCGCTTGTTTCTCGTCTTATATGCCTGATTGTTTCCGATTCCAGAGGATAACAATAAGGGAGATAAAGAAGCATCCTTGGTTCTTGAAGAACCTGCCGAGGGAGCTCACGGAGTCTGCACAGGCGATATACTACCAGAGGAACCCCAACGCCCCCAGCTACTCCCTCCAGAGCGTGGACGAGATCATGAAGATAGTCTCAGAGGCGAGGATGACCCTGCCGTCGTCGAAGACGATCTCGGGCTTCGGCTGGGCCGCCGATGTGGACGACGAGGACGGGGAAGAAGAAGAAGAAGACGGCAGGAGGAGGTCCAAGGAGGAGGAGGAGAAGGAGGCCCACCGAGAAGAAGACGACGACGATGACGACGACGACGACGACGAGTACGATAAGCGGGTCAAGGAGGTACGCGCCAGCGGAGAATTTCGTCTCAGTTAGTTCAGTGATTTCTTCCCTCGTTAGGTAATCGTGTAAATCGGTCTCCTGCATCATAGCCTCCCAGTTCATAGTGTGATTGTAGGACCCACCCAAAGGGAGCGTTCAATCATGATTGGAGTTGATCTACATTTCGATAATCCGTGGTGATTCCCATCTCCGCATCTTCCTAACACATCCTTTTCAGATTCTGGGCAAATTTTAAATCGGCCGATCAAGTAGATCCAGGATCAGTGGCCTCTCAGAAATCATGCATCCCCCAGAGATGCGCATGCCCAGTTCATCATATGCTTGCAACTCTAGCAACCATGGTGCCTTCTAGATGCACATAGAGTTCTTGGTAACAGAATGCGTCTGGCCCAGTCGAGGTCTGATCATTGGCATGTCGGAACCATGGATGCTCCAAAGTGTACACTTCCGATCTAGATGCACCCAAAAATCAGGCAGCAGAATCTTGACTAGTATTGATTAACCTCAGAATCAGACGGCCGCAGGCAACTAATCCGGTTCCGAGTCAATATTAAACCTCTTCAATATGAGTCAGACGGGATAGGCTTCGAGTAGTTGTTGACTACGTGGTTGACTAGACGGCTCTAGTCCTCTATTCCTTGACCGTGGACCCCGGCTCAAAGGTCGGCCCTTTTCTGGCCCATATGACAAGCACCGAAACAGAAAGTCTACTCTCTACGTGAAGAGCGGGACACTTCGAACATGAGAACTCCGAGGGAGTGGGGGCGCGGTTCTCAGGGCTGACGAGGCTAGTGTCTACATACGATCCAAAATTATGACGGGCCGATCCTCCCGGCGACCCACTAATTTCGGCCCAGCCCGGCCCGGCCGTCCGGGCCTGTAGTTCTCCCAGGTAGGTCTCCCCCTCCTTTGCCTCTTCGGCAGGCTTGATGCTTCCGCCATGAGCAGCATGAGCAGCAGCAGCGTCCCCCAGCTGCTACTGACGGGGGAGCACGAGGCTGCCGACGGCACGGAGCTCTCCCTAAGAGAAGCCTTCGCCCTCCTCCGACCCCGCCTCCGGCCGCCCTTCCCCCTGCGGAGCCCCTCCTCCCCCGCCGAGTACCACCAGCTAATCCTCGCCCTCGCCTACGGCGCCCTCTCCGATCACCCCCGCGCCGCCCGCGCCCACCTCGTCCACCTCCATGCCACCGTCTCCGACGGGTACTCCCTCTTCACCCGTACCCTCCTCCACCTCTCCCTCCACTCCTTCCCCAGGCTCCTCCCCTCGGCACGGGCCCGCCTCCTCTCCGTCACCTCCGAGCTCATCGGCACTGCCGCCGTGGGGGTCGACCGCCTGGTCGTCTCCCTGCTCCGGTGGGTCCACATCGGGGACTTCTCCCCTCCCAATCTCTGGCTCGCGGAGCAGCTCCTGGGGGTCCTCACCCTCCGCTGGAGCTGGCTCCTGGAGGAGCCCTCCGTCCTCACCTCCGCCCTCTTCCTCTTCCTCCGCCTGCTCTCCGACCACTACAGGCTCGCCGCCGGTGACGGCAGGATGGACTCCCTGAAGAGCGCCGAGGTGGGCTTCTGCGTCAGGGCCCTCCGGGAGCAGTTCCACCTCTGCGTCGCCATCGGCAGAGACCTCGTGCGGCTCCTGCAGGACCTCGTCTCCGTCCCCGAGTTCCGCCGCTTGTGGGAAGACCTGTTGATCCGCCCCTCCGACATCTCCCGACTCTACCGGCGGAGCACGCCGGCGGAGTACCTCCTGATGGGAATTACGCCGGAGATGGAGACGAGGATGAGGTTCCTGCTGAGCCAAGTGAAGACGGGGAGCCGGCGGCGGTACCTGGAGTGGTTCGCCGGGAAGTTTCTTCGCCGGCCGGAGCAGGAGGCGGCGGCGGTGGACCTCGTGCGGTTCGTCTGCTGCGCGCACCACCCCCCCAACGAGGTTCTCCGCTCCGACGTGGTGCCGAGGTGGATGATGGTGGGGTGGCTGCTCACGGCCTGCCGGAAGAACTACTTCGCCGCCGGCGCCAAACTGGCGCTCTTCTACGACTGGCTCTTCTTCGACGAGGTCAACGACAGCATCATGAACATCGAGCCGGCGATCCTGCTAATGGTCAACTCCGTGCCGGAGTACGTGGAGCTGACCCAGACACTGATGGAGTTCCTGCTCCTGCTGGTGGACCACTACGATGAGGGTCGAAGGGATTTGATTCTTCAGAGCGTTCGGAAGGCCTTCCGGGAGGTGGTGAGGAAGGGGGTAGTGCAGTCCCTGGATGCCCTGTCCACCTGCAGCCTGATCTCCCCGGCTCTCAGGGAGAGTTTCACCAGGCTCATCCATGGATCCAACCCAGCTCAAGCTCAAGCCGTTGACTGACGGGAAAGCCCCCTCCCCTCCCCCACCACAAAGAAGGGAGTCTCTTTCACTGGAGGAGCCCAGCAGAAACCCTAGGGGAATGATCTGCAGGAGGGAACATAGAATCGAACCATTCATGAGCTTCGATTAAATCAAAGTTAGAAAGGAAAGCAAGGGATGATTGATTACCTATGAATGCTGCAGGCCTACTGTCAACGGATACTTGCGTGAGGCAATCCAATGTAAGCTGCTACAGATTAAAAAGGCTTATCAATGGTAAAGAATCAGGCAATTTCAGCCTTTTAATCTGCGCCACGAATCAATCGATACATTACAATGCACAGGGAGGGAGGGGAGGGGAGGAGAGGAGAGGGGAGAGGAGGGGAGGAGAAGGGGGGAACATGGCGTGGGGAAGTTACTCCGAGTTGTCTACATCGGATGAAAGCCTGTCAGGGGGATCCGAGGGATCCACGTATCTCCAAATAAAACCCAAGGTGCTACCCATGATGTTCATGATGACAGCTGACATGGCGCAGGGTAGGGAGACCAGAGGAGATGTGAAATGGGAGCTTGCCAGGACGACCCCCAAAGATGAGTTCTGCATCCCCACCTGGGGAAGCAAAGGACAGAGAATCACAAGATTGGAGTGGCAAATCCACTTAAGAAGAAGTATATGATCGCATAAACTATTTAAAAAGTCTAACTCTGTTATGATCCCATCAACTGATATGCTTCATGTCATAGGACCAATCAATATATATATATATATATATATTATCGCATGCCCATAAAAGGGAAAGAACAGTTATCAGGGAACTATTAATGCCAAAATAACTTCTCTGTGTAGGGTAGAATCTGCACCACGACTTTCTGGAATAACGACTTTAATCATCTACCAGCTTGCTTACTTCAAGGTTAAAACTCAAAAGGAAATAAAAAATTATAACATTCCTGGTTATGACGCGTGTTTAGTTCCATCTACATCACACAAAATCCCAAAACTTCTGCATTGAAACGGAGATCAAGAAGTAGCATGGATGGCACAGTTTACGATGTAAAAGGGAATGGAGCACGGGCTTGCCACAGTGGAAGGAATCTGTAGTTTATATCACATACTGCACTCCTTTGTGTTGTTTCAGTTGAGACACTGGAACCATCAATGGAAGCAGTACAAACAGGGTCAATACCTCAATCGAAATTGCTCGACGCTGCCGCTCTTTGTACCCACAAATAGCTGATGAAGTGTACCTGCAACGTAGAATGTATGGAACTTTTGAAAAGTCTATGCCATACTTCTCACATTGGGAAGCCTAATAATGAGCATGTGTGTTTCTACCCACGAGAAGAGTATTTATACTGTAGTGTGAGAACCAGTAGATAGATACAATTCATGAATAAAGAAACGAGTCAAAGACGAGAGAGAAGGGAGGCCATACCCCACCAAGTACCCTGCAAGATGCAGCAATATGACAGATATTATGACAGCTCCCAAATCTCCGGATAAAAAGCTTTTGAGCCCAAAGTTTGGGACACCATCAATTCCATTTGACGCAGCAGCCATTGATTGTCTCAGACGAACGAGGTTTTCTGAGAATACACTGCATAAAAGGCAAAGTCATAGATGGACTCGGAATTATGCTCTTTTTCAGAGCCGGTGAAGAATCAGATTTCCAAAGCAAACCTGCTCGCTAACAATGAAGAGGCTAACACGGCAAGAAGTGGGGCAAATGGTGTCACCACTTTCACAAAATCTGGAACCACTTTTTGCATGTAGGAACCCAGCAGAAGTGGGGCTACCACCACCTGAAGAAAACCAAAAATATTTACCGACCTGGAAAAGAAATCTGATATAGGATGAAAATATGCGCTGAAGATTATTAATTCACCTGCAAGGTGCTAATGGAGAGCTTGACAGCGTCCACAGGGACATATGCTCCAGCCAGGATTTTGGTCAATGTTGGAGTAAGGAACACCGCAGATAGAGTTGTGCAAACAGTCATTACAATGGAAAGTGGCACGTCTCCTTGAGCAATTAGGGTAACCTGCAATGCTATTTGAAGGAAATGGATGAGAAAATGCAGAGCCTCCCTGGAAAATGTTGTAAGAGTTATGACAATCTTACGCCATGCCAATGTTGAGCACCCTGGGCTGAGTGCAACTAATGATGCCGTAAGTTATTTATCAAACATGCATACTATGTGATTCTATTTTGAATTGATGGATACATCATTTGTGTGATCCATTTCCCTTGCATATCAAGTGTTTTGAACTGCGACAAAATCAGGTTAGTTTTTTTCTCTTTCTTTTTTGAAATTGAGATGCACGAGAAGATATCTTACAACATTCGATGCTGTACCCCCAGGACAACATGCAAGGAGAATCAAGCCAACAGAAAGAGCTGGCGAAAGTCCCATGGCCTTGCCAATAATTGCTCCAAAAACTGGCATGATGGTGTATTGAGCAGCACATCCAAAGAGTATCTGCCAAAAAAATGACAGAAAATATTCAAACCACAAATATCAACAAGGAGAACCTAAGCCTTACGTTCCAAAAGAGTTTAAAAAAAAAGAAAAAGAAGAAGAAGAGGTCTGCCATAAACCGCAAAATTTATTTATCCGTTAGTAAATAAAGCAATTCGATCTGTATTTGTCAGCAGACTATCTAAAATCATCTGAAGTATCCACAGACATATCACATTTTCCATGCTTAAAATTCCATTTTAAAAGGACCAGGGAGATCGCCAATCGTAACACGAGAACTTCAATCGGAAAACTATCCCGATAGGAGAATAGCCACGCAATCTGTTATCCAAGCCAAAAATCTCCATGCTATATCCCTAATGAGAACTTACAGACAAGGGCCTTTTCGCGAGTAAAATGAAGAAGTCCTCAAGGTCCAGCGTGATCCCCATGGCCAGCATTATAAACCCCAGAGCACAGCTGTAGGAACCAGGCCCCCTCTCCACGAACCAGGAGAAGGCCGAGGGCTTGACGCACGCGACGGCGCCGCCAGCCGTCACGTAGAGTGGGTAGAGGCTGGCCGCCGTCACCATGACCTCTTCCCACCCGGGTCGCCGAGGAGCCGGCGGTTCCCGGCTCCTCTGCTGCGCTCTGATCCCCGCCACTCTCGGAACTACGGATGAACTAGGTCTCCGTCGACCTGAGGGGAGGAGACCTTCGGGACGGCGCCATGGGAGGGAGCTGAGAGGGCGGAGGGAGAGGCCGAAAGACATGGTTGGCTTCCCGGATCTGCTGAGGCCGGAAGTGAGATTCCGGCTCTCCTTTCCTCCGTTTTATGCCTGCAACAGCCGCGCGTGAGAATTCGCGGGAGTGGTAACCACACACTCGTGTACACGGAATCTCTCAGGAGATAGAGACAATCTCGCTCCCCTGTCGGTCCACGTGGCTGTAACGTGGCCGGGCCTGCTAATGGCCACCGCCTTAGGAGGGCTGACAACTGGGCTGTTTGGGTCGGCCCAAACATGTAGAGCACAATACTTTGGCCCAGTATCTCGTCAGAAACTTGGCGACTCTGAAGATTTTCTACAGCGTATTGCTTTCTTAAAGCTCAAAATCAAATTAAAAAATCATATGCCGGTAAAATATCAAATTTTCCTCGTCTAACCATACAACGGAAAAAATGGGCCTTTTTTAATAATTACGCTGACTTTTCGTTTATAAACATGATTTTAGTGTCATTATTGCATGCGTTAAATAACACATCGTATGTTTCATAAAAGCTAATCTTTTTATTTTATTTTTTTATTTTTTTAACCAGTTAAGATATAAGCTAATTCGCATGCACTTTGACTTATCATGCACGCATTCTATGCAGAAAAATGCAATTTTTTTCAATGATCAACTAAAATATAAAATATATCTCTTTGTCTAAGAAAGGATATATAGAAACCAAGCTAAGTGAAATAATAGGAAATATTCATCAAGAAAATCCTAATCGATGTAAGCTAAAAGGGTTAGTTCTAGTGGGCGATGAAGTTAGGGGGGAAAATGTAAAAAAAACGAGAAATAATTATGACACGGGAGTGGTCTAGATCGTATCATCATCCAATCAGTGAAGAGTAGTACGCAATGGTAATGGGCATGCCAATGGAACAAGTAAGCACAAAGTCAACCAATCATCTATTTTTGGGAAGTGGGCTTCAGAGATATCCGCCTAACAGTGTGGTACTCCCGTGCTAAGCCTAGGCTCGAGTAGCGTTTAGTAAAGTTAGGGTCCATTCTTTCCCTAACATCCTCTCTCTCTCTCTCTCTCTCTCTCTCTATGTGCATGTGTGTGTGTGCGTGCACACCTATCAGTCTTCCATCCTTTCCGCTTACCCCCCCGTTAGTGGTAGCAATAACAGTGTGTAAACCCTAAATGAGTTTATGTCGATCCGATACCATGTAAGGCCAGACGAGCCGGTTAGTGAGATTGGATCAAAGAGGCCAAATCGATAAAAATGCGCTATAATATAACTTGTTCCTCGCCTCGAAGGTTTACACACCAGTACGTTCACCATCAGGCGAGGCTCGTGCCGGGCTAGGCTTGGGGTTCATACTTGCTTTTCTAGAACAGGAAGAAGAACCCGGTACAGAAGGGAGAGGCCATGCGTGATCTGTCCTTGAGGAGGAGGAGGAGGAGGAGGAGGAGGAGGAGGTCAGTTATTTGTCTTCCCATCAAGGAACGGGAGGAACTGTGTGAAGAACACGGAAGATAATTGATCTTCTGCTACAAGTCCTGATGGGTCTCTTCATCTTCGTCGAAACTGAAGGGGATCGAGGAGAAGCTGTCGCTCGAGAAGGAGGGCTGGGTGATCTGAGAAGCGAGCAACTTATCGAGGACCTTCCAGTCGACGAGGGCGTCTTCCCCGGGGGCGATCTCAGGGTGTAGGAACTGCTCCGCTAAGCTTGCAGACGGAGGAGGGCTCTCCAGGAGGTTCCCGAGATAGGGAAGCTTGAGCTCGAGATCCTCTTGGTCATGGAGATCCCCGCCACCGCCGCCGCCGCCGCCGAAGGGGTGGAGAAGATGGCCGTGACGAGTAATCTCCGCCGTGGCTAGAAGCCTAATCCCGCCGTGGTTCCAACCACCGAAGCTTTGCCTCTGGGTCGGAGTATTCTGTTTCCTGAATGCCCGGCACACCACCCAGCCTTCTTCCTGAAGACCACAAGAACGTCAATAGATTCAATCACAGAGTTGACATATGATTGGAGACGACGGATCATAATCTCCCTGGATCTTGAACTGACCTGAGTAGGCGCGTGCTCGCTGGTCTGAAGGCGGTATTCGTGCATGATCCAGTCGGTCTTCCTCCCGTTGGGAGCCCTTCCCTGGTAGAAGACCAGGGTCTTCCTCATCCCGATGATCTTGTTCTTGGAGAGCACCGCTTTGTCCCGGCCCGTCGCCTTCCAGAACCCGGCGGCGGTGGCCCTGTTGGTGCGAGTCCCAGTCGGGTACTTCTTGTCCTTGTGGCTGAAGAAGTACCACTCGTTCTGATCTTCATGGCCTAGCTTGCATCTATCTACAGGAATCGCAGAAGATAACAATCAGAAAATCCGCATGAACGGTGACTTCTCCTTTCTTCTTCGTCTTTCTCTACCTTGGAGATCCCAGGGTTCTATTCTATATAGGTCGACGTCTGCGATAACCTCTAGATCGATCTTCTCAGAGGCCACTTTCCTCGTGAGGTAGTAGCCCACGAGCTCCTCCTCCGTTGGATGGAACCTAAACCCTGGTGGTACCCATGGCTCCACCTCCATCTCCGAGAACCTGGGAAAACCAGCAAATTTCCGTCACAGAGAGATAGATAGATAGATAGAGAGCGAGAGGGAGAGATAGATAGATAGATAGAGAGCGAGAGGGAGAGATAGATAGATAGATAGAGAGCGAGAGGGAGAGATAGATAGATAGATAGGGAGCGAGAGGGAGAGAGATAGATAGATAGATAGATAGGGAGCGAGAGGGAGAGAGATAGATAGATAGATAGATAGAGAACGAGAGGGAGAGATAGATAGATAGAGAGCGAGAGGGAGAGATAGATAGATAGATAGAGAGCGAGAGGGAGAGATAGATAGATAGATAGAGAGCGAGAGAGAGAGAGAGAGAGAGAGAGAGAGAGAGAGAGATCAGGAATAAAACAGCCTGCTTAGAATTCCGAAAGGAAGAAAGGAACTGTTCCGAGATGTAGGAGAGAGAGCTATCTCTAGATGCTGAGCTCCGGGGATGCAGAAGGGCGATGAAGGACATTCTCTCACCGCCTCTCTCCGGCTCTCCTCCGGGAGCTTCGGCCATGGATTCGTAGCATTAGGATTCAAAGAGGTGGCACTGTTACTCACCGGGATAGACGGGGACGGAGAGCCTTTGTCGGCCGAGAGGTCTCTCTGTGAGATCGGAGAACGAGGGGAAGAAGGATCTTCGCAGGCGACGCTATAGTTTTCCGTGCGGAATAATATTATACGGAGGCTGGCTAAGTGGTGCAATGCGAGTTATATATAAAACCCACGGTGGTGGCCTCGTGGAGAAGACGGCAGTTACAGCGATCGATAGGCAGAGAGAAAGAGGAGAGAGAGAAAGTGAAAGAGAAGAGAGAGAGAGAGGGAGAGAGAGAGAGAGAGAGAGAGAGAGAGAGAGAGAGAGAGAGAGAGAGAGGGGTCTCGATTGCGCGTGGGCCGATAGACGAGAAAGAAAGACAGAGAACAGGATTTTGGACGGCGTGTCCCGGGATCCTCACTCACGCCACCCCGACCCTCTTCCTCTCTGTCTTCTCTCTCTCTGTATATCTCATCCCTATCTCTCTCTATCTTTCTGGCCGGAGGATTGCAGTACAAGACAGCATATAAATATGGACATCTTTTTCCCTTCCCACTTTTCCACTTTCCCCGCTCAAAGAATGCCAACTGGATGAAAAGGAGACCTCCCCGTCGGACCTGGCGAAGACTCCACGCCAGATGTCATCCTCTCACTCCTCCACGTCGTTTCAGGAGGTCGTCCCCCTCGTTCTTATCATACAACCAATCAGCACCCGAGTTCTTACTCTCCGGTCTCCCCGCAAATACCTCACAGAAAGAAATAGAAATAGAAATAGAAATATAAATAGAAATAGAAATAGAAATATAAATATAAATATAAATATAAATATAAATATAAATGGATATATATATATCGAGAGAAAGATAGAGAGAGGAGAGGGGACAGCATGAGTTGCCGGCCACTAGCAAGGCTTGGGGAAGAGAGAGAGAGAGAGAGAGAGAGAGAGAGGGGGAGGGGGACCGTCATGCCCGTGGATGCTTCTTCTAGGATCTAGGATTTACAGAAGCTAACGAGTGCAACCTCAGAATGAGGATTCATGGCGGCGGGGTTCCTCTGCATGGAAGAACCTTCCATCTGCTCTCCCCGTCCCGTTCATTCAGTCGAGCTTCAGGGCTCGAACAAAGAAGAGCAGGAGTCGTACCAGGTGTTCGGCCGAAGTCCAGGACGAGATCGATGGGCTGTCGGAGAAGCAAGACGAAGGCCGTGGCCCCGGCGATCGGTGGCGGCGGGCGGCGAGTCGCCGTGGCGGTGGTTGGAAGGCCCTGCAATGATTCTCCATGATTAGATGGATTGAAAGGCCGCCGCTTCTCCGCCGCCCTGATCTTCTCTGGGCAGCGGCTCCCGAAGAGAAAGGTTGATGGAGCAACGACATATCCAGAGCGTATGGGGATGAGCTCTGATTGATGCTCTCTCTCTCGATTCAGTGCATATAGACGATACTTTCGCAGTTCATCGATGTTGGCTCTCTCTCTCTCTCTTTCACCGACGTGCGACCCCGCCATGAGACCGTCCGGTCATTTTACCTTCTTCAAAGCTTAGGCGGGGCCCACTAGACGTGTGGGTCCCATCAACTCACCTAACAACTCTGCCGGCTGGCTGCTGGTGGGGAGGTGATGGTCGGTGTTGGTCGGCCTCATAAGCCGGTGACGGTCGGCGAAATCGAGTAGACGGGTGGCGCGGTGGGCCCACACACGGCCCAGAGACCACAAATCAGGCCCAGTGCTTCAGACTGAGGCTCTTCCCGTGGGGTCCACAGTACAAAACGTGGGACCTTGAATAAATAAGAACTTGTTGAATAAAAATATTCCCAGAATACTTGAAATCAAGTCAGTAGAAGAAGGCCCGGCCCGGCAGTGTTAAGGGCCACATTTTTGCCACGTGGATGTTCCACGTTCACTCCGGTGACTGCCCAATAAGCTGGCCCATTAATCTATGCGGTGGGCTTGCACGGGCTCGGCCCATTCTAATTAATTTTCGAGGATGAGGCAGATATAAAAAAGAAACGAAGGGGATTCGAGATTCCGAACCATCTCGAATGCTCCGCACGCGCTACGTGGCGCTCGAATACGCCGGTTCCGGCTGCCGGGGGGGGGGGGGGGTTAACTGTCGGCCTCTGGTTGCGCTCCTCATGAGAGTGGAACGAAGCTTCAGCGGCCTTCCCCTTTCATCCTCTCCGTGCTCTTTTCTGCGGGAATCGGAGTTGATGGAGATGGGGAATCCTGGATCCTCCCCGGCCGTAGCGCTTCTCCTCGAGCTGGCCGCCGTGACCCCGGTTCGTCATTACCTGGTTGGATCGCTCCTCTTGCTCATCGTCTTCCTCTACAGTTTCTTGGAATTCCACCTCCTCGGCGACATCCTCCGTGGATTTAGGGGAGACAAGGTTCGCCTGACGTACAACCCGGCCTCCGAGATTTACCAGGATGTTGTCTCCAAGTGCCGGACCCTTCATGGCCGGTCAGCATATGTGCCTTCGCTATGCTCCTATTTTTTTTTCGGGTGAGAAATGAAAATTTTAACATCGGATGCTCAGGTACCTGGCGACGCCGTGGCTCTCGAGCCCCCACTTCCAGACTACATTCCTTAATTTCTTTGGGAATCCTCCAGCATTCACTTACAGAAGGTCCGTGCCATTAGTTCGATAGCTAGTGTCGAATGCCTTAATATTTTTTACGCGTCGGAACATGCTAAACGGCGTCCAAAATTTTGGAACTATGCTACCATGTGCTGTGCTGGAAACGCCATTATAAATGAGAGTAAATGGGAAAATTTCCTGGTTCGTTCCATTGGTTATTTGTTGTTTGATCGTTGACGAAGTTTCACTCTCCCAAGTCTTCTTCTTTCTCGTCGATTATACTCTGCATCTATGAGAGCTAGTACAAACTGTAATAGTCGAGAACTGGGTAGTAAATACTTGAAGACAGTCTGTGCAACTCACGGCACAAAACACACGACAGAGATGCCCAATATTTTCAATTTCCGGGCTCGCCACACTGCACATGAAAGTTTTTTTTATCTGTGCGAATTTTTAGAAAGCTTTCTGTATGCCGTGTCTATAAATATTCTACATTTATTTTTTACTTTGGCATTCTATTCATCGAACGCAGAAACTTTTTGAGTTGTGAAATTCACCATCACCGACGAAATACTTTCTTACCAGGCAAATATTTCGCGTGTCAGATGGTGGGACGATTGCTCTGGATTGGCTTTTAGCTTCTGATGGTGAGTATCTTCGATTCTAGTGAGATATCCGAGTCATTGTTGTTGATTTTGACATACTTGAATGAAGGATAAGCCATTCGAACCACAATATATAACTTTGGGTTCTTGTAGGTATGATGATGACATTTTTCCAGTTATAGATCTTATTGAGAACCCAAGTTTACTTAACAGGAACAACATTTGGGTATTCCACTGGAATTGGCTCTGAATACCTGTTTTACTTGCTGTCAGGATCTGGGAAGAGCGTGCTCTCTTGCCACATTTTAAATGAACAGTGGGTTTCTCGAAATTTTCCCTCACACGGAGGATCCCATTGGCATCTCATGGCCAGGAGGAAATTTAGTTTTTCCATCTCTGAAGAAAATGAAGCTCGGTAAATCATCTCATAACTTGAATAGAGGTGAAGCCGCCACTTTTCGCTCTTACTTCAGAGCATGGAAAAGCAAATTAGCTGAAAATTACAGCTTCCTTAAGCTTGGCTATGGTGAGATAAATAACACAGGGATACTTATAATGGGGTACTGGTCGTAAATAAGATATTTTTAACTCAAGCCTTTGAAAAAGGATGCTAATCTCTAACGCTAAATTATAGGATTATTAAATAAGTTCGACTTGGTGGCAGGGAAGTTCGATTTGGAAACCTTCATTGAATGTGAACAAAATTAAATTGAAGATAGACTTTGTGGCATTTTGAGCCACTGAAAATTTTGGTATCCCGAAGGTCAGGTGCAGTTCCTTCAAATAACCAAGCAAAATGCGGTCTCAATTACATCCTTTTCTTTCACTGGCTGTCGGCGATATCGTCCCTAAGAGAATCGTACGTGAAAGAGTTCCAGTTCTTCTTTTGTAATGACTCTACATGCTCTCCCATCTAAAAATTGAAGATGGGATTGATGGACCCAACTTTCTTACTTTTTCTTTCGTTTCACCTAATGCTGTACAGTTCCTTCGGCCTATGGGGATTGAGATCTCTTTTTTCCAAAGGCTGATAGTCTCGTTAGATTCTATCTGTCTATATTTTATCTCTCCAAATTTATAGTAAAAACGAAAAAGACTTCTAGTATGAGACAATAGTAAACCCACCAGGATCTGCTCTAAAAGAAGATTTGAAAGACTTTGAGAGCAAATGCATCGAAGCTAAAATAAGGGATATTGGCGTGCATTTTTTTTCGTGCTCATAAGTTTTTGATGCTCGTCTTGGTAAGCATCTGATGCATTTCTTTTTCCTGCATTTCATAAAATTGTGGTATTTCTCTCACAGTTTGTTATTTTTTTATGTGCTTTTTATGTGAATTTGACTTGATTTTCAATGCTTTTGCTGCAGAAGAGTTGACCTTTTCTTTTTATTTAATTCGAGTAGGTCATTTATATTTTTTACCTACGTCCAAAAGGTCATCAAAGTGACTCTTTAATAAGTTTGCACTGTGAACGTTTGATTTTGCACAAGGGACCGTATAAAGAGTACTGAATGAGCATATTTACATTTCAGTCATACTAACTATGCACACGACTTTCTAATTGCCTTGGTTTTCGCGTGACAGTCGCAGGGTGTTCTGCTGACCCAAACAAGGTCATCGCAAAAGATGATACAACACCCATTGTTGTAATGGTTCCTGGACTAACCAGTGATTCTTCCTCTCCTGTAAGCTTTTGTCATCATTTCCAGTTCATTGATGCGTTCTGAAATCGGAATATGAGAAAGCAATCCTTGTTTTTGTTCATTTCCGTTCAAGCTTTTCGAATACTAGAAAGGATCATAAAATATGCTGGGAGAACTTTTTAGGACTTCTTTTGTAGAATCCAGAAGCTTGCAGATATAACACATGTACCTGTCTGCCAATCTACCTTCCTGCAAACTTTTTTGGTCATCTTTTTCCGATCAAAATTATATTTGACTTGGAATAAAGATTGATCCTTTAATATATGGTTAGAATCTTCAGATTTCTATGCTCCATTGGATCTGATGTTTTTGTGTCTATCATTGTTGCAATTAATTATCATCATGGATTTTTTTTCTAACAATAGATGATGCAAGGTATTTGGTACTTTAAGAGCTTGCACATTTCGCTTAATTTCTTAATCTGGTGTCGTATAAAAAGTTTCTTTCCTTCTTTATATATCACCTTCTTCCTGTCCCAAATCGTCAAAATTGGTGAAGGTAACATAATTTTTGACGAATGTAATACATTTTTTTCAAACTATGTTGCAGTATATGAAACACCTTGTATATAAGGTAGCAAAGAGGGGTTGGAATGTAGTCGTCAGCAACCATCGTGGATTGGGAGGAGTTTCCATAACAGTATGTATCCTTGGCTCCGACCAAATATTAGACGATGCCTGTAAGAAGATATGGTTTCATGGAATATTTCACCTCAGATCTGAGATTTTCATTTTATCATGGCATAAAAAGTTATGTGATGTGTGTATGCTTCTTTTTTCAGTTTCCGTATCTGTCATTTTAATGATTTCTCTTCTTAAACGATGACAAGTGAAGCAAGCAGAACCTGTTTTTCTGATGTTCTTAATTTCGTTCCCAATATTCTCCAGTTTTATTGCATGACATTAACTTGAAGACTCGGTGTATTTATCCCTGGGCAATTTTTTGGGACTCGAAATCAGAGAATATGTTTTTCTGGGCATGACCTGATATAAACAAGAACAATTAAAAATATATACTGGTCTTCTTGCTATCTGATTCAGCTCAACACAATCTGTACACCCTCAACTCCCAGACACAAGTCGGTGCATTTCAAAAGGTTGGATTCCCAGAAGGTATGAGGACGGACGCCTTTGCTACCTGGCTCAATCGAAATGTTTTTCGCATCTCTGACTTAAGATTGGAAAGAGGGCGAACATCCATGGTTGGCCGACGACTATATGTAACACGAGAGTCCGCGTCCTCCTGGTATTTGATGCAGGTCAGAACAGTGACTCACATCGTTTTATTTTCACCCTAATTTTCCCTAAATGACTACACGGGGCCTAGAAACTCATATAACTTCATCATTGCTTTCATGACACGAAACCTCAACTCGGCATTCTTCACTGCCCATGAAAGCCTGGAATAAGCAGACCTCTAACACTTGATATCCAGATCCCTCAATGGCTGACATACGTCGATGTAGATAATCATATAGATTGGATTCCATCGATCCAACTAAGTTTGACCCATTCTGAGTCTTAATGTCGCTCATACGCTGTGAAAGCGTTCTTGCTGCACGGGCACATCACATCTCTTTGCTGTTTGGTATATCCAGACACGAAGAGTGAATCTGTATGCAGCATAATACAATGGTTGATTTTGGATCTTTTTTTCCATTCCCATCTGCTCCTAGAATATGCTAAGCAGTGGTGGTCCCTCTTCTACTGCTATTGGCTGCTTGTCCTTTGACACTTCAATTTGTCATTACTATCACAGATATGGCTCAATGAATTTTGGCAGGTAGTCACCGTCATTTCCCTATTTTCACATTTCTTGGCAAATAAAACATTTTTCAGTGCATTTCCATCTCTTCATATTCAGATGTCTTAAAAAACAAAGTTGGTGGACAACTGGCATTGAAATCACTGTGAACATAATGCTCAAAGCCCGAGTAGCTTGGTCCTTGGAGTGGAGTGTAAATGATGAGGGTCAACTCCAACCTCCTAAGATTGCTTTCCTCTTTTGGTTGACTTCACATGGAAGACTGGGGGATAACTTTCCTGTCAGGGAAAATGGCCACACTCACTTTCCCCCATGGTGATGTTTGGACGGGCTTGGTGTTGGAAGTCCTTATCATCTCTTAGAATGTTTGCCGGTTGATGGAAAAGCACGTCTTTGCGCAGAATGTTCACTTGTTCATGGTTAAAAAAAAAAAGGAAATAATAAACTCGCATGGAGCTATCAAGCCCTGGGAGACGTCTGGATTTTTTTACATGGATAAATATTTTTCATTTAATATTTTATAATTCATTAATTTAAGTTTAATTAAATTTTAGTTAAATTTTAACTTTTCATGGATATATCCTTTTGTAATTTTCAATTCTGCTTTTAATCGTAAGTTTTATCATTTCACGTCTCTTCCGTTTTGCCTTCTAATCCCTTATAATTTTTTGTTTAGTCTGATTGCTTCTACAATGCTGGATGGACAGAAGATGTTCGGAAGGTTATCAATCATCTTCACAGAGAGTATCCCATGGCTGTTTTATATGCTGTTGGATCAAGCATTGGTGCCAATGTTCTGGTAGTTGAACTGTCTCATTCTTTCACGTCTTCTTCTTGGGACTATGATGTCAAGTTTAGGATATACTCTCGTCACAGTGTCTCAGGCTCATAGCAGGACGATTTTATAAGTTTTGACATAGACTACATTGTTCATCTCCATAAAATAATCTTTGCTAGGTTAGTGGATTATCATCGTTTGGCGGGCCAGATATTCTTCCTTTTTTCTGGACTGATTGTAAAACGGATTGTAAAACATAAATTGTCTAGGCGGTGGGGGCAGCACATTGCCACAGGTCCATTTAGGCAGTGTCTGGGCTGACTTGTCATCGGGCACACTTGGCCGAAGTAGTCAGGACTGCGTCTTGGACTTTGCTTTTCCAATTCGATTCGGCATGGCTGAGATATTTACATAGGCATGTATATTTGTCTACACATACGTATCGTCATTTTGAAACTTAAGTTTTCCTGTACGTGTAGGATTTTTGAGCTTGAGCATTCAAATATGGGATTTGTGTCCCATTCAGACATTTGTGATTTCTAGCACCTCTCTGTGTCATCTATAGATCCAGAGACCAGCTGGGTCTACATTTTATTTTTGCCATTTAGAGGCTTTGGGACAACTCTGAGCTGTTGTCTTCTTGTGCTAGGTCTATATTTGGTCTGTGATTTTCTATTCAAAATTCAAATGTCTTACAAGATGTATAAAAAGGTTGATGGCCTTTTGTCATGTCTTCAGGTCAAATATCTTGGTGAAGATGGAGAAGGTACTCCTGTTGCTGGGGCTGCATCTATTTGTTCCCCTTGGGACTTGGTGGTTGGTACCAAGACTTCAAGCTCAAAAAAAATTACATAATTTTCTTCTTAAGTTTACTCTTCGTTTTTCAGTTGATCTTCTGCCCGCCAAAGGAAGCCACTTTTGCTATCTAAATAGTAGCTCTCCTTTTTTTATATTAAAGCATCATACAACTTTACTCAATTTTTTGTGAATAATTTTATTCACATAAATTAAAGGAAATCAAACGAGAAATATAAAAACGAATATGCTCTTAAATGAAAGAATAATTCATGGAAAGAGGGTTGCTTGGATGTCATGTTGACAGGCTTTAGAGATGAAAGGAGAAACCTTGACATACTTACCCTCCTGCATAATTCGACGGGGAAAGACCCAACAAGGCAAATGTTCTCTGTCTCTGTCTGATCTTACTTGAGACATAGCTTTTTTCATAAGTTTCCGTCCATCCATAAGTCTTGAAGTGAAGTTTTAGCATGTCCCATTTATCTTACTGGATTTTGTTCTTCTCACTCTTGCAATGAGAACTTTGTTTATTGTCCTCTCTGGAAAACATACGTGAATATGGCAGAGAGAGTTTTTCTCCACTCAAAACTGGATTGTTGAGCATCCTCTCAATTGTAAAACAAATGCCAAGAATATAGGAATCCATGGAAAATTATTGATGCAAAACTGTACGAAGGCATATGCTGTGAAACGAATGTAGGATAGAGGGTAGTCTTAATTAGTTTAAACCCACAAAGACACGGAATGATATACTGGGCCTTAAAAATGATTTACTGAGGTGGATTAGTCATTGAGCTTTAATGGGCTTCTGTACGAAGCTTTTTGCCTAAGGTTGGATTCGCCCATCAAGTATTAATGGGCTTTGGATCCGGAGGTGGATTCACCTATCAAGAAAAATGCGGGCTTTTGTGGTGAATTCATCCAACCAAAAGTTGAAGGCGTTTTGAGCTGGAAGATAGTTTTGCCTATCAAGGTTTCTGGGCTTTAGAATCTGAGGGGTGGAGTTGCTCATCAAGATATAGAGGGCTTTTTGGCCCAGGATGGATTCGCCTACCAAGAGAATGTGCTTTTAGGTCATTGGGCGGATTTACCCAATAAAGGGGTTTTGATTCTGCTGGTAAGCTATCCCATCTAGAATTAAAAGGGGTTTCTGAACCCAACAGTGGATTCACATATTGACGGTTACGAGCTTTCGGCGCTAAGGGCTGGAATCTCCCGCTCGGGGTGTGATTGGCGTTCAGCTCGAATGTAGAAATGGCAAGATAGGCGACCCATGGCCCAGTGCTTACAGTGAGAAAATCAGCTTTGGGGCTCGAAGATGGATTTATCTACTTAAAGACAACAGACCATTGGGCTCAAGGGTGGATTCGCCCACCAATATTTGACTGGTTTCTGGTCAATGGAATGATGCACTCACCACTAATTAGTAAGCTTGTAGGCCTGAAGGTAAATTCCACTTTTGAGGGTCAGCGGGCTTTTAGAACCAAAATGGGTTTCACCTCTGAGTGATGATGGATTTTGACGCAAGGGTGGATTTGCTCAGAGATAATCAATGGACTTTTGCACCCATTGGTGAATTATCCTAATGATAGGTAGTGGACTTTTAGACTCGGAGGAGGATTTGCCCATTGGGGGATGGACTCCTGGATTTTTTTGGCGTGAGTGTGGATCTGTTCACCAAGATTTAGATCTTTGTTCTTGGAGTAGTTTTACCCACCAAACTAGCTTGATGCTTGATTTATCCTCTGTGCTATCTTCTTCCTCTGGGTTTTATCACCCGGGGTCTTCTCCCTCTAGGATCAAGAAGAAAAGAAAGGAAAAGCCAGTATTAGGACTATGTGACCTGGCCTTCTTGTTCTCCTTCATTGTATACTCTTAATTAAGGGGCCGGAGTTTATATCAACTTATACGGGAAACATTAAGGGGCCCGATTTTTTTTATTTATATTTTAATGGGAAAAAAGGCTTCCACTGTGATTTTTTTTTTTTAGGATTTCAAAGTTCCTCATTTTCATTTTTTGTTATTTTTTCTTAGTTTTGGATTTTCTTTATGAATTCCTTCTGTGTTCGACTTCAGATCACCTGTCGTATGTGCAGATCTTGTAACTTTCCTAGAATAGAACAATATGCATCTGTTAGAATTTCTCTGGTATATTTTTCCCATAATCTTCCGAAAACCGTCAACCATATCAGATGGAGATATGAAACGGGGGAATTTTGGCCCATCTGCAGGTTTGTGACAGGTTCATTAGCCGGAAACTTGTTCAGAGATTCTACGACAAAGCCCTCACAATCGGCCTCAAAGGTTATGCCCAATTGTATGTTTCGCTTCCTCCTCAAACTTGTAAGAGCAGTCATGTAGTCATCAGATCCATTCTTGACCTGTTCTTCAAAAGATCTCAAGTAGCTGCATTGTCCTGACATATGAGGGATCTGACCCCCTTTTCGTTAATATGACGCAATCAAGTTACCCAAAAACCTAGGATATGTCGCTGAAATTTCATTATTTGATGTTTGCCTGCAGACATCAGCCCGTAATGTCCCGACTTGGCAACTGGGAAGGCATCAAAAGGGTATGGATCCTTTCCTCTCATCTTCTGGTTTTTCTGATCAGTTTTCCGGGAAAACCCTTTATAGATTTGGATCTGAAACCCATTCATCTTGAGACGATGTTCAATATCTTCTTAGTCTTTAGGCTGAGAGTGGTTTAATCAAAGGTAACCCTTTGTTGAATGGCAGTCGATCTAGATATCTTTTCTACGGGGGGGGGCTTGCTGGGCCGCTCAGTAGATGAGAATGTTGTGAATGCATCGCAGGGCAAGGAGAGAATGTTCTTGCCATGATAGCATCTGTGGGCATCTTCTCCCATAATGTTGGAAGAGCTTTTTTTCCTCTCTCCTCGTCACTAGCTCCACTACACCACCTCCATATGCGCCTGCTTCTCTCATCTGTGATCCTAACCCTCTCTTCCCTTTCTCTCTCTGTTATCTATCTTCCCCGGACAGTCGAACTCCGTCAGGGACTTTGACAGCCACGCCACCTGCATCGTCGGAAACTACGAGGTACGATTACTCCCTCCACCACTTTGGTCTTGCTGGCCTTCTCTGCTCTCCCTCCCCCCCCAACGGACGCTGAATTGGGCTCTGTATCCTCAGACTGTGGACACATACTACCGTTGCTGCAGCAGCGTGAATTTCGTGGGGAATGTGGCGATCCCATTGCTTTGCATCAGCGCCCTGGATGATCCTGTCTGTACGAAGGAAGCAATTCCCTGGGATGAATGCAGGTTTTTCTCACAACCACTTGAAGAGTCTCTCTTCTAATTAATATATATATATATATATATATTATTTTTAATTTTTTAATTTGCTTGTTTGATCTCTGTTCTGGATGTGATCCAGGGCGAACAAGAACATCGTTTTGGCCACTACAGCTCATGGGGGGCATCTAGGGTTCTTCCAAGGAATAACAGCCCGTAGCTTATGGTAATATCTTGTTTTTTTTTTAATTTTTTTTTTCTTGGCCCTATTTTTTTTGGGTCTGTTTTTTGTTTACTCCGCTGTGATTCTCAGGTGGGTGGGCGCTGTTGATGAGTTCCTCAGCGTCTTGCACTCCAGCCCGTTTATGCACGAGAAAAAGAAGGTACCTTTGCCCGTTCTCTTCTCAACGGATTTGCTCATAATCGTAGTCTCCCCTGGCAGCACTCAGCTGGGCCCTCAAAGTCAACCCTGAAGAGGAAAATCAGCCCGGCCCACCATCTCTTTCTCTCTCTCTCTCTACCTCAAATTTCTCACTTTTCAATGGTCATCTTCGAATGCAGATGTACGCCACCGGACTTCACTCTTCGTTGGAATCTTCAATCGACAAGGCGCCCTACGTGAACGTCATGGAAGACGGGATGGTCGCCACCGTGGGAAATGACGCGGCAGGCCAGGTCAACGACGGAGATCCGAGTGATGATGATGGTCGAAGTCAACCCCCCACAGATGCCGATCCCGCCGCCGCCGGGCCGGAAGAGAGAAGGACGGCGAGAGGTGGTCGAGCCCAGGAAGAGGAGGGCTCAGAATCCTCGGAACAGAGGGGGGAGAGAGAGAGTGAGAGTGCGACTCCTGGTCCCCCCCAGGTGGCTAACCCGGTGAAGATGTCAATAAATCAGCTCTCGAGATGGAATTCAACGTCGACGTGGCTGCTGGTGTACATCGCAATTGTGACCACGTGGCCGCTGGTCGGCTCTGCCCTCCTCGTCGTCTTTAAGAGGAGGTTCAAGAGGGCCCTGCCGTGGCTCAGCAGATAGACTCTCGGTGCAAATGTATCATGCCGATGAAGAACCCGAATCTAGTGGTGATAAATCTCGTTGACTTCCATTTATTGATCACTTTGGGCTGGTATTTTATTTATAGTGGATATTAATCAATTATAGCATCATTTCTTTTTTGGCCCGGAGAAAATAAATAAATAAATTACGAGATTCGCGAAAAAGGAAAATAAATCCCAATGAGGGCGTGCTTTGATGACATATATCCATTTATTTATTTATTTATTTATTTGTACTGCACCTTCTTTATTTATTATCTATCCAAACATTTCTATTTCAGGAAACGTAAGGAAACATTAAACGTATGTTTTCCCCTTCGATGCGCTAAAAGTCAACGTGGAAACCGTAACAAAATAAAAAATAAAACTGAAAAGCCTGTCAATATTATAATTTTATTTTATTCGACGTCGAACTCATCATAAAGAAAGCCGAGCTTTAGACTCTTTGGAGATGAGACCGCCCCTTCTCCCGACAGGTGGCAGGAGACGGAGAGTCGCCTTCAGCAGTCCAAGTGGGCGCGGCCGTCCCGCCGCCAGTTAGAGACCTTCCTCGCAGCATCTAGGACTCTCGCCCGCTCAGTCAGATACCCGCGCAGTCCCAGCGTTAGCTTAACCAGCTCTATCGCCCTAGTGCGTCACCGCGTGGGGATCCAGCGATGGCTGGACTCCAATCTCCATGTCCATCTCCGCGTACCTTATCTCTGCGTAGGCGAATAGGATGCGACTCTCTGCTGCTCGCGTGAACGGGTCGTCGAATGCCGTCGGTCTCCACACGCCCTCTATTTTATTTCCTCGGAGGCCGGAAGCTCGAGCCCAGACGTGGAGTAGCAGAACGATGGGGAAAGGGGCGGTGAAGTCGGAGTCGTTTTCCTTCTTCTGTTTCTTCTTCTTCTTCTTCTTCTTCCGTGCTTTCTCAATCGAGCGTCGAATTCTGGTTGAGGGAGGGAGTACGATGGAGATCGGTGCTGCCGACTTCTTGAAGCATCGTCTTGGTCTGGATCAGTAGCCGGTGAGATTCCAGGTCCTCGGAGCTGCGGCCCCGTCCGAAATCGGTGAGTTCTCCCTGGATCTGATCTTGTGGGATCGGGGGGCCATCTCGAGGGATAGGATCATGTTGCTTTTGCTCGGACGACGACGAAGATTGGATGTGCGATCGACTTCTTCCTCGGCTTCGCGCCGGCAGACGAGTATTTTCCGTCGATGATTTTGCAGGAATGTTTTCCTGCCTATCGCTACGGGATGCCCGGTCCTCGATGAACAGAAGAGGAAGGCAGGAAGAATCCACGAAGAAGAGGACGATCATCTTCGCGGCGAGTTGACCTCCTCTGATGCCGAGTTCTAGAGTAGAAACCTCAGATTTCATGAGACAAACTCTTGGCTCACTCCCGGGAACAGCTCGATATCCTGGACGGCCAGTTCTGCAAGATCAGCTTCGGATCAATTATTTTCGATTATTTCTCTGAATGAAACAGTGGGATCTGGTCTTGGCCTGATGCAGGTCGCCCTCGTCAACCCGGTGAAGATGGAGTACAGACAGACGCTCGGAGAAGATGGAGTACGCTCAGAGCAGGAGATGGCTCACTCCGGTCTTCTGCCCGATAGCCATCGCACAGACCACGACCGATCGGGCGGCGAGATGAAGCAGGAGAACCATTTCAGTCCGGTTCTCCTTCAGGAAGGATCCTCGATCGTCTGCGATCCGCAGGCCGTTCTGAACAACCTCTCCTTCCTCGAGCAGAAGATCCACCAGGTTCAGGACGCCGTCCGCTCCATCATGTCCCCGGAGGAGCAATCCACCGCCGGCGGCCCGCACGAACTGGCGATGAAGCAGCAGCTCATGGCGGCCGATCTGACCTCCATCATCATCCAGCTTATCTCCACCGCCGGAACCCTACTCCCCTCCCTCAGCGGGGGATCCTCCATGACCAGCTCCTCCGCCGGCTTTCTCTGCTCTCCCTCAGCCCTCCACGGCTTCTACACCGCCGCCGCCGCCAGCGGAGGAGAACCGACCACGGTGGAAGATCATCAAGAGGAGAAGGACGGCGAAGGCGACGGCGACGGCTATGGCGACGGCGAGAGCCTCCTTGCCGGAACCTACGAGGTGCTGCAGCTGGAGAAGGAGGAGATCTTAGCCCCCCACACCCACTTCTGCCTGATATGCGGCAAGGGTTTCAAGAGGGACGCCAATCTGAGGATGCACATGAGAGGCCACGGAGACGAGTACAAGACACCGGCGGCGCTAGCCAAGCCGGCGGCGGGGGCGGCGGGGAGGAAGGAGCAGAGCTCCGAGCAGGCCCCCCTGAGGAGGTACTCGTGCCCCTTCCTGGGCTGCAAGAGGAACAAGGAGCACAAGAAGTTCCAGCCCCTGAAGACTCTCCTCTGCGTGAAGAACCACTACAAGAGGAGCCACTGCGCCAAGAGCTATACCTGCAGCCGCTGCAACAGCAAGAAGTTCTCAGTCATGGCGGACCTGAAGACCCACGAGAAGCACTGTGGGAGGGACAAGTGGGTCTGCTCCTGCGGGACGACCTTCTCCAGGAAGGACAAGCTCTTCGGCCACGTCTCTCTCTTCCAGGGCCACGCGCCGGCGCTGCCATTCGGAGAAGTCAAGGGGGCGGCGGGGCCGTCGTACCCGGGGGAGGCCAGCGATTCGGTCCCCAGCGGGGTTGACCTCGACGGCGGCGCCGCCAACGTCTTCAACGGCAAGGACCTTGAGAGCGACGCGGATCTGGGTCTGTTCTCCCCCGTGAGCTTCGATTCCTTCAACTTCGGCGCCGCCGGCGAGTTCCCCCAGCCGGTGTTTGACGCTCCTGACGGCTCCTTCTCCTCGATGTTCGGCGATTACGCCCGGAAGGGTGGCGATAGTTTCACCTCCGAATAGCGCTCTAGTTGACGATAATCGTCGTAGTTCCTTCCATGGTCAACGATGACACTGTAATATAATCATCACTGTCATCGCTATTCACTGTCTCTCAGTAATCTCCTATTTTCTGGCAGTAAATTCTTCGTGTGCTTTCTACCTGGGAAGGGGAGCATCTTCTACAGAAAAGAAAAGGTCAACGTCCTAGAGAAAAATCTCCTATTATATGGAGCATCTTCTACCCACCATACCATCAATCATCAGGGAAAGCTGTGCTCTGAATGGATCCCTGGCAAGAATCACGAAGGTTACTAAAAATTCATCTGACTGAAGATGAAAAAAAAAGGAGGGGTGTGGGGGAGGAAGAAAAACCGGTGCTTTCAGAGAATCATGAACACTGAAGAACTCGGGGGTCAAACGAAGCTAGAGAAAATTCAGCTACAAAGCATTCATGATTTCTACAAGAAATTGGAAGCGCTTTTATATCTCTCCCTTTCTTCTGCCTTGTGATCGGCGTGGGGAGGAACGCGCTACTCTTTCTTCTCGCGGGCAAGTCTGGCACGGTGCCGCAGCTCGGCCCTCTTCCACCGGATGATCAGCTTGACCAGCGTGAGAAGGGTGTTCACCTGAGGAGAGAGAAGTGGGTTATTTGAGGGCGATTTATAACAGGGAATGGGGGGAGGGGAGAGGAAGAGAGAAGGGCTCCACTGACCACGATGAGCATTGATATGAGGAGGAGTGGACCGGACCAGAGCACCGCTATGAAGACGCCGTGAGGGTCGAAGTAGTTCTGGCTGGCAAAGCTCTTCCACTTGCCTGCCAGAACCCCGTTTATCCTCTCAGCGAGCAAAACCCCAGAAACTGCATCATTAACCCGAATGTCATCACATAAATGGCAGTAGAACCGGCCTGTTTGAAGAAAAATTAGTTGTTCTAAGAAAGGCCAATAAAGTTTCATCGTGGGCTCATAATGTCAACCGGCGGGTCAAATGATCCATGTGACAATATCGAGGGTTTGGTCAAGAGGGATTCCATAATTGCTCCAGACTGGTTCTTCTAGCTTGTGCTGGTGCGCTCATGGAAGCCATCTGGGCAGAATTTTAAACTCAATAAAATTCTTTCATCTCTTTTTTGACTGGTAGAGTCTTTATGTCGTCAATCCCATATAATGGTTCATGTTTAAGATATCCTATTCAAGAGGTGATGATCTTTAGTTCAAATATATACATTTTTTAGCATAGTTAATGCCTACCCGCACAAAATTTACCTCCATTTCTATGATTCGCGTCAGTCAACAACCCTATTATTTTAAAATACAGATAGAAAGAGAAAGTGCTTCAACAGATCCTGTACACTACTGTGTTAGGTAGGCTTCAGAGGCCATTGCCAATGAAGATTTATAGTGAACTTAGTCTACATGACAGCGGAGTAATTGCCAATGAAAACAAAAACTTCTTAACAACAGTTAGATAAGAAACCGGAGGGCGTGATCTGCCAAATAAAATGTGACAGACTGTGAATTCAGAAACTTACATGCCATGATTGATAAGCCCAGTTGAAAATTTACATGCTTCCTTGAAATGATAGTGATCAGAAGCAAAGTGGCATGGAAGCATAACAGACCAATCAGCCAAGGCTCCTGTTTTTGAAGTAACATCAAGAAGAAAAAGAGGAATTTCAGAAGCAATACCATGCATCAAAAGGTAAGAAAATGGGAAGAAAAAAAAAACCAAGTGAGGTACAAGAAGGTGCATGTTTCTTTAAGACAAAATTATCAGATTTATTATCACTAGAGTCCAATGGCAAAAATAAGAGGCTAGAACCACATAGATCGCGTACTGATGATCATGAAAAATGTAAGAGGACAAATGGTATTAATGAAACCAATTTCACACAGCACATAAGAAGCACCTCCTCTCCCCTAAAGTTCTTCAGTTGACAGTCTGAACAGAAATATTTATAGACATGACATGGATGGAAATTCATCCTCTGACATGATGCGCTTTCTTGATATATGAAATTACCAAACAAACTTCGTTCTACTTGAAATCCAGAGAGAGAACACTTTTTATTTATTTTATTTTTTTCCTGTTGTTGTTATGCTCATCAATGCACTAAACTACAATGCCAATATCATTTATTACGTGGTCTTATGCCCGCTCCTACCAATAAAAAAATTATCCATATATTATGGATCGCATATGATCGTCACATAACACCGTAAACATTAAAGATTCTGCAGGTATTTAAAGACGTAAATCTATATATTTTTTTTTTTAGTGAGCCAGGAATTTTTTACTCTCCGCTGAAGATCTCCAATTACTTTCTTCTGTGCTGTACTCTTGAATGCAAGGAAAGATAGAACGAGGTAAAAGAATTGACTGGACCATTTTTTCAATCAGCTTGCAAAATTAATGTGCTGGACGTCAGGTGGTGTGAATTGTCTTATAATAAACAATCATAACCAAAAGCAAAAACTCTTGTACATCAACTCCATAAAAAATATATTTTCTACTTTACACCTTGCAAATATCTAACAAATTGCAGGAATGTTAGATAATTAAGTCATAATATACACCAGAAAGAAAGCTTCATGGCGTATTTTTATCCTTACCATTGCGTCCAGAGATATCACGCACAGTCTAAAAACCCGAATTATCTTCCCCCCAGCTCCCGCCTCATATTATAGGTGAAACTTCCTAGTGATACAAGTTGACAGCGTACAACAAGGATGATCATTACGCTTATGATAACGGCGACGGCAACGACGGTGAATAAACACGAACATTTCTCTGCGGAAACAGTCATATGTTTCAAACAAGACGAATGCAAGTGCATTCGGTGATGTAACTATCATGTCCCTTCGGTGATGATCCATAGCCCCTTACTTTCAGATTTCAGAATGAAGATTTCCACGGCAAGGTGCAAGAAAATCAAAGTGATAAAAACATCCAACACGGTCAAACCTTTCCAACGAAGTGGAGCTTCTACACATGAGGCAATGGCCGAAGAAGGATGAGGACAGCATCTACGAGTGCCCAAACTCACCTTCCAGTCGATAGCGTGGAAGAACCCGATGAAATTGTCGTACGCCGGGCGAAACCCGCTACGGAGCTCAGCGGAGAGTTTCTCGACGAGACCGGCGACGAGCTCCACGTGATCCCTCATGGCAGATCTCAGGTCTTCCATGACGCCGGCGATCGATCGGAGGACGGGCGGAGGATCTCAAATGGAAATTGAAAAGTGGAAGGTGCAAAAACCCTAAATACCCCCTGGGGGTCAAATCCCTGTGTTCAGGGAGCTCTTCCAATCAAATCGCGCCACGCAACTTCGTGTGCAGCGCTTCGCAGCATATCCTCGGTGATCCCGAAACATTTATATTTTCATAATGCCCCGAAATTTATAAAACGATAGCATATCAACACATATTTCTTCGTAAATAAGATTAACGGGCTATAATTTTAATATAAAAAAATAGGAAACCAAATTTACACGTGGCATGGGCACAGCAGCATAAAATTTGTTCATGCATTTATTTTTGTAAATGTTTTTTTAACTATATTAATTACTTTTATTTATTAGTGTAAATAAATACTTTTGGAACCCGTGGGATTCTCCTTCATTCGGGGGTCTCTCCAAGAGGTCTCTGTCTGTGCGTTCATGGCGAAGTCCGGCGGCGCCGCCATGCGGGGGTGGACGAGGACCGCCACGGGCTACCTGGTTCCCCGGGGCGGGGACACGCTGTGGTACGCCATCGCTGTCCTATCCATACTCTCACTGCTGTCGTACGAGCTCTCGCGGCGCTCCGTCCTCGCGGCCGACTTCGAGGGATTCGATGCGGAGGAAGACGACGAGGAGTTCTCCTCGCCCCAGCCCGATTTGTTCACCAACGCGCCCCTGTCCCCTCTTCCGACCACCCTCACCCAGTCCTCCCCGGAGTCCGACCACGGGCCGCCTCAATCTGTGGAATCGCCGCCGCCTGAAGCCGAAGACCCGTCTCCGCGGATCGATGACGCTCCCAAACCTTCCGCGCCTTCCACCATGTTTGAAGAATGGGATGAGGATGAATTCGAGGGCATCCCGACTCAGATCGCCGAGGAGATCCCTTCTCCTGCCCCGGAATCGCCATCTCCAGATGCAGCACCTCCAAAGCCGGTTCTCGCTGTCACTCGTGGATCGTTCTTTCGTCATTACAGCATTGAGATCTCCTGCGTCAGCTTCCTGATCGCGTTTGTTATTAACTACTTTACCGGGAAGAAGGAGAACGAGAATATAGCCCTTGCCTGGGCGGCGAGATTCGCCACCAGGGATACAATCTTTGAGAAGAATTTCAGCCTCCTGGGGACCGGCGATGGTAAGGACACGCCACTTTTGTTAAAGGAAGCGTCGGATATTTTCAAGTTCTATGCGAGCGGGCGGCGATTTTGTCAGGGGCTACTGGCCACGATCGAGCTGCGGTCACGGCACGATTTGATTTCGAGGATTCTCGATCTGTTGCTCCCCAAGCAGGATACTATTACGTTTGAGGTGGTCATGAATGATGACGCTATGGACCAAGTGGTGTTTGCTGTAGCAAAGAAGAAACTAGCCAAGGTGATGCAAAAAGAGGAGCGAGACTTGCAGAGATACGCAAGTGTGTTGGCAACACCACCTGCTGGCAGAAAGTGGGTACCTGACGAACTTCTTGTTGTCTCCGAGTCAAAGGAAGTTGCGGGGGATCTGATCACAGAAGCTGTGCTGGATCAGGTGCGGTTAATTCCCTTTTGTACTACAGCGAGTTTCGCCCTTGCAATAATTTATGCATATCTTTTAAACTAGACAGAATTCTTTTCAACTTCTTGATGCTCCATATTTGTATCTTTTTTTTTTTATGAGGCTCAAAGTTCTTCTTAATTTTCCTATATTGTTACCGTGAGAAAATTGGATAAGGGGTAGCCACCTGATGACGACATTTCACTTTTCAATTAGACAGCCTTCTAGAAATGTTGAGAAATTGTAATCTGAACTTTTCTGTTAGGAAAGAGACCAAATTATACAAAGTGGGGAGGGGGGGGGGGGATTGGGGTTGCCTGATGGCCTTCATTTCTAGCTTGTCATTCAGAAAGTGAGGAGGTGTATGTGGCTGACTGTTATTTTTTCGGTACTCTTACGTTTTTCTTCATTGTTTAATAATTTATGGAAAATCACTGGAACTCTCCCCTTTTCGATGAAATGCTGTAAATAAGATGCTCCATATCATAACCCAAGGTTCCATTTTTTTCTGGTCCATAACAATTGTTTCACGTGATAGCTAATTATGAGTTTTTAATTTATTGAGTGCATAATTTCCCACCAAATCGATGGGACAAACTTTCCACCAAGTGGTGATCTGTATGTTTTGTGGAGGTTGAAAAATACTTTAGACAAAGCGAGATTCATAAATTGGCAGAGCTTTTCGGATGCCTTTAATATACGAAAAGATCAAGAGATGCTCTACTTTCTTTAAATAGTTGTTGTTGATGATAGTCAGATTTTGCATGCTACTTATGGAGGATGCTTACGCAGATCAGACTTAAAGTTCTGAGGCACAATGGAAAGCATACGACCTTCTGATTTAGAATGATCTTTCTGAGAAATACATTGTTAGTCTTTTTAAGGTCCAACTATTATCATTCTTCAAGATATCTAGGAGTATTAATTGTAGTGGTGATTTCATTTGCTAGAGTTTCTGGCACTACTAAAGGGTGGTCACTGGTCACGAGATATTAATGGAATTAAACACCATTAGTTTGATCTTATTTAAAAACATTTATATACCAGATCTGGTCGTATTTTTGCAAAACTCAGTTCTTGACTAGGTAAGTAATTGTATAGAGAAAAACGTTTAAATTATAGACATTGAAAAGATGGGGCAGCAAGTGTTTATGCTACATCTAGAAGGTGATTGGTGAATATGTGCTATATTTAAGGATTTAAAAACTCGGTTGGATCAGGTCGGGCATTCTTTTGATCATATTTTCGACTAGATCTAGTCACCCCTATGCAACCATGATTATTTCTCATCCATACAGTTAGATGGGAAGAAAGGAACGCAGGAAATAAGAACAAAAATGACAATTTCATGTGACTTAATTGGATGGCTCAGAGAGTTTTTTTTTTTTTTTGTTCTCAGAGTCAATAGTTGTTCTTTGATCGCATGTAAAACGTTTATTTTGTCCACGTTAGAGAGTGAGTTCTGAATAGTTGTATATTACTTTGCACATAACAATGGGGCTACTCCACTGGTCGTCGATTGGTTTTGAGTTTGATGGCTCAACAAATTTGACAATGCCCATGCCCATGCCCACGTGAAAGTTGAAGATCAATCCTGCCTGCCACTTTCTTGTTCCTTGAATATTACTTGGTTTAATGAACATTTTGAGAGATTGTAAAATATCTCACAGCGTAGGCTTTGCAAGTTAGAAGATATGGCTATGTGCTGCCTTAAACAATGCAGGTCATTCCCCACGCTGAATAGATTCTCTGTATGTTGATCCTTCTCATTACTTCACCGCAGCATCTGTAGAATAAACCCTTTCGGGTGCTTGAGAGTCTTCCTTGATTCAACTAAGGCCTCAACAGTTGATGGATTTTGGTCTAATTGGGATGTTTCGAGTGAATAGGTGCTCTCCATAAGCTTGAGTTTGAGGATGTTCTGCACACTTATACAGACCAAAAAAAATTTAAATCTCACAATATTTATGTTGAGCCCTTTATTCGAAATATAATTACTTTTTTTGCATTATTACTCTAAAAAATGGGTTACTAGCTAGCTAAATAATTGTTGTGCCTTTGGTAAGTTAGATTTAATTCTCCCAAACGGGTTTTAGTTGAATGCTGTTCTTCCATTATTCTTTATTTTTTATTCTTTAAAATGTTATTTGCCAAAGAAATGCCTGACGGTACAGCAATGAGAAAATAATTTGGTGCTCTAATCACGATGAAATATCTTCATAGATTAGAAGAATCTACTCTGCATATTTCTTCATCGACCATTGTGTTCGGACTGTTGACTTCACACGAGGCCTCTTGGCAAAAAGTATTGGCTTTTCTGATCTGTGAAGCGTGATGACCTCAAAGAGCTGCTCATATTATGAGGATCTTTACCTTTTTGGACTTCCTCAAAGAGCTGTTTAGTATGGGGATCATTAATTTCTGGGGCTTAATCTAGTCGGACAAGAGTACTAATTCTGTTGGCACCAGATATATATGGAGACTGATGAAGAACTCCTCTGGTTGAAAGCCCTGTCGGTTTTTAGGGTTTTTGGGGCACTTTTGACGAAGTGAAAACCTGCTTAGTCTTCTTCACTCAAACCTCCTGGATTCCATGGTCAAATGCCGGGTAGTTAAAGTCAATTTTCTGTCCATGCATTCAACGAGTATATTCAAGTAAATCCCCCGTTGACATTATCAGCTGGATCCAAGATAGTAATGGTACTTTTGACTTCTCCGCAGGTTTTTGGTGAGAAGGCATTCAAAGCATTCGGAAAGGGCTTCATCTCGATGCACTTCTCCGATCAGTACCAGGGCTCCCCCAAGAAACTGCTCGTCTTCAAGTTCCTGCTCCCAGACGCCAGGAGCATGACCGAGATGACCAGGCTGGTGACCCTCATACCCTACTACATCGATCTGATCGGTCGCTACAAGCTGAGCCCGCAGGTGGGTCGTCTCCGTTGACTCTGGTTTTCAGTTGGACGGGTCGTTGACTCTGCACGTATTTTTATTTTATTTTATTTTATTTTATTTTATTTCCTTTCCCGTTTCCGGGGTTGTTGTAGGCTCGGAGCAAGACGGAGGCCGCCCGGACGAAGGTGGCCCAGGAGGCGTACAAGGAGCTTCAGAACGAGAGGCAGGAGGCGCTGCAGAGGAAGAAGGCCGAGAAGAAGAAGCTCATGGAGGCGGAGGCCAAGGTCAACGCGGAGGCGCTGCGCAGGAAGGAGGAGAAGGATCGGTCCCGCCAGATGAAGAAGTCGATGCCGAGGGTTAAGATGCTCCGCACCCACTAGATTCTCCTGCCTTGCAACGGGGATTACTTATTTCCTAGGTCACGCGGGGGGGGGGGCTCCAGTGAACGACGACGGTCTTTGGCTCGCAGTATGGGATGCTTTATTTATCTGGCCATAAATCGAAGCGAAATCCTTGCCATGTTCTGTAGGGGTCACGGAAGAACAGAAGAGAACAGAAGAGAACAGAAGAGAACAGAAGAGATGGCTGCTCCTTCTCTCTCAGATCCTCGCTTCTTTCCTTGTTTCTTTCTTTATATCGTTGGAACTTGATTCAGAAGAAAGCTCGGTAGATTGACGAGAAGAGACTCACAGTCCGTGAGGTGGTCGGGGGGTAGTCTTCTTTCTTAGTTCGTCTCAAGTTAATTATGCCCAACAAGAAAAAGATTTAGAGAGAGAGAATGGAACTGAGCTACGCTGGATGTGGTTTCCTGTTGTAGATGGATGGCATTTACATACAGTCCAGGACTGGCCCCTTGAATCCTCAAACGTTGACTTAGTAAAGACACTGAGAGATCCGATCTGGTACGCAAGCTGACCAATAATATTCTTGCGCCAGTAGTCGGCTCAGGAGGCTACAGTTGCCCCAGATCAGATCATTATTAGCTATCGCTCCAGCAGCGCTGAGCGATATAATAACCAGCACCAGTCTTAGAATGATAAGAGGGGAAAGAAAGAAAGAAAGAAAGAAAGAAAAACCCTAAGCAGAGTGCGAAATGAGAAATCCCACCTTGGGGGGGCCTCTTTCTTCGCTGCCCAACTTCCTGAGGGAAGCGAAGATACTGCCGGAATCATTGTTTGTCTTCCTCCAACAAGAGATGAACGATGGATCTCACCACTTCATTATTGGTCACCTTGGCCACCTGAAGATCACCCTGTTCAGTCAGCTTTGTGCCAGACACAGTGCTAGGTTTCGATAATATAATAATAATAATAATAATAATAATAATAATAATAATAATAATAATAATAATAATAAAGAACTGAAATAATTCGCTAATTAGCAACAATAGAAAGGCAAAGCAGTAACGGGTAAAGAAAAATACAGCGCTCGGCTTCTTTGGGTCTCTGATCAAAATGCGTTATAGAGAAATCAAATGGTTATCAGATACTCGTCTGGGTTTAGGAGGAGTTCCCCAAAGCGAAAATCTTCAGCTATTAAGAGACGAAGACGAATCGTTTCCAGGACACGCCAATGAATTGCTCATTTCTAGGACGCATAAATGGTCAGTCAATGTTTTATAATACCTTCTTCATGCTGATGATGCATCAATATGAAACCATAATTACCTCTGGCTTCCGAATCAATTCCCTTAGAACCGCATGTAGTGTTGAACGAAGCTCTTTGAACAGAACAGCCGTCTGAGCTGACGCTGTCAGTTTCAACCAACCATCTATATTGACCAGTCCTGTCTGGATAATGAGCAGCACCATAGTGTCTCAAGAGTTCAGATACACAAATATGACATAAATACTTGAAATCAAAACATAAATATATGTCGGGGAATCAAACCCTTGATTTTCTAGTAAATTTAATAAATGGATATTCCTCTGAACATTAAATATTTACCACAACTTAAGTAAATGATACCATACAAAATGGATTTGAGCATTCATAGGATGAGACTTTGATAGTGGCAAACAAAATCAGATCATTCTGAATGCTGCGTGTGACGGCAGAGTGATCAGGTCATGCACTGGACATGTGCATGCATCCATAATGACATGATTGATTCACACCAAATCGCATGAGGGATGATCGACAATAGGAACAAAATGAAAAGCACCCATCACTGCGTTAACTTTCTTTTTCACTAGGAGATAGATATATTTACTGGATAAGAAACGAACTGAAAAGTGAAAGAAATGGATCAGAAGGTTGGCCAAAGTCACTTCTTAGCAATGAACGGACGTTAGCATGGGGCTGTGGAAACAGTAGGACTATGGTGGCAAAAAGCCTGCGAATGCTATGTTGGAATAGAGGAAGGTTTCTGGACAGCATGATTAGTAGCAAAGATGTGTTTCTAACAACAAGTAATGCGCAACAAGGACGTTGAATAAGTGCGTCTCCATAAAAACATTGAATAGAAAACATCACCTGGTGTTGAATACTGATGGGGCCACCAAACAGCAGAATACAGTAGGGCGAGACAATGGTGGTGTCACGCAGAAAAACTTTGCTGGTTTCAATCTGTATTTGTGAAGAACTGTGAATCAGGGTTGCTATTATGTTTCTATTTAATGGCTAAAATAAATTCATGGCAGCTAACCAAGAATTGAACATCAAATGAATGAAGACATTCGATTGCAATCACAAGCCAAAAAATTCCATTTCCGCTACTTACACCGTATTCTGGCCTAACATGATTAGTTGACACCGTTTTGTATAAACCAGGAAAAAAAAAGAAAAAGGAATAACTTTGAAAGAGGATCCAAATGGCTGAAATGGTGCAAACCTTTTCGAGGAAGACGAGGAAAGGGTACCGAAATTCTTTTGCATTATGATTTACAGACGACGGATGTATGTGGACCACTCTTCTTCCATCGTACCAGAGAGGCTGTTCCTTTGAAGCGATACTGCTGGAAGATTCTCTAATGCTTCCTTGTGCAGGCCCAGTGATTCCTACCTCAGTGGCAGCCACATTAGGATATAGGCCTGCACATACGATTGCCTGCAGAAGTTTACACGTCATTACAATGAAAAAAATTCTCAGACCAAGATAAGGCAAGTGTAAATCAAGCCCAATCACAATCACAATGAGCAGACTTTGGGCCCAAAGTAAACAGTGATCACAATAACAACAATACAATTAACAATGCGTGTGGGGTTTAGTAGATGACAATGTATCAAACATGCTTCTAGTCTGTGAATGAGGTATGTGAGAACATATAAAGAACGTAGAGGAGATACCCTTTGAAACAACCAATAGTCAAATAAAAAAGAGTGGCATATGATCTCACAAGCTTTCTCTTGTTTTAAAAAAAGAAAATTAGCGGACAACCTTTACCACTGTGACAGATTGGGATTAAATAACCATGGTAAGCAAAATCTATAACAGGAAATTATGAAAATATTATGCTGCCTTGGGGTGCTTACCCTTACTATACAGTAATGATGTGAATACATATTGAATGGCTGTGAAGCCTCAGTGAACCATCTGTCAAGTTTATCCTTCATTTTACCCCCTCTCTGTTTGAAAAAAGATATTGCTCGTTAGATCACAAACCAAATGAAAAACTACCTCAAAATATTTCAAGGAATTGACATCAGTTCAATGAAAAACTACAATGCATATTCTACCTTTTAAGAAAACGATAGGTATATACAAAAGGGAAAACAACCTTTACTATTTCAAAGAAGTGACTACAGCTTAGTGACAAACTAGTTATGCAAATGAAATTTAATATATTCGACTGTTTTGAAAGTGAGTGCATATTTGAGATTTGAATCTTGGACACTCCAGGAAATGCCCATGCTGTCTCTGTCTGTGCATATGGTAATGTTGAATCCCACGCGCCTTTTCCCTTTAGTAATGATCATGAGGATAATTCTCAGACTTGTATAACAAGACCAAGAATGAAAGAAAATAAGGAAGTTGGATTCTTCAGATTTCTGAAGACCACTGAAGTGGCCATATCAGCCAATCGTTTTGAGAAGGGACTGCCTTTTTATAGTCCTTTTTAATGAAAGTGGGACAGCCGAAAAATGTGAGCCTTTATCTATGAACGCATGCAGTTTTTACACACCTTCTTCAATGATTGAAAGACTACAGAAAACTGAGAATGAGAAGAAAAGAAGGCCCTTTATATCTGTATGATTCAAAATATGTGTCAACCATACAGATAACTTGAAAGCATTTAAATCATATGAAAAGATGCGTGATTTTGGTTAAAAATATGACCAGAAAACTTGTTGGGAGATCGACAAGTCCAATGTCTGCTAACAAAGTCCCAAACTGTGTCCGCATGTCCCTGTAAGACAACCTCATCATATTAACCCCAGGAACATAAAGTAATCAGATTTTCAAAGATAGGAAACTTGCATAACTTGCAGATGGATACATGCCTATCAAAAATTTGAATGCTTGGAGCCTTTTTGACAACAGTGATAGTTTCGTGGGAAAATGGAAAAAACCTCTATCAAAAATAAGGTAACTCATGTTTTCGAATAAATTTTAAGAAGTCCTTGGCAACAAGGCAGGCAGGCCTCTAACCGACAGATAAAAATATATTACATTTGTGAGAAGAAAAATTCACAACAGGCATGCTAAATGATTACGTAAAACATAGGGTCTACTTATTTTATTCTCCAAAAGCGTATTTTAGCCCTTCTCTCGATCGGCTGGCTCAGCCTTTAACTCATAATTTTCATTATTTCATTTTTTAGCCATATATATAAATGTTTAGAGGGCTGTGAATAATTTATTTATCTTAAGGTTGATGGAAATCCATCCTCTTTGATCTCCCCTTGTACTTACTTTTTCATACAAACTTTTTCATTGGGCCATCCACTAATCAAACTATCATCCACAAAGAATAATAGTCAGTATGAACAAGGATCATCACATGTCACTATTACAACCACTTAGCTCATTAAACGCATGGGAGTAATCTCTGCCATACACCGAGAAATTACACTGTATCCCTCACTGGAGTGTATGTCATCATCATATGCCTAAAATGTCATGAATAAAATGACATCTAGGAGCAGTGGAAATTGCGGGAGAAACTTATAAATAGGTTGGTTAAGTTGTAGGTCGGTTTCCTAACTTGGTTAAGTTGAAAGTTGTCGGTCAGTTGTTTGGTTCGTGTCAGAAATCAATCAAATTACATGCTTTTATGACTTAATCATCCCTTATGACTTAATCATCCCTTGTTTTCTCTTGCAACCATTGCGTCTTAACACCACCAAACTTGATCCTATGACGATTAGAGAAGTTTTCACCAATAAACCAACTTAAAGGTTACGGATGCTTCAATTCTAAGACAATGAAGAAATGTCTTGAAAGATGTCACTGTTTCATTCAGTCAAAGCTCTTTCTAATCTACCGAGCGATTTCCTCACAAAGAGTATCTAGAATTCGCAGCACATTTCCTTCTCTGGTTCCTTTTACCTTAAATAGCATCCTAGAAAAAAATAAACAACATGTCAACGTTTTAATGATCATCTCATGAGGTTGCTATGCCTCCACGCTCTTCGTTAAATCCTCACATGCATATTCAAGAACATACATACGATCTTCTCAAAGGCCAACTACGGATCTTACAACTGCGGTGAGGGAAGGGGTTCGAAAACTAAGAAAACACCCAATCTTCCAATTCCAGTTACTCATTTTTATCCTCTTTGTGCTTCTTATCCTCATCTATTTCATTTAATTTAGGATTAGCGCATGTGTTTATGAATCGTGGAAGAACTATAAAAATAACTCAGGAGAAAGTCTAGGAGTTCAAAACTTATTCTCGCATGAACATTGGTTCCACTAAACCCTCTTCTTTCATCAGTTTCCACTAAACTTATTCGTTAATTGAGTGCTACAAGAGTCAGCATCTAAAGAGATTGGCTGGCATCCTTTCCTTTGTTGGTTGTGTGCTGCTTGCACAGTAGCATCTCATTCACACGAGTGAAAATGGACAAGGTCAATCCCCTCTATCTTTCTCTTCTCAGCCATAAATCAAAGGTTTAAGATTTTGGATTTTTGAATATCTTTTCTATGGTTTATGAGGGCTAAGATTCATACTGGGCTTCATGATGACAAAGTTCAAGAGTAACGACTTAAGCACTGAATGCCGTACAATTGATCTTAAAGTTGTTGACAATATGATAGATATCGCTTCCTCTATTTATTTATATTTCTTTGGTTACGGGTAGAATAAAGAGGCCATTGAACTTGATACAAAGTATTTCAACTTGATAGTAATTTAACTTTGCGCTTCCTCGGTTTTTATCAACCTTCTTTTGGGAAATAGTCATAATAAATACCTAAACTTATCTATAACGTTCTTTTCCTCATCATTGTGTTTTCTAAACAAACAATAGAAGAAGGAAGGGTCTATCCAATGGAATCACGTGGATAATGATCCAAGATTTCAACATATGTATATAGGGCACAATTTCCTAGGGGGTCTATCTGACATACCTAAGAAATTTTGCTCCCTTCACGTTTTGAAGATATCATATCATTTTGCTCCCTCAATATCAAACATTGCAATTCGATGCACATTGTAGAACTCAATTTGAAGTCCAATAAGTTCACGTTCAACTTTAACTGACTTGTGGATGTCCCTTCTCTTGATTGCTATCGATTTTCATAAAACATTATAGATGATTATCTACATCATAGTAGTGGGAAATAACATACAATTAGGAGTTTGGTTCTTAGTTAGACCGTTTCCTAGTTTGTCGGTTTACTAGTTGTTAGGCAATTTCCTTGGTTTGTGCCCCTGATACTTGCACATAACAGTCATCTATGATGTGAATACAAGTTGCGTTTTTCCTCTGCAAATCTTCCTAGGGCTGGCACCACAGTTCACGACAATACTTGGCTAAAACAATCAAGGGGATTAAGTTTCTTGACTCATCTGAGTATATTGTTTGGATGATTCAAACTGAATTTGAGAAATATCGGTGAGCCTTTTATATAAATAATGCACATGAGTTCTTTACATGGCAAGATTTTCTTGGAGGAGTCATCTTGTTTATATACCTGTAAGCAAAGTCGAGTGGCCTAGAAGAAAAACAAATTTGTTTTGGAGAGCCCTTATTCTTTTCTATTTAAAATGTTTCTAAATTTTTTAGGTTGTGTTATTTTTTACTGGTGCTTATGTTTTCAATACTATTCCCTCTCAGAGTCTTGAGAATAAGTCAAAGTTTCCTATTTAAAAAAAAGGAAAAATACGAGTATTAACACGGATACAATTGAGTGTTGACATCTGTGCTAGCAATCGGGCTGAAGTGCCATCACTTGACTTTCAAATGCCAAAGCCTAAAAAATCGCAACAATAAGTCTGACTGAAGTACCAAGACATAAACTAGAAAAACTAGTTACTTTCTGGTCATTGAAGGAAGGAAGAACTTTCTGCAACAGTTAGTTGAATACTCTAATTTATGAAAGACACAAACTAAAGAAAGATTGCCAAATTGGCAACAGTCCAAACGTTAAAAAGATTCCAAGGCATGGAAAGATTCTTCTCCAGATCTCAAATTATTCAAAGCACTTTATCGTCATTTGAGTTGTGGCTCTAAATATCATGTCATACAATCATCTTGGAAGTTTTGTAAGCTGTTTTTCTTGTAATCTTTTGGAATCATATAAGGTTGCTAGAAAGAAAGGCCAGAAGGTATTGTTGAGAAACAAGATCAATTGAGAACAGACAGATTTCCTCTTTCACAGAGGACAGGGGTGAAATGGTGGAAACCACCTCAACCCATCATTGATCTCTTACACCCATTAAAAGGAAGTAAACCATATAGACTCTTTTCCAAAATACCCTCAATGCTTTACAATATTTTCCTTAGAACTTTCAATACTCCCCCTCAAGATTCACTTTAGAAAAGTTCATCTTGATTAAATCATTGATGATCATGCTGTTGCTGGAAAGAAATGCATGATGACGACAATCCGTTGTGGTACCAACTCCCTTGTGACGGTGTCAAAAAGCTCCTCTACTGGGATGTGACAATGTGGGACTGCTTTGTTGTATGATAATGCTGTCTAACGCGGACTGCGCAAGATGGTGCTGAACTGTGCAAGACGGCACAGAATGACATCGGATGACGCTGGATGACCTTGGGACACTCGAGATGGCACTGGACAGAGGGCAATGCCAAACAGAGGAGGGGCGAGGTGTATGACACCAGAGGGAGGTGGAGGGATGGCGCTGGACAGAGGTGTATAGCACCAGACAGCATGGACGGCAGCGGTGGGAACTCTGAGAGACTTGGTCACCAAACTAGGAAGGATGTTGAATGAATGCAGGATAGAGGCCAATAGATTAAGGACAGAGGACGGTGGACTAAGGAGGACAGAGGACACACTGGACATCAAACGACACTGGACGGAGGAGAGACAATGAGGGACGGCATGGGATGATGCTGAATTGGGTGGGATAATGCTAGACCGAAGAGGGACGATGTTGGAAAATGAGAGATGACGCCGGACAGAGGATGAACACTGGACTGAGACAACACTTGATGGATGATGACATAGGATTGAGGAGGATGCCGGATGAATGTCGGACACAGCGCAATGTCAATCACATGACTTACTTTATTATTGCTATCTCACACCATCATGAAGATTGATGATGATGTCAGCATTGAGGAAGAATGCTCTTCTGCTGCTAGGATTTCTGCCCTAGCTGCTTTGTGGATAGGCAGTGCCGGACAGGAGACAGTCTTGGACGAGATGCAGCCCCGGACAAGGGGGATGCCAGATTGGATGCGGCCCCAAATAAGGGCGGCGTCGCCAGACTAGATGCTGCCCTGGACAAGGGCAGCATAGGAAGACCAAACTGTAATATAGTATTATCTGAATCGACTAAACTAGGCCCATGGAGATTCCTTCGGACCATAGAGAGATTTCCTGTAGGTGACAGACTAAGTTGGACTCCCCTTCCCCTTAAGCAACAAAACCTAGTGGTTACTCCATGTAAATCTCCTGTTGTAAGTCACCATGAAGGAACGCACTCTTGATATCTAGCTGATGTAGAAGCCAAGAGAACCGGACAGTCAATACCAAGAAGATCCGTACTAAAGTAATTTTGGCAACTTGAGAGAATGTCTCAACATAATCTTCACCATAATCTGTCCAACATTCAATTTGCTTACTTTCAGAGGGAGAAAATGGTGGAAGGACTTCTGATTAAATATTAAACCCAAGAGAATGCGAAATAGTCAAGTCAAGATAGGACACTTTGAAAATCTGCACACAACGTTTGTGATCCTCATCTTCACATAAATGTATATAGTAGTACATGTGAAACGTGTCATCCTATTGCCAAAGATATTGATTATTCCCAGATCTCAAATGCTTATTACTCCTTTTTATCAAATTTAGACTCTATTTTGATACCTTCTATACCAATAATAATGTTCTGAAGGATCCACATTGGGTCATGAATAATCTGAATCAACATAAGAGTTAAATGGTTGCAGCCTTTGTTAACCTTGATTATCAATAGATGAATTTTTTGAAGTTCTATGGACATATTATTTTATGGGAATAGCCTTACCCTCTTTTTCATGTCTATTTTCATTGTTGGCACCAGTCACTGCATAGTTTAAGATGCTTTCCCCCTTTTTTTCAAACTATTTTTATTTTGTCTACCACAAGTTCAACAAGGGGGTTTTTCAGATGTATTCTTCCTCTCTTTCTATTATGCCTTTATTATCATTGTCTTCCAAGTTATATAAATTTTGAAGTTCTAGCAAGAAAAGGGGTAAAAAGGTAGATATCAATTGGTTGCATTGAAGGTCCACAACAAGAAGTGCATAACCGATCCAATCCTGTGGTAACAGTTGTTGACAATGAGATGAACCATTATGGTGAACATCACCACTGTTTGCCACACAAGGCTCATAAATACTGATTTTGCATACTTAATGTGAAAAAAAGAGGGCGAGTTCCAATTGAAGCCTAGGACTTAGTGAGACAAACACCTTTGTTATGATTCAATATGAATATCATGCTCCCCTTTGGAAAATTTCTGTGATACCCCGTTGGGTACCTTAGGTCCCTTAGTCCACACCACTTTCGTGTAGATTAGAGCTCTTATATACGGGGTTGCTTCAGAGCTGAGTGTATATATACGGGGTCCCTTAGTCCACACCACTTATGAATATTCCTGACTTTTTTATGGTCAATGGTTACATAGTAATATTCACCTCCAAAGAACAATGATAGACGGACAGTGGATGAGGATCTTCAACTAATTTTGCTGCCAAAACCAATGGGAAAAGGTTTAACATGTCGTTTTCTTCATAAACAGCAAGAAGAAAGAAAGCCCAGTGCAAGTCAACCTGTCTTCAGCTAACAATAAGGGCTATGCCAGCCAATCTCCCCTTTTTTGTTTGACAATGCTTTAGAGCTACCATTTTCAAAACCAATCCCTCATTTTCTCCTTAAAGACGTCACCTCCAAAACAAAATAGATCACATGTTCCCCCTTTTTTATTCATCTTTAAAGCATATGTCACCAAACTTCAATTCTTAGCTAGACCAAAGTGCCATTTCAGGGTCAGAACCTTACTGTATATGGATGTAAGGTACATAAATTCCGTAGGTTTTTCACCTTGCATTCATAACTTCATAGGTTTAAACCATCTATTCAGCATCCATTTCATCATCCCTACTGGATCATAAATTACATTCAATTAATCGTGCTAGCAGGATTCTTTTTAAATTCGACATCTATATTGGTATAAAAATTAATATGTAATCATCACTTAAGCATTAAGGTCAAAGCCATGTGATACTTTTGTTCAAAACTTTAAAAAATGATGACGTGAATGCTGCTTTGAAAATCTAAAATTCTTATGAACTATCCCAGTTTCATGGAAAAGAATGATAGAAGAACGCCTAGAAAAAGAAGGCTAAGTTTTAGCTAAAAAGCGAAAAAATGACTGTAAGAAAAAATTAATGAACTAAATACTAAATCTTTGCACAAGAGCATTCAGCACAAGGAATTTACCTTATCATGTACATGATTGAAGAACTCAAATAATATGAACGACAAAAATGCTGAGCAGCTTTTGCTCCCTCCTGAAAAAAAATATATTTTAGAGTTAACAGGGAAATAATTGTACAATCCCAAAACTGAGAAAGAGATCCGTTTCAGCAAGTAATCAACGATTGCCAACAGAATATGCAATAAAAACCATCAATAATGACAACTTAATAACCTCATGCAAAATCTTTGACCACTTGCTGTATGCAAGGGCCATTAATAGGTGGTCAGAATGCCTCGCTCCCTCATTTGTATCAGGTAATCCATCAACCTTACTACCCAACAACATTAACTTTGCTCTTTCACTGGTTTCTTTCTGCAGTAGAAAAAAAATCATTTATTTTAGCGGCCACTGAGACAGGCTAAACCATTAGATAAAAGGACTGATTAATTGTCACCTCATCCTTTGGAGTCACAAACGGTGACTTGTGGCTTAAAAATGCTGCAACTGAAAGAATTGGTGATAAACAACTAAATAGCGCACCATACAGCATCATCTATAAAGAAAAAGGAGAAAATAAAGAACCGTCAAAGAATATCATAACAAATCAAGACTAAGAATAAATAAAATGATAAACGTTTATAAACATTCAAATGTCTTGGAATTTAACGTTTTGGCTGTATAGGTAAATCAATAACTTGGAGATGTACACAAAAGTGACTGGTTTTGATATGTGTGCATTGGGATATGTTATTCCAATCCAACTATGGCACTACTATTCAAAATGGTATAAAAGTTTAGAAGATCAGTTACATGCCGCAATATTTTTTAAATTGAGAGAAGTGGTACAATGGTAGAAAAAATGCAATGAACGATGCAGAAGTGAGCATTGATGAACATAGATGAGATTCCAGGCTTTGCAGTTCCGTAGCATAATGTTCTGGTTCACATAATATGGTCTATCGATAAATAATGGGCGATCAGTACGAGCAAATGTGCACCTTGAACGTTATACTGAAAGCGTATATCTTCATAGGACTGACCCACTACAATCTTTGACAATGTCTTCTTACTGTTAAGCAGTAGAAAGATGTCTTCTTGCCTAACTTACCAGCAGAATAAAGATGAAACAATCTCTTAATTCTTAGCAGCAAGTGGACGACAGACATGTGAACCTCTTATACTTATTTTGTTCAAAGGATTGCAAGAACAAATTCAACAAATGGATGAGACTACGACCCAAGAAACAAAATATTAGGAAATATTTAATTTTCGCGGTACCGAGTGATAGATTTAGATAACACTTTTCTTGCCACCTTCTTAATGAAATCAACGGAGGAAACAAGAGTCAAAACCTTTCCAATCAGGACATCGACAGGAAGCTTTGCAAGATGATAGCCAAGAGGTGTCATCTTCTCATCACCATCAATGGCTCCGACCTGCATCATGAAAATAAAGAAAAAATGCAAAGTTTTGATCATCCAATGACATTAAACAAAATGAGAGTTATCTATGGAGGTTGAAAAAAAAGTTTGCTTATGTGGTGACATCAATATGTGAATAGTAGTACAAGAATGTACTCCTATCAACTCTCAATTAAATAAAGAAAAATCTTCTATAAAAGAGCAAAAACATGTACCAGGATATTTCATAGACTCTAAATATCTAGAGAAATGCCTTAAATATTTTAAGAAATTAATTAAACTATTACTACCTCACACAATGTACCAATTGCAGATGAAATTGCCTCTTCACGAGGTGGTTCTATTGCCTGGAAAAAATATGTAGACGTTTGAAAGTGTTAATTTTCAGTACATGCAATTTCTGTTGAAAATAAGCCAGTAGCCCAAATCATTAGTACAGAACATATTTACAGATCATTAGTTAAAGAAATTACTTCAGCTACCTTAGCGCAAGGTTTTTCTTCTTACCTTCAACAAAAAAGATCTTATATCACCCAAAGCAAGTGATTTTATTTGCAGAGATACTTCAGTTAATGGTACTCGTAGAATCTCAGGTACCTTCACAAAAAATGATAAAAGCTAAGAAAATGAAAATGCGTTGCATGCATTAATGTCCAATAATAGAAAATGCTTTATCAGCATATGGCCATAGAATACTACATACATTCAACAATTGACGAAGCAACTAGACCATCAGAGGATACAATGAAATAATATTATATAACTTGGACTTGTTTCTCTCTTGTGATAACGTCACTGGCCATCTAAATGTTTGGGAAACATGTTTTTTCCTTTGTGGTATTCCGCTTTTAGTACAATCTTGTCATAGGAGCACAGAAAATCAACAACACACATAGGACAAGTGGGGGAATTGCCAACTGGAGACCTATCCATAGTCTTCCAAAACAGATGACCCAAATCGTTGGTTCATTGGAAAGACTAGATAGGTTAAAACGGAAACAAAAAGATAACATGACAATGTTAAAGTGTATGCCTAACTGTTTTTTTCATTAAAAAGGCCGTTGACAAAATTACAAGGCAATCCTTATAAAATCCCCTTCCCCAGACTCAAAGCCCTATTGACTCATTGACAGACATAGTGCATGGCAACATTGAGTGGTGGCCCACAGTGATTCCCAGAAACTCACCCCATTTTCTCGTTATTTCTTCCACCTCTGTCCTGTCTTTTCACTCTTTTTCTACCCCCACACTCCCCACTCTTCTTCAGCAAGCCACAAATGTGACATTTACAATAGTCCCAATTTCTGGCACATGGGAAAGGACGTACAAGTATTGTTTACCGTTTAGGAGTCCGGTTCGTTACTAGACCGGTTCCTAACTGGTTGGCCGGTTCATTGTTGGACCAATTCATAATTGCCTTGCGGGGCTGATACTTGTATATGGCCAGGCCCGAGCCAAACTTGAACAAGTGTGAGAAGTCATAGCAGGTTCTAAATTTGTCTATTTAATTTCAAGAGGACTCGGATAGCCACCCTTAAACTGCAACCCACATAACCAATTATAAACCAAATAGACTTACTTTCCATGGCATGTCCCCACCACCTACGATCCTGCATCTAGAAACAAAAAGATGCCAAACAGCAATCGAGTTGGCTCAAATCAAAGGCAGATCTCTTAACTATATTGGAAATGAAATGAGTGCAACAAACTCTTTTTAACTCTTTTCAGGTTTGAACAAGCCGACAGTAAACTTAAAATTGACCCTAGTCCAGAAGTTGCCAACCAGTTCCCAACCGGAGGCAGCCAAAAGAGAAGTCTAAAACATAAGAGTTCTTGCCTTTGACAGGTCCATACGATCAAATAAACCGCCCAGAAAGGAAAAAAGGAATGCTGATGGACATCCTCGACAGAGAAAAGTGGACACAAGCTCTACTGTTCTGACTGAGAAAGAACTTCTAAGACTCAAACTTCCTATATTAAGTCAGTGAGGCAGGACTTTAACAGAAAAGTTCAAGCAGCATAGGAATTACAAATGTGGATTGACATCACATAGAAAAGTTCAAAGTTAAACAGTCAACCATTCTATTGATATTCATGAAAAACTGCTGAGATGAGTGTATTCGATCATCATTAATTAGTCATTAATGGGATTTAAAAAGTTAACTAAGGCCATAAGACTAGCATATCTTATAATTACACTAATATATCTGAGCCAAGCAATCGGCATTGGATGTCATACATTAAAGGCTCATGTTATCATTACAGGCTCTTAGAAATATTGTAAACATGTTGTCGGAATTAGTCGTTTTTTTAATTCTTTTACTGTAATATTTTCTTTATTACTTAAGTGTCGAACCGGACCGGACTGGTCCGGTTCACCCCCTCTACGATAGGTCTGATATAAATACCAGACCTGAACGATTAATGAAGCTAAGCACCTCTTATTTTCCACCTTCCTGGCCGGGATAAGGATTTTGGGGATTTCTTCGCCTGTAACACAGAACTCAGCGCATGTATATAGAAAGAGCGAGATAGAGAGAGAGATGCTTGAAGAGAAATCTTTATCTTGTGAGCCTTCATAAGAGAGATAGAGAGCACTCCTAGGGTTATGGGGGGCATAGTAAGTCCAACCCAATGAAACATAACGGAAAATAAGAAAGAGCAGTCATGCAAATGTTGGAATGCAAATTGAAAAACACCAATATTGAAAAAAGAAATGAGAATAAACATTAAAAAGATGTATATGATGCTTCCCAGGGACCTGAAATGATTGCATAAGTTGTTCAAATCTGTAACGTGTATACAGGCAAAAGCAATTTCCAGGTTTCACGCGCCCAGCTCTTCCTCGTCGTTGTTTTGCATTTGCTTGAGATATCCAATCTTCTATGATGCTTGTCATTCTCTGGAATTTGAGAAGATTTGACCACCATGTGGCATTAACAATAACAATAATGTCAGAAGTAGACAGGACGGAAAACATAGATTAAAACATAAGATACATTTGAAGCTTTTCAAAAGCCAGAAACAAGGTGGATACTTAAGAGGTCCCAAAGGTTTGAAAGTATATCCACAGCAAAGAAGAATAAGTGCCTACAATATATGCAAGAATCACCGCAAGAGTAAAAATAATTAGCCACGTGAAGTTACATGACACCAAGCTGTAGTAATGCAGTATGACAACAGAAAACTCATTTAATAATTTGATGAGGACATGAAGGTCTGCTGACATTGTCTGTAACTTCTGATCCTTGTGATATATCAGAAATCCTATAGGCAGGATTCTGTCTCTTAAACTTCATATGAAGCAAGATAAGAACGGTGAAAATCCAATATTTGAATAGCATTGGGACTTTTAAGGAAGCTTGCATGTGAATGGGGTGAAGGTCTATGGTGCAGAATTAAATGTTATAAACCTCAAACACAAATAAATGGACTAGATACTGGAAATAATGCCCATCTTTTGAGACTGAATTAAACAAAATAAAAGACAAGTAATCTAGAGGATGACATTGATACTTCATCAGCTAGCAAAGCAACAAATATCAATGAACCAGGTTAGAAGACCATTCAACACCATTCACAATAACAATAGCCAGCTCTCGTGTATAATACAAACTCCTCTCTAAATTACAGAAGGAAGATGTGTGTATTGCCAAATCATAAAACTCCTGCTTTGCTAAAAAGTCATGATGAAAAGGTAGCAGCTCTAAGACAAGTTCTTTGGAATATTTCGAGTTCTCAACAAAATCACATTGATGTCTGATACCCAAGAATCAACTCCTTGAAGTTCACCTCCTAACACTGGAAAATATGTCATCACTTCAGTCTCAGTGGGACTTTTTTGATGTCAAATATGATTATAAAGAAATAATGACCAAAGGGGAAATAAAGTAACGAAAACTAACAAACCAGAGGACACATAATTTAAAAAATGAAATTTATTGAAAGCATCGAAGAAAGCTACATTAAAATGCACACCTTTTGAGGATTATAACGGTTTTCCTTGTGCTTCCCTGAGTCGATCACATAAATTATGTCATCAATCGTGATGCTGGTCTCTGCAATGTCTGTAGCAACAATAACCTATAGTACAGCAAACAAAGAATTTATCTATGTTTTTAAATGGTTGAATTGTCAGATATTTTGACAACTATCATCATTCTAGCCCAACTTCTCAGCACAAGAACTGCATCAGCGTCCAGGTTCAACTTCAACATGTAAGTGCCCAAAGATGGATGTAATTCCCAAAACAAACAGATACGGAAAAATTCCAATCATCACAACCTTTAAAGGTGACCATCTTCTATTCTATGTTTCTCAATCCTTCTCACTGTTTTCAGGATAACATAAGTGAATTAGCCAAAAATGGGAGAGAAGAAATCTCAACGTATATAAACAAATACAAAACATTAAAGCACTTCAACACAAATGGTTTTTATAAGCTGTATTTCATTTTAACACAAGTGAAAAAATTGGAGGATAAGAACCCAACTTATATTTTTTATATAATTTGGATGTGAATTGAGAGACATATATGAGAACACAATTTGTGTCCTTTTAAAAAGGTCGGCAAAAAGAACATACCATATTGAGAGATGCATACAAAAAAAGGATGCATAATTTTCACAAGTATAAATCTGCTGTAAACCTGACGACATTAATAATATTTTAAAGAATACAATATGCAAACTTGACAATCATGAATGAGGGCAAAAAAAATCCGAAATTTATCATGCTACTTCTACACACAGATAATAGATTTAGCTGGCAGAGAATGAACCAAGGCCAACAGTCTTTAAGGAAATGGAATGTGAAAAACCAAGGACAGATCATACTGCCTTGGTTATAGCTCAGATCACCCTGCCTCCAACTTCCAGAAGTCTATGCATAGGACTCTTTTAAAAAAGTTTACTTCCTTTACAACCTTTTTGTTGAATTTCCTCTAGTTCTTTTGTTTCTTGAAGAAATGACTTCAAGATTCACTTCCATCGAGACAGGGATCTGTTATTTATAACAGATCCATGGGACAAGGTTCTGGACACAGCCTTACATCTTGAGACATAGAGGTGATGTTCACATGCTTCTTTAAGCGAAGTATATGATACACCTCACCACAACTGCTAACACAGTATCTACACTGTATTTCAATACTCCCCTTCAAGCTGGTGAGTGGATATCATTCATTCCCAGCTTGGAGAGCACTTGTTGTAGTTGAGTCCCAGAGACACCTTTTGTTAGTAAATCAGTCAGTTGATGTTGAGTGGAGATCTAGGGAATAAAGATTTCTTTAGGCTCCAAGTTTTCCTCCATAAAGTGACAGTTTATCTCAACATACTTTGTGTAATCATGTTGAATATAACTGTGCACAAGATTAATTATAGATTTATTGTCACAATAGAGCTTCATACGACCTGAAATGGAAATCTTTAGGTCACTGAGTAAAATCTTTACCCAAAGTAGTTCACATATTCCATGCGCAAGTGCCCTGAATTCTGCTTCTGTACTTGAGCGAGCAACAACATTCTGTTTCTTGCTGTGGCAAAGTAACCAAATTTCTTCCTAGAAACATTATAAGGCCTGAAGTTGGCCGACGATCTAAAAGAGAATCAGTATAATTAGCATCAGTATACATCCCAATTGTTAAGTTACCACCACGTTTGAAGAGAATGCCATTTCCAAGAGTTCTCTTTAGGTAGTGTAACACCTGATATGTAACATGAAGATGTGATTCAGTTGGCTGATGCATGAATTGACTTAAGAGACTAACTGGATAAGAGATGTTAGATCTAGTGTGTTTGAGATAAATCAATCATCCAATAAGACGTTGATATATTTCTCGATCAATAGACTCCTCCCTTTCACCAGCACTAAGTTTGTGATTACGATCAAGGGGGGTGCCAGCTGGTTTGCATGCAGACTTTCTAGTATCCTTTAGAAGATCTATCACATACTTTCGTTGAGAGATGAATATGCCCTTAGAAGAATGAGTCACCTCAATGCCTAAAAAATATTTAAGACAACCGAAAGTCTTGATATCAAATTCCTTGGCAAGATATTTGCTCAAATTTCCTAATTCAATGTCATTACTTCAAGTAATTATAATGTCGTCAACATAAACTATGTGTATAGTAATTCCCGCTGATGAAGAATGTTTGAAAAATAATGTGTGATCAGCATTACTAGGACTATAACCAAATTTTCGCATGATAGTAGAAAATCTCCCAAACCATGCACGTGGAGACTATTTCAGTCCATACAACGACTTTTTTAGTCTGCAAACAATGTTATATAATAAATTTCCTCCATAACCAGATGGATATATATATATACTTCATTAGTAAGATCCCCATGAAGAAAGGCATTCTTCACATCATATTGATGGACATTCCAACTAAGAATAGCAGCTAATGGTCAAATATTTCTGACTGTGTTCATTTTTGCCACAGGATAAAGAGTTTCATGGTAGTCAATTCCATAAACTTGTGTATATCCTTTAGCTACGAGTCTGGCCTTGTGCATTTCAATTAATCCATCAGCATTGAATTTTATAGAATAAACCCATCTACAGTCAACTGCCCGTTTATCCTTAGGGAGAGGTACATGCTCCCATGTATTATTTCTCTGAAGAACATGCATCTCATCATCTATGGTTTGTTTTCCACTCTTTCTTAGAGAAAGCTTCTGAAATATTAACTAGAATGGTAATATTAAACAAGGTAGCAAAGAAGGTTATGATGGAGAAAGTTTATGATAAGAAATAGAGTTCGCTAAAGGGTATAATGGGTGTTTTGTACAAGCTCGTGGAGGTTTCCTGAGGGTAATAGGAAGGTCATTGGATTGAGGACTGGTAGTATTTTCTGTAAGGATAAATGTGCTTTCTTGATCATTGGTTAAGGCCAGTTCGAAGTCTTGGGCTAATCCAGAATTTGGACGTACTCATGTCCTGGAATAAATCCGACTAAATCTAAGTTTTTCAGGAAGTCGATCAGGAAGAGATGGATTTTGGTCAAACACATAAATTTGTAGGATAATTTGATCTGAAGGAGAAGAAACTCCATCTAGGAAAAAATCAAGAAAATGTGAAAATGACAAAGATGTGTCTTGAGAGTTTTTCTGGAAATAAAAAACAGATTTATGAAAGGTAATATCTATAGTTGTAAAGAATTTTTGAGCTGGTGGATGATAACATCGATACCTTTTTTGAGTTGTTGAATATCCAACAAACATACATTTGAGGGATCTTGGATCTAATTTACCTTTAGCTAGATTATGATTATGAATGAATGAGACACATCCAAATAGCTAACTTTTCCATAGGACTTTGAAAATCCAAGGTTCTAGTGAGAAGACGATTTATTAGATATGTTGCTGTTAAGAGAGCTTCACCCCAAATTTTTTTGGGTGCACTCGCCTGGAACAAAAGTGAGTGTGTAACCTCCAAGAGGTGTCGATTTTTTCTTTCTGCCAATCTGTTTTACTGAGTGTAAACACATGAAGACTCATGTATAATACCCTCAGCCTAAAGAAAGGAATTTAGATCATTTCTAAAGTATTCCTTGGCATTATATGACCTGAATTTCTTTATAGGATTATCAAATTGGGTTTTGATCATTGCACAGAAACATTTCAACACAATTAAAACTTCTAATTTCTGCTTAAGAAGAAAACTCGTATGAAATGGGTACAATCATCCACGAAGGTAACAAACCATTTATTACCTAGTAGATTTATAGTGAAACTTATGGTCCCCAAACATCACTATGGATGCAAGAGAAAGGAAAACACGAGTATATTTGGACAGTTCACATATGTCATACTTAAGTGTTTTTACAGACACCTTTTGAAACAAGGAAGGACGAAAACTCTTTACAGTAGCAAAAGAAGGATGGCGTAATTTTTGATAAAAGAGTTGAATGTGACTCAGATCCTTGTGATGTTCTAGAAATGGATCTGCTTCCACAAGACATGTTTGGCTGTTGAAATACAGTGTAAATATTGTGTTAGCAGTTGTGGTGAGGTGTATCACATGCTTCACTTAAAGAAGCACGTGAACATCACCTCTATGTCTCAAGATAAGACTTTGTGCCTAGAACCTTCTCCCATTGTTCTATTATAAATAACATATCCCTATCTCGATGGAAATTAATCTTGAAGTCATTTTTTCCCTTCCAGGAAAAGGTCTGTCGTTCTTCAAAAAACGAAGGAACTAGAGGAAATTCAACATGGTATCAGAGCTAATTTAGGTGTGATTGTTCCTTTCTTATTATCTCTTTTTGTATAAGAGATTTATGTTGGTTCTGTGAGCCTCTTCTTGAGGACTTGGAAGATCAAACATCATTTCTTCAGCCCCTTCTCAAGGCGTTTCTTGATTTTCTTTTGAAGACGTACGAGAATTACATTTTTTCTGCTCAGTAAGCAGTTGTTCCTATTCTGATTTATTGTTTTTCTATGTCTGGAGGAGAGACCTCAGTAGGTGACGTCTCTACCACCATTATGGAAGTCAATCTTGTATCATCAAGATTGATGATTGAACTCCCTGCCATACCTATGGAATTTAAGTTGACTGGATATAATCTCATCCAATGATCAGAATCTATTAAGGAGGTTCTTATTGGTAGAGGGATGCTACATCATCTAGAGAAAATTCAACACTTTTAACTAGAGAAGGGAGTGATCCTAGTGCATATCAAGGATCAGAATTTCGGAAGAGACCACAATATAGAAGGGACCAATCTGGATCAATAAACTTAGTCCACATTAGAAAAGCAATAGAATGAAATACGTATAATAACGAGCTAGACCAGTTAGCGAGTTTAACAATATTGCATTTGAAGTCTAAAACAGGGTGCATTAACCTGAACATCAAGGATAAAAGGCAAAAGACAAGTACATGGAACCTCAAGAGACTGAAATGAACGAGTGAAAGGCCCTTAAAAAGAAATATCAGACAGTTTACAGCATGATAATGCAAATACTTGAATATTTATCCTAAGTTCTGAATCTGAACTCAAGCAAAATTGCCAGGCATAAACATATGGATATAGTGATAACTTCTGAATCATTTCCTTGGCATACGGATACAGTGATAAAATATACCAGAACTCAAACAGCAAACCATAGTAAGAAGTTGCATGATCTGAGTGAGGGAATCACAGGTGGATCTAAATGCAACGAGTAAATTTTACAGAGGACAGTTACCTTCCGCTTATTGCAAGGTGGTGACAGAAACACGTTTCGTTGTTCCAAGGATGAAAGGGATGAATGTAAAGGAAGAATCCAATCAGATGATGAACCTCTAAAATGGTAGGAACCAGTCAATTTCTCAATTAGCATGTAAATTTCTGCAACACCCTGTAACAAACCATGGAAGGAAATGAACAGAAATCATAGAAATAAGTGCAAAAAACTGACAAGAGTTGTGTAGTTTCTCACAGGAAGAAAAACGAGGATTGCACCAGGAGGACAATTATCATCGATGTAATATATTAAGTCTTCCAGGAGATCATAATCAGTTACATCTTCATTCAACCTTTTCTGCATGAGCATGATCTTTGTGAATATAACCATTATAACATGGAATAAGATTATTTTAAAAGCCAAGTATATCACCAGGGAAGCCCACCAGGTTCTTCTGAGTCTGTTCACTGTACTGATCATAGGAACTTGGATTGTAATAAGGATTTACATACTCATCAAGGAGCAATGATTCATCACCCCAAGAAGATAAAACAAGATTCTTCTTTCCTCTGCTGTTATCCACAAAACTCTGACCAAACTGGTCCAGAAAAAAGGGAAAACAGGAAGCAAAAAAGTCAATCATGAATGAAGAATATAGATCTACAAAGAATGAGTCAAAGCATTGAATGGAAAGATGAAAAAGTTGATGATCCAGTTTTTATAGGTAAATGATACCTGATGCAAACCAAACATGATGAACAGTCAGAAAAAGTATCCATGTCTCGTCAATTCAGAGAGCAAATGCTACTTATATACGATTAACCTGACCCCCAAAAGGGAAAACTACCTAGGTTAGTGTAGGAGACACCACTTGTTCATTATAAAACACTCTCGCCTTGCCCAATCATTCAGCTCTTGCGCAATCAATAAAAAATAGCCTTTGTATCAAATGAGAATACAGTACTAGATGTTAGCCTCGACATGGAAAATCAATTCAAAATTTCAATTATAGTTTCAATAGATTGCAAAGAAATCGAGAAATAAGCATTATAGTCTGGGAAGACAAAAATTCCAGTATTAATGGCAAGATAGTCAAAAAATAATGGAAATCACACACTCTACACAATTACTGAGCTCTATGCTGCCACTGATGCAGGCGTATAGCTGCTGTAGCTCGATAAATAAAATCATAAAGAAAAGATAAAGTATTGACTCAAATCATTGTTGCATCCTAATTAAATAGTGGCCAATTCTTTTAGAAAATCGAAGGGCTTCAAAAGAAAAACCACCACATTACTATCATACACTCCAAAAAAAAAGTATTCTATTAACGTAACTCACAACATCCTAAAATCAGCTAAGCCTCCAAAAGCACGGCTTCCAAAATTGGATGACCGCGAAATTGATTAGGTCCAGGGAAAAATGATTTATTCAGGTAAAACCAAAATAAAAGGGTAAATACTATAAATAAAAAAGGGAAACAAAGACAAAGGTTTATATTTTGACTTTTTCGAAAAACCCACGTGTTGAATCCCTTTTCCCCAACCCTGATGACCTATCCTCCACATCAAAGTCATTAGCGGCAGAAAGGCTGTTTCTTTTCCTTCTATTTCTTTAATCTTCTTCTTTCTCTACCCGCTGCCAGCATGGGCAGCTATTCCTTCACCTGCCTTCTTGCCCCACCATGGTTGGAAGGCCCAATCACACCGAAATCAGGCAATCCAAGTGATATTGGCGGATTTTAAATTCATCAAACTTTTTTCCAATATCAGGGGAACAGATTTGCCTTTCTACATTTCAATTGTGCATAAGAATTGAAAACGTTTTACATATCACCAGATATAATGTATTTTAGCGTTGATATATATATATATATATATATATATATATCTAGCAGTATGTGCATCCAAAGATGTAGAAAAGAATTATCTGAAATTAAGGATGAAGATCAAACAGAACTAGTCTTGTAATTGCTGAAACGTAAATTTAACCTTTGCTTTTGTAGATTTATAATGTCTTCCCGAGGAGGAAGAATCTGAAGGGAGGGAGTATTTGAGCTTCTCATAGATATCTTCAAGAAAGAGTGTCGTGACGGGGTATGTTCTTCCTTCTGCCGTGATCACTGGGCAATTTCCAAAGTACCTTGAGAATAAGCTTGAATCAACTGTTGCAGACCTGTCGCAAAAATGAGATATTAGAAGAACAAAAAGGCACAAATCAGAAAAAAAAAATGGCATCAAAAAGTATCCAAGAAGCTGAGGCATCATGACAAGAATCATACATTAGAACAACTTTCAACTTGGGTCTCCCACTGGCAGCTTGCCTCTCAATCAGGTTTTTCAGAACAATTAGTAAAAAGTCCCCCTGAAAAAGAAAAAAATTGAACTGGGATATGTCAAAGGCTGATGGCTGAAAAGGAGAATGCACAATCCAGAGAAGAGAGAGAGAGGCCCCATGCGCTCACTCTAATATCATGTACAATTGTAAGTGAAAAAAGTAGGGGAAGGATAAGAAGAAGAGCAAAGAACTAAGGAAACACTAAACTTCGGAGTGAATCTGGTTCACAGGACCGCAGGACCATCCATAAGTTGCATAGATATGGGTTTATTCAAAGTCGAAAGTCCAGTTTATGCCATCAAGTTCATGTATCTGATATCTCAACCAATGAAATAAAATGTATTATTTTAGCATTGCCCCTTTAGCTATACAAAAGTACAGATATTCTGAGCTAGTTCAGTGCGGAACTCAGTTGATCTCCGACTTTCCCATAGGTGAATAGATCGGCAGGTTTCTCTTAATGTGACGAAAGGAATATAGAATTTACTCTGAGTCTAGGTTTCTATAAATGAATATTTCCCATAGGGTAATACTTATGTATTTTATCTTGATTTATAACATTACGCATTAAATAATAGTGCGATCCATTATTTAGAATAATGGATCCGATTTTTGGATCCCTTTAATACAGAGTAACCGGATCCCTTTAAACAGGATCCCCGTTTAATATTTGATCCGTTTATTGGCCCATTAAGGATCCGGAATATTTATATCGTAATTTCGTCAAATTATCCTCCGTATTTTATTACGGATTATCGTGATAATTTATCTCTTTTCTCTCTCCTGTTACGGATGAACGGAATGGAAAATCATGGATGAACGAGGCAAAAAATAATGGAAGAATGAAGACAAAACAAATGGGAAAATCTCGTGGAAAAAATTAAAGGAAAATAGGGATAGAAAACGCAAGACAAATGAGGAAAATGATCTAAAGAAAAAATCGCGATAGAAAACAACAGACGAAGGAGGAAAAACAGAGGGAAGAGCGCGATGGAAAATGAACAAGAAATCACAATGGAAAAAAACCGAATAATTGAGGAAAAAAATGGAAGATTGCGACGATAAATGAATGGAATCTCACGACAGAAAAGGAAGAATGAATGCAGAAAAACAAAGCGCAACTCTCAACGGAAATCGAAGGATTTTGACAGCCAATTAGCAAGGTTTTTTGGCCCTCTGCAGCTTGTGAAATCTAAGGAGAAAGGAGAGATTCAATGCCTGAAAATCATCTGGATCTTCGCGGGCAAATGAGGAGCTTGGCAATGGAAAATCACCTGGATCTTCACTGGAAAAACGAGAGTTTTTTTTTAACGGTCTTTGGTCTTCACTGAAAAACATGAGTTTCAACGTCAAAGAAGCTCTCAATCTTCACCAAAAATAGGAAGAGTTTTGACGAAGTATCTCTTGGTTCTTCGACTAAGACAGGAGGAGAATGACGACAAAAAGCTCTTGGATTTGTGCCAGAAACAGGACGAGAGCTGAGCAAGAAAACCAGCACATAAATCACGACGAATAGAAGAAGCAAGAGAAGAAAAAGAGAAAAGAAAGAAGAACGCCTTGATTTACTCCACTGACTCTTGGTCGAGAGAAAGAAAACAAAGACAAGAGAAGGAGAAAGGAAGAGGAAGAGAAAGAGGAGGACGAACTATTCCACCATGCCGTTCCATCCTATCACATCACCTTCATCGGATCAAGTCTGAAGAGAAAAAGAAGAGAAGAACGACAAGAAGAAGAACGTGAAAAGAAGAAAGGTTTCGATCCACCACGCTGCAACAATCATGATCAACCATGCAAAGAAAATATTCATCATTGGGTAATCTCCTCTCATTTTATTTATATTAAATTATGGGGGATAAGGTTTCCCTAGAACCTGAGATCTAAGAAGAGAGAAGTGGGGAGTTTCTCTGATTTGACCTCCTAAAGTTGTGGAATCTAGAAGAGCGAAGTGGGGAGTTTCTCTGGTTTTGGCCATCTAAAGCCATAGAATGGCCAGAGCTGTGAAATCCAACAGGTCACCGAGCCTGGAATTCCGAGGACGGAGTCCTTGGATAGTGAGTGTAAGTTGAGAGGACCAAACCACTATAGAATTATCATGTAAATGTGTATATGATGATTCCTAAGAAAATAATTTTGTGAAAAGAGAAGAATTGAAAACTGAAAATAGCATCAACTCAACCCCTCCTTGATATCATGCTGGCACTTGAAGACCAACATTATGTACTAGGGTTGTAAGCATACACAACATTATGTACTAGGGCTCTCATAGATAGAGGGTTGTAGAAAATGGCTAATATTTGATTTCACATTCTGGGGAAGGGGCCCACTCAACTTAATCGACCAAGAAGGCGAGCTGAAGCATACACAACTTTGATGGGTACTATCTTCAGAACATATTTTCTTGAAGGATCCTAGTGAGTTGAATTATTAGACTAAGTTATTATTGTTGTCAAACCCAATAATTTGCCGATGTTCCCACTTATATTCATGATTATTCATGTCTATTACACCAAATTGACTCTTATCAAATATTTTTAACTCGCCTTTCTGCAGGGATGAGAAAAGATCCTCTCTCCTTCATGCACACATAGGAATAAGGTTTCTCTGCTTCCTCTTCCTCCTTTCTGTACAGATACAACGGACTACAGTACCATCCATGTGTTGTATGGATATGGGTACCAGGGTATATGAGTCAAAGTAAATAAAATAGGGTCCTGAATGACTTGCACAGTCTTATATACACCCACTAACTCAAACATTCAAGTTAAACAGGTTCTGTCAACAACAAATTCTACAGAAATGATCCAAACAGAAATAGCGGAAAAGGAAAAAAAATATTCTCTATGAGGGCATTGTAATGCAGACATGGTCTGCAGGAAAGGGCCTTTGCAGGCGAAACTGTGGTGTGTGTCACAACAGCAAGATATTACCAAGGGCCAACTACACAACTAGTGCAGAATATCCATACAAAATTTGTCAAACAGAATAATCTTTGACAGCAGAATTAATGGTAAAAGAATTGAAAGAATTCATGATAGCAGTAAAACTAAATTGCAAGAAAATGATAAACTTACTAAAAGTGACCGTTCATGTACTTCATCAAGAATCACATGGGTAACGCCAGCCAAATCCTTGTCACCCTATAAGAAATATGACAGAAAATTACCGCAAATAATGACAAAATTAATTTTGACACAGTGCAAAATATCTTTAAAATTTTCATCGAATGAGAACTTGACTGTCCAGAAAGTAGAAACAAGTGCAACTAAATATTACAGTTTCACGAATAAGCAAATAGGAGGTAGTAGAAAGATGTGATTTGATGATAGAATGCAAAGCAATACTGTGATCACATCTACAGCCTGAAACCATTACTCCTAACCAATATCATTTTACATGTAAAATAACAATTTATTAAATCTCAAATATCAGTTGGCAACAAGATGTCATCTCTTAACAAATAGATGTCACAATTCACAAGAGGCTGATGATAATTTTTCGGTAGGAAAGGATCCCATACAACTCATCCCTTCCAATAAGAACTTCTAGGAAGCAAGTCTTACATCAGAATCATAAATTTGTATTGAAAATGGCATCTTCAGTAGAGATGCCAGATCCACATGTGAAAGGTAGATGGATTTATTTGCACCTGTACTAATAAAATTTATGAATTTCATATCCCTTTCATTAAAGCAGTATGTATTTGTTCATTCCTCATATATTTTTCATTTTTTTAACATTAATTGGGCAATTTGACAAATCCAATCTGATGTAGGAAAGATAGCCTGGAATCTGAAAATAACTTTTGTTTCATAGGCTTTACTCACATTGAAGGGTCTTGAGCAATTTTGATAGTCAAATGCTTCGGAACTTATAAGTTCACTTGTAATCTTCAAAAAGCAAGCCAAAATCGTTTCCCTAGATATTGCAAAAACAAAAACACCATTTTTGAAGGCTAAGCCCAAACCAAATCCATATCTTTGAAGGGTTAACCAATCCCGTTTCCAGACATTGTCAGTTAAAATTGGGCTAGAATAGGTGGTGCCCTGGGTCAGCTCAGCCTGATGACATGCACTCTAACACTCAACGAAATATCTTTTAATCATTTGAAATTATACTGTATTCTACAATATGATTCCATTTCGTCAAAATGAATTCATGGACCTGGCGGTATGACACATGCGATATAAAATGATGCATACTATATATTTTTTTTCCAATATAATTTTCCAAAAGAACCACTTCAAAATTACAAGTAGAATTAGAACAGGTAATATGAAACCTACAACAACCTTTTTGACAGAAAAACATGCAAACAAAAAAATAAGTCTGTGAAGAGCCAATCCCATAAGTTATGTCGAACGTGAAAAAAAAACCACAACTCACAGAAAGTTTGCGAAGAAGAATTCCAGTTGTGCAAAAGAGAAGCTTTGTTCTCTCATTCCTGAAATAGGTGTTCCAAAAATCAAAGATATATTAGACATCATAGTCTGCTTTCAATAATAGATCAGCTAAAAATGAGCTAATACGCGAAAAATATCAATGAATAATAATCTTTGAATGAAAAATCACTGCATCACTAAATACCTGAGAACAAACAGAAGGGTCCTATAGTCAACAAGCCCAGTGAGACATTACCGTGAATATGAAATATTGTAATTTTTAAACGATATTTTTATCATGCTCAGGTAAAAAAAACACAGTTTTGTTATTAAACAGCCCCTTGATAAGAAAAGTACTGCCCGATTGAATACTATACCAAGAGTTGAAGGGTGAAAAAAAACACCGCACCAACTCAGTTATGATTTTATTTTGACCAGCAGCCTTAGCTTTGACTCCTAAAAGTCTAGCTTTAAAAATATCTTACGGAAATGCATTCCCCTTAAAAGAGCTTTAACAATGACACTTAAATAAGATCAATGCACACCAATAATCATAATTATGAACGCACACGCCTTTAGGTGTGTAAGCTGCCCAATGGATATTTTTTAAAAACTATTTTGTCAACGGACAAGAGTGGACAAGAATCCCTTATAATATGAGAAGGAACAAATCTTCCATTTGAAGAATCCCAAATTTAAATCTCTTTTTTTCTTTCTCTAAAGTAATGATCACGTGGTACCATTCACTACAGGACCAATAATTATATAAACTGGGCCTAGCAATCACGTCAGGAAACATTTTGAAACATTAACATGAAACTGCATGCTGACAAATTTTAGCATTTATAATTGAATACGGGTTATTTTTGTTGTCTCATGTATACTCAAGTTAAAATTGTAGCACTAGACACATTCAATGTCACACATATGGGTCGTTTCCATGAGTCATACAAATGAGCATCATTACATGCAATGCCCAGACGTACCTTATGAATGAACAAGAGAAAATAGCAATCATACCAACGTCCTTCAATGTCTTTTTCATACAGAAATACTCCTGATGACTCATTTCCTCACGAATCCAAGACTCAGTTTACAGACTCATGAATGCCAATCAGGTTGGACTCTCAACAGGCCTAATTGATGACAGTAACCCCCTCCCCCCAATCCAAAAAAACATAAAAATTATATTTCGATTTGAATTAGTTAACTGGGTAATTAGAATAAAGGGAGATAACAGGTACTCAATTAACAAATACCAAAAGAATGTACTTTGAGCTCTCGAAAACGGTTTTTTTCAGCTATGGGCTACACCAAGACGAAGTAGACGAGACTAAATCCCAAAATTCTCTAAATAGCATATTCACGTCATTGCCACAAAAAACCCTCACCCACTCTTTGACCATATACCCTCAAACCGCATCATCTAAAAACTTTGCTTCTTACAAAACTGATTCATTTTCTCGCTTCAAACAAACCAAAAGACCAATGTGGACGATAAGCTGCCAAGTCCTAAAGTCTTGTTTCAGCATACAATGTACATCTTACCAGCAGTCATAAGTTATACATTTGATATACATCTTACCAGCATACAATGTACATCTTTATAGTTAATGATTACGTGGAGCTATAAACTTTCAAGAAAAGGGAGCCAATGTGATAGCGATGCAAATAAACACCATAATCGTAGCACAAGTTAATTCCTCAGATTTGTCTGCTGGACGTGTCTCCATAGTCAACGTGTTTTTTAAATAATGTTTGTAAAATTATGGGATTATCCTCAGAATAAAATTATTTATTTCTTAGGAAACAAGTCATTCTAGGACTTTTAAGTTTTCAAAGAGCGGGTTAGTATCTCATACACATTTTGCCAAATTTTTATCACGGAGTTGATATGTGATCCTTCTTCTTTAGTGCTCAGTTTGCCCTCTTTTATTGCTAAGTTCACTACCTCTGGTGCTTTGGTTTGCCAACTCTATCCTCCACCCATCTCATTTTAGTCAACCTCTTCTCCTGTGGCCCTATGGTTTGTTGTTAGATGAACTTCAACCTCTCCTCAAGGACAGAGAAAAATTAAAAAAATTGCGAAGTCACAATCAACATCATGTATATCATGATATTTTGAGAAAACAAAACCGTTATAAAGAAAATTTGCTATTTGATGTCTGTGACTAAGCATTAAAATTTTTAACACGCTAGCATTCTAAGTAGGACATGGTCCCATTCAGTATTGACTCACCTAGCACTGTCAAGGCGAACTTGGAAGCCAACTAAGGAGCTACCACAACCTGGTGAAGGCTCACAGCGCTCATCTGACACCCTTTCAGCAACAGAAATTGCCTGCAGAAAGGGAAGAAAGAAACTAAAAATAAGGGTCAAATATATGACAATGGTCTCAAAATAAAGATAAACAGAAATATTAGTTATGTTTTTTTTTATGAAAGGGCTTCTCATTACTAATGTACACGTCATACCCAAATTGTTTGGTGCAAAAGTGTTATGTTTCATAAATCAAGGCCTTTTCTTTTAAAGATGAAATCACTAATGTAATGAAACAAGATATTTACAAAGCAAGACCTTTCAAGTAACTTCAAACAAACTCTCTACTATAATTACGTTTCCAAATCCCTCTCTATATTGAATAGATTTTCATAAGGATATATATATATATATAAAGACAACAGTAAGTTTTCTTCTCCGACACACAAGTCATGTATAAAACTCAAAAGAAACCCTATCATTTCATAATATTTGTTCAGCCAAAAAAAAAAGAAGAAAATTTAGCATATATTTTAGATTGGTAAAAAGGCAAACATAAGAGAATTGTGATATAGAGCAGCTACACAAATATAAATGTATCTTCTTAGGTATCTATAGGATAAGAAAAAGGAAGAAAATTAAGGCATGATTAGGGATGCAACATAACATACAAATTATGATATCCAAGTCAAAACAAGTGGTTTCATAAAGTTTCCTGAAAAACTTCAAAATCCTATCAGTAATCCTGGAGGGATGCATCAGTTTTCTCAACATACTGACGTCATATTTTGGTAGAACATAGGTAATTTTTGGAGAGGTGGAGTTTTCAGAAATTACTGGACAAGATATTGATGTAAGTGATCATGATTATAATTCTGTTATTACCATGAAAAAAAAATCAAAGAACAAATAAAAGAGACAAGGCCAACAAAAAGGCATGCATACTGCAGCAGAGCAAAAGTATACAGCCTGGCAAAAGCCAATAGGATTTCTTACCGCTATTCTCCTTGGTTGTGTACAGATAATGTTACAATATCCCCCCTGCCCAGATTCAATCATGTCGTCCAAGATAAATTGGGGAACCTATAATATATATGGTTAGACAAGGACTAAGAAACAAGGAAACCCTTTATCTCAAACAATTTGAACAATGAAGTAATTAAAAAATAAACTCGGTGAGCATAAATCATTAAATAATGGTGGAAAACTACTACAGCTGATATAAGGGAATATATGTGTCACCTTTGCTCCTTAAATCCATTAAATGCAAGTGGATCACATTTGAGATCTATTTTTGTAGGTTATGAAGGATACCTGCGTTGTTTTCCCGCAACCTGTTTCACCGCAAACAACAAGTGCATCGTTCTCTTTGAGCAGGTGCAATATACGGTCTTTCAACTCCGCAATTGGAAGCGAAGCTCTGCCCTGCAGCATTTCCTATGAAAAGAGAAGCAACGACTATAGCAATACAAAATGTCGCCTGGAGGGCAGAATTTACAAGAAACATAAAAGAAAAATCATGACACAAAAATACTCACATGCATTCATATTATTCTACTTCTTTGCAGTTAGTACAAGTGAACAAGCAAAGTATTAAGGATAGTGTAGAAAAGGATGGTAGAAAGGCAAAAAGGGAATCAAAGGGATGAGGTCTATGAGGAGAAAGCGCTCTATCCCCTAGATAATCACCGTTGATATTACCAATTTAAAGATTAAATGGAGTTCGGATCTCGAAAGGTTCTGATTTTCATACAATGGGGATAGCATAGCCGAGTTGAGCACTTACAGATCCAGTTATATAAAATAGATCTGAAGCGTTCTGTAATGCTTGACGGAAAAGAGAAAAAAAATGGCAACTCCCCATGGGGACATTGGCTTCAAATAAATTGTAAACGGCCATGAAACTTGAAGCTTGAAGATAGAATGGGTATTTGAGAACAGTCATCTCTGAGAGGCAGTAGCACGGAACTGAAGAAATGTTGGATCTAGACTCTCAGATTAAATATTGAAAAAGATTAGGTAACCAAAGGTGGGAAGCATGTAATCTTGTTGAGCTAAGGGTGGAAAAAATATGCTTGATTCCCTGGTGCATAACAGCACCTTCTTTGGATAACTTGGACTAGAAGTGGATCTGTTCGGATATTTGGCAAAGGGCCGATGTCAATTTACCCAAACCTAATCCCAGGTGAGGTGCATTTGAAAAACGTCTTAGGTGCTAAGTCAATTTTAAGTAGACCACTAGGAAAGAGTTATCTGCCTCAGGAGTCAAGAATATGCCTCCAAGATGAAGCAGATTGCATAGTCAGCCATAAGGACCCCATTAGGAAAAAATTATTTGCCTTGGGAGTTAAGAATATGCTTCCTCTCTTCTCCTTCTAAAAGTCGCCCATATTGTAACATTAAAATGAAAAACGACTAGAAGTACATATCTGGGAAACCATAGCTAATTGAAAGTTCAAAAAGAAATAAAAAATAGACCTTGTACTGGGCCATCTTCAGTTTACTCTCTAGTTCCCTTTTCAAAATGTTGCTTTCTGCATCTTTGTTATAACTCATTCCTGTGCCAAAAATGGGAAAAAAAAAATAAAAAATGGAAAGAAAACTTAAGGATAAGAGAAAACGCCTACAATACATACGAAACATAAAACACGGGAGGGGGAGGGGGAGGGGAAGGGGATTACACAAAGTAGAATAACCAAGAAATATTGATGAACAAATGCAACGTAATGTGAAAGTTATGTTTCCCCGTGAATAAAGAGCTATGAGAAAAACTCAGAGATAGCAGATAATGGCTGCAAACGTAAAATCTTATTAAAAAATGGAGTGAAACAAAAACGGATTCAGAACTGTATAAGAAAATAATGTTCTCGCCATGTTTTTCAGTCATAAGCACAATCTGCCAGTTAACAGTTCCAATGGAAATCATGCATATGCCGACGATTAGAGTTTCAATTTTCCAATAAAATGAACAATTGATCATTATATTCTTCATCCAGAACAAAGATAATACACTTCTATAAAACGAAAACACTTTGAAATCAATTATGAAAAAGACCTTCATGTGGTTTTCCTGGACTGCGTGACTCTCTAGGTAGTTCATGAAGAGAAATATCTGCTACATCACCAGAATGCATTGCCCCTGATGTGTCAACATTCAGTAAATTCTCAACAAAACCAGTTCTCCGATCTTCCTCACTGAGAACAGGTTCAGACATATGTCCATCTGTTGATGTTAAACATGAATGACTAAGAAAACGATAAGTTTATATGAAAAAGCATCAGGTTAAAATAGAATGATTAAAACAGAAAATGGCCTACCGAGTAGCCATCGTAAATGACTGACTCAAAAAATTACCTTCTTGCCATTTCCTCACGGTTGAGAAGTATGGCTCTATAAGTAACTCATGGACTGGCAGATCAGGAAATAGTTGATAAAGAGCAAAGGCAGCTACACTATTCTGTGCATGCTACAAAACAGACAACATGTCAGAGATCAGAAGAATTGAATATGACCTATAGACTACTTTGAATTGTGCATGAAAGTGTTAACACATCGATAATGCTACATGACACAGTGCTCTGTACATGGATTCAAGAAATCTTTGTGATTTGGTGACAATTATATGAAACACTAAAAATGTTATGTTTTTATTACTTAGAATCAGTATTTTCAAGAGCATCACCTAGGGATCAGGGTGGCCAAGACATCAAGGTGTTCAACCTGCGAAGACGAATACTACCTTCATTTGCATTCAAATTTGCATGATGCATTTGACGCCACTGGCTCAAACGAGCATGCAAACATGAGTTGCAATGTTACTTGTACTGCATGCATATTGGCACATGGCCACTCATGATGCATTCAGTCGTGCCTCCAGAGACTTGCAAAAATTTACATAGTTTTTTAATATATATTATGTAGAATCACATAATTCGTGTCTTTTTACTTTTGAAATATGAATAAAAGATTATTTAAAATCATTTTTATTATGCTATAGATGTTTCTATATGATATTTATCAAAATAATGTGAATGACTGCTTTTTCTATTTTTTGCATCGTCTAAACATATTTTTTCTCTTATTCTCAAACATTAAATGTAGGTTTAATATACGTTAAAAAATATTACTGCCTTGGTTACCATACACCCTAAAAACATCGATATAAACATTTAGACTTATATCGAAATAATAAACTGATCCGAAAGCCAGTTACACATCAGCTCAAGGAGCAATAGAAGAGTTGAAGAACAAGGTCCTGGATGTCTAGAGATCAATGATTATCCAGTCATAGTAAAAACTCAAATAATGAAGAGAGCATTATGTGAAATTCCAGAAAATTTCACACGACAAAAAACAATACCTCAACAGAACCAAAATCTTGATTAGGTAGATGGAGAGTAATCAAGCCCCCAGCATTCCGACTCTTACCCCTACCTGTAGCAGCACGTAATATATTGACAGAATAGAGGTATTTGCTTTCCTTCTCTGAGAGTTTAGTATACTTTGGTGCTTCCCAACCTAAATGTTGGCATATCTTTTGAAGGATAGCCTTTGGAGATTTTGCAGAGTCACCCTGTCATCCAGACTTACCATAACTACGGTAAGAAATTTAAAGGGAAATCATAATATATAAGTAACAAAAGCGAGAAAACAGATTATGCGAGTAATAACCTTTTTCCAGAATGCATTAATTCCTCCTAAGGTTTGGCCATGAGCAAATTGCAAAGATCTCCCTTTATTTTGCAGCTTCAAATCTTCTGAAGACAAGACTGCAGAGGTATCTTCAGAAAATAAGCTACCTAGTTCTGGAGCATCTGACTCGTCATGTTTATCTCCAACTTCCGCTGTAGCAGAGATGCCTAATGAATCAACAGCACATTCTGTCTCTACATAGCTGAAATGTTCCTCTACATTTTCATATGTCTCTGTTTCGCACTCGAATGTAGACTGTGGTGGCAGCAAACTGTTTGAATCGCACAGTGTCTCAGATTCAAAGGATGTACAAGCTCCAAAATCTTGTCTGTCAACCTTAGAAATAGAAGTTGAGTCAACTAAATCTTCATATCCTGCCTTTATCTCATCTAGTAACCCTGTTTGAACAAATCTTGGCCAGTCAATGTTGTAAAATCTAAAAATTGTAGCTCGGGAAACAAAGCAGAAGTAGCAGCAGACCTAATGAAATTATCTTTTGCTTGAGATTGCGGATAATTCCATTGTAATACCCTTGACTTTTCTTGTCCCCCTTCCTTTTGGCTTCAAGTGCTGCCAATTTTGCGAGGTGGTACTCTTTAATGATAGAAGATTCATGGAGCTTAACATTACACTCCTAGTAAGATCCATTAACATCAAAATCAGCACTAGAAACTACTGCAAGTTCGAATTTCAACAAAAAGGATCATATGTTTTACTAAGAAGAAAAAGGAACACAAATATAGATTTCAAAGTTCTATTGGGAACAATGAGAATAAACATATCCGAAAAAGAGAAGGCAAATAGGACTTTCTAGGCAGTAAACATGTACAGACATTAGAACAAGTTAAGTAACAGATTCTCAACAGAACCTGATACCAGTTTACTTTGCAATACTTGATCGAGCCACTGGACAAAGTTTAATTTCAAATAAAGCCATATATAAAACTTAATTTTGAAGGACAATTTCTTCCTAAATGATTATATATGCCAGGTATGTCCTAATCCCAGCCCAGCTTTCTACAAGGTGTAGGATTTAAGATCAGGTCCAGGTAAATCTTCAGGTCAGGACAAGTTTTTGCAAATGGGCCACATCCAGAGTTGGATAGAGTCTGCAACAGAAGAAACAAAATCCAGACCTATGACATCCCCATCCCTGGGAGCCTCCCCAACAAGCTGCACTCTCCTCCCGTATTTCTACCCTTCCCATTTCCCTAGCGGATTTACCTCTCACCCTACTGGGCTGCACTCAACAACTTCAACATCCCCCCCCCCTCCCCAAAGAAAAAAAACCCAACGCACACGTACACACACATGTCCCATGCCTTAGACCTGCCCTCTGTAATCACAACCCAGTAAATATTTCCAACACCACCCCTCTTAAATCACAACCTAGTTGAATAGCCAGGTAGTTGGATGGGGAACGAGACAATTGAGCTAAGTATGGATCCACCCCAAACAATGTTTCCAATGTTATCTAAAGATCATGGCTTCATCTATTGCCTGAAAACTTAAGCCAGGCTTGACCGAGCCTCAAGTTATGCAAATATTTTTCACTGGCAAGTACAAATCATATATTGCAAAATGTGTAGTACACGAAAATATATTTCATAACGAAAAATATGCAATTCAAATTTCAACCAAGCAATAAATACAAAGAAAATTTACTATTCTAAATAGGGGGACAAAAATACGAGAATAGAAATGCAGAAGATAAGACAGAACAAAAGAAAAAACGGTTAAAAAAGGGACCAGACCACATAAGTTGAGGAGTAGATTACTTTATGAGAATATTAAATAGTACAGTTATTGCTGAAAATAAAATAATTTCCAAACAATCCACAGAACAACCACGACATTGCTAATGTACACACAAATTTTCACTAGTAATTGTTGCTACATAATCTCATTAATAATTTTATAATTAAAGATGAATTGACAAATTTAGGAGCACGATGAAACTGTAGCGAGCTTAGTTTCCAGACTAATTTTACATCTTCTTCCCAGACACGGAGCTAGGCAAAATAAATTGCAAGAAATAAATGTATGTAAAAGCAATACTGGAGGAGAGGAACCACCGAAAACTTGGAGAGATATCAATCTACTCGTCCTTTCGTAAGGAAATATTGGATAAACCAGGTTTCTATCATGATGATATAAATTAGGAACCCATTCGAAGGTAATTAATCTATTTCATGCCTAGGTGAACATCCATACAACTCATGAAGAAAAATAGATATGATACCTCATTTTCTTCTGCAGACGGTAGAGCTACAGATGTGGTAAGATAATAACAGCACCTCAACTTATGCGAAATCAAAACCACATTTGAACATCGTTTTTGAATCTCGTTGACAGCAGATTACCTAACCTCAGCCTCGTCATTGTTTGGAATGTTCCAAATATGGTTTTTTGGGCTTAAGTTGAAACAACCTTGTCTTGAGATTCAAGATTTTCCATAACAATAATCCGTTCGATGGGTAACTTGAAATGAAGAAATGATTTATTCTAGGTATATATCACTGCGTCTCAATCATTTACAAAATTCAACAACTCCCCTAAACCTGAAGAACCATATTACACCATGATTACATTCTATCCTAGCTGATCTAGTAAGTAGTTTCATATAGAATAGGTTATAAGGGGAAAATGTGACTCTGATGTGCGAGCGACACTCTAACAAACAGTGTTTGGTTTTTTAAATTAAAAATTAAAGCAAATAGCTACAGGGCATATTTTGTTATATCTGGGTGATTAAAGTTCCTTATGAAGGAAAATAGCCATTTTTTTATCGCACAATGCCACTGCATAGCATAACAAGAATTCAAGTACAGTTGCCAATCAAACATAAAGCATAATTCCAGTTTTTTTTATTTTTGACCATTTGAAGCTGGAAAATTAAGAAGCCAGGTTCAAAACATAATTCACTCGAGTCGATTAATGTCAAGAAAAATATATTGACAAAGGTACCTCTTCCGCTTGTTCTTCCTTTTCCATCTGTTCACGTTCTTCATCTTCCTCTAGTTGTGTTACGTATTGCCTTATCCAGTCTGCCTGTGATGGTTCCCCAAGATCTATTGATGGCTCCTCCCGCTGTCCTTTCACTCTAATAGGCACTTCAGGCATCTCTTCCTTGTCTTCATTTGACGACTTATTAGGAACCCAGTTTTCTTGAGCTCTTGATATAACTTTGATAGAAATTTCTCCACCTGTTTACAAAATAAGGCATTAAGGAAGTATCAAAACATAATGAAAATTGAGGCACAGGAAGGCATTGTGATACCTTCGTGAACCGCCGACACTGAACCACTACTAGAAAACTTTAATGGGAGTTCATTTCCTGGTAAATTAAAACAAAGCCAGTCGAGAGCCGATTCAAATGTTGTTTCCTCCTACGCAAAAGAATAAGTGCTTTAGTAGACATAAGATCGTAAGGATGAGAGGCTTTCATAAAATACATAGACTTGAGCTCGTCTCTTGGAAATTCAAAATGAAATGCGGACGAATTTAAAGAAGATACAATTCGCCAACACCTCGATTCTAGGCCACGAAATTAAATATCAAAATTTTCACATAAATAATGTGGCCGTGGGAGAAAACCTAAATGTCTTCACATCAAAATAGAGAATATGTAGCCATAAAGACTTTAGATCAAAAGGGGAAAAGGAGGAGGAACGAACGACCAGAGAAGAAAGTGCCCGTTCTATCTGTTCAGAGGTAAAGCCTTCCTGGGACAGCTTATCGTAGATGGCCCGGAGCTTCCTAGCCTTCTGCTCCCGAGAAATGCTCCCACCGCCGTCGGGTGCGGCGGTAGACACCGGCCGCTCTGTGTTCATCAGCAACCGGCGGAGCCGGCGTTCATTCTCCGCCGATATCGTAAGCTTCGGGGCAGACTTCCCGCCGGCAGGCCCCGCCTTGCCCCCCTTGGCGCCATGTTTTTCCTTCTGCTGCTGAGTTGGCTTCTTCTTGGGCGCCATGTCCAGAGAGGAACACGCCTTGCCGCCGCAACGGCACACTGACTGAGGACAGAGAGCAATTTAAATAGCCTCCCCATGGGTTATCGGTCCAGATCCGAGACCCGGTAAAAAGTGCCAGTTTCTTCTAGAAAAAAAAGCTAATTCATTGGCACCGGTGAAAGCCTTTTTTGCAATTTTGCCCTTATTAAATTATATATTTGCGTCAGAACCCTCCCTCAGTGGGAGCATCAACTTTATACACTCATTATTATCTTACATTATATTAATTAATATCAATCCAAATGTTTTTTTTTGGCTGCCTATTGGCAACTACAAGAGGAATTAGTTGAAATGGGCCCATAAAAATGCTGACGTGGACGTAGACTTTATAGTACTCATATTTACGAGTATATAAGGCGAATTATTGATCACTTGGTGGCGAGCGTTTAACAGTGACGCCAATCAGTTCAAAAGGGCGAGCCCAATGGGCTAATATCTTGAGGCCCAAATCAAGCCAAACTGTGACTTTAAAAGCCCAATGGGCCTCTCAGCATAGTCTACAAGGCCCAAAATGCGGAAAAGATTCCGGGAACATAGAAAAAAGAGGAGGGGTATATTGGAAATTGTGAGGGAAGGGAGGAGGGTATGGACAATATCGAAACGTTTTCGTTTCTCTCTCTAGAACTTGAGGGGGGGCGGGGAGATGAGATTAGTTTTTCTCTTACTAGGCATCGTCGAAGCGCCAGTCCCTGACGTGGTCCCTCGTCACGGCGAGGCTTCTGACCAGGCGGGGATTTCCCGCCGCCGGGCCCTGTCCAGCGGAGATCAGCGGAAAAGGGGCCACCTTGGACGTCGCCGCATTGCTGGAGGAAGCGTTGACTTTCTTGGCCAGGCAACTGACGATGGCGGAGCATCGGCCCTCGTTGTCCGAGCTCGAGGCGGAGTAGCTCCTGAATGAGCCCGAGGGGCTGTCGATGCTGTGGCAAACAAGGCACGCCAGCGCCATTCCCCTGGAGAAGAGCACAACCAGAAAACGCAATATGACGTCAATTAGCACCACATAGAAGAACAGAGAGGAACAGAAACACAGGAATCTGAGGCGACAACACCACTCTGTACGGATTGCCAATCAGAGAAGCCATAGGTCAACTCCACAGGAGCAGGGATGCACTTCCCGCTCCTGGGAGAAGGGCCGAACGGCGAGAAACAAGAATTGGGTAATATTTCTGTTAAAATGGGAGACCTTTTCATTGATTCGCGCCAATGAAAAAACTCAGAGAACAGACTGTCCCCCCCGGAGAATGCGTAGGATCTTAGGACGTCCAAACAAATGGGTAGGCATCTATATGCGGGCTAGAGAGAGAGAGACAGAGACAGAGAGGCAGTGAGAGAGAGAAAAAGAAAATGAAAAAGCAACGTCTCTTCCATACAAACCAGGAGGGGCCTGACCATCACAATCGGGAATCATACTATGTATGCCAAGACTCAGAACGATTGGATGACAACAGACGTATCCACATAATGACCAATTCAGCTGTTCAGGATTTGCTATAAATAAAAGGTGAGAGACCCAATAAATAACAATTCGGCAGGCCAATCTCCCACGTTGACAGAAGAAGTCAACAGGCACTTTAGGAAACGGTTCCAATAAGCCATAGAAAAATAAGTAAGTCAGAAACCCTCTACCCCTCTTGAAATGTCCTTGCACTCCACAGATAACACTGGGCTGAATTGTTTACGATGCAAGTGAGAGGTGCGGCTATTTAGATCAACAGCTCACCCCCATTAAACCCCCACATCCCCTCCCAAAAATGAAAGATCAGACTATGGGGAAATTTTCTATATCATGCGAGTGTACGTTGTTCACTGGAAAGATGAGTGACACCAACAGATCAAATGAGGCATGGAGATTGCTTGAAGAGACTCAAGAACTATGAAACAAGAGACCCAGAGAAGATAACTGAAGGGAGCGTTCCACTAATTTGAGGGAAAACTCGTTTCAAAGAAGCTACTTCACCACGGGAGAATAATGAGGCAACCCCCGTTTACCGATGGAAGTAAAATGCATAAAATGCCCCATCCTTTGCTGTTCTTTGGGGTGGAAAGACATCTTGTCAGAAGTATCAGGTTGAAGCCTAATTTTCTAGGAAAAAAACACGGTTTCACAGAACGATAACGAGAGATATTAACTACGAAAACCAACTGGAGATAAGATCATTGGCACCGTGATTGTAAGAATCGTTGTGGGAAAAAAAAGTCAAAATTGCAATAAAACAGATCAAGAACAAGTTTACTTCTGAAGCTCTCCTCAAGCTATGGCGTTGCTCAATCACTACTCGTTTTAGTCATATTCCATCAGAAAGTTTGTGCCAAATCATTAACATTTAAAAGAAAACGTTGAAACGGCGACAGATACTGAAATCACGGAATCAATAACTTCGATCTGACTAGCTGAATTGGGATATTCACAAGAGAAAACCCCCATCCAAACAACATCACGAGTAAACACGATCACGAAGACATCGAAATGATAGCCACCGTATATCAGAGGAATTCGAGGAGGATGTCCCGAGCAAAAAAACCATAGAAATCGATCCTAATTAGTATTCCAAAACCGGGAGTATCCGTACCACGAGCAAGATTTTCCATCGATCTCAACCTAGAAACATCTGGAAGTCGGAAATGAGGGACAAGAAAAAGAAATTGGGGTTCACCTCCCGGCGGCGAGTTAAACCTTCGCCTGTCCGACGGGGATGGATCCGACTGCCGTCAGCTGGCTGAGAATGACGGCGAGATGGAGCGAAGGACGACGAGGAGCAGAATTGAGAGGAAGCCCGAGGAACCCGCAATCTGGAAACGACGAGTAGTGTCGCCCTCCCGAGCAACGACACACTACTAGTCGCCTAAGTATTTTGCATATACACCCCCTATATAAGCAAGAATTCCTGATACCGACCTCATCCCAAGAAAAAATAAATGCACGGACACTATTTTTTATTATTTATACCTTATATTTATATTTATAACCCTTGAACACTAAAATCCACGTTCTTTCTTCCTATCGTGGAGTAGATCTTGTCACTGAATTGTCACTTTATAACAAATGACGATATTACCCTTCAATCATATAATATACCCAGTAATTCACTCCTCTTTAATTCCACGTGTTAACAAGGGATAAAAATATACAGGTCCTTGTATGAAAAGAATATGGTTTTCTTTTACTTTTAATTAATCAACAAGGGAAATAGTATTATTTGCAATATTCATTATTACCATTTTTTAATTATAAATAGAGTTTATTTCATAAGGCGGATGATAGATGCTTACAAATGGTGGTAAATAAAATTAGAATAATTCAATTGAGTATGTAAAAAATATTAAAAATTCTCACGAACAGCCCCCCACAAGGATGTGGCCATGATACGGAGAATCGTGGAAAAAAAGTCAAATGGTTTTTTTTAAATTAAAAAAAAAAAGGAAAGACCACATGAAATCTGGGGTTTGGTCAACAGGACTGCTACATTTCTGACAACCGAGGTGAGAAGGTTGACTCAGAGAGAGTAGGGAAAGCACGAGGAAGCTCACAAGCCGGGCGTTGATAGGCACAAGATATACCTTCGGCTGGCTCGCCATTATTCTACTTTGACCACGAAAAAGCGGTATTCAGTCAACGGTCATCCTTGACGAAAAAATGCTGGCTTCTCTGTTCAGTGGGCGACGTCGACCCCGGTGGGCCCTACCCGGACGACCGAAGACATCCTTAACTTACTTCTCTACACAGATCTCTCCGAAACCTGACTAGCAAGAGATCTCACACAACGGAAGAGAGAGAGGAAGGAGGGCGATGAGAGAGAAAGGGTACCTCAATGCCGGTTCATTGAGCAGGTCCAGGAGGTGGATCTCTTGATCAGGGGCTTCATGGCCTTGTCTTCTTCCAGAGAGATCATGCCCAGATGGGACGGGTCCTCCAGCAGCATCTTGGCCACAAGGTAGCCGGCGATGGACCAGGTCTGGAACTTCCGCGCCTGCTTCCCCACGTAGCGGCCAAGCTTGCCATCGTAGTACTCGGGCCAGCCGTCCTTCTGCAGGCGGTTCTCGATGAGCTCGATCGCCCGCCGGGCGATCTGCGGCCTCCCCGTCTTGATGCAGGCGGCGGTCAGCGTCCACAGGAGGACTGCGGAGAGAACCAGAGCGAGAGGCCAGCGTCAGTCAAACCCCGCTTTTGCTCCAACAAAAGAATCCATCAACAGCACGGTCAGAGGAACAAACCAGGCCAGGACCCGCCATTGTGGTAGCTCCACCTGGTGTTCTTGGGGTCGCAGCCGGTCACGATGCGCCACTCGTGGCCCTCGATGGCAGGATACGTTATCTTCAAGGGCATCTCTCCGACCAGCTCCTCCCACCGTGACTCGATCAGGTCCATAATCGCCATGGACTGCTCGGGGGTGGCGAGCGACGAGAGGATCGCCACACAGTTGCCCAGTGCAAACCACCGGAAGTCCATTCTGGCAGGGCTGATGTTCCCGATGAAGTAGCCGCCGCGGGTCGGCATGAAGTCAAACACCCAGTCGGGGATCGAGTCAGGGATGACGTTGAATTTGTTGACTGCCGTGTGGGAGTACTCCTCGGTCTTGTAGCGGTAGATGTCGTTCAGCTGTTGGAAGTCGAGCCAGAAATAGCTGCGCATGTGAAAGCTCAAGGCATGCAGGCGCTTGACGATTCTCTCCACGAATTCCTTGCCTTCGGCATCGTGCTTGAGCAGGGGCAGCGCGGACCTCAGGGCCATGAAGAAGAGAGCTTGGATTTCGATAGGATAGCCATAAATGCCCTGGCGAAAATTAGATTACCATCAGAAAATCCACGTTACAAGAAGGATTATCTTGATGAAAAAAAAGTCAACGAAATAATCTGCTTTTTTTATTGTAGCAAATGCAACACTCGATCATCGATCATTCATTCCAGTAAGGAGGGAGAAAACCATGAAAACTGTCTGATAGATTAAAAAAAATACGAGGATGTGCGTTATCAGCCTATGATATGTGCATAATTCATTGATTTGCTTTCATCTATGCATCAAATAATGTTGTCTTATAGATAATTATGAAATGACTGTCTCAGGGGGAAGCTACTAAATTTTAAAGGTAAGACAGACGAGATATGGGAACGAAACTGAAAACCTTGTTGACTAACACTACACTTCACGTCTCTGGCCGTACTGACGACCAGGAGGAACCAGAACCAGCTTGTTCTGGTTCTGGGCTGCTCCTGTCACACATGCTTCCGCCAGGTTATCTGGTAAAATAATGAACTAAACAGCTTCTAATATCCTCGACTAAACTGACACTTTTTGCTCCTTAAGAGGGAATGCGATGATCGGATCTGTGGTTTGAAACCACAGAAAGAAAAAAGAAAACTGTGTCACAGAGAAAGGAGTCAGGAAATCACTTGTTTCCAACGCATAGCCCTTTTCTGGATGATACATATATACGATAATGAATTTTTTTTGGCTTTATTAAAAAAAAATGTATCCTTAGAGATATTTCCCTTGCTCACGGTGTTTCAGACTCATATAGTTAATATTTCCTCAAATTACTAAACAAAAATAGAACATGAATAGTAATTTTGTAGAAAATAATACGGGTACCTTTACCCTGTTTTCTATTGCTTGTTCCCGTGAATTGCACATAGATATCGAATTTCAGAGCTAGTGGCATCTAGGATTGATTCTTTTTGAGTAGTACAACTACAAAAAAAGCTTAAAAAACCAATAAGAGAATATTTATAGCCAGAAATGAGGTAGCCACCAACAAAATATCTCCAAGGCATTCATTTAATCGAGATACATGATTTCCGGAGGTCTAGATGGCTCAATTATTACGTTCTTTGTATGAAGAAAAACGTAGAGGAATTTTTTTTTATGAAAACTGTGAGGAAATATGAATTTGTTGTACAACAGCAACAGCATACCATTCTTCGATCAATCATGGAGCATCCATCAGCACAGAGCAAGGTTGGGAAGGTATCGAAGCCCTCTGACAAACATAAGGTGAGTATAAGCCTCATGCCCTTCTGGCATTCAGGAGTCTCTGCTAATGACAAATCTCCCGTGGACTTTGTATAAGCACGGAGAAGGATAATCCACCAGAATCCAGAGTCAACGGGCGCAACTCTTCCAATCGCGCTCTCACCAAAATCAGCAATAAGGGTGTCCATTTTTCGGACTGGATCGTGCAGTACTTTAAAGCTAGCAGGCATGGCACCTTCTCCGAGCTGGAAACGATCAACTCTTTTTTCCCATCCTTGAAGGTAGAGCGTTTTCATGAGAAAATTTTTAACTATATCAGGCTCACCATTCATAAGAAATGCAAGAGCGCTGGGTACAAAGTCTCGAACAAAAACCTGCGTTCAGCGTCATTCTTAGCAAGGATGAAAATGATAGTAAAAAAAGATAATAATTGGCCGCATGACTCTGCCGGCAAATTCTCTTGTTAAAAACGATTAAAAGGTAGCAGAGCGGTTTGTGGGCGAATTGAGAAGGAGTTTGTGCTCACCTGATCATAATTTAAGACCTCCTCTGCTGCGTGATCGTATGCAGCGATAGTCCCAACTGGCTGATCCCGGAAAAAAACCAGGGACCTCCTGAGAGCTTCCCAAGCGTCCCCAATCATAGGATGCGGCTCAAATGAGTACCGCGCAGACGAAGCTGGGGTGTTGAACCCCGACCGCACCGCCTCCCCGGGAGAATAAATGCTGTCAAAGTTATCTGGGCCTCTCGAATTGGAGATGGACAACTCGCTCATGGACCTTTCTTCGAAAGATCTCTGCCGCTCGATGTTCAGCTTCGGCTTGTCGAGAAGCCGCGACAAATCGAAGTCATCATCCTCCGAGATGGAACAACGAGAGTCCAGATGCGGTAACCCCGATTCCATCGTCCCATCCATCGGGTCGCCTCAACCACTAACGGAGATCTTGCTAACCAGACGCGCGCTATTCTGCAGTATCGCCGATTCCGGTCCAACCAAGCAAAAATGAGCGAGAGTGCACCCCAAAGTGGAGAGTAAGAGAGCAGAGAGTCAACTACACAAGTTTTCCCCAAAGTAGAGGGTACAATAGGCAACCTTAAGAACAAAAACCGGCATGGTTTGCTGCAGAACGCAGAGAATATTAAATTAGTCAGAGATTCGAGACGAAGGATCAACCCGAAGCTGACAAAAATAATCCACACGCTCTCCAAACTTCCATCAAAGTGGGAGGACGAGAGAACTTACTCGGAACTGGCTGGCCGATATTCTACCGAATCCGGTGAAAATACGCTCCCCAGAAGCGATACAGAGAGCTAAGAAGAGCAGGGGATTAGAAATAGAAAGGAAACACGCAGAGATCTTGGAAGATCCGTGGCTTAAAACTGGGGGAGAGGACGAACCCCAGCGCAATTCTAGGGCAAAGGGGAGGGGGAAGAGCCACTTATTCCCTTGTTTGGGTCGCCACAGAGAGATCCCCGAATTGGAGGCCCTACCAAGACGGCAATGCACAGGACGCGCAGAGAGAAACGGCAGCCACTGAGATGCCCCGGAGAAGAGGGAAAGAAAAGAGATGACGTAGTCGGCTGCAGTATCCATATAGGCCAGGCGAAGAACGATGGTGGCTGGCTACAGCCGGTCGCCACAGCCATCACCGGCTGAGTATCAGCAGAACTGTATCGATTCCCGGGATTTCCGGTGGATAAGATTTTCTGGGTTGTTGGACCACGCGCGCCTTCCCTCAACCACTCTCCCCCCCCCCCTTGTTATGTAAAAAACTGTTACTGGACCGAATCGGCACCGGAGAGGGCATCGCTTCCCCGTCCACGTGGCACCGCCAAGGCACCATCACAATCGATGGCGGGGGGCGTTGGTCAGAGTGGCCCCCCAGGCGGCTACCTATCCAGAAGTCAAAACCTCCCACAAAGTAGGAATTTTAAACGGACACCTCCTTTTTCGACACGTGACATTTGATAATTTTGTTTCTTCTTTGGGGCCTCGGAGCCTGTGGTAACAAAGTCAACGCTTTATTTTGTATTATATTATAAGATAAATTATCATTAAAAGCGACACAAATTATAAATTACAGTTATATTATGTAAATATCTGACATCATGCCAAAATGCAAAAATAATTAAAATTTTTAAAAAATAAATTTATACTAAAATGACGTGGTTTAATAACGTATTCATAATGATTAATCGCTCAGTGGAGGGAGGTGAATCCAGCAACAGCCCATTGGATTTTAATAGGCCGGTTCGGGCGGGATACGAACGGCCGGCCCATTAACATCTGCGAAGTCGGCATCAGGCGGTGTAATGGTGACGTTTCTTCTCGGGGCAACGCTTCCTTCGTTTCGAAGCGTTGCTATATAAACCTGCAGAGAGAGAGAGAGAGAGAGAGAGAGAGAGAGAGCATTTGGAGTCGAATGGAAGCTGGGGAATGTTCCGCGATTGGGGGAGAGGGCGACGGCATCTGGGCAAAGCTCGGTATCCTCCCCCTCCCTAACTCCCAGTTAATCTCCGGAACGCAATATTCACAGCTTTCTCGATTTTATTTTTGTTCGGTGATTATTGGTCGAATTCAGAGGCGGATTGTTCTTCTGGCCTGCCTCCCGATGAAGGGAGCAGAGCTAAAAATGGCCAACGTGTGGAGCGTACTGGAAACGCCATCGATGTTCTCTAAGTTCGAGATAGAAACCCGAAAGAAAACTCTTCACTTCGGTTGACTATTTTGTTTTTTTTGGTCATTTGCAGTACCTACCGACGCTCAATGTTCGGGCATTGACATAACTTCAGGAGATATGGTAATACACTCAGAGGTGACTTGCTTTTCAAGCAAGAAGCAAAGCTGGTGCCTGATAGAAAAGGTTCCACACTCGGGCAAGGCGACAATAAAAAACATCAGGTTTGTTTCCTGATTGGTCGAATTTTCTTCTCATCTGAATTTTTTTCGTCGTTATGCTTCCTAATGCTGTTTCCTCATCGAAGATCATCGAGCAAGACTTCGAAAGAAAAACTTTTGCTGTGTTCTTGGAAAAACATACTGCTTTCCAAATTTGGAACCCGAATTTTTTTTATAACACGAGAAGAATGAAAGCTTTAGTTCTTGATTGATGTCAAAATGTGGCTTCAAATCAAAATGTCAAGAATTTTTTAGCATTGCTTGCATATACTCCATCCTGTTTGCGGGGATGCATTTTATTCAGAGAAGGGATAAGGGTGTTGAGAGCTTTAGAGTGACAGCTGATTCACCAAGAGATCAGATTGGGATAGTAAAATTTTAGACCTCAATGCCTTTCGATCAGCCTAATGGGTCTTTGGGCTCATTTTTTTGTTGGGAAAGAGATCAGATTTGTTTCTTTCTGTTTAGGTTTCTTGTTGTCTGTCTAATCTATTTCTCTAAATAATTTAAACTTCTAGAGAGTGTTCTTGTCTTAAAAAAATTGATTTTTATTATCTTAGAAAATAAGCTAACCGCCAAAATCTATCGACTTAGATTTATAATGAATTTTATTGTACTATTTTGCAGAGCTATCTTGTGTCGTTTGATCAAACATTCTCAGTTGTCCTAAATTTGAAATGCTGCAAAGAAAAGTAATAAAATGCATTGAAGATGAAATATTTAATACTGAATTGATCTGTTGGTGCTTTATATTCGATTGTGTCCTGCACACTTAAATATATTCTACGTTCAGCCATTGAAATATATTATTCAGACGGGTTCTTACGCTTCTTTTGGCATGTCATTATAGTCAAGGTCCTATAATTGTTGATGAAGCGATCGTTGGAACAGAAGAGACTGTGAATATTAAGTATGGCAGTGAAATAGTGTCCGGGCCTCATAGAGAAGGTCAGAGATTTATTTCCGCACTTTTATTTATTATGTTGCATATTTCTGGAGGAAATAATTTCATCTTGAGACAAAAAGTCCTTTTTTTATATTTATTTTGCAATTACGCATGTATATTCATTGTGGATTAATCTTTTCATGAAAATTTATTATTAGTAGGAGAAGTTTTATTATTATTGATGTCCGAAAGTAAATACCAGAAAGATAGTGACGCATCAATATTAGACGCATCAAGTATTTGTATTTATGCCCCCTTACTTCAGCGGCTGATATGCTCCTTTTTTCAGAGGCACTTGTGCATCTAATGGAGCTTGTGGCCAGTTTACTAAAATGGCCTCTTTGAATTTGTCAGTTCTGTATTCGTGATTGCAAGTATCTATCCATCAATGTGATAGGAAAAAAAATCTTTTTTTTTTCCTTGAAAAACTTTATCTGTAAAGGAATCCTCGTAACTCGTAGTTTTTCATAATATCCACTTGTTTGTTGTGTTTTTTTGAATCATCGATTTTATAACCTTTTCAGGGCACTTGGTTTTCCATTTCAAAGAAACTTCATTTCAGAAGCAGGACACGAAAGCATTAATGGTTCATTTCATTTCTAAATGTCTTATTCATTACCACAAATTTTTCATTTACTGGGGTTGGAGGACCTGATCAACATTTTTTTCCAGATACCTTTAGATGTTGAGCATGCAAAATGCAGCATATGCTTAAACATCTGGCATGATGTTGTGACTGTTTCTCCTTGTCTTCATAACTTCTGGTACTTGGTTATTGAATTTTTTTTATAGAAATGCGTATATCCCTTTTTACATACCATCTCGTATTCCTAACATGCTCACAAACTGTCACCCTGAATTATGTGTCTCCGATCCTTTTTCATCTTTATAGCAATGGCTGCTTCTCAGAGTGGTTGAGAAGGTCCGAGAAAAAGTGCAGAGATGTTGTCTGCCCACAATGTCGGGCTACATTACAATCTGTTGGTAGAAACTATTTTCTCCGAAATATTGAAGAGGTACTGTACTATTTTGTTTTTGTTGTGTTCTTATCTTTTTTATAGATTAGTAATGAATTTAATCCTTGAGAATGAAAAATTCAATGGATGGTCATAGTATAATTTTTCGTTATGCTTATTTTCAAACTTTCATCTTACTCTTATAATGAATAACAGTTTGAAGTTGTATCATTCATATGTAAGAATTTATTTATGATTTATACTGCTTCCTTCTGATCTTGAAGAAATCGAAGAAATTAATCTGATGAAACGTGCAAAATTTGAATGCTGAAAAATAATTGCAAAAACTAGGCCTCCACTATTGTGGCCCCTCCGTTCCTTTCTTGGGTCCTTTTGAGCCATATTTGGCCCAAAATTTAAGACTATAAGTGAAAATTTTCCAACTGTCCCAACCCATTAGAAATTTGGTGGAATGCTGGGAATTGAATCCAATCCATGTGTCTCAAAAAAATGTGTAACTTTCGCCTACATGAACGATAATTTGTTGAAAAACTAGTTGGACTGTTTCTTGCAATAATTCAAGTGAACTCTTAATCTAGGGCGATTGCTTACATTCTAAAACAGCAGCAAATGAATTATACTTCTGAACGTTGTATTTTACATAAAAAGGTGGTTCTAGGAAAGAATCTTTCATGATATTTGCGGATTACATGGATCCAGTGAAACTGTGGTATCCTCGAGGCCTAAGTCTGGAAGTCTGTAATGGTAATTGTTTTCTAAAATTAATCAGGATTAGAGTTCTGGAAAGACCTTTTTATTTCATTAATATGCATTCTTATGCTCTGTTATTAGTGTGTTTTGTTGGGTAATTTAAAGTTGTCGTACTCATGAAATTGCATGCATCTGTGGTACATATTTTATATAGTTTTTTTTAATCTAGTTACATCATGCGTTTGCATATTTTAAGGTTCTGATTTCTGTTCAAGCTCTGAAGTTGAAGTCTTGCATTTTTTGACCTTTGATTAATACTTTTATGAAACATTCTTTATATCGATCACGAGCTCTGTTTACATGATTAGTCTTTTATGTGCAGGCTATCTTGCAGACATTTCCATTATTAAGGACATCCAATGATGAGCTTGCGTTGCTAGATAATCGTGCATCAGTACGATCAAATCTTGTGAGTGTTTCTATGGAGATTTTATTGAAAGCGTCTTTACCTAGAATTTTTATCCTTGCCTGTATTACTTTAGTTATAAAATGACATTATGATGGATAATAGATGTAAATCGTGGCTAGTTTTACATTTTCTAGTGGTTGATGTGTTCAGTTCTTTTGCTCTGATTCTTAGAACGTGGAAAATAATATTTTTTAATGATATCTTGATATTGATGCCACCTTTCACATAAAGATCAGTGTCATTGGGGTAGATGACCCAAACTGGGCTATAATATTCCCTAGCACACTCATGGTGGGCTTACTATACAGTGTATAGACTACCTATTACAACACTGAAATTGGCTTGGGGCTTGATAAAATGGCTAGCGAGTTGAATCCTTGAAGGAATATATTGTACTCAAGAAATTGATTTTGATGATAGTCAATCACAATTTTTATAGTAAGCTGTGTTGCATTTTTCTGTGCGTTTCAAACCAAAAAGTCGTCTTTAAATTCTCAAAATGCTTAAAAAATGAAATCAATATGGCACTAGTTGACCCCCTGGCATGTTGTGTCTATAACCTCCTGTCTTATACTCAGAAATATAATCTCCTAAAATAAGCATATTTAATGTTTTATCATTTAGTGACGAGTTCATTTTCGCCTAAAATTGGGAAAAATTTGAAAACCGAGTTCAGGTTTCTCACTCTTAATATTTCGTGTTTGGATGCTTAATCAATGTTTTTCTCAATTTATTGTTAGAATTCTTTTCAGGATCTAAATAATTTTTGAAACTAAATCTTGCTACTCTATTCTAACCACGACAAGGTTCGTGGGTCTTTTGGGAATACATTGATCTTTTTCTCCTGTTCATTAGGGCTGCTAGTGTCCATTTATTTGTTGCATAAGAGAGTAATTTTTTTCCATACATTTATTGATGATGAGTGCATGGCCGAAAGGCGTTGGAAAATTATGGTGCATTATTGTTTTCGGACTCGTTAATTTACTTTTCTCATTTGTAATTTTCGTTCCTTGTACGGGTTTCATATTTATTAGTCAATTTATCCAACCTTGATGTCTTGAATGATTTCCAATATCATTTTTGTTGAATCCTATCCGTCTTATGTTAGGTACTAGGGGCTCAGAAACCCTCGTCAAGAAATAGGTCATCTGGATTTTCAAGTGAGGAAAGCTTTGCCAGCGGTCTTGCATGTCCTCAGTGTGGTAACATGGATCTCTGAATCATTTGTGGTTATGAATTAAGATGGTAGTTTTAATGGGTATAGGCAACTTTTATTTTTTTATCTGATGAATTTAGTATTTCTAAGGGGTCATGCATATTTAGTTTTTTAGTTTTGCCATCGCTTTGTTTCTAATCACTTGGGTGTTTGCCTCGCCCACCTATGAGCCTTTGAATGTATATTGTGTAATATCACTCAATTTTCAAACGAGATGCGTAATATTTTTTTTAACTTATAGGTTCCATTACTCAACTCAGGTATATAAGGTTAAGGGCCTGCAATGGTGGTATTTTTTTCTCTTGTAATTGACAATCCTTATTACTTGTAACTGAACACTTCCTTTTTACTTTGAGTGGAAAATATCTGTGAGTCGGGGTGGCTCTTTGGGCATGAGCTTGAACTAGAATGCATCTGGTCGAAGAAACAGATGAGACTTAAAAAAAACATCGGGAAAAAAAATTCGGCTAGTTTCCACCAAAAATGTTCAATGAAGCGGTCGGCGATGTAGATTTTCAATTTTTCATTTATAGCTGATAGTTGGCGACGTGGATGCTGTGTTTTGAAGCAGACGACAGAGTTGTAACTTTATCTGATACATTTTCTGGTTCTCATTTTTTACTAGGTGATCTTTCAGGAAATCTGATTGGTGGTTTCAAATGTAACCGGGCAACTGCTCATCTACAATGTCAAGCATGTAGTGGCATGATGCCTTCACGGCCTGATGTTGGTATCCCTCAACAGTGTATACACGAAAACCAATCTCTCTTTTATTTTTTAAAAATTGAGGTTTTCTTTTCCTTCATCGACGTGGTTTCATGATTGCACTCATATGCGATATTGTTCCTAACTGTATAAAATCCCTCCTCCCTGGGTTTTCCTCAAGTACGTAGTTGATATTCCTACGAACATTGCATAAACGCACAATTTGTGAATGCTTCTCCTCCAAGCTCATTGTTCTTTTCCTTTTTATTTCATCAGAATAAGGTCAAAGTGTTCATCAGTGATGTCAAGAAGCATAGAGATTTCCACACTTGTGGTTTTTGACAAAGCAGTTATAACATTACCCTTGACTAAAAACAATATTCTCTTCCCCTTTGGTGATCCTCTCTGATCTCGTCGACACAAGATAACCATCATCTTTTTTACCCGGATTTATAAATTTTAAAAAAGTGAAAAGATTTTCATAGAATGGAACAACCCCGCTCAGATTAACTGATATTTGGCCTATTTAAACCTGATTGATCTGTTTGATTGGATGGCTTTAGCCTTCAAAGAGGCAAGCAAGGATGATAAACTTGATAAGGAAAGTAGGGAAGAAGAGAAAATGGAAACCCTCAGCTGGAAGAGGAAGAGAAGGGAAAATGATAGAGAAAAACAGCCCACCCCAATGACCTTTGGGGTCTTTGTTATGTCCCAATAAGATACCCATGTGTAGTATAGTACGTGATCATAGCTTTAGAGGTCAAAGTGGAAATACAATGTTGTCTGGTGTGATTCATTGTGTCTAGGATCCTGATACCTTAGCCTCTGACACACCATACAATGCTCAGAACATTTGACCTGTGCTTCAACTTTAAACTTGAATTCACGCTTGCCTGGGTATAGCATATGATTTTTATATTCACATCGAGCGTTTGGCAGTCGAAAAGTAGCATTTGTTGCATCTAGATTCAATCTTCTCCCTCTAATTGTATTAAGATTTTGTTGCAGGTTTAGGATGTGATAGAGCATTTTGTGGGGCTTACTGGCGAGCCCAAGGATTGGACCCTGGAGGCGAATATACAATTTGCAGCCCAGAAACCTTTCAACCTGTATATCATCCATGCTTCATGCCGTAGTTGCTTTGTGCTGAATTTTCACTTATTTCTAACGGTTCTTTTCGAAAGGTTGACCAGGGACTGCGTTTATAAATGAATTTATGAAAATTTCCTACAAGTTTACTTCTGTCGCTATTTTTTTACGACTCTACATTGATATTAGCATCCTGATATTTTATTGCTTATTTTCCTCATTAGTTTATGTTTATATAGGCTCTTTGATGGAGCAAAGCGAACTATAATGGCGTCATTTTGCATGTCTTGAGGCGCTAATCTAATAGATTTTGAATGTTTTTTTCGATATTTTTGGTAATAGAATATTCATATTATGTTTCCCATTTGCTGCCCCTACCGTGTTCTAAAACTATTTTTAAACGATTCTATTTGCCCTTGTTTCAGGCTAGATTTGACCTGGAAAATATATTTTCTCCATTATATATTGTTGACTAAAACTAAGAAAACGGTCCAAATGGTTTTATGAGAGCGTTCCATGAAAATTATCTGATTTTATGTCTCGAGAAAAATCATGCAAGTAAGAACCATGGAAGTGTCAGGTGACCTGGCAGCCTAGTCAGCATCCAGCAGAAATATAGATCAAACGTTGACCTCTCTTCTTGCCCAGTCTTGCATGTAGCCGAGAAGGCCTTTGACCTGGCCCATGGCACACAGTCTTGGGGCTCATGTTGGGAGGAGTGTGCTACCACCATTCTCTCAAACTTCCTCACTTCAAATTATCTTTCATGTATCAAGTATAATTAGATTAATCTCGAGCTCTGATGATTTTAAAACTGGGAACCCACCCAAGTGATCTTCTTCTTCTACCAATCAGCAACTAAGCTTGACCTCTGGCTACAATAATCCTGTAGTAATTCTGTACTCTTGTGGGCTCATGAATTGAGCATTAGAACCACATACGGTTGACTTTTGGTTTATCCTGCAGGCTTCACGTTGGACTATCTCAAGAGTTCCAGATACAACCCATGAATATAACCGCTATGAACAAGATGTATAAGATCCCCCCCCCCCTTCCTTTTTTGTCTATCTTTCCATTCCCCCGTCCATATTTTATCACTGATGCATGAGAAATTGCTGCTTTAGATCACAGAGTGGTGCATTCGGCAGATGGGCAAGACAGTCCAAGCGACAGTATTGGAATGGATTACGAAGCTTGACAACAGGGAAATCGGTATCTTAGTTTCTTCTCTCTATATCAGATGCATGATCTTCATATTGGCCATTTATGACCTTGGAGAGATTATCAATTCATAAAATGACGTTGGCGAATTCAAGAATCTTGATGAAGAAATAATTATTAATATTCATAAGTTAGGCCGCATTATGTCTACATTTTTGCAGACCGTGCAAGGCTGCAGTTGAAACATGCAGAGGCCGTGACGTCTAGAACCCACCTGTGCAGGTAACCATCCATGCAAAGTATCTTAATTTATATGCGAATTATATCTTATTATCATATGATTAATAGGTCAATCTATTCCTCGCAGGGTTTTGTGGAGATATTCTATTTTATTCTAATTTGTATTGCTCTTTGACTAATGCAGTGATTGTTTCTGCAAGCTGGTCAACTTTCTCTTGTACTGGTTCCGACTATCGATGCCCAGACATGTGAGTATTCCCTGGTCTAGTTTTAGGGTTGTTTGACTTTTTACCTCTCCGTAAACTCGAATTATTACTAAGACCATATTACCCCTTGGAAATTTTCCAACGCCTACTAAGTCATCTAGTTAGTCTCCATAAGAATTAAGGCCCGAGGTAGCCCCACGTGGTTTCTCTAGAGAGAGAGAGAGAGATTGAAGGGTGATATGATGTCTTTCAAGAACTAGATTAAACCATGATCAATGCAGAGATTAGAAGGAAGGCGACTAAATAATAATAGTAGGGTAGCTTTCAGGAGCATGTAGATCAAAGGTGGAAGAAAGAGAGAGACTTTCCGATTATTCAAGCAGTTTTTCAGAGGCCATAACCAGACAAGACGTCATTCCCCTCGTCGACAATTCCTAGACTTTTTCTTTTCTTGCTGAGAAAATTACCCATCCACATTTCGTGATCATCGGAAGTTTATGAATATTTATTCATCATTGTTGAAGCTTTATCTCTCTCTCTCTCTCTCTCTCTCTCTTTCCCCTTGTTGATAGAATTGAATTCATGCCTATAACTCTCATGCTGGTTCCATTTTGGGGCAATTAACCGGAGACTTGGCGTCTGCTTCAGCTTCTTCCGCCGGATGCGTCCAACAGGGAGGACTGCTGGTACGGCTACGCCTGCCGCACCCAGCACCGCAACGCCGACCACGCCAAGAAACGGAATCACGTATGCCGTCCCACCAGAGGATAGCCTTCTCTCTCTCTCTCTCTCTCTCTACTTTGCATGAGAGAGAGAGAGGGAGATGACAGTCTATCATGTAATGGAGCTTCAATGGGTATTTATGAACTGTTCTTCAGAATCGGAATCAGAGTTGGAGGTGTTCTCGAGCTGTTCTTCAGGTTTAGAATCCAGGGTTAAGGATTTACGCCATAAAATAATTAGAAAAGCTGGTAACTTTCCTCTGCCATCAGATTGCTGAAAGTCAACCCCCGTTTCTCGATGCCCATTCCGGGCCCACCGAGGGCTCGGACTCCCTTGCAGACGCAAGCAAGGAAGCAGGCGCGTGATTTTATGGATGCTATATTTTTTCCCGATCTATGGTTATCACGTGTTATCTCATTCGATCGTTTTAAGAGCCGTTTGCGTACGGCTGAGGTCGGCTGATCTCCCAGCTGGGCGAGTTCCGACGCCCCGCACGCTACGTTCCCAGCAGAACAAGCCACATTGGGATTATCAATGCTGACACAGTGGTCAGAGAGAGAGAGAGAGAGAGAGAGGTAGGTGGTAATCCCCTCCTCTCTCCTCTCTACTCTCTCTCTCTCCTTCTCTCTCAATCGCCATCTCCTCATCTCTGGACAGGAGAGAGGAAGGACAATGTGGGCGATTGAAACAAGGGATGTGGAATCAGTTCTCTTGTTCGTACATAGGATGAAGAATCACTTCCATACTGCAACCACCTCTACCCTCTCTCTCTCTCTCCCTCTCTTTCTCTCGGCTATCTTTCGAACCAGGGAAAGAATCAATGGCGGCACAGAACGAAAGTGTACAACAGTGACCCCCCTTCGGACCCACGAACAGGAGAACCCCCGAGTCGCGGCGAGGGCAAGAAGAAGCGAACAAGGAAGAGGAAACGCATATATCCGGAGGGGGTCCATCCCGCCGAACCGGAGATCATCAGCTTCTTCACGGAGTTGACTGGGAGACCAACCCCCCCTCCTTCCCCTCTCCTTCGTCTCCGCTGTAGACGATCGTCCTCGTCGTCGTCTTCCTCCTCTCGCATTTCCAATGCAGCCAGGGTTTCAGTCACTGGGAGCTCCTCTGCTGCTCGTCGTCGCTCTCCGCCTCCTGCGGCGGCGGCGGCTGCTGCAACTGGTGCTGATCCAAGGCCTGGTTTTGCTCGCCCTTGTTGTACGCGCCGAGAGCCGCCAGCAAGCCCAGGTTCGTCTCTGACATGCCCATCCCATGATGCTGGCTCGCCGCCCCATGCTGCACGTTAACCCGGTGCATGAACTGGAGCGGCGGCGGCATCGCCGCCCCGTACTGCCCAGCGGCCGTCGGGGAAGTCCACAGCGAGGACGCTTCAGCTGGGCCGCCGCCGCCGGCTCCGGTAGCGTTGACGGGGAGCATCCAGAACGCTCCTCCGCCGTTTGCTGGCGCCGGCGCCGCCACGGCCCACATCGCCCCCGCAGGAACGACATTGGACGGCCTGATCAGCTGGTTGCCGGCGGCGGCGCCGCCGCCGCCAGTTCCTGAGCTGGGCGAGGAAACCGTAGCCGCCCTTGCGCTGTCTTGCTGCCGGTCGTCGTTGAACAAGTTTTCCCTGTAGCGCTTCCTCGAGTAGGCATCGCCGTCGTCGTAATTGGGGCGTTGCTGGCGGTGGTGGTTCGCGGCGCCGGCAGCGAGCGCGAGAGCGCTGTGGAAGGCGGGGGCCGGCACGGTAGATCCGCCGCTGCTGCGGACGGAGACATTGAGCGAGGAGAAGTTGGCTGGGATGGTTCCAGTCCCCGTGGTGGCGATGATGGCGGGCTCCGCCTGCTGGAGCAGCCACTCAATCGTTTCCCCGTCCGACTTGTGCCCAAGCTCGCGGGTCAGCTGGAAGACACGGGCCGCGCAAGGAGCCGGCATTCGGATGCGACGGCCGCGGCCGTCGACTTTGGTGTGCCTGTCCTTGGAGGAGCGCTTGGAGGAGAAGGCCGGAGCGGCGATGGCGTGGCCGGACTTGGCGGAGGAGATGGACAGGGATGGATCAACCTGGCTGGGCCCTTCTCCACAGTCGTCGCCAGCGTTCTCCGCATCGGCGCCGCCGCCGCGAGTCATCTCGTACTGCTGCCTCTGCGCGGCGTGGCTTCCCCGTCCACCGTGATCAGCAGGGTCCATGCCTGCCGTCTGTGGTGAATTCCTTTCCCCTCCTCACGAAGACGACGGTGTCCCCCCTCCCCCCCCCCTTTTCCCGTCCTTCCGACAAGAAGCGAGGGCACCCCCCGATCTCCGTCGCCGATCTCTTAGGAGGGAAAATCAGATCTACACCGGGAAACAAGAGACGGAGAAGACGACCGGAAGCCGGCTAGGGTTCCTCCGTCCCTCTGAACACGTGCAGCGAGGCGCCTTTGTCCCCACACCCTGCGAGAAAAGAGTGGGGAATACGAGAAAGAGAGAGAGAGAGAGAGAGAGAGAGAGAGAGGAGGGTCGGGCACTGGGACCTTAGGGTTAGAGCCGTAACCCCTAAAAATCCTACGTCGCTGTCCTCTCTTCCCCTTCCCTCTACGCCCCGCTGTCTCTGTCTCCGTCTCTCTCCGGCACCTTCACAATTCTTTCTTTGCACTTTGAGCGGGGGATTTCTTTCCCTTCCTCTTTTCCCAATCTGCAGAAAGCGGGTCCGATAGGGTCCATCAAAAGCCGAGCTCCCCCCCCCGCCCCCCCTGTTCCCCGGCGCTCGTGGGGCCTCGGAAGGACAAAGCCTCGTCACAGACAGCTCTTGAGAGAGAGAGAGAGAGAGAGAGGGAGACAGACAGACAGACAGATGGGGAGCAACCCACCGAGCCCTTACCCCTCTCTCTCTCTCTCTCTCTCTCTCTCTCTCTATCTATCTACCTCTTTCCTTTCCCTCTACTCGGTCATCCTCCGTCTTCTACTGACTACCCACTTGCTGCTTTCCCTGTGTCCGCCAGCATCGCAGCCCCCAGGTAACATGGCAGCGGCAGGAGGGGCGTCAGAGGGAGCATCTAATGCAGACGCCAGCTCGTTCCCATACTCGAACAGGATGAGTGGGGCGAACCCTTTTCATGATTATCTGAACGTAAATGGAAATAAAAGCTGCGAGAAGGATTCATTCATTCATTCGCAGGGTCGTCTGCCAGTCAACTTCATCCCGCTCCACTTCTCCGGCGTCCGTCGGATCCTCCATCAAAACTCGCATCTGTCCTTCAAACCAACATATCGTCTAATCTGGTGATCGATCAGATTGTGGCTCTCTCTCTCTCTCTCTCTCTCTCTCCCCCTAGATCCGTCCTCTTTGGTCGTCAGATGCTTTCAAAATTCGCACCTTTTAAACTCAGCTGCGTCTCATTCCCGGCGTCCGCTAAAGAATAATCTGGTGATCGAACGGGCAAGGGGTTTCAAGATTTGCGAGGGGCCCCCCCTCTCTCTCTCTCTCTCTCTCTCTCTCTCTCTCTCTCTCTCTTCCCCCTCTAATTCACATAGTGGGACGACTGTAGGGCAGTAGACCCCACACCCCGGCTAGTGTGATGAAGCATCGGTAATGGCGGACGTTGAGACTCCGGAACTGGCACAAGAACCAGCATTCCTCTCTCTCTCTCTCTCTCCTTCAATCGCGAAGCATGCTCTTCCCAGCCGCAGAAACGCCGAAGGGCGAGACCCAGCGTCGAAAGGCAAGCTGGGCAGCTCCATCGCCGCCATTTGCTGGCGGACGCGAGGGTGGACGACTGGCGGGGGTGGGGACGGAGAACAGTGAGAGAGACTCGGCGGCTTCTCGTTCCCCGAGTCTGGAGTTAATGAACCACTCACCAGTGACGGAATCCCTTCTATTCATGCATCAGCGAAACCTGTTCATGCAGTCCTCTTCTCTTCCATCTCTCCGTCTCGAGCTCCCGTCTCAGCTGCCGGTCACCTCTCCCCTCTCCGCCTAGCTCAACATCTACCACCAAGCCCTCCTCTCCTCCTCCCTCCTCTCCCCTCTCCAGATTTGCTCAGAGCTCTGAGAGAGAGAGAGAGAGAGAGAGAGAGAGAGAGAGAGAGAGAGAGAGAGCTATGCCGATAGAGGAAGAAGGGCGTACAGTGGACCGATAGAGATAGAGAGAGAGAAAGAGATGAGCTCGCCGCAATAAAAATGGTCGGACGGAAAACGTGGAAGCTTGTGAGAGACGGAGAGAGACAGATCGATAGAGAAAGAAAGGTACACGGGAGAGAGAGAGAGCGAGAGAGCGAGAGAGAAGAGAGAGGGAGCGAGAGAGAGAGAGAGAGAGAGAGAGAGAAGAGAGAGGGAGCGAGAGAGCGAGAGAGAGAGAGAGAAAGAGAGAGAGAGGGAGCGAGAGAGCGAGAGAGAGAGAGAGAAAGAGAGAGAGAGGGAGCGAGAGAGCGAGAGAGAGAGAGAGAGAAAGAGAGAGAGAGAGAGAGAGCGAGAGAGAAGAGAGAGGGAGCGAGAGAGAGAGAGAGAGAGAGAGAGGAGGTGAGCTCGCCGGAGTGAAAAATGGTGGGAGAGAACGAGGAAGCGGTAAAGCAGAAGGTGAAAATCTGGAGGGGTCCATGTGAATTTTCCAACTTAATTTACAATATCTACTGTGCTCCGTGACCTCCATAATTCCCGGAGATCTTTCGTGTGGCCCACTGGGCCTACACTTTTATGGGCCCGCAGTGATATGGCCCCACGGCGGTAGCTTGGCCCATCCCTCTTCACCATTCAATTGGGCCGCCGCGGGGAAAAACGACCACCACGTGATCTCCCGCGTGATCCCATTAATAGGCCGGCCATCTCCCCAACTCCTGCGGCAGTATGTGCCTCTATGGGCCCACTAGAAAGGGCCCAGTTCCTGATTCGAACATCGACGGCCCACACCACGATATGGCGGATCCCCGCCACCGGATGGAAATCGAACGGTGAAGAACAACCCACGTTATTAGTAAATTAGCAACGGCTACCTACAGAGACGCTCGCCGACGCCGCCGCCGATACCACAGCCGCTGCCCCCGCCGGCGAGATAAGTCTGTTCCTCGTCTTCTTCTGCTGCTGCTGCGGCTGCTGCTGCTGCTGCTTCGTCCACCGCCGTGGTTTCTGCTGGAGACTGGAACTGTGCAGAGAAACGCGAGAAGAGGAAGGTCCGTTAATGGCCACCGCTCGGGGTGGGCGGCTCCTCTTCTGAGGGTGGGCGGTGCTCGTCGTCGGAGCCGTCAGCCTCCGGCGGCCAAGGGGGAGAAGGCGGCGGCGTGTAGAATGGCGGGGAGAGGCCGGCGGATGAGAAGGAAAACGTCGCTTCTACCACCTCTCCGTCCGCCGCCACCGTCCTTCGGCCGCTGCCGACGGATCTCCCGCCGTCGTCCAACTCCAGAACTTCCTTCTCCTCCTCCTCCTCCCTGATGGTGAACAGCGCTCTGGAAGCGTACATCTGCTGTAACTTCTCCATCTCCATCTCGCCGGGGGGCGGCGGCGGTGGTGGCGGCTTCGCGGAGTCGCCGGAGTACAGGGGGTTGACGACGACGGAGGTGGGTTCCACGCGGGAATGGTTCTTCCTGCGGAGGATGCAGAGGAGAAGCCCTCTGGAAGTGGGCCTTGCCGGAGACTTGCGGGCGCCGGCAAGCTCGGGATCTCCGGCGCCGGCCCCCCGGAAAATCCGGAAGTAGAAAAGCATGTAGAGGATCTCGGCGGCCAATGCGAGGAGGAAGAAGCCCAACATGGGGATGAGGACCAGCCCGAGCTTGGTGAGGCCGCTCATGGCGGCGAGGAGGGAGATGAGCGGGCTGAGCAGGAAGAAGAGGGGGTTGACTAATACTCCGTAAACGTGGGAGGGGAAGAAGAAGGGTGGGGGGTCACCGTTTCAGAAGGTCGTTCACCTGCTGCAGCCGGTTTCACATATGGAAGACTGAATGGGGTTCCCATACTAGGTAAATGGGCTAGCGGCAGGGTGAACGGGCCGGTAGTATTTTATGGGCCTGTTGTGGTCAAGGCCGCCGCCTCTTGGGCTGAGCTAGCTGGGGAAAAAATGGGTCTAATGGGTCTAATGGGCCTATTAGGCCGGTTAAACCATTCCCGCTCTTAAACCTTCTAAAATGACGGTCCTTCATTGTACCATAGCCCATCACCACATATAGGAAATTTTATGGTGATAGTTATTGATGTTAGGGTTCTGGGGTCCTTTAAAAATTGACAAAACATGAACAAGGGGCAAAATGGTCATTTCATAACTTCTTTTTATAAAACATTCAGACTCTGGAAAATCATAAAAAAATTAAAAATATGAGAAGTGCCCATAATATTAAAAGTTGTTTAAACATTTTTTTCGTTATTATGCATATTTTGGAAAAATAACCAATTTAAAGTGAAGAAAATTTAAAATAAAAGAAAAGCTCTCATACCATGCCTAAGATTTCAAGCCCATGCGAAAGAGCTTTGGATTCATGCTACAATGATTTTGCATCCCTGGCACAAGGCCTCATATCTGCACTATGATATGAGTTGCCTATGTCATGGTAACCATATCTAGAAACAACTGACCATGAGTACATCAATTTATTAGGGGCTCGAAGATAGCCATTAAATGGCAATGACAACACTTATTCCTACTATTTATTGGATAGATGAAAGAAATTATAATTTTCCCTATAATTTTTTTAAAAAAAGAGATTGTAATTATCCACTAATTCATCACATTTATATAAGTTATATAATGACTTGGCAACTCTTCAAAATGGAAATCAAGTTCTAAATTGTTAGCATCCAAGCTAGGGATGAGGTTGCTATCTCTCACTAAAAGGAGGCATTGTGTATAACATTTAATTTCCATTATAATACTAGTTCATTGTTGACATTAGGAGCACTTGGGTGCTTTCTAGAACAACTAATTTAGAATTTGGAGCTACCAAAAAATAAAACAGGACAAAAACTATAGTAGTTTGGCTTCTTAGAGTTTCAAGAGTAGAAAAAATTAGCTAAGGAAGATGTTAATAAGAGTTTTACTTTATTAACCTCCTAGAGTCGTGAATTTAGAAACAATTCCTAGATTCATTGGAACCTATTGGAGTAGTGAAGATAGTGGGGGTGCATAAACACCAATATGACATGCCTTTTTACTAAAATATAGAGAAAATTAACATAGGTGAAAATTTATAGACAATTGTCTCTATAGATTGTTGGCCTAGAGAGGTGAACCATTCTAAATATTGAGGGTTCGTATTTTTTATTCATTAGAGTCAACACTCTAAGTTTTCTAGAAATAATTATGTTCCTATAATACTTTATAGTCATTCAAGAAAGTCAATTCACCCTTCTCTCTTATAACCAACAATAATCCAGCCTTGTGCCCTAAGAAGTAGTAATGTATGTCTTTTATTCAAAGAATATATTTTCAAAAAATATTTGAATCATCGTAGGCAGCAATAGCATAATCTAATTAAAAATAAAGTGTTATATTTTTAGAAACAGATAGACATCAAAAACCATACTTTCACATCTATGTTGTTCCAATAATGTAAATTCCCTTTGTTTAAGCCGCTAGTCCATAGTAAAATCACCTAAGGCCATTTGTATCTTCTAATCTGTGACAAATCCAGAACCTTTACACTATATTCCACGTGGCATATGTAATTATAAGCATATGCTGACATGTGATGTTCCTCAATGCCCAAATTCTAATGCGCCAGACGTTTCAGGCCCATGACAGAAAAGACCCCCGGGATATTACGTGATGCAGATGGCAATCCAGACGTACAGCTCATGGAAGATCTAGTGGCGTTATCAGACTTATTAGCGGTGCTTGGAAGATAAGAGACAGATAAAACTTACGAAGTGCTGTGGAGGTAACCGTTAAGCTTCCTCTTTTGATGAGGAAAGGAAGCCCGATAAAGCGAGTTCTTTACGTTCTCTCACCTTAGAGCCTCTACCTCCGCAGAAACCCTAACTGGGTCTTCGCGAACTCCCACCGGGAAATCTCACAAAGTCAGGTTGTCTGTGAATGGTTTCCGTCCCCCACATTCACGTGCTCCCCTCTTGTTTCTTTTTGACTGGTCTTCCCGTGGCGACCGCGAGGAACCCGAGGAGCAAATGAACAAGAGCGAGAGAGAGAGGGAGAGAGAGAGAGGGAGACATATGGGCTGGCTTCCAATCGTGCCAGGATTGGATCGGACCCATCTTCTGGGATCAAGCAATCATCACGTCCCAATGATGAATAGCATAGAATGATATACTGGGATATTTCGGGGGGCGCGGCGGCGGGGTGGAGAGCTTTCCGATCCGAGGAGTCGCTTACTTTCATGCAGATGGATTCGGGGGATCGATGGTGACTGTGTCAGGAGGAAAAGAAAACGGGCGCAAGTTTCCCTGCAGAGTCTCAGGGGGTGTGGAAACAATGTCCCCATTCAGACGAACCTTTCGCAGACGCTTTGGCCGGAAGAGGGAGGCTTTCTCTCTAACGGGAGGAAGGATGGAATGGTTGGAGGCGTGGGGCTTTGTCTTCTCTTCGAATTTAGACTATCGCATAGAGGGGCAATTCTTTGGTACGACAATACCTTCTCTCTCTCTCTCTCTCTCTCTCTCTCTCTCTCTCTCTCTCTCTCTACATATCTATCTTTGTCTATCTCCCGTAAGCTTCTCTCCATGAAATCCTGGAGAATAGTACGTAACATATTCTGGATCGTTTATACATTACTATCGACCATGTGAGTATGTTGGAAATGGGAAATAACACAAGGATATTTATTTCACAACTCAAGCGAACGGTTTTCTTTCAGACGAACACCGGAAATTGTATTTATGCATAATATATTTTTTCTAAAGAAAAAACCCTTGAAGAAGAGATTACTTCATGCCACCAAACGATTTCCGCCTGTTTATTTCTTGTCTTGGGACCTATGAACTTCTTGATGGATCGTTATTAATTTTTCTCCATATAACTTGTGGAAAAAGAGAAGCCATCAATCAGAAGGAACAACCAATCATCTTTGAAAACTATCAATCGTAATTGGTAGCTCAAAACATTATTTCTAGCCTCTCTCATCGTGGGAGATGAAATTAAGAAGACGAAGATATGGTGTGCACCGAAACTTAAAATGGACTATGTTAACCCTTGATATTAAGATTGTGGCGGATGAATGGGTTCCCAATTTTTTTCGTCATTTCTCGTTTTCTTCTTTGCTCCCTTTTTCTTACTATTACTATAAATCTCATAATCAGTTATATGGCCGTCCATCTCTCTCTCTCTCTCTCTCTCTCTCTCTCTCTCTCTCTCTCTCTCTCTCTCTCCCTCTCTCTCTCTCTCTCTCTCTCCCTCTCTCTCTCTCTCTCTCTCTCTCCCTCTCTCTCCCCCTCGATAGGTTACGTATGGAAACCGTTTTTTAAAAAAGATGTATGCACTCAGATTACCCTTGTCTGTGCGCGCGCGAGCGTGAATGAGTGAGAATGAGAACAATTTACAGTTGACAGCATGAAAGTGAAAGAGAAAAGATGGGGAGAGGAGCAGCCAAAGGAATTCTCCGATTTTGGTATACAGCGGCTTCAGGGAATCGGGTGAAAGCAGGCGCCAAGCAAGGTATTATAACGTCTGTCAAAAGGGTGATGAGAAAGAAAAGCCTAAGGGAGAGAGAGAGAGAAAGAGAGAGATCCCATCTTCCGGGGTGATCTAACAGCCGTGATGATCTGACGTTTTTCACACATGGCGGAGGTGGGTTGGGCGTGTGGAGCAAGAATGGTAGAGAAGGGATCGTACGGTCCTCGTCATGCATGCGCATTCGGAGGAGATCCAGGTTTAGAGAAGGGAGAATCTCGACGTTCCTAGAGTTACCTCCGCAAACGGGGGGAAATTTGTAAGGGTAACTCGGTCAACCCGCATTTTAGGAGAGGTCTCTCCAGACCTCATCCCAACTTTGTACTGACTTATTACAGCTTATTTGCCCCTTTCTATATCATTTATTATCTTGTGGGCATCCTGTCCCCGTGCTCTCTTCTCTCCGCTGTGCTGTCATGCCTCTTCATAAGCCCATTAAGTCTTAGGTCTCATTCCTTAATAAATTTGATGAACATTACGAGAAAATGTAAAGAAGTGAGAAGTATGAGAAAACTATAGGATGGTCTCTCTCTCTCTCTCTCTCTCTCTCTCTCTCTCTCTCTCTCTCTCTCTCTCTCTCTCTCCTCGCTCCCTCACTCCCCTCCACTTCCTCTCTCTGGTGTTCTGTTTTTTGTGCACACTTTCCTCTCAACATTACCCCTTTTTTCCGGGTTTAACAGAGCCACCGTCGAATTATCCCTCTTCTTCATGCGTGAGTAATTATGAGTCTCCAAGTTTCTTCATACCTCGGCAGCTCCCCATGCAACAACGCTCAGAGTTTTTACGTCCACGTGATGAGAGAGAGAGATGCTGGCGTCTCCATTCCGGTTAAAGGAGAGAGAAGAATGAATAAAAGAAAGAAAGCGATTAGTGCAAGCCTCCTCCCTTTCGAGTTTAAGGTAAAGCGAGAAAGTGAGCAACCCAAAAGTGGGGAAGCATATAATGATGTTGGGATTTCCGCGGGAATGAATGGGCATCTTAGAGTGGGACTGTCAGTGGGTTTGGGTAACTCCGGAGTTCGGCTAGGTCCACCCTCTCTGGACACAACGCTTAAAACTAGGGCCATGCGAGGGGCGTCACACCAGGGACTTGGCGAGGTCCAGTCAACAAGCCGTACGATTATTTTTCTCTCATTTTATCATCCAACGATAGGTCACATGGCCGCTCATCCCCCTCTACTGACCCAGGTCTTTCCGGTGCGGTCCCTTGCTTATCAGTGCAGGGGCGAATAGACCGCTTTCCAGGATTTTCTCCCAGCATATGTCCGGGGTGGTGAATTTGATAAGCCCTGGCCCGTTATCTGCAGAGTGCTTCTCCCGAATGTGATTAGCTTTTCCCGCACCAGACATGCTTATGAGCCGACACACGACGATTTCCCTCTTACAGTAAAGAATTCGTTTGCTTTGTCGACGTCGCCCGCAGGATGTGAGATAATCTAAAGCGGCCAAGATGCTGGCTATCTCTCAACTTCGAATTTAATCGCCTTTCGAGCTCCCCACAACTTTTCGAGGAGGAGAATGTCAGGGTTAAGAAAATCTAAAGCGAGAAAGGGGAGTTCTTTTTCAAAACACATCGGCAAGTGTGAAAAGGAGCGCAATTTCAATATTTCTTCTAAAAGAAGATTGTGCTTTCCCTTCTAAAGTAGCCGCCTCTTCGCACCACTCTCAAGTTATGAATCTTACCTTAAACCTCCTCTGATTCTCCACCGTTTTCTTTTTCTTTTTCTTTTCGATTTGAAATCCTTACTGCACACCGCGATAGTCTGTCATGAGGTTTGGACGTAAAGAAAAAACGAAAAAGTGGGTTTCAAGCTGGACTCCAGTGAATTCATGGCTGAGACCCGAAAGGTTCAGTGAATTCATGCCCTTAGTATAGGAGAGATGGGAGAGAGAGAGAGACGAAGACTGGTCTTGGTCTTCCGTTTCTAGCCGAGCGCTGAATATGTGAGGCTACCTGAGATTATTTAATTAACCACTCCCCATTTTGTGGTTTGTGAAGCTCCGGGAAATAATGATTGCCGTGGCGGATGCCGGTGCTTGGTGACCACTCTGGTGCATTCGCCAATCCGAGGAAATTCAACTCAAGCTTCATGTATGTCTTCCAAGACCATGATTCCTTTCATTTCTCGAGGTTATCACCGGCCACTACGATCTCTTGACGAGGGAACAGGGTTGCTATAGCAACGAAGCACACCCACACAGTTCGTGTGATCTCTGTCTTCATTCTATATTCCATGGACCCTTCTGTTTGGCCAATCGACCCCACAAACAGATATGGACAACTGTGGTTCGGTCAATAGTGGGTGCTCCAAGTGGCGTGGACAGCATCATTGCCCAAGGAGAGCATTTCTCTCAATGTGAAGCCTACTTTCTGATCTCCCATGTAAACCCTGGAAATTTTAAACATTAGATGAAAATAAGATTCTTGATTAATATATGTAGTATGGCCTAAGCTGTGCTCTTTTATGATTTTTTTTTTATGGAAATTAACTTCTTCAAGCATCGTCGCGAACTGGGCTCATCTTCATCCCCTCGGCAAAACCCTCAACGTCAGCGTGGACAGGAAACAACGGGTTGGAAAACGATCAGATAGAAATATGGGAGAAACCTAGCTTAACCCTCAAATTTTGGACGTTAAAGAACTAGACATACTCGCCAAGTACAGCTTTGGACGCTCATTTAATAGATTTAAATACCTTTTCTAGATCTCGTTCACCGAACCTTCAGGCTTAACGGCAGTCATGGGCCTGATTTTGCTTTATTTCAGAGGTAATGATGATTGGACTGTTTATGAATGGAGGAAAATAACAGCGGTATTAATAAAAGGTACGTGATCTATCTCCTTTGACAGAGACTGACAAATTTCTTTTGTAGAAAGAGATGGAAGATGGCAAAGCTCAAGAAGATCGCATACATGACGACTGGCCGTCGATTCCTGAAAGACAAGCGGGTCCTAATGCAGTTGGTAAAGGAGACAAGATAACAAGGAAACTCCAACCTCTTGGTCCACCCATAGGAAGCAACGAGCAAAGAGAAAGAGAACCAGCCTCTACAATCCCCAACTTACGAGAAAATCGCTACCAATATACAGATCTCTTCAAATTCATAAGAAGAAATAATGAAAAATATAATAATGTTTTGGTTTTCAACGGAGGAAGGACGAACTTTCTACAGTCCCCAACTAGAAGTCGTCGTTCAACTTGAAGAAGAACCGCCCGTCTACCAAACTGAGTAGGTCAATCTCGTCGTAAGTCCAAACTTGTACTTCATCTTCATCGTCGGCTGACAGATTCAAATCCAACGATTTGAAGTGGGGTTTCTCCTTCTCGCCTTCCAAACCCTTTTCTCCATCGCTCTCTGACTTCTGCTTGACGGAGGGAGAGCAGGCCCTTGATCTCGAATCGAAGCTTTCACAGCTGAGGATGATGATCGCGTCGCTGAGACCGACTTCCTCGCCGTCGGAAGAGCGTATCTTCCCTCGCTCGATTGCGTTCCTTATGTTTATTTGGGTATAGTAATCCATTTGCTCTACGTCTTCCACTAGTACGACGGAGTGTGGATCCTTGCGGACGGCTTCTGCCAATCTCTCTGTGTAGCTGTTGCTAGCTTCTGATCTGGGCCGCTTACTTCGGAGATCGTCGCTTGATCCAGACCTTGTTGAAGCAAAGCTACTCAAACCAAATGAAACGAAGCTTGCCGGGGATCCAAAGATGAGGCAAGCCAAGCCCCTCGCTATCCTATCCTTGCCTTCGTGGTCGCCACCTTGAAAGAGCAACCACGTATCCTCTCTGATCTTGGAGTTCGATCCTTCTTTCCTTCGCGTCATTCCCGACCTACACCGGAGAACGGTGGCCGCGATATCAGGAACTATATCTTTCTGCCACGTAGCCTTCTTCTCCAGGGCATGGCACAGTGACTTCAAGTTCTCGGCATTTAGCTCCTTGAAGCTGTTGGGGCGGTCTGCTTCCATGGTCTCACCGGACGACGTCGAGAAAGGACTAGGGTCAGGCTTAGAGCCTGCATCTGCGGCCTGAGATGCGCAGCCACGGTGGTCAGCCCAAGGACTTCTGCCGTCGGTGGGGACGGGCCAGGTTTTGTGCTTCTGGAGTAGGCTGCACTGTTTTTGCCCATACGACAAGACGGAAGAGGAGGTCGGAGAGATTGAGGAGAAGTTTAGGGTTTTCTCCTGCAAGAGGTGGTGATGCTTGCGGGATGAGCTGCATGTGGTATTCCACCTCCTGCATAGATCCCCGATATGCTTCTGTTTACGGTTACATGAAACACAAAATACATGGGTTAAACGATGCTCATTGGCTAATAATCATTGAAGCATGGGAGAAGATGAGATGATCACCTCGTTAGAGGCCGCCGTCCTTCTATTTTCTTCTTTGTATTGCTGGAGCCACGAAGGAAGGCTGGAGGTGACGGAGCCGAGGTTGCTGCCGCAGCTATTCGTCAGGCCCTTCGCCTGGATCTCCACCTTAACGGGAGCATCCCAGCAACCGAGCTTGTTCTCGCCTCCATTTTCAATCCGAGACCACGACGATACATCTCCATTGATGCCACTGAAACAAAAAGCAGGACGGCAAAATATCAGCAGAAGAATTGGGGTGATATTCTACTCCAGATAATCTATGGCAATGCTTTTAAAAGTTTTTAATGAATTTATCTATGTTGGGGGGAGTCGGAAACAGGAAGAGGAGGCGTGGGCCGGCGAAAGGCTCGGCTGTAACCTTTTGGAAAAGCGAAGAGCTCACAGCAATGTGAAAATATACCTAACGGATTTCTCGTTCGATTCAGTGCTTTCTTCTTTTTTGTTTATCGGAATCGACGATCGGAGGAGGAGAGGGAAAATCTAGCGAACGGATAAGGGGAGAAACCAAAAGAACACCTCCCACGTCCCAGCTTTTCATGGTAAAAGCCGGGGGCTCAGCTTTCCTTTCGAGATTCACAATAGGAGCTCTCCCTCTGATGAATCAGAGAAAACAGGGTGATCTTGATTATCCTTGATTATCTCATGATTGCGGAGAGTTTTACCTGTCGCAGCTGAGGCTCAGTCTCAAGCTTCCTGAGGGAATGGTTATGGGGACGAGGCCCCAAACAGCTTCTAGAGAGGGATTCCCGGTCTTGCACCGGATGTAAGTCTGATATGTTGCGATCCCCATGAGCCAGAATCTGCCGCCACTGGTATGCTCCCCAGACCAACCGGAGGAAAGCCTCCCAAGCTCCATGATCACGTGTTCTACCGGGCAATAGCAACTCCGCCCCTTTCCCCCGGAGGCAGAACTGTACTCGGCGGCCCACTTCAGATCCCCGAGGTACAGGATAGCTCCACTCTCCGCGCAGTAGCTCTTGAGGAGGCATCTGAGCTCCCCCAACTTCTGCTCCACCTCTTCTCTAGAGAGGCACCTGAAGGAGATGAGAGGGAGGCTGATGAACTGCACATTCCCAAAGATCTCAGGCACCTCCGCCTTGCCGATGGTATCCATCACAGCTTTCACGACTCCCTCAGCAGTCGTCGAGCACTCACCAACGATCACTACGCTCCTCTTCCTCCGGCTGACCAAGAAGTCTACGACGGCCTTCACGTCTTCTTGCCTTACTTGATCCGCTGGCATGGCTTTGACTGAAGGGGTTGAAGACCGGAGGCTGCTGGGATTGGCCTTGGGCTTGGCCGCGGTGCCGGGAGAGAGGGGAGAAGACTCGGATATCTCCAAGGAGACCGCCTGCTCCACGTTGTTCTTCACCTGGGTACTCGAGAAGCCGGCTTCTCTCATGACCCGGCTGACGCTTGGATCATCCAGGATGGAGATAATCAGCTGCTCCACCTCAATCTTCACAGCCAGGAGGGGCTGCTGCTGGGTCTCGATGGAACCCCGTCGCTGCTGGGCCTGCGCGCGCTTGAAGGCCGCCACAAGGGCGTTGGAGAGAGACGGGGGGTAGTGATGATGGTTGTAGGAAGGCTGGGGGCCGAGCATGGGGACCGAGGAGGTGGAAGCTGGGAGGCGGTTGAGGGCGACGTTGAAGCAGAGTTCGAGGGCCTTGCACTGGAGGGGATGAGAGTGGGACTGGAGGCAAGCGGCCCTGAGGATCCCCGCAGAGGAAGACAGCATGATGTTGGCGACGTGAAGAGGGGTGACCTGCGCATGGCCACGGCGCCGCGCGAGGCTCACCGCTTGCTTCACAATCCCAGCCGCCTCCACGGTCAGGGCTTGCTGCACCGTGGAGCCCCCAGCTCTCATCGTCTCCCCCTTTCGATCAGTCAGCTTTCCTCAGGAGGAGGGGGGGATGATTTAGGAGCTGGGAGGCCTGACCGTACCCATTAGATGCTGGAGGAGGACGAAGAGAGGCGCGTGGGGGTGGACGAAGAGAGGAACGGAGAGAGAGAGAGAGGGATGAGGGGGGAGGGAGGAGGCCTTTTAAGCCATCTGAGTGCGCCAGTCTAGTCCAACGTTCTGTTCTGCTTGTTCGCTGGTCCCTTTATTTCACGTCGGGCTTTCTTCTTTTCCCCGTCCGGGTAACTCGCTTTACGCGGGCGCGTGGAGGCCCGCCAGGGGTTGTGCTTTCCTTGACGGGGAAGGGAGGGTAAATTGTGGGCTCAAACTTGGTTTTACTGTGGAAAGCGCATGGCATGTGCGGACAAGCCGCATCGAAGGCAATTCGGCTTTTCCTCTCTCTCTCTCTCCCTGGGTCCGACTCTCGTTCTTTCTCATTTACCATCTCTCTCTCGCAGGCTCTAACTCTCACTCTCACTCTCCCTCATTCATCCTCTCCCCGTCCGGCACCGGCTCTAACACTCTTTCTCTCTCTCTCTCTACTTTTGGACTCAAGTTAACCGACGACGAATGGAATGCATTCGCGTTTTTATCGTGTCACACCGAGTTGATGCCCAAGTTTCGTCACATCATGCAACTGGGGAGCCACGTCATCAGGAGTCCCGAGACATGGATAGTCCGCGTGGCAACAGCGATAGTTCTGGTTGGGCCAACTTATGTGGGCCCATGAAGCCCGGGGCCACACAGTGACCAGAGTCGATGATTACGGGGGGGACGGCTGACTAGGTCTTCATTTCCGTGGGGGAAAGAATAATAATGAACGCCACTCGGTGGACGAATGGGCAATGGGAGTGGGCTTCTGCAGTAATGTTTCCGTAGGGTCCATTAAAGAAGGCTCTCAACCCCGCACCCTCCTCCCGGGAAAGAGGACGCTGCCTTGTGGCCCTTGACAGAATCGAGAATTCTCTCTCTCTCTCTCTCTCTCTCTCTCTCTCCCTTGTCTCTTCTATTATCGCCTACTGTCTCCTCTTCGTTCCTACTCTCTTCTCCGCACTCCTCTCTCCTTCTTTCCTCTTCTGTCCCATTCTCTCCTCTCCTCTTCCGTCCTCTTTCTCTCTCACTCCCGTCGCTGCTCAATAATTTCGTAAAGGTAGAGGCTTTTGCCCAGCCACAGCTTCTGAAAGAGCGGCGGGAAATAGAAAACCGGTCACTTCCAGGGTGGCAGGAAACGCAGACGCCTCTCCCCGAATAATAAACTATGAAACTTCGATCAAAACCTTTTGGTGAGGCCCGAGGAATCCCCTCACTTGGCCCGCAAGCGATCAAATCACCCCGCGATCTCACTGGAGACCGCGCCTTTTAGAAGTGGAAGAGCGTCAACAACAACCGGACTTTGGCTAAATTTTAGGCCCATCAATGGTTCCGATATGGGTCGAGTATGTGATCGTTGGGAAATAATTCATCATGAATATTTAAAATAAGATTATGTACACGTCAAAGGCTTGATATCTTATTAAACTTTTAAATGATATTCTATGCTAATATACGACCCTCCTACTACCCGTCCAAAGGAGGGCTATTTCCTTGGCTAAGATACTTAGGCTCGGAGACGACGCCCTCCCCCCCGCTCCTGGTGAGGGCACCGAGAAGCGAGACCATACCCGAGTCAGCCTTCCGTCGATCTCCTGGCAGGGGTTGGGGCTCCTTCAACGGGGGAGCCTCCTGTAGTCTATATTTCCCGCGGAACTGAGAGTCTTCTCCGGAGGACGTACAGATCCTGTATGTGGTACGGAGGAGGAGGGGCCGCGGGCATGAAATAATCTACGGCTGGCAGAAGAACTTCTCTTCTACCGCAGGGACCGAGCTGAAAGGTCGGTCATAGGTCAGTCTTCTTTCCTCGGCGTGCCGTCGCCACTGCATGGAAAGGAGAGCTCCACCACCTGCGTCGAGGTGCTGCTGGGGGGAGGCACGAGAGATGTCTCTCCCTTCCTCAATCATCTTCGGGGGGGGTCGCTCGTCTGGAGAGTCTGCATTGGTAACTACTTCCCACGAATCCAGATGGAGTCGGGTGAGGATCAGGACACGAAAAACTTCGAAAGAAAGAAGAAGAGGAAACAGAAAGAGGAGGCGTGAGAGTGTGTGAAAGAAAAGGAGAAGCCCATTACGAGAAAGGGGGGAGATGATGAAGGAACAAGGAAATACCTCCCCGGCAACCGAGGCAGTCTATGTTTCACAAAGCTGCTCTCTTCCACCCGATGGAAAAGGGGAGGAACGTAGAAGGCATCTCCTGTCTTAACATGGCCGATGGCTCTCAAACCCTATCATCGGAGTTCTAGGTTTTTCATCAATCAAACTCCAACTTGGGACGACACCTTGAATCTATCCCCCCAGCAAAGCTGGCATCATTATCGCACGATGGGAAGCTTCAACACATTGGGATTCCTTAAGGGACGAGTGAGACTGAGATATTCAAGTCGTCTAATGCCCTTCTCTGGATGTAAGCTCGTGCTCTCGTCTCCCCATGGAGCAACGAGCTCGAGGGCTTGACCACGTGGTAAAGATCTTGCTACCTAATGAGCTTTCCTCTCCGAGCTACTGATCGAGATCTTAGGCCGGTCTTCTCTCCACTGCTTTCTCTCTCGGAAGGAGGGAAGGAAGAGGCTTCTGCACTACATGTCTGCCTTTTGAAGGGGTGACCGGAGCCAGTCAAAAGCTCGGGGGTCTCCGATGCCCCAAAAGAGCACGAAAAACACAGCAACATTATCACAGGTAAAAGTGAGATCATCAGTTGATACTCGAGGGCTCCCCTAAACAAGGAAAAGGCGAGGAAAGTGAAGCCCTTGGAGCTCTGGTTTTCCCTTCTCGGACGGTTTAAGAAAGAGGGAACGTCACAAGGACAATAAAAAGAAAGATTAGAACTTTGTTTCTCTCCCGCCCTTCCCGCAACCCTTCACCCTTTACGTCTCTCTCTCTCTCTCTCTCTCTCTCACCCCGATTTTATTCAAGGACTCCCTTTGCGTCGATGTAACTGCGGGAAAATCCCTGACACCTCTCTTCAAAGGCGCAGTAATCACGATATGGGATTATCCTGATAGGAGAGCCACTGTCATTTAACGATAGGTCAGCCGAGTGTCAAGGGGACCTTCTCAATGCCTGACCGTGGGGAGACGGGGAAGCTGCAATCACAACGTACCCATGCCTACATATCGGAAGAGAAGACGCGAGGAAAGAAGAGGCCGGAGGGGACGCCTGCTTCCCCGTCCTCACAGGAGGTGGAGAAGAGAAAGGAGAGGATGAGGGCCTCTGGGATATCATCCAGACACTTTCCAAAAATATCATCCAGAGACGGTGAAGATGATGGGCGTTACTAGGGGAAAATTAGCAGACCAAGCCGGTTCCAGGCCCAAGTCCAGCCCATGCCCAGCCCAAGATCCTATCCATGGCAAGCCTTCCGTCGACACACTTTGGACCTGCACTCGTTTAGGATCCAGATGGTCTCCAACATTCACTCCATTATTGCGCATCTATAATAAATCCGAAGTTTTTTCAAATAAAAATAACTAATATGATTCATGTCCATACCTCATTTAATAATTTGGAATCTATAATTGCGAATAGAAATCTAATAACAATTAAATAAGTCATATTAAAGCTTCAATCTAGAAAGTCTTGTCCAAGTCAACATTTGACCTTATATTTCTCTCTTTAGAAATGTTCAATTCATCATTTAAGTAACGCCATTCAGTCACAGAGTTCTTGGATTTTTTTCTTACCAAATGATTAATTTATCTCCGACTTCCTGCCCAATTAGATTCTTTAGGGTCCCATGTCCTCTTTTCTTGATTTGATAACACAACTCACCAGATTTAAATCGTGTTATATTAGAACCCAACTTGAGATATTTCAATTTTTTTACTATTTTCTTCTCAACCTCAACTTTTTACTAAAACTTAGCAAAAACTAATGATTTATGTTTTATAAAATATGCACATCCTTTTATTATAACCATTAATGAAAGTGATAAAACTCGAGCTTAGGTTTCCACACATTGATATGCATATAATCTAGAATATAACATAAATAGTCTAGCTTTTAATGAATTTTTAGTCTATTATATTTTCTCTTAGAACAATATTTGCAAAAGCCAAAATTAGCTCTTTATACCTTTGAGATTTTTTTTTGTAAATTTCAAGCATATGATGTTCAATCATAGGACATATGCCAAAAAAAATCATGCTATTATGATATTCTCATGAAAATTCAACCTACAATCATATTCATGATGATCATGTTCATGTTTTCATATTTCAGACACTTCATCACTACCATGTCTCCTCCACTAACCATGAGACATGATTTTATCGTAAATAGTTGTATTCATTTTAATCTAGCATTTCAAATGATATTTGATAATAATAAGGTTTAGTTAATATCTTACATTACTAACAATTTGAATCACTTTATCGTACATCTTTATCTTACTAGTTATTTCAGTAATCCCATAAGCCATACCATTTTCTATAAACATAGATCTATTATCTTAAGGTTTTTTGTGTCAAATTAGTCATCATTTTAAAATATATTTTGATGAAAATTTTAAAAATAATACCTATGATTTTCATCATTAGTATACATTTCACATCATACAAAGGACATCAACACCTTTAACATTGCATTTCATAAGAGTTAATTCATTAAAATAAGAAGTTTATATGCCTTTTTCCTTGAGATGGCCTCTTATGATGGATAGTCCCTCTTCCTAGGTCCCTGTGATGGTATTGACTCTTTGACTCAAGCTTTTCCTCACCTTTTGATTTCTGTTAACTCTTATTTTTATTAGTTCTAAATTTCAATCCTCAATTCTACTCTTAAGTAACAAGTTTGTCTCATGATTCATCCACAATCATTCTTACAAGTTTTTCCTACTTATTGAGTGTTGTTGAAAAAATGATCATATGATGTAGGAAGATACATTAATCACACAGGTGCTTTCTCCTCCTTCTCAACTGACTTCTTTTTACCAATAACAAAGATATAATCATGTTGAAAAGATTTAAATACTCTAGAAAATTCAAATGAATCATAGGTTAAATATGGTTTTTTGTTTACAAAATAACTTGTTGCTTAAAATAATGCCACATAGAAACCCTTGAAGTTGTATTACAAATATAATACTATGTCTTCATGAAAAAAATTAAACATGTCCACTAAGAAAAGTAAAATCATGCATGCTACCTCAAGCTTTCTTACCTTGAAATGCTCAATTTTTTTTAGATACCTTTTTGAATAAATAGATATCTAGCTCTTTGTAGCCATAGTTTGAAACTTCACTTTCTCTAAACTATCTTAGACATATGTTATAAATGGGATATCTCAAGACTACATAACTAAAAGCTGTGCTCGTACACCATTTGATAAAATGTTGAGGTAAACTCAAAGGCAAACACCACAAAAGAAGTCACAATAAACAGGAAGAGGAGAGAATCAACATCATGCTGCTTAAAAAATTTACACAGAAAACCTCAATAGGGGGAAAAATCATGGGATATGGAAGCAAGATATCTAAGAAATGAAGACTCTTCAGTTTGAACTCACTATAACTTCTCTTCCTCTCTACATGTCTCAAACTTTAATGGCTTGTCACCCAACTCTAATCTAAGTTAGAGTTCGTGCCTTAATAAAAGACAAAAGAGCAACTCCTAGACTCTCACTTCCCTCACTCCATGAAAACAAAGAAATCAACACACTCACATTATGTCACACATGTTAATATCAAATATCAACATGAAAATTTGATGCAAAATAATTACAAAGATACTAAATTTTCTCTAGATGTCTTTTATTTTGTGAAATATTTAATATAGTGATAACATAGGCCTAAATTTTCTTATTTTTAATAAAATATTAATCTAAACATTACAACCAATCTTCAAAGAATAAGACATTAGTGATATTTATCTCCACTTAGGAAAGATAGTAGACTCATCTAGAATTTTTAAGTAGTATCAAATTCATCGATGATTAATAAGTTAAGGCTTCACTAGTTTAGCTAAATCTAATTCCAAATCGAGTTTGAGGAATGATTAAGCAGTGATGGCTTTCTCATGATATCTAATATAATGGTTATTGAACAAGAAAAAATCATCAATGGACAATGTTTTTGTTCCCTAATCTTGACTTTAAATTTTAATAAAACAAGTCAACAAATCAAAAGTAAGTTAGGGGTTCTAATATGAATTATAATAGAAGAGGACCCTTATTTTGTCCCACTTTATATGTGGACATGATATAAACAGCAACCTAGACCATTAAGTCATTCTTAACTTTGGGGATGACTATGTCAATAGTGAAACATATATTAAGAGGGTCAATGGTAAGAAGGCCCAAATCCAGCCCAAGAGAAGTCAGAGGGTGAAATTTTCAATTCCTAGTCTAGGGTTGTTTTCTCTTTTTATGTATGATCAACTCCAATGGTCATAATGTGGGAAGTTGAATGAACATCTACTACATTTGTAAATATGAGGAGTACATCTACTACATTTAGAAATATTAGGGAGAGCTTTGAAGTTATTTGTACTTTGATATGTAAGTTAATGCCTTTAGTCCATGACCATATGTGCTTAATAATAGGCAAGATAAGCATCCCTAGATCAAGTAAAGATTATGTCATAGAACCATTTTGGAGTAAACTTTTATTTGATTATCATAGATATATGCCATTACATAGAAAAAATGAACTTAAAAAGACATCAAGAGCATGAAGAGTGAATGGATACAATCATCTAAATAATCCTCTAACAAGATATCATATCATCTCCCATGTTGTCATTAAATGCTAATCAAGTATTGGATATGACTAACCCAATCATCATCATGCCATTGTGGGAGGAGGGGGGTCTATCTTAATATTTCGTTTGATTGTCAATATAAAATTAAATATTTTCAATATCATCTCTATTACTCTTCTCTTTTGTTTTTTTGACATTAATTTGGTCACTAGCCATGTATTGAGACTTCTAAAGTTGAGAATGTTTTACCCTCAACTCTTTTAATTTTTAATTGAATATTCTTGTAGTCATGTTAATGTAGACAACTTAATCTAAAAAATACTAATATAGCTGGGTTCTAAAGAATTGATATCAGTAACCTCCATTGAACCAACTAGATTAACTCCCAACTAATTTCTTCTAGATTCAATGGTTTACATTGGCATGAGTACTAGAAGTATTCAAGTACAAGTCTAAATAAATATTAACTAAAACCTTTGTAATTAAGGCTGTGATTCTTGGATATTAGAGTGCAAGAGGACTGAACTACTATAATTTATAAGTATGATTATATAAGAGTTAGATAAGAGTATGATACTTTATGAAGTTAGATAAGAGTTATGTTTTACGTATGATTGTCATATTTAATTGTTATAACATGTAAAGAGTAATAACATATCCATACATTGGAAGTATATAATGTTGCCAAGTGTTAGACGTGTTTGTGTTAACAAATGAGAGTTCATCACATACACATCATAGATCATTTTCATAGTTCACAATTTGAAAATAAATAAGTGTATTCAAAATTGATTACTTGAATAACTACATTACAAGATGGTATTAATCAAAATATACATTAATGATATTCGAAATAATCATATCACTAACAATGAATCTAAGAAATTATATCATTGAGATATTCTTCATGTTGAATATAATGCAGCATTATATTACTCAAACATAAGTACATAAGAATATGTGTCAACAAATATGACAAAAATTTCATGTCCAATTTAAAAATACGAAGCTACATGTGGAATTCAAACACAAGACCCAAGCGACCTAAATTAAATAATTTCAACAAGGAAAATGTTTAAAAAATCAAAACACATAAAGTTAAATATGATATTTTAACTCAAGAGATAAGCTACAAAAGGTGAAAATTATTGTAGTCAAAATATTTGAATATCATGAAGAACAAGATATTGACAGGATTTGAAATCGAGGCCTCAGTATTGACACACTAGAAAGCTGATTAAGAAAATACATAGCAATATCAGATAACCTATGTCTAAAGAAGGAATTGAATTCATGACGTACACAATGACTAAGTTGTAGTGTTCATATGAAGTGCTCACAAAAGTATAAAAGTCTTAGTTATATGTTATAAATAGTAACAAATCAATACCATACATAGAGAAAATGATAAAATAAAATAACTTACATCAACTCAACTTCAAAAAGAAATAATCATTGAAGTTTTGAATATAATATGTGACATAATTACAAGTCTTGAATGATGAACAACTAAAATTCATCAGCACACACTTTGGACGATAAGATGTCCACAAAATATATGGATAAAATGACAAACTCAACTATCTTATCTAAATTCGACTCTAAAGGTAAAAATGTACATCAATCCATTACGTACCGCTAGACATAAAAGGACAACTTACATGAGAATGTAAATATTCAAATTGAAGATTGACCGAAGGTTAGTAACACAAATTCTAAATGATATTATGTTAGAAGAATACACTGACTAAATGACAAACTCAATTACCATATTTGAGTTAAATCTTGAAAGTAAGAAATAAAAATTGAAAGCTTTATTGTACAACTTACTCTACAGTGGTAAATCAAGTCAATGAATACTTCAAATGTTAACTCTCTCCATCAAATCCTAAAGTAACCTATGGAGAAAGATTTAGACTAAGGCACATGATGTTGAGAACTTGTATTTATGAGGGGTGTGATTTTTAAGGAGACCGGTGTATTTAACTTAGGCACATGATGATGAGAGTCAAGCTTTGTCTATGAGGGGTGTGATCTTTGTGAAAATCAGATATAAGTGTTTGAGCCATTGATCATATGAAATTAGCTATAGTTCTAAAAAAAATAGTAAAATTTAGTATGAAGGTTCTTTCAAAACTAGATGTAACCTAACAAAAGGTGAACTAACATAAAAACCTTTGTGTCTCTCATGGTAACAAGTGATAGAGAAACTAGAATAAATTCATGTAGAAAAGAAGGCTTACTTAGGGTAGACACAATACAAATATTGTGTGATAACTTGAGTTGACACACACATAGATAGAATAAAAAATATAAAAAACTAATTAACCCCCTCCTCTTGGTGTTCTACTTAACCACATCGAATCTAATAGTCAACTGTTGGGAGTGTATGTGTTGACAAATGAGATATCATCACATGCACATCATATACCATTTTCATAGTTCATAATTTGAAAAATAAACAAGTAGTAATATCAATGCGTTATCTTATCTCTCTTAGCTAATTTTAAATTTGACTTACTTGATGACTTTAAAAAGATATCAAAGTTGATAGCCTTAGGAAATGCACATATTAATCGTGTTTCATATCTCAAAGCCTTGAAATCTACTTGCAAGAGAGGAGGATGCTTTAAATAACCTTTATTTCATCTATAAAACAAATAAATCAGAAATAATGCTGATGGGTCTCCCCTAAATGTCAATTAAATTTTATTTAGATACTCTAACAATCTCATCATTACTTTTTGCAGAATAAATATAGCGAGTGATAGAGGATTGATAATCTGCTTGCCATTGGTGCTTATAAGTGGATATGTCTAGAGACCAGCCACGTGGAACCAAGTGCAGCGCAAGATCCTCGTGACTTTTCTCGGAGCGTCACAAGCCCTCAAGATTGATAGTTATGGACGGTATAGAGATTCATGCATGAAATCCCTTCACAACTACGCGTTCCCACGTGAGCATTACGCGTTGTCCCAAACCGCCAATCCTGCCAGCCGGCGGACAACTGGGCTCTGGCGTAAGCGAGGATTCCCTGCTATCCAACCAAGTCCTTTAGATCGCGATCCGCCGTCAAAATCGATTATCTGACAAGACAGAATGAGTGAGCTGTGGACGATGTCCACCGCCCACGTGCGATGGGCAGCCACTAACCATCGTGTCGTTGGCGCCACTCAGAAATTGCCCCCGGTTTCTTTCTTTATTAGTACCCCTGTTAGAGTGAACCCCGGTTATACCGTTTGCTTATCCCCCAGTCAAACGCGAGCTAGAAAGTGATTGACGATTTTATTATTGTCGGAATGGTCAACGGCGTCCGCAGTGTCAATGAAGTGAGAGACTGAGTGAGAGGAAGAAGTAGTCAACGGCTCTCCAGACAGGACTGCCGCCGGAAACCAATCCTCTCCTGATCCAAGTCGAAGACCATGTAGTAATTCTGCTGCTGGAAGCTCCCCAGTATAATGGACGGGCCGCCGCCCGCCGCCTCGCCGGCGTCCGTCACAACGGTCAGGCACACAGCGGCCCCCGAGCTGCCGGCGACGGCGAAGTAGTTGCCCACCGGCAGCCTCATCGCTGCGCCGCCTTTGAAGTGGAAAGCAAGCTCCGGGAGACTCAAGTCGTCGCCCTCCGCCGCCGGAGAGAAGCACGGTCGTAGCCCCGTCAACTCCTCGGCAGCGGCAGATCGGTTGTATCGGCCGGCGACCCTTCTCTCGATGGCTCGTGCCACTGGCTCGAAGATCCTCTCCTCCATGTAGGTGAAGGTCGTGCCGGAATCTATGATGGTGCCGCCGTCGCCGGCGGGGAGGGGGACGAGCGCCGCGTGAGGTATCTTCACCTTCTTGCCGTCGACGGTGATCCTGCGGAGACAGAGGTAGTAGTAGCCCGAGAAGGGCGAACCGAGGGAGGGATTCTGCAGCAAGGGAGTGAAGGAGAGGCCATCTATGGAGGACGCCGGAGCGCCGCCGAGCTCCGCAGTCCCGTGCTCACCGGCGCTGTCGTCGTAGCGGCGGGAGACGAGGCAGTACGAGAAGCGTCTGAGACCCAGCTGCGACGGTAGAGAAGCTGGGCCCCTGCCGAAGCCGGCAATACCGGCAGGGGGCTGACGGCTGGAAAAGAGAGAGCAGCCGACGGCGACATTGGCGACGGCGGAGTCGCCGGCGGCGATCTGTAGGGACTCTGAGAGGAGAAGCCCTCCGGTGGAGCCGGAGCCGTAGAGGACGGTGTAGGGCGGGCAGGCCGGGGAGCAGTCGGGCTGGCTGCCGTTGACTGGGCAATATCGGCATCGGGAGAGAAAGTCCGGCGGGTGGATCCAGCTGCACTTGGGATTCCGGCAGCCGATGAGCTTGACGGAGGAGGAGGACCTGGGGAAGAAGACGGGCCCTCGGGCGGCGGCGGCGCCGCCCGGGCAGTCGCTGCAGAGGTAGGAACGTGTGCAGGGAACCCAGACTAGGTCGCTGCCGGTGTCGAGGACGAGTGGTATCCGTTGCGGCGGCGTGCCGATTCCGAGGGTCAGCGAGTAGCCGCCGTAGGAGTGAGAGGCGAGCGGCGTGCGGGAAGGACCGGTGGAGGAAGACCTGCGGCGCCGCTCGGGGTCCTTGAGGTGCCGAGCACGACGGAGGGAGACGGCGGCCTGCCGCGTGAGCTCTCCCCGCTGGTCGGCGGCGGTGGAGGTGGCGACCCGGGTCAGAGGGAGGCGAACGGCGGTCGCCGGAGCGCCGCCGAGGACGGAAAGGAAGATGACGAGGAACCCACAAAGCCGGCAGCGGGGGAGAGTCGCCATGGCCGCGCCGCTGGATGGTCCCTCCCCACTTGGCCTTCTTCCAACCATTGATCCTCCTTGTCTTCAGTCAACACACGGAAACTCGTCGCCAGCTGCTGCGGCGGCGCCACCACGAAAACGGGGGAGGAGACGCACGTGGTGGGCTCTACAGACGCACCGAGAAGCCGGGCGGCGGACATAAAGCTGTCGGAAGGGCACTGAAGAAGGTGATGAAACTCCACCGCAACGGTCGTGTAGTCGTCCAAGACGGGAGAGTATATATATAATACAGAGCTGCCTCAGAAGAGCTCCGGGCCCCTCGCCCTCTTCCTCGCCAGGTAGCGGTCTCTGGCTGCGGCCACCGCGTCCTCTGTTCTCTTGTATCGTTCCACCGGCGGTTGCTCCTTGGCGGCACCTGCCTCTTCCGCCTCTTCCGCCTCTTCCGCCGCCGCCGCCGGCTGCGCCGCCGGTTCTGGTGGCTGGGAAGCGACTCCTCGGTGCCGTGGGACGTCCGGGGTGGAGGCTCTGCTGGGGGAAGCTAGGGGTTGACTGTATTCCTTGACCTGCCTCTCAGCGGGCCTATCAGGTGCAGGCTCGGGTGTTACAGAAGGCTTCTTGGGTTCAGATCCTCCGGCTCCAAAGGCGACGTTTTTATTCAGATTGAAGTAGAAATCAGTGAGATCGCCCTTCGTCACCTGTTGGGCAAAACCATATTTTGACCCGGATTAGCCATGCCGGAGATCTGATCTAGGAAAAAATAATGCATCATCAAGCATTGTTTCAGCAGCCGAATCAAAGAAGAGGATGAAGGGCCATCGACCAGAGATTATCATGTGATGATAAAATAAAATAAAAATAAAAAGAGAGAAAAGGAATAAAGGACAGATATAGAAAGATCCTAGACCAAAGATTTTTTTTTAATTTCCAAAATCCGATTCAAAATAATTAATATTCAACTGCCTTCTCTCCTGTTCTCTTGCTTCTGCTGGCTGCAGCAGCCTCTTCTTCTGATTACTTTTGACTGTTCTTCAGCTCTCCCTCTGGCCAGAGGAGAGACAAGGCCTTGAATTTCCCTATCCATGTAAGATCAGCCATTTCGTCCAGGTGCCAAGTCACCACAGAATTGTCCAGTCAGCATCCAAGCCAGTCCAGGTGTAGTTTTGGATGTGGAGACATATGCACTAGTCATTATGCAGGAGAAGGGAGAAGGCTCCGAATAGAGGATGATTTCTCTTTCACCTATACTCTGATAGACTCACTGTTGTACTAGGCTTTTCATACGTTGACCGTAAGGTAGTGATCAGGATCTGGGTCCTCTTATACATGTACTCATTCAGATTTAGATCAAAAAGCTCAGCTACCTGGACATGCTTTAGTTTGTTTCACCATATGAGAAGACACCATATGAGAAGTACTACTTTCATTCGCGAAAGAATAAAATAATAAATATTTAATGAATTTCACTCAAAATAACGATTTGGCTAAGAAAATCTGAATGAATCGAGTGTCTTGATAGGATCACAAGGACGCCGCAATTTAATAAAGGAAGGAAAAGTCAAAATGAGTTGGAGAAGCGTACATCATTTTTCGCCTCTCGAAGTTCACGTAAGCGCTCCTCTTCCAGCCACTTTGCCTGCTCAGCAAGCTTTTTCTTGTAGCCAGATGTAACAAACTTCTCTTTGTCAGAAAAAAGGTGATCGTCTTTGCTTCTCTCTTTGAGCAACTTCTTTTCGTAGACGATTTCATGCTCTCGCTCCCGTTCTTTGGCTTTCTCCATCAGTTTCAGTATGTATTTTGGCTGAATGGTAAGGCATCAAGACCATTAGATCCTCATATGCAATAAACTTAAAAATGAAAATGTGTACATACAGATGAGGAAAAGATAAAAGGAATGACAATGATCTTGACATACACAATTATTTCCAATAAATCACAACCTTTGCATTTGCATTTCAACGTCCTAAAGGATGGTTTTGGTCAGCATTATATCAAAATACTCCAAAAACACGCATTGGATAGAAGTATTAGAACTCTATCGTAGGTCCACGAGTCTACCTGATCATCGGAATGGCCTTCAAATGCTTTACGCACACATATGTATAAAATGCAGAGAACATCGAAAATTCAAAGTACTGCTGGCCGCAGCAGATTGAAGCACGCACAACGCATACGTATTAGTCACGGTTGTCTTTTACTTCTTCTTTTCACTTGATTGAAAATTACTAAGCTTGTTCCTTTTCAAGGGTTTTTTTCTCCGTTGTGTAATTTTTATGCTCACTCACAGATGTTTTAGTGCTTCAGTATGATCAACAAGAACTGAAAAGGAAATGCTATGATGAATAAAAAACTTATTCTGTTCTTTATCAGACACGGCATTTTGACTCATTTAGTTTCATAAAACAAATTTTCAAGTCATAAGAATATGCAAATAGATTTATCCTCAGGTAGATAATGATCTTGTTCGGACATAAAGGTTGAATGACATTGTCTTCATAGAATAGTCATGGACTAGTCTATGATTATTCTAGAATAGTTTCATAGAAAGCTTCATAGAATAGTCTCTTTAATCTGCATTGTATGTAAACGTTCAGAACCAGTCATCCAAACTAATTTAAAGGAATATAGTGTGATCCAAGGGGTCTACAATCCAACTTCCAGAATTTTCAGCAAGGTGGTCCGTTTTCACCAGCTAGCAACTATCAAGTCTACAGCGTTATAGCGAAAGTAAATCTGACTTCAGGCTGGCAGCACAAGTTTGATGATAATGTTGATCATTTATAAAATGTCATCACAAAGGAAAGGATAACAATGAGAACCTTGAAAAATAACTATCAAAAGGTAATAATACTAAACAAAAAAACCATCCCCTCCTCCAAAGCTTTACTAATAATTTAATCCAAGAAAAATTATTTAAAATCGCAAACATATTTGTCACTCAAAGAATGAGTATTTGAACAAACTTAAGAAAAAAAAGATCATGTTCTGTCTCGAAGTTCACTTTCTTCTACTTTTCTGAAAGATATTTTACAGGCGGACTGGAAATAAAAAACTACAGTGCGTCCATGTATCTTTCTTTGTTGATGGTCGATGAAGGCCAAAATTTATCAAAGCGGAATGAGAAAATTGAAAAGTACCTTCCGCTCTGTCTTATCCTGTGCAAGAGGCCGGACAGTCTCCTGCTTAAACTTATCATATGCCCCGTCATAGTCAAAAATAGAAGAATCCTCCGCTAAGGCTTTCTTGTGCATGGCCTCTGTCTTCAGAAACAAAAAATAATGAAAAGTGAGGACACCATGAAACATCAACTGCCAATAAGAAACCAGAGATGAAGGAATATTTAAAGGTATGTGAATCAATTGAGGTAAACGTAGAGACTAGAGAAACGTAGCAGAGGTTCTGAGTATGACCTGAAAGCTGCGAAATTTTCATTCCCAAGCTTGTGTATACCACACATCAAGAAATAAAGAGCTAGACAATGCCAAGTAGTGAAAGAATTACGCTATAGAAAAAATACGGAAGAGGTTCGAGGGAATTCCCTTCGCAGTTTTCTATTGGAATTAAATCAACCATAAAATATCTAAATCTCCAGAATAGGCATTAGATATTAGTCATCCTAATGTGTATGTCTTTATCGTATATCCTATTATATTAACGTTCATCCTAGCGTTTATTTCGGAAACTATGGTCACTGCTTCATGCGGTGGATCAAGTAAAACATCCAACTTAGGCCTTCCCCCTATAAAAGTTTAAAGATCAGAGTCAGGGAGCCTTACTTCCTTCTTCGACCTTTTCATAGCAGCCTGGCGGGCGATATCCTTCTCTACATCGTCGTCATCCTCATCCCCAGCCCCGAAACCAGGAGCCGGAGGCGGGAGGGTGGGCCTGGTGGCCACTGGCTTCTTCCTAAGCTGCAAACCGTACCCACTCATATCGGCGCCTTCTCTGCAACCAGTATACCGAGGTAAAGAGGAATCGACCGAAGAAACCCTAGATCCCGACAGACCCTTGGACTGCCAGCGCCACAGGCGGTTCTCACACTCCTTAGACCGGCCAACTTCTCGAAACGCCGGCGTCACGGACCTCGAATCAAGCACCCCCCCGCCCTCTCCTCCCACCGACCATTCCCGGCTACCGCCGTCGGGCGTTCCTCGCCAGTCCCTTCTCTTCCGTCCTTGCCGAGGAAGAAGACGATGATGATTATAATTTCCAAGTCCTCCACACCCACCCCCCTCAACCGGACAGAACCGGACAGGTCCTTATGTCTCTGGCATGAACCGCCTGTGAACCGAACCGGGAATGACGTAATCGAACCCGGTTCTACCCCCGCGTTAGGTACCCTTGACAACAGCAGACGTAAAATACTACATTACAATTTGTTAATTAAATATTATTTTTTAACACCCACTTTTATAATTAATTTCTTGTATTTCCCATATTTTTGTTTTAAAAACCAATGTTTATAATTAATTGCGCATACACCCTGTCTGACCCGAATCGGGATCGGCCGATCCAACCCAGAGCCCCAACCTGGCTGGAGGCTGCAGCAGGCGCCATCACCGAGCGAATCCTCCGCCGGCGCCGGGGCTCAGTGGCCCTCCGGCAAGACGGGTGGCGCCGCCGACGCCGCCTCCTTTCCGCCGGGGAACGGTCCGAGAACGCCGCCACCACCACCATGGAGTGGCGGCGCATTCTGGGAGAAGGTGGGTCCACCAGGAGCGAATACAGAACGCCCTCTGTGTCTGCAACTTTCGGAGCTCCGGCCTGAAGGATTGGTCGTCTTTAAAGTGCGGCCCTGCAAGTTTCCTTTTGCTGGTCCTTCTTCTTCTCGGAGGTCCCCCGGCTGTTCACAATCTGCGCCAACGCGAGATTACGCCATGGAAGACGCTGACTACGAGGAAGGAGAAGACGCGATCGTTACCTGCATGGGCTCCTGGTGTGGTGGGGATGGATTTCTTGAGCAGAAAGGTCTGGGGAAAGGCCACCAGACTGAGGCTTCTGATCTCTTCGCGGTCCGACTCCTCGAGGGGTTCGAAGGAAAATGAGTCAATCCACGTCTCCAGCAGCTCTCCCGCGGCAGGAATCATCAGCTTCTCCACGCGCAGCGATGACAGAAGCTGCCGGAGGAAACAACCGACTGTAAGGTGGATCTTTTTAATGCGAATTTTCTATAAAGAGTAAAATTCAGATCGAAGAAGAAGACCTGAATTTTACTATTTATATAAGATCCTGTTAGAAGCTGGCTGGTCAACCTGTTCGATGGCAGTGAGAAGGCGGCGGCACATGCCTTGCCTCCGGTGCATGGGCCGTGTTCCCATGAACGGCATCTCCGCCAAACGTCTTCCATGGAACCTGCATGACGCCATTAAACGGATTTCTGTGAGCACCTTAAAATCACGCATCAGAAACATGCATGATCTTGTGTGTGGCTACGAGCTGGTGAAGCCAAGTCAACGCTGGGATAATCACAGACCTCAGGGAGGCAGCTGAGATGATCTCGTCATCCTTCTCCAAGATCATCGTATAAAACCCAGCATAATGCAGGCGCTTGAAATTTGACCTGTAATTTAAAAAAAAAAAAAGATCAAAATTATTGCATTTCAATGCACCGGCTGCATGCTTTAATGATCACAAGAGAATCTCAGAAGTACCCGCAGTTGAAAACCGCATGGGATATCATGTCCACGCCAGTCCTGAAGTCAACCACAGGCATGAAGCACTCGTTGAGGACCAAGAGCGCCATCGAGAGCCTCCTGTTGCATTCCATGGTGAGAAGCACTCGCTCATCCGAGTTGACTTCCTCCTGTTCCTCGAGACGCTTGAGCAGAACCCAAGATAAGCCCTCCCCGATCTTGTTCACGATGCCCAGGGAACGAAATAATGCAGCATCAACCTGCAGTTCACGAATCACAGAAAATCACTTCCGGGGTTAAGAAAAGTCAACGACTCCATGATCGATGGAGGATATCAATCATGCTCTTTTTCTCGTCAAAAAATAAGAAAATATAGGATACCTGCTTGCAGTCTTCCCCGCAGAACAACAGGGATTCTGCAAGCTTTTCAGGAATCTGGCTTTCTCTGGTGCATTCCCAGTGATCTAGAGCCAAAAACCATCACAAACGTGTTATTTATACGCAAAATGATTAAGTTAAAAGAGAAAATATCACTATACTAACACTTGCGATAACATTGCTGGCATGTGAACAGGGATAAAGTCTCCTTCTTTCCATCAGACACGGAGCAGAATGTGCATGTACAGTACGGACAGTGCCACCTTCCCTCAGGCAAGGCCTGTACACAGCAAGAAAGTCAGAAAAAAACATAATTTTTGAAAATAATCATTTATCCAGATAATTTCTGATTATGAAAAAAAATCAGAATTCCAAGATAATTGGAATATTCTTTAGAGCAATACCAACAGGATGACCAATTTTTTTCTGTGTGATGGATATTCGACCAAATTTCACTTTTTTCTTGAATTATTGGGGCCCAAAATGAGCAGGGGTTCATTGAGATGGAGGAGGAAAGTCAACGGATGTCGACAGTTTAAGAGAAAGAAAGAGGTACGTACCTTCAGCTGTAAGCAGTCCTGGTGGAAGGTGGAAGGGCAACTGTCGCAGCAAATCAGGTACCCGCCATCAGCGCAGACCCCACAGGAATCATCACTTGGATCCAGGCCAACTTCAATGGTCTGAAAGTCAACCTTCCTCAGCTTCCTCTCTCTCTCCCATGCCTCCATCTGGCACTGCATCAACGACTTCCCAGAAGCAAGGCAAATATCATACCATGGTTGACCGAGGTCGCTACCAGCGTGGGAGTCAAACTCAAGGAGGGGCATGGTCTTCTCGCAGCAGCTGCACCAGATGCCGTCTCTGGTAGCCAAGCCCCTCACCTGATCGCCTCCATTGTCGTTGACTTTGTGAACCAGAATACCATTTTCGAACAGGATTCCAGCATCAATCAGCCATGATAATGCGGTAATTCTTCCTTGGGGAATCATGCCTACCTGGGCATCATCCTCATTTTTCCTCACCGTCAGACCACATCCACTTCGCTGCCTCCTCTTCCCACTTAGACCAGAAGCATCTCCTGGGTTCCTTCTTCTCGCATGAACCAAGTCGATTAGGTTATTTCTTGGTCGCAGACATCTCTTCGAGCCCCTTCTTTTGGTCCTCTCAGTCTTCTTCAATGATCTGCTCTCCATTTCAATCTGGGTGCTTGGTATTCCACGATCTATCTCTTCTGAAAAAGGAGTCTCCTTTGAGAAAAGATGTTGAACTTCGTCGTGCATTCCAGCTTCTGGGCTAGTTGAATCTTGTGGCTTGTCAGTGTTTCTGGAAGTCAAAGGATATGTCGCAAGCGTGGAGAAATCTTGGAAACAAGGGTCAACTCCCGCCTCTGTATCTCTTCCTCTGTGGGGAAGAACACATTGCTCTTTCTCACACAAGTATCTCTTGGTTGATGGTTCCATACCCATGTCATCAGATTTCTCGTTGACTCCCGTAAAGTGGTTGACTTTGTCCCGATATCTCATTTCTCCGCTGACAAGAAAGGTAAACTTCCCCCCGTCGTTCTTCACCAAACCCCCACCTGGCATTACAGATGAGCCCACCAAGTTTCTCTCACGTTTTCTTTCCGGATTGATCTCCCTTTCAGAGGCAGAATGATCCTTGATCTCCACCTGGTTCACCTTCTTCGGTGGGTGCTCTGTTTCTCCGGAAAGATTCAAGGAAACCCCATCGTCTTCTTCAATGGTTCCTCGTCTTCCTCCCAACTGGTCTGTGCGCGATCCTCGAGGTATCGCTTGCTCTGTAACATCTATAACAGAGATTATATCAACGTCGTCTCCGTTCTTTCTGCCCTCTCGCTCGTTCAGCTTAATCTCCGCCACGTCTGGGCGATGAACCCCGGCGCCTCCGCCATGAAAAGCCTGGGACGAGCTTCGCGCTGTCTCCTTTTTCTGTGAAGAATCTCCGACGAATTTCTCGAAAGCTTTGGCCATGGAGTAATACGCGGAACCCTCCGGGGAGGTGTAGATCGCTTCGCCGCCCTCGCGGGAGGTCACCATCCAGCCGAAGAATTCCAGAAGGTTGACCAGGTACGCCGGCGGGGGCGCCGTACCGGAGGAAGCGTTCTTCGTCTCTTCGACAACGGAGCTGTGGGGGAGCGCCGCCGGCTGCTGTCGCGCTGAAGAACACGGATTCGCGACAGGGGGCAACGAGCCTTCCTCTCTCCTCCCAGTGTTTTCATCCTTCCTTCCCCGGTGACTGGGAATCCTGGGTAATCGCCGGCGGTGCTCCGTTGGGTAATCGCCGGCGACAGTGGCCTGGGAAGCGGCGGAGGGAGTGGCCTCCAGTTGGGGAAAGGACTGGAAATAGCTGGAGTTCCCGAGCCCGACGGTGTTGGTACTCAGATTGAGCACCAGGAAGGTGCCCCTCGGTGGCCGCGGCGGCGGCGGCGCCGCCGCCGCCGCCGTGGAATTCCGGCGCCAAAGTACCATCTCCTGCGAAGGAACCATCTCTCCTCCGAAGCTTCCTCCAATGTCGGTAGCGTCCCCCCCACCGGCGACGGAGATGGAAGAATTCCCGGTGCCGGAGCGGCAGAGCGGACGGGACTATGAAAGCGGTGGGCTCGCCTGTCCCCAGCTGGACATCCGCAGGTCGCCATGAATACGAGCTCGGAAATCTCTCCCGCGCAGGAGGCGACCGCCAGGCCCGACGGAACGATGATCACACCGCTCTGAAAGGAAAACCAGATGGCTTCTCCATTAAACCTCCGCCGAGGTGGATCGTCGCTGTCTTTCCTCCCTGGGTTGGCTGGTAGTCAACGGCATCCCTACGTGCTGCCGCCAGCATGGAAGGGCATCTCTCTGGAGATCTCCTCATCAAATCCTTCCCGAAGGCTGCAGGTTGACCTCTCAACAACGAGGCCGCTAAAAGTCGACGGTCACGTGTGGCGCGATCGTTGACTTTCTACTATTATTATGATTATTTATATTCGATAGATAACCAGGTTCTTTGTGACGCAGCGCTGCAGGTGATTGGCTACGCACTTGGGAGGTGTTTATCTAAGAATATTTGATAGGTTGGAAACAGGACACGTGTAGGTACCGCGTGGACTGAGAGGATCCCTGTCGAGCGCTCGGCACCACATCCTCCTCCCCGCGGGGGGGCGGAAGCGGCGGCGGCGGGGCATAGAAGGGCTCTGCCGCATTGGCCCAACACCCATCTGCCCCCCGGTCTTCTGCTCCAGCTCCGTGGTCGTCCGCCTTCGCGCTCCCCCCGGGGAGCTTCTTGGGTAGGAAAATCGGTGGGCTCCTTTGCATTTTGTTCTGTTCCGAAGGGAAATGCTCGCCTCCTTGATGCCGCTGTGGCTTCAAGATCCTGGTCTGCGGATCGGAAGGGGAGCTTGTTTCCTGCTGAATGTTTGTGTTTGGATGGGGAATTTCCGTTCTATAACCTTGGTGTTCGCGATTTAGGGAAGAACATGGGGATCTCTTGGTGTTTTGTTGTTCTTCTTCCTGCGCGTTGAATCGTTCTTTCCGTCATCTCTCATTTTGATTTTCTTGAGATGGAGCGGGATGATTGTGTTCGTTGCGTCGCGGCCCTGAACGAGCCGGTGTGCAATGATTCGTGTAGAAAGAATGCATGCTCTCGGTTCGTCCGTGCTCATGCTTATTGGCGGAAAAAGTCCTGGCAGATTGAAAAAAAAAATCCACTGTTGAGTCTCAGGCTTGTCTCGAAAACCTTCTTTTTGCTCATTTCACCTTCCTACATATACATATGAACTCTGTTCTTCATGCCTAAGATCCATTTGCCGTCCTCAACAATTTGGGTTCCATCTTTACATGTTTTCAGTCCGCCCTTTTAGGAAATTAATCAAAATCAGGTATCTGTCCCGTTATCAGTATGGATCCATTGCTCTTTAGACTATATGGGAGAGAGCAGAGACTCCCAGAGGCTCCTAGTCGCCTGATATCACCTCAACGTTCTGTGATACAGCGCTGGGCATGGCAGAAACATGGACTCATCTTCCAAATTGGGTCTAAAAGTCAACATGCCAAGAGCAAGGATATTTTTCAATATAATCCTGCCCTCAGCTTCTCATCCATAATTTTCAGTTCATCTCCGCCGCCACTCATACCCATGTACCTATTTTTGTTTCCTTGAAGAGAGTTTAGCTATCTGATCTTTTTTATTTCCAAATTAAACTGAATTCTCTATTTCACTACATAGAAGATAGTTTTTCTCCACCATCCATATTAATACCAATTATATTTTTCCCACATTAATATAATCATTGTTCATCGCTATAGGTGCATTCATCCAACTGTACCCACAAGCCTCGGTTCTGTTTAGTACAACTGCATTATACCAAACATTATTTTTATGCTTCACTGAGCTATTCCTAGAGGAATCATTTTCCACTGATGTCATGAAGCAGGAAGCTAACTCCAAAAAATATAAATGAAATGTAAAAAAAATATATATTCTGAAAATTATTTGTCAAATTGTGTAGTGAATAAAAATTTAGACAAATAATCGCCGTGCCTACCCCTGCCACATAATTTTTTTTCTGTGATGAACTTTTCTATTCCAATCATACATATGTAAGCTATATCAAAGGAGTGATTTTTATCAAAGGTTTTGTGCATCCCCTTTGATATCAGTTTTAAAGACACCCTCATAATTCCTTTACAGATATATTATTCGCTGAAATCACCTGTTGACCAGCTTCTGGTGTTAGCTGATTCCTTTTTCTTAGGAGTTGACTCAGTTTTTTTCCATTATTGTCGTCTGAGTCCGTTATCCACCATCTCCCACCTCACAAAGGAGGAAAAGATAATATAAACAAGCTACTTAAGGCACAGATTTGAAAGTCCTCACTGTTTCCATTTCCTCATCTTATACATGCACCCATTTTATAGCATTGGAGATGGATACTTAAATTTTTCGAAACATATTTGTGTCTATTCTGCAATATGCACCAGGACAGCTCTTCGGACGTTTGACTCTTTTTTTCTTTTTCTTTATTTTATTTTTTATTTTTATTTTTATTTTTATTTTTTTACAAAACACCTGTCAGGCATCCTTGAAACAGAAATTGGGTTCCTTGTTATGTTTGACTTTTTTGTTCTGACTCTTGGGGATTTTGTTTAGCACAGGGGCTAATCTGTAAATCTTTATTTATACCAGAAATCCATTGCTCAATCCCATCTCCATTTCCTTCACGTTAATAGCCTGAGTAATGACAATCAGAGTTGCCATGATTACTCTCCTCACCCACCATGTTGACGCTCATATTAGAGCAATAATTAATTGCCATAGTTATTAATCGCAACTAATTACCCCACGTCCCCAATGAAGAAAAGAAGATTCTATAGGAAATTTCATCGACCCATCTGAATATTCTTCTGTCGATGGTCCCTTACGGATGCATTGTTTGCCTTTTGGTTGGTGACAGGGGAGGACTGGCCAGGAGTTCGGTGTCAGCATGGGAAATAAGCCGGCAAAGGAGGACAAGGGAGAGATCCTGGTGCGGGTCATGCCCCCTCTGGACAGAGCATTTGTGAAGTGGCTGGCCCAAGATCTTGAGAGGATCCACGGCTTCAAGGTCAAAAATCAGCCGCCAATCAGGCCCCCGGACCATTACATCGAGTACATGCGACTGCAGGGCTGGCTTGATGTGGACCTGGACGACCCAGACATTGCCCGCCTGGCGAAATCTCCGCGAGCGTAGCCGGCTGTTCTTCGTCTCCGTCAATCTGAGATCCCTCCGGCGATTGTGATTTGGGTAGATGGGCACTGCCTGACCTTCGTCTTTGTTGAACATGATGGCTCCGGATGAGCTCTTTTTTGATTGGTGAGTAAAGAAGTTGAGATGTGGTCAGGCCCTGTGAATTCTTTCCTTTTACAGGACCCGAGCTCAGAAAAAACTTTTTTTTTACAATAAAAAGATTACGATTATTATCTTATATATATATATATATATATATATATATATATATATATATATACATATGCATTGATGTAATCTTATCAACGTTTTTAAAGACTAGGTTTGACCCAGATGTTTGGAAAATAAAAAGAAATGGATCGGACATGACATATCTGGCCACCAAAGTAGATGCCTGGCTGGGGATTAGAAAGAACTCCATAAGACTGTGCAATGCATGAACACATAAGTTTGATTTCTTCCCCGTTGACTTTGAGCCGGTGACCTGGGTGCCAGAGTGCATGAACAGATGACTTTAAAAAAAAAAGTAAAATTCAAGAGAGTAATTCCAGGAGAAGAATCTAATAATGTAGTTAGTATGGGATTGTCACTGCTGTACTTTGACTTTTTTTGTTGCCGGTTTTATCAGCTGAAACCAAGACTCATCAAGAAGAAAAAAAACAGATTTTTAAAATAACATTCAAGAACATGGTTTGATATCACAGATTCTTACCAACTGAAACACTAATCTGATATTTCTGTGTTCATCTTACTAAACTCTGCACATCGATCACTGAGAGCGGGTACCTCTGCAGCACAGCGATTGAAAGAATAAAGCAATTCTCCACCATACACTAATCTGATACTTTCCGAAGATTAAAACTTTTTAAGAGCCAAAAAGGGCATATTTCTTGCCAATATAATCAGAGAGCTTCACTTACAAAAAAAAAAAAAAAGGATTAATAAGAACTTCTTGAATCAGATTCCATGCCTTGCATTTGCCGGCAAGAAAAAAAATCCATTAGTGACAATAATTCCACCGAATTTCTTTATGAAATAAAATTTTATTTTCTCATATTATGGTCGTTCATAATATGATTCTGCATAGAACTTTGACTTACTGATTTTTGGCGTTGGTATTGCAATTAATACAGCCAGAATCAAAAAGACTTTATAAATTTCACATATATACCCCTGCCCCAACCAAAGCTCTTAAAAGGGTCTTCAAAAGACTGGTTTTTTTTTCATACTTAAAACAGTAATATCACTTAATGTGATGCATAATACTTGATAAACAGAAAGTCAACGTCGTCACCATGGAAACAACAGCGAAGCAGAAATCGAAGAAAAAAAGAGAGGAGAGAGAATGTGTTTAGAATCAGAGGAAAAATTTAGCATGGATTTAAGAATTCTGTAGTTTCTGCTCATGAAAAATGAGCAAGGAAGTGAAGGGAAGAGTGGACCAGATGAAATCGCTGAGGTCAACCCTTGATAAACCCGACCTTTCTATTAAAAGCCAAGAGGTGGAACCGACGGCGGTCAAACAGACTGGGTAATTTGATATCTAATAGTTATTTCTGATTATTTAATAACATAAAATGACGTCATACCAGCAAAGGTGGGAGGCTTGGGTGCTGATCCTGACGTCTCAAAGGCCGTACAACGGTCGGGGGGCCTGCGGCACGCGATTTAACGACACGGTGGATACGATGGGCCGGTTACATGCTAGAGAGACCAGTTGTCGGAAAGCACACGGCGGGGGATGCTGCCGAGGCTTCACTTCAGTCGCAGCTCGTCCCCTCCGATTCCATCGCTCCCGCGGCGCTCCTCCTCCCACCACCTGCCGGCGCGCCCGCTGCTTAAACGAAGAAGGTAAGGTGGAGGGGGAGGAGTGGAGATGGAGAGTGCCTGACGCGTAGTGTCCGGGACCCCGTCTTGTTCTAGCGGAATGAGTTCTCACGTACTTCCGATTATGTTTCTGGATGGAACTCAGGGAATTTTGATTCCGGATTTCGTTCATATTTGCGAAATTCTTCAATATCCCTGGATTATTGCATTATTGTGTTCATTCTTGGTCCATCCTCATTGATTCGGGTCCAATTTCTACCGTGAGAAAATTCGTCATCATCTTCTGCGTCGGATCTGTGGCAGAATGTCCCGGCTTTCTGCGTTTCTAACCCGTTTGATCGACCATACGGCTTTCATCCGTGAGGGACCTGTTATTGCCCTTCCACGCCAATTCTTCTCCCCTATCGTGATGTGCTTGATGACTACTTTCATCTCATTGGATCAGCGCGGCTGTTTAATCGGTTCACCATTCAAAAGCAGTTGCTACTTTCCACAACGACCACCCTCCACCGGTTTGAGACCCATCCAGTCTTTGGGAAGACCAGAGTTTTATAATTGGAGATGGCACCCTTTATTCAACCTTTCTTGTCTACTGCTAGTGCAGTGGGAAGCATGACCTTCTTCTGGATACAAATAGAGTCAACTCCTTGTCTTATCACACTCTCGACATGGATCCTCACGTTCTAAGTTTCTTACTGGTTTCCAGTGGTGTGTCCTCTTCAAAGGGTGGAAATCTGATGGGTGAAGAAATTTTAGTCCCTCCAAGAAAGTTTGCCACTAGTCGATTATGTGAAGTTTCCAGGTACTTTTTTGCCGAATTTATTATTATTATTATTATTATATTCGTTCTGGCTATGTTCTAGTTGTGATGAATCTTGTATAGTTCTGATGTCCTTTGAGAAACTATCTGGTGGGTACAGCTTCTCAACAGAACTGATGGAGCTCCACTCCGAGGAACCTTTGCTACACATTCTTTTCATCCCTGGAAATCCAGGTACATTGTACAGAACAGCTGCCATTTGTGTTCACTTATCGTCTCATATGCGATTTAAATGATAGTAATGAGTATTTTTTTTCAGGGATTCCTTCGTTCTATAAAGAATTTATTGAAGCAATATATGAAATTTTCGAAGGAAGTGTGTCTATCACAGGCAAGAACTCAGTATCCCTTGGGTACCTGGAGAACTCCTCATGATATTTACGGTTAATGAATGGTTTTTTCATGTGTTTTTCAGCAATCTGCCATCTCTCTCATACAAAAGAGGTCAGTCGCACCTCTGAGAGGTCCTTGACGCAAGTTTATTTTAACCGAGGAGCTTAATCGGAGCAGTGTGAACCATAATAAGATTTTAAAACCTCATGGTCCCGATGGAAGACATTAAATATCAGAATTAATTTTTTTATCCTGTATACGGACAAATTGACAAAGTCAGCGGCCACCTACAGCCAAAACTTTTGAGACTAGAATAGTTCTGAATATTTTTTCTTCCATACCCAGTGCACAAACATAGTTGATATTTTAACGAGGAGTGCACTGTTGCATAGTTCTTTGGTTACATGGGATATGAATAATGGTGCTTCCTCCCTTGCGTTATTTGGGCATTGCTTTAGACGAGCAGCATCAGCTTCTCCAATGAGTTCAAAAAAGTTGAACTGGGAAATGGGTCAATTGGGACCTGCGTTGCGTATAGATTAATACATCTCCCTGGTTTCATACCCTCTTACCCCTAGCAATTCATCCACATTTTTCGAGCCCTACATATAAACCTAATTGTATTTTGCTTCAAAATTTTCCATTGAGACACAAGGTGTCATTCTTCTTAATTTTACACCTTATTCAAGTCCAATGAGAGGATGTCAAGTGTAAGAAACTAAGCACACACACAGACACACATGCAGGAGAATATAAATATTGATATACGCACGCTCTGATAGGTTTTCCTTTAATGACTGGACATTCACTATGCTGTATGTCTTTTTTTTAATTCATTTATGATCATGAGAACTGTAGGAATGTCCCCCTTCAACTTTAGATGATGAGATATCTGATATTCTTTGACAGAGTTGTGCGAATGGAAGAACCTTTTCATTGCAGGATCAAATCAATCACAAGGTGATGTTTGTGTGGGAAATATTTGCTTTTACTTAGTAGAGCGCTTTCTCAGGGTATATTGATTTGAAAATGTACAATGGATTACATATTTATTGTGCGTTTGCAAACGTTTCTGCTCTTCAGGAATATCCGGAAGAATTTCATTCACTTAATCTGCAGTGGAGCATTTATACTCGTCAATAGTTCCTGAACGATCTGAGGGTTTCTCCAATTTGTGTCTACTTCTTTTTTTTTTTTTTGTGCATGTAGACTTTCACCCTTTTTTAAGATATTCACCCCCTATCTTCTCAAATTGGCTCTTTTTCATATTTTTCCTTGTTTAATAAATGACTTCATGGCGATGAATATTAATTGAAAATTATCATATTGAGGAATGAAAATGTTGGTATTCCGGGTTCTTTGGGATTTTTATTGCTCGTCATGGAATTTTATTTACCATTAATTTGAGAATGTTGTCCATTATACCCTCGGAGTTATTTTTGTGATTGAATCAATTACTTAGACCTCTTCTTGCGTTGAAATAAAGAACTAGCAGCCTTCTAGAATGAACTTTGGATTGATGATTTCACATGATGCGTCATTTATTTTTTTTATTAGTTCCATGATCAATTTATTTATCATAGTCTAAACGAGGTATGTAATAATCAATTCGTAGGTGGATTTCATCAACCAAGAGCTTCAAGATACTGGCATACCAATTGTAATGGTATTGTATTTTTATTACCCCCTCGTTGGTTTGAAAACATATTTGTTTATATGCATATATTTACTTATGAAAGAAGGAATTATATAAGTTGTTAGTCCCCTGGTTTTGCCAAGTTCTTTCAGACAGAGGAGCCTGTACAGTCATCACTTAGTAGGTGCTTCATTTTCTTTGAAGGTGGGTCATTCAATTGGTTCCTACATTTGCCTGGAAATCCTGAAGGCAATGCCACTGCTGGGGGTAACAGTTTCTTCCATATGTCCGATTCTTGGTGCAGCATTTTGACCCCTTTTTAACACAAGGTCCAGATGACACGAGCGCGCTTTTCTGTGTTTCAGGTGAAATTTACTGTTGCGTTGTATCCGTTTTTGACCCTGAACAAGGATTCATTGAAGCAGTCTCTTATAGGTCTGACTTCACGGTACGTGTTTTCTTGCCAAGTTCTTCTTTCCATTTGCATCCCCTTCCTCAGTTCATCCGTGTGAATGTTCTTCGTCACTTGTGCGTCAAGGCCTCAAATATAGTAATATGCAATATAGTCAACTCATTTACCCATGTTGGACGCCTGTGCATCGATTAGTTGTAATATAACATGATATATGTGCCCTTTTTGACCAAAATTCGTCAACAGGACGGTGAGAAATCCCTGACTGACTGACAACTGGTGCTTTTTTGTGGTTGATCGGTGAATCTTTGACTTACAGGTCTCCCATCCTCTCTACAGCCGCCAGCTCCCTTTTACGTTCTTTAGGATTATTACCAGCACCGATTAAAAATTTACTCGTGAGAGGATCTCTAGGGCCATCATGGACTGCTGGTGCAGTTGAGGCTGTATCCACCAACCTGCTGCAGGTGAGGATCCCATCTTTGATAAGCCTTGACTTCGTGTTACATTTTTCTTCTGAGTACCGCAAAAAAATAAATTATGAGGACAATAAACTCGACGAGATGAGACCCACAATGTTTGTCGAGATGCTTTGAAGTTTTCACAACGAATCAAAGAGAGTTTCCAGTGTAGCATCTGTACCTGGGGGCAACCAACAATCAAGCATTCACTCCGTATATTTTTTTATTTTGGATTTGATATACCACGCATATTCTTACTGTAATTCATGGTGTTATTTTTGTTTGAGCCTCTTGAATCAGAGCATAACATTTCAGATTTTGAATCAGATTTTGTTTGGCTACAACTCGGACCAACTTGTATCATTTATGGAGAAAACTATATTAGATGCCATAAATTCCCTTTAAGAACTTTAGTTTCATGAATAACCCAGTAGCACTCCATGGGGGAGTTACACACTTGAATGAGTCCCATTAAGTCGTGTTAAGTTGGTCAACGGTGATGTCGTTGACATCGTTTCTTGGGAAAACGATGGGAAAAAGGAGCTGTTTTGGCTGAAAATTGTCAAAACATGCTAGCTGATGGGCATCTGTAACCTTATACTGTTTTTTTTTTTTTGGGAAAATATTCTAATTTTGCTCTTCTATTTTCTCACAACAGTACCAGACAATGCGCAATGTCCTTTTTATGACAAGAACGGAATTTGAAAAGGTGCTTCTTCTAGCATTCTGCTACTGGTTCTTATATGAAAAAAAAAGGGAAACTATCTAACTTGATTTGGCAGATCCCCGCATAGATTATAAGAATCTGCGCCTGTTCATGATTTCAGCTGTCAGAGGAGCCCGACTGGAGTTTCATCAGAACTAAACAGGATCAGATAGCTCTTCTGTTTGGGGATGATGACCACTGGGGCCCTTTATCGCTGTCTGAAGAGGTGAAATTACCAATTTAGGCAAATGATCAAAGATAATATTTGGCCAAGCTATCTTCTTTGCCCTGTTCTCATTCCAAAGCTGGAGAGTTACCAGCCATCTGCTTTGATGGAGCTATAAACTGAGACCATGCTCCCCCTGAACCACAGATTTCGAAGTGGGCCCCAGATGCTGATCTGGCTATCGAAAGGGAGGGGCACACGCATGCCTTCTGCTGCACCAAGGCTGGATCAGTGTGGGTGGCCAAGCACGTGGCTGGCCTGATAAAGAGCCGAGTCCTCAGCTGAACAGAGTTGGGCCCCGACGTAATCTGAAGGTATGTCTTTGAAGGAAACAGACTTAATCCATGGGTCCCCATCTCACTCAATCGTCGGTGTTGACCAGTGAGGCCAGCCCAATCCTTGGCAAGCCCAGCTTGCTCGCTGAAATCTAGACCTATTTTTTTGACTTTTAAGCTTGTTTGGAAAATTCCAACTAAGAAAAAATTAAAGCTTTCTTTGGTGCTTATTCGATCTATTCACACCATTTATTATATGGTTGACCAGACAAACAACACAGAGAAAGAGAGAGAGAGAGAGAGAGAGAGAGAGAGAGAGATGGGTTGCCACATTATTGATTGTGGCACAGCCAATGTGGCAAGAAATAAGTTTTTTAGCCTAGTGAAGAGGAGTTCTTTAAAGCTAAGACCCAGTCTAGATAGGGACCAGGTCAGGCTTGTCGTCTACTTCAAAGTCTGAATTTTGAAGCCTTAGCCTGAAGAAACTAGCCAGCCTCACTCAGATCTTTTTTTCTTCCTTTAAGCAAATTTTTGAGTCAGACTTGGAAAAAAAAGTGTACCAAGCACTCAGATCATTAATTCCCTTGGAACTATACAAGCTAGTGAGCTAGAGAGAGAGAGAGAGAGAGAGAGATGGGCTGTTAGGTTATTGATGATGGTACATGTAGCAAAAGGTAAGTTCCCCAGACTACTAGATATGAGCCTTTGAAATTGGGACCCTTCTTTCTACCCCTGATTCATATAGACTCTAGTCTGGAACACCCCGCCTAATCTAACGTTGACATTTTCTTTAAAGTGGGATTTTGTGCCCAAAATCTGGAAAATTTTAGTCCTAATTCTACGATTGTTCAGATCATTAATACCCTTGATTATATTAACTATACAAGCTAGCGTGCTAGAGAGAGAGAGAGAGAGAGAGATGGGTTGTTAGGTTATTGATGATACTACATGTGCCAAAAGGTAAGTTCCTCAGACTACTAGATATGGGCTTTTGAAATTGAGGCTCTTCTTTCTACCCCTGATTCATATAGACTCTAGTTTGGAATATCCCGCCTGATCTACTGTTGACCTTTTCTTTAAAGTGAGATTTTGTGCCCAAGTCTGGAAAAATTTAGTCCGCATTCTACGATTGTTCAGTCCACTAATACCCTTGATTACTATACAAGCTAGCGAGTTAGAGAGAGAGAGAGAGAGAGAGATGGTTGTTAGATTATCGATGATGGTACATGTAGCAAAAGGTAAATTCCTCAGACTACTGGACACGAGCCTTTGAAGTTGGGACCCCTGATTTATAACTCTAATTTGGAATACTCCGCCTGATCTAATGTCGACCTTTTCTCTAAAGTTGGATTTTGTGCCCAAATTTGGAAAAAAAATAGTCCTAATTCTACCATTGTTGTGTTCGTTAATACCCTTGATTATAACTATACAAGCTAGCGAGCTAGAGCCAGAGAGAGAGAGAGAGAGAGAGAGAGAGAGAGAGAGAGAGATGGGTTATTAGGTTATCGATGGTGGTACATGTGGCAAAAGGTAACAAGATGTGAGCCTGATCTAATGTTGATCTTCTCTTTAAGTCTCATTTTATGCCCAAATTTGGAAACAAAAGGATAGACCTAATTGTACGATCCTTCAGTCCATTGATACGCTTAGTAATGAACAAAGTGACTGCGCAGACCCGACTTGGGTAGGTGGCGGAAGGTTTCATCTCTCCGCGTGGGTCGGTCGGTGGCAAGGATAAAGCTCCCACCTTTACCTGAGCCGGTCAACGCCGGCACCACCGGCCGGCCTCCCGCGGTCCCCTAAAGGCGGCGCTTTTGGTAATGCCGCTGCTCCTCTACCTCTATTTTCGCAGCCTTTGCCCCCCACCCTTCCATCACGAGGGCGCGCACGTGCGACGGCGACCCATTGCGGCAGTGGCTCGTGTGGTTCCGACGGCGACGGCCACGTGGGCCCGCCGCCTTCGCCCGTGATAGTGGGCGGCCCTCCGTTCCGTACTCTGGGGGCGAGTGGGCTCGCCCACAGAAACCCGTGAGCCGGCAACAGCCACAGAGAATTCTTTACTAGATGGCCTGGTTGGCTGTTGTTGCTCTACGATCCCCCCTCAACCCATGCCAGAGAGAATTCCCTCCCCAAGATCTGTCTCACCGGGCCCATTCTGCAAACTCAGGTATAAAACCGTGTAGAGAGAGAGAGAGAGGAGGGAGAGAGCACAGTAGTCGCAGACTGACTAGGTTATCGCCGGAGACGGGAGCTTAAAATATAAACGCCTGGCGAGCGAGCAGGGCTGGGGTGATATAAAAATGCAATCTTGCTCGGTAGGCATCCCACTGAATCCTGAGAAGCTCTAGTATTTAAATGACCCCCCCCCCTGTGGGTTTCAGGCGTCAGCCCCAGTTTCATGTCCCCAGCTGCTTCTCTCTCTCTCTCTCTCTCTCTGCGCCCACCCCCTGGAAGTCGTGGGACCCCGCTGCTTCCGATCGCCCCTTTCTCTGCGGAAAGAGGACAATTTCGGAACCCTGTGACAGATGTTGTCTCCTTGTTGGCTCGGTTGCTTGCCCTTGGATTCAGTGACCCTTCTTCTCTACCCCCCCCCCTCCCTCTCTCTCTCTCTCTCTCTCTCTCTCTCTCTCTCTCGCTCGCTCGCTCTCTCAAGGTTTGCATGGGGGGAGGGGTAGAGAAGGGGTTTGTCCTCTCCGTTTTTAGGACCTTCCGGGTGAAATTTTACCCTCATCTCTGCACCACGGGTACTCCTTGTGGATCACAACATCGAGCCAGCGTACGATCTGCTAAAGATATCCGGACGAAGGCTTACAGTTTTAGTAGCATCTCCCCTCCTCCGTCACTCAAGAACCGGAGAGATGCCCGTACGGCGCTGCCGGCCGATCGTTCGGCGCCCAGAACCTCTTCTTTCCCCAGAAGTACAGTTCTCCGAGGTTTTACATCGAAGCCCCCGCCGAGCCTTCTCTAAGCGTGCGAGAAAGAGAGAGATGAAATGTAATGCGATTATTGTGAAACAGCCGTCTGGAAATGGGTGGGTAATCCGGCGGTGGTGGCCGGAGGGCGGCGGAGGGCGGTTGCCGGGGGCACATTTATCTCATCACGTGTCGCCGCCGCCTTCAAGGGTCGGTTCTGATAATGGCAGCGAGCACGCGGAGGAGGAGGAGGAGGAGTGGCGGTGTGTGTAATGATCATCATCACTCACTCGGCACTATTCATCCACGGCCCGCTACCATCCGAAAACCCCATTTAATTCGCTATTTCTCATGTCTACCTTCACATGCAGCTCCATCAATTCCTCCTCGTGAAGGGTCATCGAGCCCCTCCCCCACACCCCCCCCTTCCTCCCTCTTGCCCTTCTCCATTAATTACCCACCCGAGATCCCCGACTGCTGACGAGCCCGTTTCGGCCTCTCTCTCTCTCTCTCTCTCTCTCTCTCTCTGATATGAGCTCAACTTGTGGAGAGTGGGGCTCTCTTATCGTTATCCGTTCTCGCTGGAAGCTCTGGTTCGCAGCCTGGGTTGGTCGTCGGGAGGAGGGGGACGGCTCACACGTTCCCATAAATGCCCTTCTTCTTTCTTTTCCCATCTCTGGATAACTGGTCAAAACCCGCCTCACAGCTCCTCCCCTCCCTCGCTATTTCTGTGCCCCCCAGGCTTCCTATCTCTCTCTAGTTCTCTCCCTCCTGTCTCTCTCCTCGACGTCACCATGGAGGGACACTCCAGCTCCAGCCCACCCAAAGCGCAACTTCCTCCCTCCTCGTCACCTTCCCTCCCCTCCGAACTGAGCTGAGCCGAGCCCCGGTAGCCGAGCTCTCTCTCAGTACCCTGAACTCCACAACCTCTCTCTCTCTAGCTCGCTAGCTCTCTCTCTGGCTGTTTTCTCTCTGGTGGGGGATGTCTTCGTCGGGAAAGAAGTTTCTGATGCGGCATCCGGTGGTGGTGGACCTGGGCTGCGGCTGCCGGCGGGGGAAGCTGTCCTCCCTCTTCTCGGCGCAGCCGAAGCCGAGGACGAAGACGAAGGAGAAACCCTATTCAGCTCCCAAGGAGCAGCAGCACCACCACCACCATTACCGCCACCCTCTCTCCTCGTACTACCCCTTCTCCCCCTCCACCTCCGCCACCACCGCCGCCACCTCCCCCTGGGAAACCAGCAACAATCCCTCCTCCATTTCCACTACCACCGCCTCCCTCTACGACGACGACGCCTCCTCTCCGTCCTCCTACGCCAACTGGGGAAAGAAGCAGAAGCAGAAGCCGGAGCCCGCCGCCAAGAAGCCCGCCGGGGGGAAGCGCCGTGGGAAGGGCCGCGTGGGGGAGAGCGTGGCGGTCGTGAAGGAGTCGGAGGACCCCTACGTTGACTTCCGCGACTCCATGCTGCAGATGATCCTGGAGAAGGAGATCTTCGCATGGGAGGACCTGCAGGACTTGCTCAACCGGTTCCTCGCCCTCAACGCACCCTGCCACCACGACGTCATCGTCCGCGCCTTCTCCGAGATCTGGAACGGCGTCTTCTCCTACGTCTCCGCCCCTCCTCCGCCCCCCTCCGGCGGCGCCGCCGCCGCGCCGTACCGGAAGCACGGGAGGCCCCGCGGCGGGCCTCGCCGGAAGCCTCCCACACGTCTCTGACGCAAAAAAAGAGGGATAGATCGTGGGCGGAACGTGGGAGAAAAGGAGCCGTTGGATGGGATCAGCTTGCGTTCGTTGGACGGCGGAAAGCGAGAAGAGGCGCAGAAAAAAGAAAAAAAAAGAAAAAAAAAGAAAAAAAGAGAGGCCGCACGTGCGGGCCGACCCGGCTAAACTTGTTACGCACCCGTGTGGCTCCCCGCCGGTTTTTGTCAGCTCGAGAGAGCCGCCATGTGGTGGGCGTAACTCTTTTAGCCGGTCGTTTTCGGCCAGCGGTCACCTCACCGATCGGTGTCCTGATCTGTACTTCCTTCATATCTTTATTCTTCCTGTTTAGTCGGTAGCAAGCTCTAGGGTTTGGACGGCAGCAGCAGCAGTAGTGGTGGTGGTGGTGTCTCTGGTTTTCTAATGGCGGCGAGATTTAGGAGTTTGTGTGCGTCGTCCGTGTTTCAGGTGTAGTCAAGGGCTCTGTAATCTGTACATCTCCTTCGATATTAACATTGACTGCCGTCATCTCCTTCGTTCCACCGCTTCTTCCTCCTCCGGCCGCCGTGGGCGGCTTCTCCGATGGAGAGGCTCGAATAAACAATCTCATGGGCCCCCCAGAGCCCTTCCGATTTCATGGCTTCTGGCCACCATCGAAGGACCGAGAGGCACTGCTACTCTGTCCATTGGCTCCTTCCCGGTTTAATGAACGAACGGACATGTTCGAAGTCTCAGTTGAGGACAAAGCTCCCTCCCTCCCTCTCTCTCTCTCTCTGTCTCTCTCTCTCCCTCTGTCTCCCTCTCTCTCTCTCACTGTAGACTCTCCATCTGGCGAAGCTCCTCGTTGGCGTCCAACAGTGGTAAAGATCTAAATTCATGGAGCCGATGTGCCAGTGGAGGCCCGGATTTTGCAGTCGGCTTTACTCCCTCTCTCTCCATCTCTCTCTCTTTCTCTCTTTCTCTCTATCTATCTGCTTGCCACCATCTTGGGTCAGTCTTCATCAAAGCTGGCTATCATTGCCTCCTTTAACTTGCTATAAATACTCTTCCTTAGCTTGCTTCTGCGACAGCCTTGCGTAGAAGAGGGGTTTGAGCACTGCACCGGTCTTTGTCAGGACGAAGGGGACGCAGACCATGCAGCATCAACTCGCCCCCCTGGTTTTCCCGCGCCACCCATTAATCCCCATTGCGTCTCGCAGCTCCAGCTCATGAATCCAAGATCGTATCATATCTCAGCATATTAATCCGGCGACCCGCAGCAGGCACTCGATGCCTGCTGAAGACATTCATGGAAGGAAGACGGGGAGAGGAGAGAGAACACAACCCACCGGCGGGTGACGGCGGCAGTAGTCGCGGCGGCGCCGCCCGGTCTGAAGGGAAGAAGGCGACGGGGGCGGCGCCGTTGAACCGCGGTGGCAATATGCCCGGCGGCGGCGGCGGCGTCCACACATGCATTGGCTCCGTTTCTGTGGGAACTGAGAGAGGTCTCCGGCCAGGCCGGGAGACGCGGAAAAGGAGGCAGTCGTACTGTAGCGAGCTCCGCGCCTCCCTGACGGAAGTCTTCCGGTGATTTCAACTTCCAAACGAGAAGCTCGAGTGATTATCGTCAGCTATAGTTGCACTGGTGCAGACAGAACCGGCCCCTCGTGCCACCTTACCGGAGTGACGTCGAGTTGACTCCGGCATGCAGAGTTCGACCGTCCATGGCAGTTCCGGTGAGGGGTTTCTCGAGCCGAGAGAACGCCGGCGAGCCCCACGGTCGTGGTTCTCTCTTCGAGGCGGCGGCGCCACCGCGGGTGGCAAGCCCATTAAGGGCCGGCCCTCCGAGATCACGACGACGTCTGCGGCGGTCCATAATGGCTCTCGTGGCGATTTTAAGAGCTCGTCAGCGGCGCAGGTGATCCTCCTTCCGAATCATGGCGGCCTTTTCATTTCTCCTTGAATCTGTCCAAGTTTGGCTGTCTAATGCGGCGCATTCATGGCCCTAAAGGGGAGGAAAACTTGAACTCCGTCGTCCTGGGTTAGTGAGAGAAGAGGGCCCACGTGAAACCAGACAACGGTGGCCATTAATTGACATCGAATGGCCACCGATATCTTCAAAGTCGTCCGTTAAATTTCCACGGGTCTAGAGAGAGAGAGGATGGCGGGGGCTCGCCGAGACTCATCTGGTCGTGTCGGCGGTACCTAGAGCTCCATGGCCTCGGAGGGAGAGAGATGGTTCTTCGAGAAGGGCTCGCATCGGTCCTCGCGGTTGGGTCGGTGGGTGTCCATCTAGCACGACGTTGCGGAGATTAAGGCCCTTCGGCCATTAAATTTGTCTTGATGCTTCGTTGATCTCCTCCCCAAAGTCAAAGTCTCCCCTCGGACATCACCCGTTCACCAATGAAAAGCCCAAGAAAATAATAGAACGATACGGCTGGCCTTGGCCAAACTTTTGGTCATCTCTCTCTCTCTCTCTCTCTCTCTCTCTCTCTCTTTCTCTTTCTCAAGCACGTATACAGAGGTTCGATGTCGGTTCTTTATTATGGTACAGTCAGAAGTCCATTTTTCAGGATTTCCTCTACATTCAGTGAAGATTCTCGGGTTCCGGGGGTGCAGCTATCCATCTCTCTCTCTCTCTTTCCCTCTCTGTACCTCGTGTATACAGGGTTTGATTCCCATTGTTTAAGATGGCCCAGTCGGAAGTCCATAAGATTTTCCCCATATTCAATGAAGATGCTCAATTTCAGGCACCCCTACTGCTTCTCGGTTGACTTGTCTAATCTCCACCTCTCTCTTTCTCTCTCGTCACTCTCTGTGTCTTTTCTAATATCCCTGTATAAAACCCGGGCCTCGTTCGATTCATAATGGTCAAGTACGATGGCCCATTTCTTCCTATGTAGATTCAGTGGAGCACCACGTCACTCTAAAGATCGTATTTTTATGTGACCGTCGGCGCGGGGAGGACGACGTGCGGCTGCGATCTGAACCAGAACCCGGAACTTGATGAGAGAGAAAGATAGAGAGAGGGAGCTTCCGTCGCCATGAATCGCGAGGGGGTTTTCGTCCTTGGAATCAGAGGACAACGGCGATGAGCTCCTCCGTTCAGTTAATCCCGATCCCCCCGACCGCTCGGTCTCTCCCTCCGCGATTCCAAGGTTCCGGCGAGGGGTCACTGTTCCAGCTCTGTAGACGTCGTCTTCGCTCTCTCTCTCTTCTAAACAGGGATGGGAGTCGAGGAAGACGGACAGTGGAAGCTGTTGACTGCGGCGGACCGCACGTGTCGCACAGGACACGCACGGCGGTACAGACGGAACCGCGGCGGAACCTCTTCCAGCAGGACATACGGCGGCGACGGGAGAGAAAGAGAGAGAGAGGGGGGGGGGGGTTTGGGAGTCTTCAATATCATGGTTCGTGAGGAAGAGTAAGATATAATACAGTGAGGTCGATGGATATCGTGGATATGATCGAAAAACTGAAAGAGACAAAATCGGCAGGGATCAAGAGCCATTCTCCTGATCCTTGTCGTCGGCCTCGAAGGGAAGAGATCGAGAGGATGAGGAAGAAGACGGGGGGGCAAAAAGGTCTAACAGAAGGTCGACGAAGGCGCCGACGATGAATCTGTGGTTGGTCTTCCCGTTGACTCGTAGGTACCATTCGAGGAGCTCCTCGAGGCACTGCCAGTCCCTCACGCCGTAGATCGTCACCATCTCCTCCATGGACAATCGAAAGTCCGAGTAGGGATCCTTAGACTCCATGGCCAGGACCACGCCGTCCTTGAACGGGAAGCCCCCGGACTTTGACTCTTCGAGGATGGAGCTCGTACCGCCGGGCTCGAAGAAGAGCCGGCCGCCGCCACGCTCCGACTGCACCGCCCTGATGACCGCCTCCGCCTCCGGCTCGCCGCCGCCGCCGCCGGAGTCCGCCTCCGACGCCGTGGAGAAGCTCTCCGACGCGAGCTCCTCCGACGAGTTGGTGAACCACGACTCCGTCGTGTCCAGATACACCGAGTTCACCGTCTTGTACACCTCGTCTCGCCCTTCTCCGCTGCCGCCGATACCTTCGCCCGCGGCGGCGGCTCCGCTCCCTCGGAAGGATCTTGTCCGCGGGTGCTTGCAGGAGGGCCACGCCCACGAGGACGGGGGATACGACGACGGCGGCGGCGCCGCCCTCCGGAACAGATACGGAAAACCCATCCTCCTCCCCATGGCTCCCTCCCAACTCTCCTCCGCCACGGAAAGGGTTCAAAACTCGGCGGTGCTGGAGAGGCGGGATCGTCTGGGGTTGCAGAGGTTGTGAGGACTCGGAAGCGGCATTAATGGCGTGCGCAGGTGGTTGACGGCGAGGTGGGGTGGGGTGGGGACGTCCATGTTCGTAGGCTACATGGATTAAATGGCTATTCAATACGCCACGGGAGGGAGGAACAGTGTCGGCATCATGCCACGGCGGCCCCATTTCTCTGCGTATCCCCAGCCCTCGCCTTCGCCTCTGATGTGATATCTCATTGCACCCCCAAACATGTTCTCCCCCACTGTATCATCCTCCTCTCCTCTCTCTCTCTCTCACTCTCCCTCTCTTTCTCTTACGTCACCCCCTTTCTTTGACCAGGGCCCAGCGATTCTCCAAAAAAGCACCGATGCCAACAGAGAAGACAGTCGAGATGGAGAAGAACGGTGGAGATGAGGAAAGAGCTAGAGAGAGAGAGAGGTGGGGGACAGGGTCGCTGTGAAGTGTAGTTGGAGTGGCGGCATTCCCCGTGAACTCGCATGAAAGAGGGGAGAGATGGGGACGGAAGTCCCGGGCGGCGGAGGAGGAGGCGTGGCCGCCGCGCGCGGCGGCGCCGCTCCTCCTCTTCAATGCCGCAGGGCCGAGAAGCGATTCCTGGAATCCCCGCCAATCGATTCAATGACCCCACGCCCCCCCCGCTCTTCGCAAATGCTCGCGCATTCAATCCCACGTGTCATCTGTCCACTTCGGATCGAGATTTCCGTCCAATTTTATGGCTGGGAGATGCGAATTTCCCGGAAGATAATCGTAAAAAATATCTACACCGAAATTATTAATTTCTCCTCGAAGATCATCGGAGCTCTGAAATTATTTTCCAAATATTCTCGAAAAATCAAAAAGCCACGTGTAGAATTGAGAGAAAGAGTATGGGAGTCCTCTCTCTCTCTCTCTCTCTCTCTCTCTCTCCATGAAATGCCCATTTTCTCACGCCACGTGGCGATCTCACGATCACGAACAGATTGTCAACTCTCTCTCGCTCTCCCTCTCTCTCTCTCTCTCTCTCTCTCACACACACACACACAGGTTGTGAAAACGCTTGAAGAAAAGGACACATTTACTCCTAAAAAAACTAAGCCACAGCATCGAAGCGTAGCCCGTGCGTGTTTTAAAGCGGGCCTCTCTCCCTAATCACACAATGGCCCGGAATTATAAATGGGCTTGAATACGAGTTCAAAGGCCCAATAACCCCCCGGGTGGGGGTTGGGGAGGCCCATTAAGGAGGTCTTGGTGGGGTTCCCCTCCCCCCCCCTAAAACCCTTCTCTGCAGAAAAAGGTCGACAAAGAAGAGGGAGGAAGAAAGGAGAACGGGAGAGAGGTCGAGGAACAGCGTCCAGAGAAGGTTCGTCTACGGCGGAGATGTTTCGATTTAGGAGCTTGCTTCAAGCGCGCAAGGTGCGTCCCTCCCTCAACGCTGCCTCTCCTCTGGCACTGGACGTCTCCTGTCTCGGAGTTTTGTCTCGCTCTCCGTAGGCTGGTCTTTTATTGTTCGCTGATATCTTGTCATGTTTATTCCCGTTACGCGCGATGTTATCTTGATTTCCTTTGCCCGTTTGATGATCACCGATTGTTTTCTACCCATGGTATGAAAACATCGGGATCCTAACCGGCTCTCCGTTGACTTGTTCATATTCTGAAGCTCATCTTGACTTAATTAGCATGATACTATGCCGACATCAAGCGCAGAGTGTAGATACAGGTTTATTCTGTTTAATCCTTGCCCGTGAGGAGAGGTTGATATCCTACAATAACTAGAGAGAGTTCTCAAAAAATCTCAGTCGAGTAACCCTTCAGTGGGGTACGACTCATACAATATGTCCTTTTTTTAGACCCCTTTCACGCAAGTCAACTCACAGAACACCATCATGATAATCCTTCCCCAGTTTCTCGAACATGCAACTTGCTGCATTCCTATTCAAGATTTTTCATATTATCACCATCAAACGTCTTGCTTACGGCGATTTACGGTCTTGTCATGCCGAGGAAAACCCAGGGATCCAGGGGATAGGAGGGAAATGGGTGATTAAAAGGTCAGTGATTTATATAAAACAAAAACTTTTCCGGGATGTGGACATCATTTTCTTCCTCTTTTTCCCACATTTCATATATTTTTCGTTGATCAGCTACATTCAAGTCGGGCAAATCCAACAGTGTTAAAAAGATCTCCAGGGGTCCTACCTATTCTTTTTTCTTGACCGCAGCATACTAGTCCAAAGCTCTGGAGGACTCATATGAGACAGCCTGGGCCAGTAAATCATTAATTTGCCATCAGAAGATATAATCATAGCAGCAATCGCATACAATTTGGATCATGTTCAACAAGGCGGCAGCATTGTGCTAAATCAGGACTCGTGCAGTCCAATTCAGAGGCTATTGGGGCCTTTGGCATTTGCTTATGGAAGATCATAATATGCCATGAATATTTGTGTATGTTTCACAGAGACTTCAGTTACTTGGGAGAGTCAGAGAAGCTGATACACTGCATGGTCTGTGCATGTGAAAAATATCATTTTTCATAAGAAGATGAATTCTCTTACCACATTGCACACGGCATTGTTCACCTCTGACTTATGCTCTGCAGATAAGTGTGAAATCTAGTTTAATTTGAAACTAACTTGCACTCCATTCATTCTCTTCAGGTCATCCGTAATGCAGTGTACAAGCTGAGAGGCATTAGCTTTCAATCCCCAGATGCTTGTGCCCCTGAGGTGTTGAATCCCGAACATTTTCCTCCACTTTTCCGTCCACTGCCGGGATTCAAGCTGCCTCCATGTATTGAAGGCAATGCAGAACAGCACCCTACCAAGATCACAGTTCTTCCTAATGGTCTTAAGATTGCATCCGAAAACTCCACAGTGAGCTTATCAATTTTCCTTTGGGTTTTGCTTTCTTGTCTCCTAAACTCTAAACACGAGTCCATGGCAATGGCTGTTGAAACATATTTGCATTTATTCGGGGCCCTATTTCAGATATGTCTTTTCCTAAGTTTTCTTGATGTCAGGGACCTGCTGCCTGCATAGGACTATATGTCGACTGTGGCTCTATCTATGAGACGGAGGAGTCTATGGGCGCCACACATGTTTTAGAAAGAATGGCCTTCAAAAGTACGAGAAACCGCAGTCATTTGCATATGATTCGCGAAATCGAAGCAACTGGTGGGAATGTGGGTGCATCTGCTTCTAGGGAACAGATGGGATACAGTTATGATATGCTAAAGACCTATGTTCCTGAGGCAATTGAATTACTCATTGATTCCGTCAGAAACCCAATGTTTCTTGACGATGAGATCAAGGAGCAGGTTAGCCGTATATTGTTTTGGTGTCAACCATCTTATTCACTGTCCAAAATCTGTGCGTTGACATTATGGGACGAAATGAACAGGTGGCTAAACTGAAAACAGAACTCAGAGATATTTCCAAGGATCCTCAGCAGTTCCTCATCGAATCTCTTCATCTCGTTGGTTACTCCGGTGCACTCGCGAATCCATTGATTGCCCCTGAAGCGGTTTTGGACAGACTAGATGGATCTTCAATTGGCAAGTTTTATCATGTACGCCCTTGTTCAACCTTACTAGAATATGATTTTAAGAATTTTGACAATGGAATATGAATTTGCGACTTAAAAGGATATGATATTCACAGGAGAATTATACTGCAGACCGCATGGTTTTGGCAGCATACGGGTTAGATCACGAGCAATTATTGTATGTCGCAGAGCCTTTGCTGTACGACTTGCAGAAAGGCCCTGCTCTAGCCTTGCCACAATCTGTGTATATCGGTGGAGAAATCAGGCGCCGAGAAGATTCTGAGGTGTCCCAGGATTCTCTTAGCTTGGATAAAGTTTCTTATTTCTTCTGTTCGTGTGGTTGAACATCGCACTCTTTCTGTTTCTTCTCACAACAGAGGACTCATGTGGCTCTGGGATTTGAAGTCCCTGGAGGTTGGCATAATGAGAAAGACGCAACAGCTGTCACTGTGCTGCAGGTAATGCAAAATACTGAACTCCAATGTGCTTCCTCTGTTGGGGCAATTCTTCGTGCATTCGTTATGTCATATAAATTGAGGTTTGATCCTCTGACAGTTCCTGTTGGGCGGTGGTGGCTCGTTTTCTGCTGGTGGCCCTGGGAAGGGGATGCATTCTCGACTCTGTAAGTTATCGATCCATTGATGAAATCTTTTTCTCTCTCTAGAGAGTGATCTTCTGATTAACCTGTTATCTCTCTATTTCCTTCTTTTATGTTCATCATGAGGATGCTGGGTTTTATTATTAGTTTAGTATTCAACCATGATCGAACCCAAGTTGGTAAGATGGGGCATGAATTGAGGCATGATGTCCCAAGAACTTCTTCTTACTATCTAGGAAGGCGTGCTTTTTCGTAAATATAATCAGCGGTTGACTTGTCTTTCTGCAGCCAACTATATTATTTCTAGTTATCGTCCATAAAAAAACACAATCATTTGATAGAATATTCTCTCTTGATAAAAAAAAATATTGTTTTGAATATTACCTTTGCAATCCCATTTCATCAGGAACAAAATTTCAATTTCTCTTGAATTCTCAGGCGAATGAATGGTGACTTCAAGAACTCTGATTCCCCAGAAATGTTCAGACCTTCATCTCTAGATTATATACAGAGATCATTAAAGAATTCTCCAAGTCTTCGCTATTTGACCTGCTTTTCTATCTCTTACATGGTCAACACTTACCACAGTCATGTGCATCCCTCTTTGGTATCATCATCATCATCATCATCATCATCATCATCATCATCATCATATGCGGAAGTATCTCTTAGCTGGTGCTTGGTGCAGATCTCCGCGTCCTCAATAAATACCAACAAGTTCAGTCCATCTCGGCTTTCAGCAGCATATACAACGACAATGGTCTCTTTGGCATCCACCTGACCACCGTAAGTCCCATTCAAGATCCTCCAGATGTGTTGAAATATTCATTTATTTATTCGCAGCTAAATTATGCTAAATATGCATCCCATTTAGTGATATCCTGCCTCAGTAAATGTAATCAGGAGAGCAGATTGGTCTCAATTATTTTAATAATTTCAGGGTCCAGAATTTGTGGCGAAGCTTGTGGAGATAGCGGCCGCCGAATTGCTATCTGTGGCAACACCTGGCCGAGGTGCATTCCCACTTTCTTAAAACATTATATGTGTGTATATATGTATTACCATATAAACAATCTTGGGTCATTTGGGTTCAGTCTCGGAGATCGAATTCCAGCGGGCCAAGAACACCACCAGATCTGCCGTCTTGATGAACCTGGAGTCAAGGGTAAGAATGGCATCCCATTTTTTTATTTAATTCATGTTTAATGCTTTTATGACTTTGAAGATTGAGCTTGGTTGATGTCCAGATGATCATCGCAGAGGATATTGGGAGGCAGCTGTTGACTTACGGGTGCCGGTAGGATGTGTGAAGCACAGGAACCGCCTCTATGTGCCCATCACGCCTCTGTGTTTGATTGCTGTTATTACTTCTACAGGAAACCCGTGGAGCATTTCCTGGGATTTCTGGATGAGCTGACTCTCGATGATCTCACGGCCGTGGCAGGGAAGGTGTTGTCATCTAAGTTGACCATGGCCTGCTTGGGAGATGGTAGTTTCCTTTTTTTCGGCTTATTTTTAATTGCATTTAATTGTGGTTATTATTCGATCAGAGAATTATTCAAGGGTTGTTCATTCATTTCACTTCTGACGCGTCTCCACAGTTGACCGCGTGCCGACTTATGCCTCAGTGAGCCAAATCTTTGGCCACTAGCTAGTGCAGGCAGCTTGTAAAGTCAACCCTTGTTGGGCTCCAGGGCGCTATCAGATGACGGAATGTGCCTGAGGTGTGGAGATATCTGCAGATTCCATGGAGCTTAGGTATGTTTTAAAATTAGATAATTAATCAATATGGATATATGTTTTTGGTGATTTTTGTTAATTGGTGGTAATGATCCCCATTTGTTTCTTTCCATCAGAAATCAGGCTCCTTTTCCCGGAGGAAAGAGATAATTTAGAGATAGAGAGAGAGAGTGAGTTCGTGGTTGATTTTTGTATCTTTTTTTCTGGGTTCTTCATTCATTTGAATTTATCTGTATCTCAACTTTAACTGGCGGTGATGCTCCTAGTTTGTTTCATTTCATCAGAAGTCAGCTGCCTTCTCCGGAGGAGAGAGAAAGAGAGAAAGAGAGAGAGAGAGAGAGAGAGAGAGAGAGAGAGAGAGAGAGAGGTTAAAAAAACGAAGAATTTATCCTTCCATCCATCTATTTAGCTATCTATCTGTCTGTCTATTCTATCAACAAGCTTCTAGGCCGTAAAGGACACCGGCGAGCCTCTCCTCGGCGTGGTGGAGGAAGAAGAGGTCCCTCATCCTGAGGAAGGCGTGCCAGGTGAGGAGGCTATCGGAGCCGGCCTGGTGGCACCGCCCCACCGCCCTCTCCACCTGCAACTCTCCGGCGACCCTCTCCAGGCCCCCGTACAGGTTCTCGCAGAACCTCGTCATGTGCTTCACGTCGTAGACCCTGTCCCCGAAGAACCCCCGCAGCAGCTGCACAAACTCCGGCAACCTCTCCGGCAGCCGCTCGCCGGAGAGCAGCCGCAGCAGGTACCCGAAGTCGTAGGCGCCGTGGAAGCTCACCCAGCTCACCCCCTCGTTGCAGACGAGCCCCGACGACATCATCAGCTCCGCGAACCGCCGGCAGGCGGCGCCGTCGCGGCGGTTCCGCTCGAAGTCGATGCCGTTCTGCCGGAGCAGCTCCACGGACTCCGGGGCGTGGTCGTCGCGCGAGGGGTCGAAGTCCCGGAAGTTGAACTCCCAGATGAACCCGCCGCTGCCGTCGCCGGCGGCGCCGCCGGGGAGGTTGCCGTCGGCGTCGGAGAGGGTGAGCCCCACCTGGATCAGGCTGAGGGCGTCCACGTTGGCCTTGAGGCAGCGGTATCTCGCCGCCGGCGACAACTCCGACGGCCTCGCCGGCAGCCGGTACACCAACCCGGGGAACTCCGTGTCCATGGCCACGTACGGGTACCGGTCGATCAAGCTCTCGATCAGCTGGAACTCCGACTCCAGATTCGCCGCCCAAACCGACCGGATCTCTATTTTCTTCTTCTCCGCCGCCATAGCCATGCCGACCTCGATCTCTTCTTCTTCTTCTCCTTCCTCTGATCCGATGAGGATGGGGGGAAGGAAGGCGGCCCAGGGGGGAGGTATATAGCAGCAAGAAGGAGGCACATTCCAGGAAGGAACGTTCTGCTGGGCCCCACCATGGCTGCCAGTCCATTTTCTTCTGGCCCTTAGATGGCAGGAGCTGATAGTCGGCGTCCGGACCCCCCGCTCTGGAGAGGAGTCAGCTTCTTTGACCATCCCACAGGCGTTGAACACGTGCAGGCTTTGACGAGGAAGCGGCTCTCCCGGCGCTGACCAGGACTAGCGAATTCCATGGCTCAGGTTTCCTCAAGATTGTTGGACCGGGCCTGGCAGAGTAGACCGTCGCTACCATCCGTTGTTCTCACCGTGTGCCCAGCTCACACTGTCAACTGGTCATCGACCCTTCTCTCATCATGACGAACAAAGTCAGCGCTTTGACAAACGTTCGATCCAGAGCCAATTCCTTGCACTAAATAGCCGAAAGACGTCGTGATCCCGATCGTCAAGGCCTCATCCGACCCGATCGTCTCTCTCTCTCTCTCTCTCTCTCTCTCTCTCTCTCTATCTCTATCTTGACAATCATTCGAGGTGTGGGTCAACACGGGCCATCCGGAGTCAGCTGGGTGGGGTCAGCTGATGAACTTCAGGCATCGGGTCTCGTTGTGGATCACCTGGCACCGGCACGAGCAGAACCTTGCCCCGCACCTCACGCACGTGTAGCACGCCGCGAATCCGCAGACCGCACAGAAGTACCTGCGCGCCGACGCGCTCGGGGGCCCCACGGCCGCCCTCAAATATGTCGGCACGTGCCGCGGCAGCGCCTCCAAGTTTGCCTGCAGAACGGCAAAGCAGAACAGCAGAGTGAGTGAGTGAGTGAGAGAGAGAGAGAGAGAGAGAGAGAGAGAGAGAGAAGAGAGCGAAGTCCATAGGGCACCTACATCATGGAGGATCTCAATGAAGGTCCGGGGGGCCCTCTTTGCGTTCTCCATGGCTTTCCCTTGTCTGGTCTTCCGCTTCATATTCTTGGACTGCCTCCTCTGCATGTGGGCTGAGATCGCGCAGAAGAAAAAATGGGCACGGCGGTCCAACTCAGAAGCATGCCCAGATAGGTCGATAGATAGATAGATTGATTGATTGAGAGAGAGAAAACATGCACGATTGATGCAAGAACATGATTGATTGATTGATTGATTGATTGATTGATTGATTAAAATGCTTGATTCAAAGATATTCGCCATTGAACCAGAGAAGAGACAAGATTGATGCATGAACAAGAAATACATCTATCTGCTCCAAAGGGTCATGAAATTGATATTTCTACTCAAACTTATCAAAAAGAGGAAATATGATGAGATGGGATTTGATCTACGTGCTCCACCGTGTTCTTGGTGAACCTTCAAAGATCTGTTCCAATCCAAGTGATTTCTACAGTTTCCATGGTGGGCCTTCTGCTGCAGCCTCAGTTTTCTTCTTCTTATCTTTAATAATAAGATCAAATAAATCAGCTAACACTCCCGCTGATGCTACACATCTTCTCAAAGAATGGCATTAATCTCTGGTTATTTCCTACTTATCCAAATCGGGAGGCCCTTTTCCCCATTAGATTTTGCTCTTCGCAAGATCGGAAATCAGGCCAGAACTAACAGCTCGGACCAAAAACTGGCTAATCATCGAAAAAGATTCTTTCAGCTGATCCAATCTCACATAACAGAGCTTCTAAAATTAGGGTTTGAAGTGCGATTATGTCTTGTGATCCAGCTGCATCAACCGGGCATCGCCTGAGAGACTATTGCAGAGCAAAAATGGCTTTCAGGACAGCACACTTCCATCCTCTTCCTGGTATGTCGATGCGCTGAACTGATCATGCCTCAGATTTCAGAGTAATATCTTCGTGCAGTTCACAGGTCCAAACCCTAAGACCGCGCGGCTTTGGATGTCCTCGCGAAGAAGAAGGAAGGATTCTCATGGATTTGGGAAAAATGGACAGAAGGTAAGAGGAAAGACCTTGACCGTCTCCATCGAGAGAGTCGTCTTCTTCGCTGCTGACCTCCATAACCTCTGCAAACGCATTGTCGCTCTCCAAGGCCTCCAGACGAGCAAGAGCCGCCTTCAACAAGGAAAATAGAAGAAGCGAAAATCACAGGAGGACGAGATAATTTGCCTCTTTAGTTCTGTCAAGGGTTTTCAAGATCTTGCAGATGCAGGTGGAAGAGCAGTGGAAAGGCACCGCAGAAGAGCGATATCATGTCACGAACAGATTCAACGTGCATCAGATCATACGGATTCCGGGACTCCGCAATCGGGAATACCAGAGAGAGAATTCTAGCTTGTTCCCCTATTCAAGAATCCTGAAGCGTCGATGGCAGGAACGCGACGGAAATGAAGAAATTATAGACCAGAAGGACCGGGCAAACCGCAGGATACGAGCCTCACCTGCTCTCGATTATCGCTGCTGGCGAGCGCCGCCACCATCTTCGGAGCAACCCGCCGAATCCGGCTCGACATGCGACGGAGCGGTCCCCCGGGGACGTCGTCCTCCATTGCAGCTCCGCCGACTGCGTCCACGGCCTCCCCAGAGATGGAGCTAGGGCTGGATCGGCTTCCGACGAAGCAAGAGATAGTGGCTCGGGGGAGGAAGGGAGGAAGGGGGAGGAGGAATCTCTGCGGCCGTCTGGTTGAGGAGAGAGATTGGGAAGAAGGACTGGACGAGCTCTGAGGTTCACTCGATCAACGGCCAGGAACGGAAGATCTAATCGTCAGGGAGAGAGGACCACGGCATCGCTGCTGCCTGGTTTTAATGTCCTGTGCTGGTCTCGCAGGAAGAATTCGGAGGCGAGGATCAAAGATGGCGGAGGGGCGGGCGGATCGTCTCGGTGGCAGAGGAGCGAGAGGGGCTCTGCTAGGGTTCCCACTGGACGAGATCGGTCGAGGTTGGAGGAGGAGGTTTCACCAGCTCCTCCTGGCGGTGGTAAATCCGATCGCTGCCGTCGTCTGTGGCGTCTTTTCTACGTCTCTTGTTTCTTTCACCCTTTCTGCAATCTGCCGCGCCCCTCCGGTGAGGGTGCAGATAGCCTCCAAGTGGATGCTCCAGGCGACGAATGGAGTGATGTGCTCCGATCAGAAGCGCAGTGCTCTCGGGTTGGAGACGGTTTCGATTTGATTCCTCGTTTTAGCGATGGGACAATCAATGCTCGATGTCTCGATCTCTCCACTGGCGAGAGAAGATCCGGCGAGTCTGCGGGAGAAATCTGGTTGTGGCGTAATGCCAGTAGAGAAATCTGCGGGAGAAACCCTCCGCCCCGAGGAAATTTTTGGATCTCTGCAGAAAAATGAGCGTGCTATCAGCGAATCCAAACATATATCGGCCGCAGATTGAACGAATTTCTTGCAGCTGCACGACATTTCGAGAACTCTTTCCTTCATTCTCATCCCAGAGAAGACTCGTTCGATTCAGAAGAAAAAGGGGAAGAACACTGATGAACGCCACAACCACTGGAGGCGAGCGGAGCTCAGAGCATTGCCCTGCATGTGGCCGGAGTAAATCGGGGACATAATCAGAGTGGGAAGACGCTGAAAAAGATGCTGCCCAATGGTCATTTCCTTTTGATCGCAGATATATCTCCAGCAATCAACAAGCCATGGATGCAGAGATTTCCTCTGGTCATTCTGGATGCTTCATCATCTTCCCTTTCTTCTGTGACGCATCGTCGGCGATGTTGCAGAGAAATCGGGTCAAGGAGTCTCGAGCTACTCCTGGGTTCGTTGGGGGCTCAAGCAGGCTCCCTTTTGCCAGAAAGGGGGACCATGGGAGGAGAAAAGGAGCCCTACAGATGAGCTAGCTCTGGTTTCTGACGGCGGACAAACTCTGGGCGGCCCGAGAGCTACAGCGAGTCTGCAGATCCTCTGCCTCTGCTTTTTCAGGTGAGGACCTCCGCCATCCTGGGCACACAGTCACATGGCTGGGTGGTGGGAATCCCTGGTCTCATGGGGATTTAATACCGTCGTGCTGGGGCTGCCATTAAAAGGGCAGCAGCTAGCTGATGTTCTTCAGGACTAAGCCCGGAATTGAATGGGTGGGGAGGAGGAGGAGGGGGGTTTCAGCTGCTGATTCGATGTTCTTCAATACATCTGTTGCTGATTCAACCAATACTTCGCAGCTGCTCGATCCCCATCTCCACAGCCCTTTAATTGATTTAGTCTGGCTGTTCTTTGGTCTCATCTGTCTCAATTACTGTGTATTTAATGGGTTTAAAGTGATTTGAAGCCAAAGCTGTCTTCTTCTTCAATGCCCCCATCCCCCGTCCCCCCGAGCCGCCCAGCTCAGCTCTGAAGGACCTATCTGCCGGAACAGGGGCATTCTCTGTTGTGGGAGGCGTACTGGGTTCTGAGATCCGGCGGTCCCTCCGCCGCCGTAGGAGCCGGAGGACGGAGGGAGGGAGGGTGGCCCCAACTCGGAGAATCACGATCCATGGCTAATTCTATTGAGAAATCTTGGGAAGACCGATCCGATCACAACCTGCTAGCTAATCATGAACTGGATACTGAGAGATGGAAAATCTACTGCAAGACAGCACCCCCTCTCTCTCTCTCTCTCTCTCTCTCTCTCTCTCGCTATTCTCTCTCTCTACTGCAAGCGGAGGAGGGGGAGGGGGAGGGGAGCTGGGTGGATTATTGGGTTGATCAGTTCTTCTTGTTCTTGGCGGTGGCAGCGTTCTTGGGGTCGTTGAGGAAGTCGAGGAGGACGGTGCTCTTGCACTTGGGGCACTTGGGATCGTCCTCGGAGAGCATCACGTACATGAGGCAGCGCGGGCAGCCCAGCAGCACCATGGACGTGGCCTCGGGGCTGCTGGCGTACCGCCCCTGCTCCGTCTCCGACGAGAGGCACGAGCTCGGGGACGACGACGACGACGGGGAGATGTTCGACGACGCGGTGGCGTCGGCGGTGGCTCCGACGCCGCCGCCTCCGCCGGCGGCCGCTGCGGAGAACCCGCCGCCACGCGGAATGGACAGGTTCAGCCTCAGGTCCAGCCTGGGAGTCTTCCCCCTACGGCTCATCTCGTCGTCCTCTTCGTCTTCCTCGCTCTGAAAGGAACAGAAACGCAGCGAAACAGAGACCACCCGTGATCAGGACCTCGCCGTTGAGGGGACGGACAGAGAGAAGTCGCAGAGGGTGGCGGCGGAGAGAGAGAGAGGTTAAACCTCGAGGCGGAGGCAATCGGAGATTCTGCAGCGGCGGCGGTAGACCTCGCCGGTCTTCCTTGTTACCTCCGACTGGATGACTTCGGAGAACAGAGCACAGCCCAAGTCGATGACTGTGCCACCGCCAAGGTCTGCTCCCTACACACCGTCGGCAGCAAGGCTTCTATGTTTAGAGCTGGGTGGCGCTGCCGTCGCCGGTCGTCTCCTCGGTGGCGGCCAAACACCATTTTATATAGGAAAAATGGAGCCTTGGAGGGGGGAGGCATGAGTGATGAGAAACAGAGAGGGGAGAGAGAGAGAGAGAGAGAGAGAGAGAGAGAGGGGAGGGAGGGAGGAGAGTTATATTAAATTCTCTTGTTTTATTGGTATAACTATGCTTTTATGCTTTCTATTTAATGATTTTAGTCTCCACAGACCCAAACAGAGAAGGTGGGGGGAGGGATTCAATGGAATTGAAGGATCGGTAGGAAGCTCGAGTACAAATTCAGGCCTCGCTGATTAATAACAATCCTTGGGCCGATCAGCAAGTTCCCCATTTTCATCCGTCCATGAAGGCCCCCCCCTCTCTCTCTCTCTCTCTCTCTCTCTCTTCCCTCTGGTTCTAGTATAGGATGAGAGAGAGGAGTTGGGTCTTCCCAGACAACGGGTTTGGAGGAATCAAGCAGAAAAGTTAAGGGGATTAAAAGGTCGCGTTTAGTGAGATAAAGAGGGTCTCGGACAAGTGTTCTTCCCTGGGCAAGTCCTCTCTCTCTAAATCTCCATCTCTGTGGTTCTGTCTCTCTCTCTCTCTCTATATATCTCTGTGTGTCTACGAGGGGCTCATCGCCGACGTGTTGGATGCTCTCGGCCTTGTCTCGAGAGTTATCGGGAGAGCGGATATTTTTCCTTCTCAGAAAATAAGCAGCTATTGATAATATCAAAGTCAATTTATTGCGTCGTTGAAGATTCGCGACACCGATTTATTTCCTTTGGCATATATTATCAATGCAGCCTCCCCCAAGAGCCCCCATTCCCCCTCCTTCGACTGATCTCTTCTCTCTCTCTCTCTCTCTCTCTCTCTCTCTCTCTTCATCAGAGGTCTGAAAGGTTGGATTTTTGAGTGATGTGGGGAAGAAGGGCGGATGCCCAATGCATGAAACTATGTGCAAATGTATAAAAATAATGTGAGCGCTGGATCAGAGCTGAGGGGAGATGGTGGGGTGATTAAGGTCTCACCCTCCGACGAGGGGAGCGATGAGTGTCGCCATTAATAGTCTCTGGCCTTGGTTTACGACCCTCCAATCAATGGGTCAGCCTCAATTCCTCCATGGCGACGATCAGCAAGACAGGACGCAAGAAGGATCGATCCGTCCCTTCACCAGTTTCCAAATTAATGCCCCCCCCCTCCCCTCTCTCTCTCTCTCTCCCTCTTTCTCTCCCTCGTTCTCTCTCTCATGCATGCAGAGGTTGAATCGGAATGCATGGGGGGGAGGGGAGCTTCGGAGGAGAGGAGGTTCAATGCCTTGGGGATTAAACAAAGGGTGGGCAAGGGCTGAAGGGATTTATTCACAGAGCTCGAGAGGGGGAGAGGTCCGCCATTAAACGCGCCTGCGAGGGCATCAATCCGACACGGGCGGGCGGGCGCTCATAAAATCTCTCTGGTTCTCCCCGGCGGCCTCCTCCGATATCCTTGAGAAGGGTGAGCTGCTCATCGTGTGGGTGCTCCCACCGCTGCAAATCCAAGACAAATTAATTCCAACGTCTAATTCGCCATCCGAGCCTCTGTCTACAACATCATACAAATACGATATCTAGTGTTCTTCCGAGCCTCCGGCGGACCCGGCTAGAGAGAGAGAGAGAGAGAGAGAGAGAGAGGGAGAGAGGGAAACGGGCTCAGGGTCGGGGAGATCTTGCCAAAGAAAAAATATGCCTTTCTTAAGAAAATGGGTCAGATCAAGCTGTAACTAAAAAAGGAGATTTTTGTAGATAAGACCTTCAATTTTTCATTTTCTCTCTCATCAGCAGAGAAGAGAGAGAGAGAGAGGGAAACGGGCTCAGGGTCGGGGAGATCTTGCCAAAGAAAAAATATGCCCTTCTTAAGAAAATGGGTCAGATCAAGTTGTAACTAAAAAAGGAGATTTTTGTAGATAAGATCTTCAATTTTTCATTTTCTCTCTCATCGGCAGAGAAGAGAGAGAGAGAGAGAGAGAGAGAGAGAGAGAGAGAGGGAAACATGCTCAGGGTCGGGGAGAGCTTGCCAAAGAAAAAATATGCCCTTCTTAAGAAAATGGGTCAGATCAAGTTGTAACTAAAAAAGGAGATTTTTGTAGATAAGACCTTCAATTTTTCATTTTCTCTCTCATCAGCAGAGAAGAGAGAGAGAGAGAGAGAGAGAGGGAAACATGCTCAGGGTCGGGGAGAGCTTGCCAAAGAAAAAATATGCCCTTCTTACGAAAATGGGTCAGATCAAGTTATAACTAAATAAGGAGATTTTGTAGATAAGACCTTCAATTTTTCATTTTCGCTCTCATCAGCAGAGAAGAGAGAGAGAGAGAGAGAGAGAGAGAGAGAGAGAGAGGGAGGGAAACGGGCTCAGGGTCGGGGAGAGCTGGCCATAGAAAAAAATGCCCGCCTCTTAAGAAAATGGGTCAGATCAAATTGTAACTAAAAAAAAGAGATTTTTGTAGATAAGACCTTCAAATGTTCATTTTCTCTCTCATCAGCAGAGGAGAGAGAGGGAAACGGGCTCAGGGTGTGGGTATGGCCATAGAAAAAAAAATCCCCTCTTAAGAAAATGGGCTCGATCAAATGTCACTAAAAATGGAGATTTGTGTAGATAAACCCTTAAAAAATTCATTTTCTCTCTCATCAGAGAGAGAGAGAGAGAGAGAGAGAGAGAGAGAGAAGGGGGGAGGCGTCTCAGATGGAGGCCACTTCCGAGGCAGCCACATGGCCGTCATTTATGTATGATGGCGGCATACGAACAAATCTTAGCCAAGCCATGACATGGGTACTTTGGCAGCCATCTTATTCACACATGGTTGACCATTAATGAGAAAGCTGCGCCCCCCCCCCCGGCCACATGCACCGGTCAGCTGCCACTTCATATGACTGTTGATGATGGTTGACCATGTACAGTAAATGAGATCAGGTTATGCGAGCACACGCAGACCTGATTCCCCTCCCCAACCCGCGAGAATCCTCCCTCTCCTAAACACGTCAGCTACCCGGAGACCTCCTCCACCTCCATGGAATCTGCACAAAACAAAAATCTGCAAGATTCCATTTTGGGCCATGACAAGATGCCTTAAATAGAAGATTGACCACCAAGAAAGTCAACTCGCTCTCTATTTATGAACATTAAACGGCGGCCAATGCAATGAATCTAACAGGACGTACTTCTTTACATTACTGTGGAAATATCACGTCGATTTGTCGCATCCCCCGCCCTCTCTCTCTCTCTCTTTCTCTCCCGGTGGTGCATTCAATGGATCCAAAGTATCATCAACCAAGGCGCGGATGAAATTTATGGAAAAAAATGCAATTTTTAAGGGAATCGAAAGCATTGGGCACCTGGATCGAGTGATGCCCACCATCAAGAGGCCTTCTCTCCTCGGGGTTCCCCTTCTTGGTGGGATGGTCAACTGGGTCACTTGGTGGAACCTGAAAACACAGCGCCACGCCCGATAAGTTCATCTCCAGTTTTGGAGAGGAAGGAAGTCAACCCTCGAGGTCCAGGTCAGGCACCTCAGGGGCCACGCACAGGTGGAGGAGTCAACTATCTGTTTGAAGACCAATCACAGGCAACCAAGACGAACGCGTGGCGTTTGAATTTATATCCATGCAAAGAAATTCGACAAACTCCAATCAAACAGATGCATGAATTTTGGCAGTCCGATGAACAACCCAATAAATCCAAATTTAGCAGTCAGATCTAAAATCAAAGACTGAAGAACAGGCTGCTTGGGAGAGAAATGTACTCACCTTTCTGAGCTGGGTTGCACTCTAATGGCGGGAGCAGCTCCACGCGGCAAGCCAGGGCTGCAAGATGGGCAGGTTACAGCAGCAAGCAAGCAACGACAACACATGAACAGCAGACTAGCGGGAACAAAATAATTTCTCTTTATATATAAAACGGAGGAGCCCTTGAAAGGAATGAGAAAAGATATTCAGAAGGCACGCCGATCCGGAGGCAGACAGTCCGAGCCACCCTCATACAGACATTTCGTTTGTGGACAAATTTGCTCCGGGACAGATTGACTTTGACTTCCACGGCGAGGAAAAAAGATTCCTTTTCTGGCCTATCCTAGAACCAGGATCGGTAGTCTTCTTCTCCGTTGTCGCCATCATCGTCCCCCAACGAGCCCTCACCAGATCTACAGTCATCCACCTTATCGAAATCTGTCTCAGGAACCTCGTGTGAGTTCCACGCGGGAGGGAAGGTCTTCTGCAACGCCTCTGTGATCTCCCCTCCTGATCTCTCTATCTTCCTCAGGCACTTGGACCAGTGAATGGCGGTGCCCATGTCAACTGTAATGTTGAGCTCCACCATTTCTCTACAAATGCTCAGAATCCCAGAGCAGAGGTACCCTTCGACAACGGTGGCCCTGGACAGCAGAGACGTCATCAGACAATGGTAGGCAGCTCTGTCTGGCTTCATTCCTGACAGCTTCATCTCCTCAAAGCACGCGAGAGCTTTCTCTGGCAACGATGCCCTCGCCCAGCCCTTGATCAGGGTGGTGTATGTTTTCAGATTAGGCTTCACTCCGGCAATCGCCATCTCCTCCACCGTCTTTGTAGCTCTCTGAAACGGGAAGAAGAAGATAAACCAGGAGCACTAATATGCCTGAGGTGGAATGTATAGCACGGATTTCATCCAAATGGCTATGGTTATGATTATCTAAATGACTATGGTTATGATTATCAGTTGATGCCCGACTTTACCGGTTGATGCCCGTCGGCAATTGACTCATGTGCAAGTGGCATCTTCTGCCCACAAACATAGAGGTAGAAGAGCAAAGGAGACTGATGAACGAAGGTTTACCAGCATGTCGCCAGCCTTGCAGCACGCATTTATGAATGATGTGAAAGTGTGGATGTCAGGGAGAACTCCCTCTCTCTTCATTTGCTGCATTAAGTCGGCAGCTTCCCACACATCCCCTCTTCTGGCCCACCTGCAGAATACTTCTTTCTCGTCAGTATCTGGAAGATGATACCAAATATGGCCACCCAGAAAATGCAGCAAGTTTTCAACCAAAAAAAGGCTAAAAATGGAAATTAAAAACTATTTTAACTTCTATAAATACATAAATTTTCAGTCAACCTCCGGGTGGACCATATGCAGCGTACGGCCTTTATTAGGCATATAACCGTGGTCCTCTCTAGCTGGTCCAAGTCAGCTAAATTTCCCTTCATTGGGAATGGATTGAGAGAGGTTTCAGCAGCAGTGCTTTTCTAAAAGCGAAAAATCCCGCCTGGATCCTAATGAAACCTATTCATTTCAGTGAGAAGGCTTATCACTTATTGATGATCAACCAGCAGGCCATGCAACTAGCTTCAATTCTATTTTTGAGCATCATCAAGGCATCTGTTTATTCATTTTATTTCCAAATAACTGCATATCCAATGGAAAGAATATATGAGATTATAAAAAAAATAAAATTGTCTTGTAATCAATATGCAACGAAAATTATAAGGATTGCAATAACTGGTGATAGAGAGAAGACTGATTAGACGGCCAGCAGTGCTGAACACTGCTCTTAAAGAACATACGCTGGGATGTCACATTGTTTGAGAAGAGGATGTCCTGGCCTCATAATTCCGTTTATGAAAAATGACGCAGATTAGGAAGACATTCGACTGTTTTTATAACTTCTGATATCTTATGATTGCATGTAGCATTAAAATTCCTCTAAAAGCCATCTTAGATCAGCTGAACTGTTAAAAAAAAAGTCGTCTGCTAAAACAGTACCTCCATTTTCGTTCAACTACATGAAACAGAAAATACTTCTCCCAAGATCAAGGCTAAATTCATTGAATACGTACCCATCTATTAATATGTTATAGACAAAGGTATTCCTGGGAATCTTCTGAACGAACATCTCCCTTGTAACCGCTAAAGCACTCTGCATTCGGCCAGACTTGCAGCATGCCTTGAGGAGTGCTTCGTACGTGAAGACATCAAGCTTCAAGCCTTCCTCCTTAATTTTGGTGAAGTACTCGAAAGCCTTTCCAGTGTTGCCAACTGAGGCGTAACCCTCCATAACTGTTGTGTAGGTACGTTCGTTGGGGTTGACGCCAGTCAATACCATCTCATTTACCACTTCAACGGCCTTCTCCATCTGCATGGAACAGAGAGTACGAAAAATCAGTAACAACGATGGGAAAGAAGTCGCTTTTCCTTCCATAGGATGGGTGGCCCATGGCTCAGCCTCAAGAGACTAGTGGGACGGAAATGAAAGAAGAAGACAGGATGAGATAGAGGGAGAGAGAGTACGAAAATCACCTGCTGCTTCCTAACGAGGCCAAGGATAAGAACATTGTATGTTTCTACTGTTGGGATGCACCCAGTCCGCCTCATTGTATCAAGAACCTCCATGGCTCTTTTCATGTCTCCGGTCACAGCAAAACCGTATATAATTGGCTGAAATGTCCTCGATGAAGGCCTATACCTTGCCTTCTGCATTTCCTCAAAAGTGCGCATTGCTCGGTCCATGTTGCCCATCTTACAAAATGCGTTTATGATGATATTGTACACAACAGAATCGGGCTTCAGACCCTTCTTCATCATGTCCTCAAAAATGGTGAATGCGTTTGCATAATCATTTAACTGGATGAATCCATTAATCAGCATGGAGTAAGTCTTGTTGTTGTGCTTGATTCCCCGTGATTCCATCTTCTGGCTGATCTCGATGGCTTTTGCTACCTTTCCAATCTGATGGATGACATTTGAAGGTGCTAAAGAGTTAAAAGAAACTACCGACATGATGCTAATGTGTAAGGAGCCACAGGATTACCCATGGCTAGCAGCCCATCAGCTTACATCTCAAAGACATCCTTTTCCAACATGAAATTCACTGGGAAGAGATGCAGTACCTTCGTGTACAAATTAATGAGACACCCATATGTGATTATTGAAGGGGTAAAGCCGCATTCCTGCAAATAGCATGGAATGGCATGATTCAGATACATGCCTCACATAGAGCATGTCTTTCTATAGCATTTCCTCGCAGCATTTTTGGTAGTAAAAAGGAATGCAACATCAAAAATAGAAATACTTGGAAAACTGATCAACAGATTTGGAATGAATAACCCCAAAATTCAGAAGCCGCCTATTTCTACCTATTCAATGGGTATTAGGAGCACCAGGAGAGGAGAGGAGGAAGGGGGAGGCGGCCAAGTAATGCACTTACGTGAGTCTATTCTTTTCTTTCAGTGATATTAACTAAGCACAGTGAAGAAAGAAAATCCTGAACTCTCTCACATGATGGGAGTTTAGAAATTCCGGAAGCCCGACAAGTACCCGGACACCCATCTCAATGCTAAGGCGATAAAATAGAAAGGTTTTTTGAAGAGTGCCTTTCAGACATAATCTTGAACATATTATATCGCATTTATGTCGAATTGTAAAACTTTTCAGTGCTAACAATCCAGATTGAGCATAAAATCAGACCAATTTTTCAAATTTAAGATCATGTCGTGATGAGAAAACAAAGGATACCTTAAGCCTTTCAAATACAACAAGGCATTTGTCTTCGTTGCGCACATTTGTGTACCCATCCATCATGGTATGATATAAATCAATTGGCGCATCAATACCCTGCTCTTCCATTTCCCGGACTAGTTCCTCAGCTCGAGCCATATTGTCAGTTTGGCTAGATCATTCAAAGCATTTCTCAGTAGAGAGAAGTAAATAGTTTACTATCTCACAAGTGACAGCATTCAATGCATTTTAAGGCACTTTGAATGAAAAGTGGAGCCGATAGAGAGATCTTTTTTAAGCTCTAACATAGTAACTAAATAAAAGAGATGGCTGAAATCTCAGAGTAGGAAGACATTTAAAATTGATAATTTATCTAAAAAGAGGATGAAAATTAGTATTCGAACATCAATGAAGGACAAGATGGCCACAAAACGTGAAATACACAAAATCTGAAAGGAAAATTCGACCAAGCATCAATCTGCAGGTACTAACCAATGAGCGTACACAATGTTGCTATAGATAATGGCATTAAGCGTTGCAAACTTCTCCTTTGCCTCCAGAAATAAATTATCTGCAGCTCTTCCAAAGGCATAAGAAAAAAAAAACTGGTAAGAAAAATAATCTGCTAGGTTGTACAGAAACCACAATGACCATGCTCTATGCACCATGCCCTTTGTGAAATTGAAGATATGAAGTGCCATGATAATAATAAAAAAAATGGTTTCAGGAAATTTAAAATGTCACAGCAAGTTCGAAGCCAAAACATAAATCCAAAACAATTAACCTCAGTGTTATTGATTCTAAGGATTATACAGATACCCATTAGAGACTAGCTCAGGACTTTATGATTTAACCTCATTCAACATTCTGATCAACAAGCTATCAACCTATACATTTACTCTCTACTTATTGATGATTATGTGGTACCATCCGCTTTAAAATAAAAAAAAAAGACATTTCATTGGTCACTTAAAAACCTAAAAAAACAAAATAAACTCGAAACATGACAAGAACCTAATAACTTTACCACTTATCACAAGCTAACCTATATCCACACTTTACCCGATCAGTGGCAATTAATATTGAACAAATATAAAGCGGAGAGGTTAACAGTAAACATAAATGCTCTTACTCACTTCGAGTCACCAGCATTTGCAAATCCTCCGATTAGAATGCTATATGTCACCAATGTCAACTCAATACCCTCAGCTTTCATTTCTTCTATGCAAGATAATGCACCACGCATATCTCTAGCAACTGCATAAGCGTGAACAAGGCTGCATGAAATGACGAATTACCTTCAATGCATGATGAAATAAATAAAATCTTCATGACTGATGAGACATGTCATCTCACGTCTAGCGATTGAATAATTTTGGAGTATACAGAGGCATTTACAGATTGAAACAGTCATAGAAAAACAGGCAAAAATCTATTCACTCTGGAAAAGTTTTTTCAGACAAATATTCGTTGTGGATCTTTCTCAAACTCTCAGATATATCATTTGTCCTTCATCCGAGATGATCTGAAACTAAGAGAAGAACGCAATCAAGTGTCCTTCATCCTAGTAGCAGAGACGTGTTAACTGTCCACTATGACGCTTCAAGTGATGCACACACAAGATGATGGTGCAGCTTCAAAGAAAGAGTCGGCAATCTTACTTTGTATATACATAAGAGCTTGGCTCGATCCCTCTTGCCCGCATGCTCTCAAAGGTAGAACGTGCATGATGCTTATCTCCCCTCCTTGCATAGTAGTTCACCATAAGGCCGAATTCTCTTCTAGAAGGCTGAAAGTCCCAAAAAAACCAATTGTTAACATTATACAACGGGAAAGTACTTAGTAATGGTTCCCCTGTGCATGTGGGTGAATCTCGAGCATGGAAAAAGAAAAAAAAACTGCATATAGAATTAGCATCTGCACTATATCAGGACAAATATACACAACGAATCTTAAGAGTCCAAAGGAAGAGCACGACTGGGGATGATTACAGTGGTGGGAAGGAGAAGGTAGAGACATTGAAGCTCTTTTGAAAGAAGCTATTCAGGTTTCGGTGAAGTTTACAATTCCGATAATAAGTCTATTCACTGGGTCTGTTCACTGGGTCTGTTGATTTATTGTAAAAAAGTTTCTGAAAGCATTCCTTTTTCTGTATGAGTCTCAGTTCCGGCGAAAACTGGGGAAGAGAGGAGGAAAGTAAGGTATATGTACTCAGCTCAGACCTTCTTTATCTTTTCGAAAGCCGATACCACGGATTGCCAGTTCTCTGGTTGTGTTTCCAGTACCCTCCTGAACTTTCTGCAAGCGCCGTCCCTCTCTTCGTGCCACTTGGACCGGTATTCCCTCTCATTAGTTCCAGCCACCCATCTCGCCCTCTCCTCTGCTCTTGCCTGCAGTCTCCTGCCGTCGTCCAACCGCACTGTCAGCACCCTCCCATGGAACTCCACCCCATCGAAATCCACGGCCTTGGCGGCCGCGTCCGCAGCTGTCGGCCCACCGTATAAAACAAAGCAGTAACCCATGTTCCTCTCGGTGTCTTCATGGCCTTTGATCAGTATGACGCTCTTCACAGGCCCGAATTGACGGAAGAACTCGGCAATATCGTTCTTCTTTATCCATAGTGGTAGATTCCCCACAAAAATCTTGCCAGTTTGCTGGAACACGGGGGCGAGAGCGGGAGCAGGAGCAGGAGCAGGAGGTTCATCAGGGTCACAGGATTCCACGGCTACTGAGTCACTTTCGGGTGTTTCCTCCGCGGGAGATGGAGGAGGAGGCGGAGTCAGCTTGCTGGAGAGCCAGAGCTTGTTGGAGAGTGGATTGCCGAGGCCATTCCCGCTGCTGTCACCCCCACCGACTTTAGATGAAGTGGGAATTGTCTCGGAAGTAGGAAGGTTCCGGAGAGGGTTCGCCGGAGCTTGGACGACAGGAGGAGTGGGGGACGCCGGGGTGAAGGGCCGTTGGACGGACCCGGAAAGGCCAGACGCTTCCGGCACTGGTGGGGGCCTCCGGAGAGACGCAACCGGGGAAGGGGGAATTCGATTGTGGGGCTTCCCGGCGAGGAGGTTGGGAGCGAAGTGAGGGTGGAGAGAAACAAAATCCATTCCCTACTCTCAAAAACTACCCGCAATCTGTCACCTTTCTCTAAGGTTTCTTCCTCCCAGAAGCCTCCCTCCGTTCATAGAGGGTCCGCCGGCGGGCTACGGCGGCCGGCAGGGAGCGAACGCGAGCAGCGTCAGAAGGGATGAGGGAACCACGGAGGGGGGGGTCGATTTTTCCCCCCCATGTATCTCTCATTTTTAGATAAACCCCACAGATATTAATATTTTTTTAAAATACCTTATATTATATAAAATACATAAAATACCCTCTTTATATTGTTTCAGAAGCATTTCTCTATTTATGCGATAAAAGGTTCATCTTGTGAGACTGTTCTGGGCATTTCTCTCAACCCAGCTCGACATCGCCCAACAATAAAAAAATTACAACCTAAAAAGGTTAATCACTTTTAATCATAAAAAAGTTAAGAGTGATACAAAGTAGTATAATGGGTATGCATGCTCATCTTCTATTTTCAAAGCTATGACTTTGACTTTTGTAAGTCAATGACCCATTCATGGACTCTATTGAAACGTTTCTTGTTGACTATTTAGTGTTGAGTTTGAATTTCAGATTTATAATTTGTGGGTCTACGAGATTACATGGACCTGATCTCGAGTTTCAAAGCGTAGTGTTGAATATGTTAGTTTACTTTGTGAAATATCAAAATATGGCAAGGTTAGTGTGTTTCATGTTGAGTTGTACATCATTAAGTATATTAAGGTTAATATTTCATTATTAAATTTACATTATTAAATTTCTCTAGACATTGTGATATTTTAGTAAATGAAAAGTATATTGTAAAATATAAGAATATAAGTATGTGACTATTTGACATATTAAATAAAATATTTCGACAAATATAATGTTAATATGTAATGTAGAATATCTTATTAGAGGATCTTCGTGTACTAAATTTATGCGTTGTGGGTATAAATTGGAGTATAAAGTCACATATCGAAATGTATATAATTGTGCTAGGATATACAACTAATTTTTCAGTCAACAAACTTACACTTTAACATGATATATTCTTATATTTAACAATCGATTAACATTAGCTCCAGCATGATCTTGTCCCTTAATATATTTACCGACCTCATGCACTACTGCCTCCTACGCTTTGACCCCCTCACAAAGTGACTATAAGTCAACTTCCATCTCCAGTCGAATAGACGCTAGCCCATTCACGCCACCAGCCATGAGAGCCTCCTGTGCACAAAATGCTCTTGTGCACGCCCAAATGTGCATCAGATGTGCCGAGAATTTAGTAAGACGTCACTGTTTTTTCACCTTGTGCTGAGCCTCGAACGCTGCTCCACCTACTGGCGAGCAGCTTAAACATAGCACATGCACGCGGAGAAGGGAGAAGCTACTCTCTCCCCCACCCACCCACCTTCTTTTTTTATGTGAGTCTTCCTTTCCCCCCGCATAGGCTGCGTGTGAGCGATCTTTCCTTGCCTTTAACCGTGGCGTGAGAGCTTGGTCGTCGAGATCTCGGTCTAATTCCTAGTCCTTGTCTATGACTCGGCCAAAGCTTCTACCCTAGCTAGACCTTACTCGGCCAGAAGAATCGAAAGGCGATAACCCGCTCCGACGAACCCAGAAGCTGGAATTGAGGCTGGGTTGACCCGGTTATTCTAACCGGCGATCAAACTGGCCCGGAAATTCGCCAAAAACAAGAGTTTTGACTTTGATTGGGGCAGTTGGGAACTTTCACCCGGCAGCGCTCTTGGGTGTCTAGCTTCCAGAAATGAAGGAGCGAAGTATCTTACCCAGGAAGTTTTGTTTTATAAATGGAAGGCCTGGAAGTCCCCAGGTCACGGTGGCAGCCTGTACCTCGTCTTTATCTTGAACTCGTTGACCCCCGACTCCGGACGATCGCATCGCCGCTATGGAGAGCTCCCCGGTCCTGTCCTCCCCGGCGAGGCGGTACGCATCTTGCGATGATTTATCTTCTAATTTTGTCCTCAAATCTCTCTTTGGTTTGGTGGCCATTTAGCATCGCCGCCGCCGTCTTGTTTGCAGGCTGGAGGGGAAGGTGGCCATCGTCACCGGCGGCGCCAGCGGCATCGGGGAGAGCACCGCCAGGCTTTTCGCCCGGCACGGTGCCAAGGTCATCGTCGCCGACATCCAGGATGAGAAGGGCCAGGAGGTCTGCAGGGAAATCGTGGGCGACGGCGGCGTGGCCTCCTACATCCACTGCGACGTCTCCGCCGAGGCCGACGTCCAGGCCACCGTGGAGATCGCCCTGAGGTCTCACCGCCAGCTGGACATCCTGTTCAATAACGCCGGCGTGATCGTGAAGGACCAGCCCCTCCTCGAGGTCGACAGGTCGGACTTCGAGAAAGTGATGGTCGTGAACGTGATCGGCGTCTTCCTGGGCATCAAGCACGCGGGGCGAGCCATGGCCACCGCCGGGGGGGGAAGCATCATCAACACCGCCAGCGTCGCCTCGGTCATGGCCGGCATGACCGCGTCCCCCTACACGGCGTCGAAGCACGCCGTGGTGGGGCTGACCAGGGACGCCGCCGTGGAGCTGGGTCGCTACGGCGTGCGGGTCAACTGCGTCTCCCCCCATCTTTTGGCGTCGCCCTCGGTCTGCAGGGAAGTCGGGATGGACGCCAGAGTGGTGGAAGACGCCGTGGAGAAGGCCTCTGTCCTGAGAGCCGCGGCGTTGAAGGCGCAGGACATCGCCGAGGCGGTGCTCTACCTGGCCAGCGACGAGTCCAGATACGTCAACGGTCATAACCTTGTGGTGGACGGCGGCTACACCACAACCAATCCCAGCTTGGGGGAACACCTCTTTGCCTCCTCCTCCTCCTCCTGATCCGTCTTCCCTTCCCTCTGATCTTCCCCACCCTTTTTAATTATGACCGTTCTTCTCGTTTCTCCTCGTCGCCGGCATTCTTCCCGTCTCTTTGACCTCTTTCCGTTCGATGGCCGACCCTGAAGCTCGGGGGTAGATCGAGCTCGGGCTTCCCGATCCCCAAATCGACCTTGGGACCATCTGGAAGTAAGATCGCCGACGAGAGTGGCGGCGGCGGCGGCTGCAGGATTAGTGACGGAAGGAGAACGTGCTGACCGGTGTTGATGAACAGCTCAAGCAGTCATTCCTAAATAAGGAGGATATCTTCAGGGAATCTCGCTGGCGAAGTTATCGCCGAAGACCGTCCCCGAGATAACTGGCGGCTAGTCGAGTATCACGAGGCACTCCTGCAAGGACGAGTTTGGGAGACAAGAAACGTAGGCAGTTACAGGGAGTAATATTATTTCACGGAGTCTTTTTCAATTTACCACAATTATTCATGAACGGACATAGAACAGGCAGACAGGAAGAACGGCGGCGGTGTGGAGATACGAGTTGGAAACGGCAGGAAGAACGCCGATAATAGACATGTCGTGGGAAAGATTAGAGGGAAGGGACCAAGGATCAGGAAGAGGAGGCAAAGAGGTGTGCCCCCAGGCTGGGATTGGTTGTGGTGTAGCCGCCGTCCACAACAAGGTTATGGCCGTTGACGTATCTGGACTCGTCGCTGGCCAGGTAGAGCACCGCCTCGGCGATATCCTGCGCCTTCAACGCCGCGGCACTTAGGACGGAGCTCTTCTCCGCGGCGTCTTCCATGGCTCTTGTGTCCATCCCAAGCGCCCTGCAGGCCAAGGGCGACGCCAAAAGATGAGGGGAGACGCAGTTGACCCGCACGCCGTAGTGGCCCAGCTCCACGGCCGCGTCCCTCGTCAGCCCCACCACGGCGTGCTTCGACGCCGTGTAGGGGATCGTCGCCATGGCGCCCATGACCGAGGCGATGCTGGCGGTGTTGATGATACTGCCTCGCCCGGTGGAGGCCATGGCTCGGCCCGCGTGCTTGATGCCCAGGAAGACGCCGATCACGTTCACCGCAAACACCTTCTCAAAGTCGGACCTGTCGAAGTCGAGGTGGGACCTGTACTCCCCGACGGTGCCGGCGTTGTTGAACATGACGTCCAGCCGGGCGTGAGACCTCAGGCTGGTCTCCACGGCGGCCTGGACGTCGGCCTCGGAGGAGACGTCGCAGTGGACGTAGGAGGCCATGCCGCCGTCGCCCACGATTTCCCTGCAGACCTCCTGGCCCATCTCATCCTGGATGTCGGCGATGATGACCTTGGCACCTTGCCGGGCGAAAAGCCTGGCGGTGCTCTCTCCGATGCCGCTGGCGCCGCCGGTGACGATGGCCACCTTCCCCTCCAGCCTGCAACCATGACGACGGCGACGAGGCTAAATGGTCCGCAAATCAAAGAGAGAGTCGAGGGCAAAAGTAGAGGGCAAATCATCGGAAGCTGCATACCGCCTCGCCAGGGAAGACAGAACCGCGGAGCTATTCATGACGGCCAAGCGATCTTCCGGCGTAGGAGGCCAACGAATTCAAGTTAAATAGCTCGACTTTTCAGGCATCACTTTTTAATGTAGAGAGAGAGAGGAGAAATGGCCCACGTGTGACGCGTTTTTGCTTCACGTCATACGGATCAGGTAAGAAGCGTTGTTCTACGAGTCCCAATTGGGCATTTATATTAACACCAATTGCTCGAATAAAAGTCAAAACTCTTATTTTGGTGACTTTTCTGGGCCAGTTGGATCACCGGTTAGAATTAACAGGGTCAACCCCGCCTCAATTCCAGATTCTCGATTTATCGGATTTGGTTCTTGCCATTCGATTCTTCCGGTCGAGTAAGGTCTAGATAGGGTAGAAGCATTGGCAGAGTCGTAGACAAGGACTAATAATTAGGCCGAGATCTCAACCAAGCTCTCATCCCATGATCAAAGGCAAGGTAAGATCACTCACATGCACATTATCTCTAGAAAAGAATGAAAGCTCGATGGTATGGCGGAAGGCCCACATAGAAAACGAACGTAGGTGGGGTAGAGAGTAGCTTGTCCCTTCTCCACATGCATGTGCTGTGTGAGGCTCCTCACCATGTGATGGAGCAGCAATTGAGGCCCCGCGCAAGGTGAACAGACAGTGACGCCTCTTTTTCGGAGACCCCCTGCTGGTCCTTATACTTCTCAACACGTGGTGCACAAGAGCAGAATAGATAGGTTGGCAGAGTTGAAACTTGACTTCTCACTTACTGTTATGAAGGGGAGAGGTAGTAGTGCGTAAGGTACGTAACAATATTAAGGGACATGATCATTCTGAAGCTAATGTCAGTTGTTAGTTCTACGTTAAACATAGGAATTGGTTCTATGTTCTAGAAAAGATTATATAATTAGGATAGAAGACTTTATACACTAATTTACGCCACAATGTATAGCTTTAGCACACTAAGATCCTCCAATAAGATATTCTACATTACATATTAACCCGATTTAATTATGACGCTTGGTTACGAGTTGATGACTGCAGCCAGACATTGACGACTTAGCAGACGTAGAACCTGGTGGTCCATGACATTATTAATGTAAGTGGCTGTTAGAGTAAAAACATAATGTGAATTTGCGGAGCACTGCTCACTCGATCTGTATGATGTGAATTAGGTAAGAAGAAATAGATCAACTCACAGAAATAACATAGACATAAGGATTTATGTGGTTCGTTGGTTAATCTACTTCCACAGAAATAACTGCATACCGCGTCGCCAAGGAAGACAGCACCGCGGAGCTCTTCATAACGGCGGCGAAGCGATCTTCCGGCGGAGGGGGCCAACGAATTCAAGATAAAGAGGTGAAAGTCAACAAACTTATTTAATGGGATCCACTTTTAGAATAACTTTTCAGGCACCACCTTTAATACAGAGGAGAAATGGACCACGTGTGGCATGTTTCTTGGCCAGCTGTGGCCAAGATAAGGGATTGGCTATTTCAGCTATTAGTGAGTGCCTGCAAGACCAAGATTAGGGATTCGTTCTTTAGGTTCTTGATGATAATTATTCTCTATTCTTGCCTCATTTTGTGGAAGTTTCATCATGGTCCTGAACGTAGACGGCTGACCTCTGAATCAGGTAAATCCTTATGTAGATGCTCTTGCTGTGAATTAATTCATTTGTTCTTTCTTACTTCACATCATACGGATCAGGTTACCAATGTTCTACAAGTCCATATTGGGCGTTTGCTTTAACAACAATTGCTCGAATGAAACTCAAAACTCTTCTTTGTCAACTTGTGGGCTAGTTTGATCACTAGTTCAAATTAACAAGGTCAATCCTGTTTTAGTTCCAGATTCTCAATTTGTCGGATTGGGTTCTAGCAATTCGATTGTTTCGGTCAAGTAAAGTATAGATAGGGTAGAAGCTTTGGTAGAGTCCTAGACAAGGACTAAGAATTTGGCTGAGATCTCGATCAAATGCTCACCTCTTGATCTAAGGCAAATGCAAGGTCACTCACATGCATGTTCTGCCAGGGAAATAGTGGAAGCGCAATGGTATCATGGAAGGCCCACTTAGAAAAATAATGTGGGTGGGGTAGAGAGTAGCTTATCCCTTCTCCACATGCATTTGCTGTGTGAGGCAACTCACCATGTGATGGATCAATGACCGAGGCCGTACACAAGATGAATAGACAGTGACGTCTTAGCAACTTCTCAACACATTTGGTGCACGAGAGCATAATAAATAGGCTGACAGATTAAATGGGTAAGTGTCTATTTGATTGAGGATGGAAGTTGACCTCTAATTACCTTTCTAAGGGGGTCAAAGCATCGGAGAAAGTAAGAGGGGTTACATGTCCTTATATAGAGTGGAAGAAGACGAAGGGCCAAAAGACATGGGAAGGCCAAGAGATATAGAAAGGTGAGGAAGGCGAAGGACCAAGAGATATGGGAAGGCCAAGAGGCCTATAGTGATCCTTTGTACTCACATTCCCCCTCAGGTTGGAGCGTAGATGTCGACTAAGCTCAGCTTATATGATAATGTATCATATGACGCAACCCGCAAACCTTTGGTGAAGATGTTTGCAAGTTACTCTAAATATGTCATGTGTGTAGTGCAGATAAGTCCATTCAAAAGTCGATGGTGGATGATGTGGTATGCAATCTTGATATGTATGGTGTGTAGATGAAAAGTTGAGTTATTTGCTATGAAGATCGCTGTCAAATTATCATAATACATAGGCATAACACCTTGCACTGAATAACCCCACTTCTGAAGTTGGTTGCACACCCAAAGTATGCATGACGACATATCTATTATGGCCCGATATTCAGCCTCAGTGCTAGAGGAGCAAGAGACCCACTACTTGTGATTGGACCACATCACACAAGATTTCTTCCAACATAGATACGATAGCCCGTGATAGACTTCCAATTTGCACGATTGCCAACCAGATTGAAGTCTGAGTAGCCGACCACATGAAGATGTTTGTGGTGGTAAAAAGTGATCCCTCATTTAAGAGCATATTTGAGATAGGCGAGAAGTCTGAGGGCAGTCTCTCAATGATTGTATCGAGGTTCATGTATAACTTGACTAAAAAGATTCATTATATAAGTGATGTCGAGTTCTGTGACAGTGAGATAAATGAACTTTCTAACTAGACGTTGATATGGGTAAGGATTGACGAGGAGAGGCAAGGTTGAGTCCTAGAAATTTGGCCAACTCTTGATCGGAGATGCATGTGACTTCTATTCGAGTAGTCCCATCTCCTATGTTGATTGAGGACAATCTCCCCTAGGTGATTAACAAACTTTATGACCAAGAAATACTTGGAGTTCTCAAGTCCCAAATATCTAGATGTTCCCAAAAGAAACATCTTGGTATCTTGAATGTCGGTCATATCACTCTTTGTGATAATCATATCATCTACGTAGACAAGAATAATACACCTATTTGTGGTGGTCTTGTGAAAAACTATAGGCTCCACTTTACATGTCGAAAAATCACACTGCCGAATGAGGGTGCTGAATTTGATGAACCAAGTTTGAGGACTCTATTTGAGACTATAGACGGCTTTACAAAGATGACACACTTTAACGGATTCCACCTCAATCATATAGTCGAGAGACTACTCTATATAGACGTCTTCATTTAGATCACCATAGAGAAAGGTATTAGAGATGTCTAGTTGGTGTAGAGGCCAGTTGAGGTTGACTACCATAGAAACAATCATACATACCGAGCTTAGACGGACCATAAGAGAAAAGGTCTCCTCATAGTCGATGCCATACTATTGAGAAAAACTATGTGCCACCAATTGAGCTTTATGATGATTGATGTGACTCAATCGTTGTATAGTAAATCACACAAATTTAAAATTTATAAAACTAGAAAATATGATTTTTCAGATATTTAGAAGTATTTTTGAACAAATATATCAATTATAATTCAATAAAACTTCTAAAAAATAGCGGTAATTTTCCAAGTCGATCACATGGAATGTAATATAATATTTGGTAATTATTCATATTTTTTTCTCAATGAATACGATTTTTATGAATTTTATACTAGGAAATGAAAAGGAAATATATTTAAAATTTATGAAAAAGGGAAATAAGGGTGCGGACGTCAGGATGACGTCAGTGCCCGGAGAACGCAAATCAGGCGGAAACAGAGTTTCGTCCGGCAATTGTTACATAAGCGATTACAGACGATTTAATTAGTCAAATTAAGATCTGTAAAAGCCGAAAGAATCGTAATTGAACGAAGTATATTTTGGTAAATTAAAATCACACAAATTATCACTAAATGAAGCGTAAAGTAAGTTGAAAGCAGGAAAATAGAGTTTCGGCGTCGCGGCGGCGATGCGTCGGCGATGCACTATAATCCTGAGCATTTGGAAGGATCGTCGTGTAGTGTCCATGGCCTCGAAGGCTCTCCTTGGACAAGGACGACGTGGGCAATCTCTAGATCTCCTTGCGAAGTCTAGAGATCAATGAAGTGGGTCATCGAATCGTCTCCGGCGGCTGTCATTCGGCGGAGTGGAAAAATGGCGACTTTGCGGCTCTTCGGCGGCTGTCACCGGATGAAGAGCTGGATGGAGGTGGGGCGCGTGTCAGGGAGCTTCATCCTCAGGTCTGCACAGCAAGAGGAGGCTCTTCATCGCATCTGGTACGCTCTCAGGAGGTGGCGACTCGTCTCCCAGCGGATCGTCCTCTTCTTGACGACGGCTTGTTCATTGATCAATCATAGATGCTTTACTCGATGGATTCGCGATCCTTTTATCGCGAATCGTTTAGCAATTTTAATAACAATGCTCCGCAAATTACGTTGACGAGATTTTCGCCGATGATCCAGCGATTCTGGTTGCTTAATCCTTTATCGGCGATCTACAGGAAAGTCGCGATAATCAGATAAAAATATGAATTTTGACTTTAAGAGGATTCAAACCCGCGCTAGTTGCCCCCCGCTACTTCTGGGAAGGTGATGCGAGTTTAGTCCCACATCAGTTGTGCGCCGAAT